AGTAGAAAAGAAAAAAAGAAAAAAAAAAAAAAAAAAAAAAAAACAAAAAAAAAAAAAAAAAAAAAAAAAAAAAAAAAAAAAAAAAAAAAAAAAAAAAAAAAAAAAAAAAAAAAATAAAAAAAAAAAAAAAAAAAAAAAAATGCCAAGAGTTTTAGCGCATGTGCAGGACTTTCGGTGCAGACCTCTGTACTGATATCTTAATTGTTTTTCATCTCTTGCGTTATTTTTTTTTTTTGGGGGGATTATTAAAAGGCCGCGGGGGTTTCCCTTTTTACCAAAAAAATAAAATGGTGATGATGCCAGGTGATATAGATTATGATTAGCTTCTATCTATAAGTTCGTTATCTGCAAATAAGCTCCTTCGATCTTTTCGTAGTGCAAGAACAGCGTGGGATCATATGAATGGTCGCTCGCATCAGTTATACAGTCTTTATTGATGTACTTTATTTACAAATCGTCGCAGAGTTCGGCTTTAGGCTCGAACTCCAGCGATTTGTTAGTGGCAATAGGCGTCAGATATGCTCTTGCGGTTTCCAGCCCAATAGCACTTTTTAAGTCGTCAATTACCGCAGCGAATCGCTGCTGTATGTGCCGTGGTACTTCAAGAGTCGTGCCGGATGCTCATAGTGAGAGTTGCAAATTCCAGAATGAGGGATTCTAGAAGGAAGGATTTATTGGACAGCCTTGCGCAAGCCCCCACCTAAAACAACCGTAAGCCATCCGAACGTCCCGATGGTGACGATGCTTCGGTTCGCATCCGTTTCAACGGAAACTGGTATTATTTCTTACGGAAATAATACGAATAAAGTCATGTTAGCATTTGGCCCCCAAGCATGCCAGCCACCCGTATCTGCCATCCACCTCATTTATTACGGTACATAAAACGCGACCCGGGGAATCTGGGGAAGAATCAATCCATCCTTCTTGATTATCACAACAAGTCATATAGTGGTGTGGTGGTTGAATGTTGATTGAAGACGGCTGTAACAGGCTAACAGCCCGCTAAGGTACCGTATGTGCGGAGAAAGGCGCGCTAAGGCCCGTCCAGCCAATCCCGTCCCATCCCCGGCACCCCCCCCACCTTCTATCTTTGGACGCTATCCAAATGAGAAGCGAGAAAAGTCAAATTTTACTCCTTAGAAACTGTGAGCGAGTAGGCACTTTAGGGAGTAGGTACATACGCTCTTTGAGGGAGTAGGGACTTCAATGGAATAGGCACTTTCCGGCTTGTTTCGGGCCCTGAGCCTTGAATGTCCGAAGTGCATACGGTAATATTAGAACCTCGAGCAACCGCTGTTGACTGTGCGGCAAGGCTTTCCCGCCCCTTTGCGCAGTGTTACTTGGGCATGTTGATGACATTAAAGGGCACATGCACGATACACAGACAGCGTATCAAAACGACCCTGGCTGACCATATGTGTTTCAACCTGCTCACATTCTAGAAATCATTGGCTACATCCTGAAACAAACATGCAGAATTGATAAGCAAATGTAAGAGCTTTCAAAGGTCCGGACTTGGTGATTGGTATTCTCCCCATGATTGAGATGCTCCTAGTGGGGCATTCCTCTCAGGAGGTGGTTCATGGGGCTTTCAAGCTGAGACCCTGGAACAAATGCTCCAGGATATTACTACTGTCGCTCCCCCTAACGCTGGAGCTGTCAACAAAGACCCTTGTACTACATGATCTATATCAACAGAACTCCCAAATAAAGAAGCCAAACCCAGCCGAGACCCGCCTTTCTTTCCTCGCGGTGACGACCTCATGACACCAGGCTGGTGGTGTACGCTCATGGAGCAGTATACGCTTCTAGTCTTGCTTTGTTTCACAAGCCTTGTCAGCGCACGCAATCCCCAATGCCACACAAACGCGACGGCCGCTGTACAGCAGCTCAGTGGATGGAATTACCTAGGCTGTTATCACGATACCTGGAATGATCGATTGCTCAAGGCCTCAAGTGTAAAGTTGTCGAACAACACAGTTGTAGGTTGTGCCAAGTTATGCTCTACTCAAGGGCACACGGTTTTCGGCGTTGAGGACAACCTGGAATGTTATTGCGACACCACTCTTCACCCGATGGCGAATACCTCGTTGTCGGACCAAGCGTATTGTAACAGTCCCTGTTGCGGTGATGCTTCGGTATTGTGCGGAGGCGTTTGGTATATCGGTGTCTACCAAATTTCTTCTAGTGGCCGCGAGTTCACAACAAGAGACAGGATTGCTGTGGGCGTCAGCATCGGAGTCATGATGCTTCTAGCGGCCGTAATCCTCGGTTGGAAATACTACAACAGACGCAGTGTGAGCAAGTCTAGAAGCCTTCTTCCGCGCTTTGCATTCTGGACGTGCAGGAATAGCGAATTCAAAGGCAAATTCAAGCTGGCAGACCGCAGACCGTGGCGAAGATTGTCCGGCCGGTTCCAAAACCCTGTACGACATTGGCAAAACACAGTATGTTGGTAGCTTTTAATTGTTCGAGGACTTGCACTAATAAGAGTGTAGGGCAGTCACGACGAAGATTCACATTCAAATGTTACGAACGCCTTCAGGCAATGTGTGGCTTCCAACAGAGACTCACCAGTCATTGATGAGAAGCATCTACTACCGACCGACGATGCGGACCTCTTGATCAAGTAAGCAATATGTGCCCCTAAAATTCAGGCACAGTGCTAACGTGACTTATAGAGGACAGTGCGAAGATCTTCCAGAACTTCCAGGAGATAATCGGCAGCGCCAACCATACGAGGAGGTAATAAACCAGGTTGGCGGAAAAGTCGAGGTGATTCAATCCACCGAATGTGTGATGTGACTAATAGCTTTTGGCATAGGCTTTCAGCAAAGATATTCGAATAGCGATCGCAGGTGGACCGTATGCCCATGCGCGAGCGCTGCTAGATACTCAATGTCAAAGCGGGAACTGGATCTCTCGGCGACTTGTCGAACGCTTAGGCAAAACCAGCGAAATTTTGGGCGTCAATAATCCTCCAAGCCTAAAGGCCGTCAGCGGTCACAGCATAACACCCTATGGCATACTATCCCTTGACTGGAGGTGGAATGAAACAGGAAATAGAGTGCATCGATGCGATTTCTACGTCTTTCCTGAGTCAGACCATCTTGATATTATCTTTGGGGCCGAGTATATTGCAGCTGAGGACCTTGTCACCGTCCCTGTGTGCTCTTTCTCACCCCTGACGCAACATAGAAAGGATACCGACGGTAACTTCACCCTCAGCTCGCTTCCTAAAGAACCAACATTTTCTGACGGTCTGATTCTAGCTCAGGAGGCCGAGAAAGCCAAGGCAAAGCAGCAGCAAGAGAAGAAGAAGGCTGAGGTTGAAGCTCGAATAAAAGCATCTCGAAACAAGGAACAGTAGTAAAGCGGCCAGTCAAGTTAGTCGCGGGGCTAGTAGTAAGGCTAGTATATACGAAGCTGGTCGCTATTCAATAGACATGGCAAGCAATCGCAAGTGTTGGATGAAGCGTAGAGGGTATGGGTATTCTTGTGATATAGCACTCGATGTATGATACAGTCAAAGTTCTGCCGGTCTTTGTAGGAAGGCCTAGGGAGAAATTCACCGCGAGAGTCCTTATAACCCGACCCCAAGCATTTGCTTCCCATCGCTCCGCATCTTTTGTTAGGGCTTTGGTAGTCTGAACAATTCCGTGGTCGAGGATGCGATCGAATTTGTAAGCTTCGATCAAGAATCACTCGTAGCCAGTTGACCTGTACACTCTATTATTAGAGAAGAACTTGGGTCTCTCGAGAGCGCTCTTGGAACGTGAAAGCCCTGGTTCGAACATTGAGACTAACACCGTTTGGAGAACCCCTGAGCCATCTATCCCCTCGATGCTGTCCGCAAAACGATCGAACACAGATTCATTTCACCACGTCGTCTTTTATACCTCGTTCCTATAGCGAGGCTGGTCCATAAGCATTGGCTATTGAAGAGTATAGTCGACCCCTTGACTACTGCAGGCGTTATATCTTAAATACTTCGTATGTGATTAAGGAAAAATAAAGTTTTTTAAGCTCAGACGCTTCCCAACCTGACCGCGGAAACCCTCCGCCCTACACTCAATATGGTACAACAAGATTTAGACGCAGGGACAGTAGCAATTCTCGGGAGAGAGGCGGGCCGGTCTGAACAAGGGGCCCCTGGACACTTGGCACACTCGTAATATTAGCGGCATGATCTAATCGTAGCCGAATAAGAGATAGGGTCTGCAAAGATTCTGAAGACGATTTTGAAGAATTATTAAAGATTATTAAGTTCCAGCTAGCCTATTCGAGTTAACTTCCGCTAGGGTGTAAGAAGAAGATTACATAGCTACATGAGTGGTACGTGGATCGCGACTACTTTGACTTCTCTGATTATTTTGACGTTTTTTAGTCAAGGCCTACCCCTGCAATGCAACGACGCTAGTCTCTTACAGGGGCTATATTGGTCAATTGGCTTTTTGAAGTCTTCATGTGTGTTCTGAAGACTTCAGAACGCCCATGAAGCTGCAGCCAAGCAAATAGTATGAGGCCTATTAGTTACCTAATAGCTTAGGGTGAACTCGAAATCTAGCCGCATGTAGGCAAAATGTGGTCTTCAGAATCTTTGCAGACCCTATCTAAGGAGGAACATGTACTTCGGAACAAGTTCCTTAGTACGCGTGGAAAGTATTATGCTACGACCGCCTTATGAATATGGGTTTGCGTTTGCGTTGCTCGATCGTCCGATGGGACTATTCCTGGTTCCTTCGGTCGTAACAATCCTCGAGAATACTATAATAGACAATATCGTTACAAGATTGCCTCACCTCGTGTGAAAGAGCAGGGCGACGTCTCAATACTGTTGTCAATTGACAACCACGTATGTCGCCAGATACGTTCTAATGCAGGTGAGACAATTACATTGCCATGGGGCTACCAATCAGGATACAGCCCACGCTGCTGCTACAACATAAACCAGCTGTCAAGACCTTTTTCTTGCATCGAATCAATACCGTTGTCTTACGATGGAAGGTTATGCAAAATTGGCTTCCTTGATGGGAGCCAATCCTGAAGTGGCTATTCTTCGTCGGTTTGGAGCGATGAACGCTCAAAATCTACTATATTTTCAAGCGGAACTAGTAGCGTTGGAAGATGACCTTCGATATTATGCTGACCAAGACTCTGCATCGGATGACCTCGATCGAAAACTTTATTCAGAGTGCTGGGACTATCTCAGCAAATCGGACGATAAGAGTAGTGGTAGTGACGAAAGAGCCGGACAACAATGGCGGACAATGCTCAGGATACGTGAAAAACTGAAAGAGTATAGTTCGTCAAAGCCGATCCAACGAATCTATTGTTTCTCAATCTCGAATTTTGGAAGCAGTACTGAAACATCACAGACGAAGCGCTTCTGCACCAGACGGCGCTCGCAGGTCTTCAGAAGCCCAACCCCAGAGATCTCTCCTTTCTCCAGCAATGGATGGAATCTGTCTCAATGGGCAATGTGCGTCTGGTGGGCCAAGACAGTGATGTCTGGTCAAAGCCGGATAAATCAGACCTCATCGCTCTACAAGCTCGGCACGCCGACGATCCTCTTACGGCCTGGGTAACTAATACAGGGGTGCACTGGTGGCATCAGGTTGTTGGGAAATATCTGAGGGTACTGGTTTCCCTCCCACGCTGAAATAAAACGTCATTAATGATCCGAGCTTTTTGATGCTACTCTACATTGGAAAAAGCTTGGCTACTATCTTTACTTACTACGCCTTTACAGCAACCAGAAGCCACGAATTGGTCCGCCAATACAGTCTCCTACTCACAAACTGGGCTCTCCCGCCTCCCGTCCCTCGTCGGTGTAGTTCTAGCTTCTCTACTCTCCCGATCGCCTCCATCGTTGTCCTGTACACAATCAGCTCTGATCTAGTACGCTTGGTCGTGATTGGATTTTTCACGGCTGGCTTCTCAACTAGTCTGAAACTGGTGACAAATGCGAGACTAGTTGACGTGTTCACTGCTACTGCCGCGTAAGTACACATCTGTCCAAAGGGTGAAGAATATGAAGGCTGATGGAGTGGGTAGCTTCACTGCTGTTCAGGTGGTTTTTGTGGGAACGAATGGGAGTGCAGGTGGAAACAATCATTGAAAAGATGGAAAGGGACTCTCAGGACATAGGAGAAATGTGCGGAAGATTCAGGAAAAGCCAGCGACCTGATTGATGTCCTCCTTAGTCAATATATCGAGATAGATTGAATCGTAGAACAATTGCTCTAGCCTACACAATCAACCCGAAATTCCACGAGATATACTAAATCTTGTCAGACATGTAGATTCCGTGAACGGTCGCCGCATGATTCCTAAAACGCATCACACGGTTGAGCGTGACTGTCGCACATTCGGGAAGGGGGAAAGGGCAGGGTTCGCGGGGCCGAAAAGGGCGACGACGGTCGAAGTGCCGCTGCAACGAATATTTCAAATGTAGGTTGGTATGATCGAGGCAGTAAAGGCAATAGTCGGGTTTATATCTTACAGGAAAGAGACAGAGAATCGAGGAGTCCGACTCAAAGTCGGACTTAACGGTATTCAAGGGACGTCCTGCGTTATTCACAAGGACGGCAGAAGAGGAAATAGACAGCTAGGGGAGCGAGCAAGGTCTACCAGGACTAGGGGAGGGCGATTTAAAAAAGGATGAATTCGAGGGCAAAAGTACACAAGAAGAGAAAGGATGGAAGAAGAGTTTGAGAGTCGTAAGAAAGATAAGAGGAATAAATTTGAGAGAGCGACCTTGGTAATTGAGTGTCTTTCCTATTGTCGCCGCTTCTCCATGAAGGCTCTGCGTATGAACTTTAACCAGACCATCAACTTATGTAGTATCGTAACGAACCGCCCACACGTAACAATTTCTGATAAGAATGCCAACCAGACAGCAATTTCCTCACCTTCAAGAAGGCGCAGTCACCCAGGATCATTCAGACTCGCGTGACGGTCACCCGCGTAGGGGGTGAGGTTGCGGGCAGATTTCGTAGTCTTGGCACCCGTTATCGATAAGCATACAATTAGGGCCGATGCCAAGACATCACCATCCACCGCCTTGGAATGGGAGAAACTTTTTTGGAGTGCGATACATAGCCATCCGGATGGCTCCTGTCCAACCTCGTACCGCCGAATCATTCACCTACCCCCAGTCCTACTCCTTCCCACCATTCTTCACCCTCCAACCCAACCTCCAAACCCGCCTCTCCCAACTCCGCAAATGGTCCCGCCTAATCCAGCGGTACTGCCGGCATCACCACGTCTTCAAGCTTTCTCTGGTCGCTGCCCTCGACACACCCTTGTTCAAGAACGCAGAACTGAGGAAGAGGTTGAGCGTGAACGATGCGTTGCAAGTGGTGGATTGGATGACGAGGGATGAGGGTGGTAGGAGGGCGGAGTGGATCGATGGAGGGGTAGAGGCGAAGGGGGGAACGACGTGGGTGTATTGGAAGAGGCCTGAGGAGTGGGCGGAGGTGATTGTTGGGTGGGTGGAGGACACTGGGCAGAAGAATACCGTGCTCACGCTTTATGAGTTGATGAACGGGGAGATGACTGTGGGACAGGGTATAGTACCTCGCGAGAAAAGGTCGAAGTCGAATGCTCACGGAATGCTAGATTTTCACGGCATGGACGCCGAACTGTTCCACAGATCGCTGGCCGTGTTGGTCAAACGGGGCAAAGCGCAGGTATTTGGAAGTGAAGATCAACAGGGAGTCAAATTTTTCTGAAGGATGCCTGCATTGAGTGCTGCTCTTGCAGCCTGAACGTTACCATCACCGAACACTTTCCCACGAAGCCGGGTCTGATATACAGACGTTCAATCGCCACCCATCTCTCTCGACATGCGAATAAAAAAGGACTTGTGCTGTCACAAACGCTCCGCTCAGTCGTCCAAATGCCCCCCATACGCTCAAGCCGTAAGTGTGATATCCTTTTCAGTCAAATTATAAGAGTCACGCCATTGGTGCTTTTGCGACAGCGCAAGGTCCACTATCCAGTCGTGGCGGACAACGAGAGGGTTCTTGCCCATTCCGTCGATCATTTGCCGGAATTTCGGCCACAATTTCGCCTCTTCTGGAGTAGTACCACTGATAAGGTACACGTATCCGGGCGAACTAGCCTCGAAGTCCTCACCCTCTTCGTCCAGACCTGCTCGCAGCGTTGCCGTGAATCCAGCGCGAGCACGATACATGAGGCACTTGCCACCATTCACCTCCGCGATGGACTTGTATGTCTCAAAGCCGCCGTGAATGAGCTCGGTACAATAAATCGAGTACCCTCGAAGGAGCTGACCTTTGTTGCTCTTTGCTCGAACGAGGGAATCGCTGAGCTTGTAGCCCATTCGCTTTTCGCTCTCGGTGTCTTGCAGCAGATAATTCTCTGGCTCAAGGCGCTTGTTTTGTGAGAGGCAATCGTTTACAAAGTCGGTAGATAGGATAATGGGAGCGTGTGCCAGCGCGCAGATGAACTTTTGTGTGCGGAGGATATGAGGAGAAGCAAGATGAGTGCAACTGGCGACATCAGGGACGATCAGTATTCCCATCGCTCGAAGTCGTGCCTGAGTCATGTCAGTAATGCTCATAGCTGGTGAGCTGACCATTGTACTTACGCGCTCTTCGCCTTCCTTTTTGGCAGCACTTACCCACCCCTTGTATCCAGAGAGCGCCAAACGCATCGATGGAGGAGCAAGCCCCTTTGACTTCTTAGCCCTCTTCGTCGCCCTGGTCTCTTCATCTGCTCCTGTATCGGTATCTTCGTCTTTCGATACCGATCGCTTCCTGTTGACTTCGGGTACCAAATCTTCGCTTGACTTGCGACCTCCATGGGTAACCCCACCAACTCTCTTTCTCTCTTTTTGGAAAAGTGCGATATCAGGAGCGAGATCGTGCAACTTTGCGACTGCCTTGTCCTTTGCACTGCGACTGCCTGTGGTAGAAGGTGTCTCGTTCTCTTTACCCTGGCCGATGAATCGTGAAGAGGCTGGTGTTCGAACTGCGTTGCCCTCTGTATGTCTCCTATTCTCTTTCGAAGCCTTGGGGGTATGGCCATCAGATTGAAGAGCACGGAAAGGTACTTCTTGACTCCCCGCAGAACGCGATGGTTGGGGTTTCATGGCATTCGTACTCCTTGAAGATGTAGCGTTAGGAGGTTTCACAGACATTGGCCTCGGCACATCGTCACTCTCAGCAGAGGGATCAACGTCGGACCCAAGAGGGAAGAACATTTTTTCAACTGCCTGTTTGTCAATTGGCGTCTGCCCAACAACTTCGCCTAAGTTGGTACGGGTCGGAAAATGGTTGTAGCGCGGATCAGAGACGGTCTGTATCTGCCATTTGGCGTAGCTCTCTTCAAGCCAAAGGTGATTGACCATGTGAATGTTCCACTCCTTTGCCGCGTCGCATTTTTCACTAACCATATGAGCAGTAATTAGATGGGTGTTGTCCTCCTTCATAGTCTTGGTAAATTCTCCTCCTGCCGCTTTGGCAAGATTTTCCAAGTACACACGAGCCTCACCATTGTAATTCGAGAGACTGATACGAAATATACTGAAGCCAGGAAGACCCTGGCGAGCAACCGGATAGTGTAACAGCCGTCGCAAAGGAGAAGTCCATGCGTTGTGAGTGATAAGGTAATAGAGCCAAGCCAAGTTTCCGACGTCCTTCCCGGCCCTGGAGGCTATCCGGTAGTCAAGCGACTCTCGGTAATGACAGATGAAGATGTCGGCTTTGTATACGCTGCCAGTCACCATCCCTCCACCGTTTAAGATCAGATCTTCAATAGTGCCCAAAAGATGACTCCCCAATTCGAGATCCCGAGAGAGCATGACCTTCTTACCCTTGAAGACCGTGAGTTGGCGATGATTCGCGCTGGGTGAGCTGGAAGGCGTGGGCAGCCGATCAGGTTTAGGAGATGATGCACCTAGCATGTCTTGTCGTCCGGCCTCGGGTATACGATCTTCAGGGCGTTTGCGTAGGATCTCGGGATCCGGCAGGCAATAGGGCGCTTCATCAATTCGTTTGCCTAGTTTGAGGCAGTCGTCGAACCTAGCAAGAGTCAGAGCTTGTAATCGTCGCAGACTGTCGACGAAAGGCTTATTACCAGTGTGGCAAAACAAATTTACACTTGACGTTCCTGCTGATGGCCGTTTTGCACTTGTCCGAGTCCATAGTCAGGGCTACAATGTGGGTGACCATCTTCGATATTGAACTAGAGTACAGTCCACCCATGGCGAGAACGCCTCCGATGATAGCATCTGAATCTCCACTTGGTAGATCGACGCAACAAACGACCAGACCGGAGAAGAACAGCCTAGGATCTGGGCTGTATTGTCGAGGATTTGCAAGTCTGCCTTTAGCAATCGAGGCTTTCACCCAATCTGGCTTGACCACAGACTTCAGCGCATCGTTGGCTGCTCCGTACTCAGGGAAATCCGTTGTGGTTGAGATGATGTGCGTGATGTCTTGCAAAGGAATCGGGTCCGCGATTGCTGTCCTGGTTATCTCTTCGGCCCCATTGTCTTCCAGTAACTTGGCAAGCTGAAGGCTTGTGTCAGCATCATTTCTTCACTCTCATCTGTGTGTTGTAACACGCACCTCGCGTGCGCTGTCTCCTCGAAGATCCACGGTTTGCACGATGTAGAATTGGACTTGTGCGAATAAAGATTTGCTTTCTGCACCGTCCAGATCCATAGCGGCTACTTTCGACAGATCTAAAGGTGGTCTCTAAAGCCAACAAGCTCTTTTTTTATGAACAATATGAAAAAATGTGGCGGGCGCCTTAGAGATGGGGGCTTTGCGCAAATGTTGACTGAAGTCGCGTCGGCAAAACCGTTATCGATTGACGCGCCAAGCTTTTGCCACACGTGACCACCTTTAGCGGGGTTTGTTTCGGGCAGATCGTGATGACTGACGAGCATTTGGAATTGGGGCTGCTGACGGCGCATATTGGTCCACACATCGTCACCGCCTTCTCATCTGATATTGTACATATGGGAACACCGAGTTCATGCGGAGAGGAGTCCTCAATGCTTTCTAATCATGGCTTGACTTGATATGATTATTGAATCGTCTGTGCTGCCTGCTTGGTGGCCGAGCAGCTAGGCATTGCAAGGGGCCATTAATGATTGATTGCTGTATATATCTTCGAGACTTTCCCTGTTCAAATAAAAAATTTGTTCGCTCTTTCTACAGGGAAACTGCCCTTACACAATTGTACATAACTCGCAGCTCCCACCATGTCTCCTTCAATGTTCAGAGTGCAAGAGCATACTATTCCTTGCCAATATGTTCGAGAATACCCTGGAGCAACATTGGAAAATGAAGAAGATGATCTTGTCCTCCACGTCAAGCAATATACTCCCTTGGACCAGTCTTACACCCAAGCTGGTGCTATCACCATCATTGGTACTCATGCCAATGGCTTTCCGAAGGAGTTGTACGAGCCTCTGTGGGACGACTTATCTCAGGCTTTGAGGAAGCAAGGACAGACCATCAGAGGCATATGGATTGCAGATGTTGCTCAGCAAGGGATGAGTGGGGTTTTAAATGAAGACAAGCTTGGCAACGATCCTTCTTGGAATGATCATTCTCGCGACCTGCTGCACATGATCAACCACTTCCGCAAGGAAATGTCACGTCCTTTGGTAGGCGTAGGCCACAGCATGGGCGGGAATCAATTGGTCAATCTGGCCTATCTACACCCACGGCTCCTGACATCTCTTGTTCTCATTGATCCCGTTATCCAGACCGTTTCTGCTGCAGCTCCGGACAAATCACGTTTGTCGCATACCCAAGCATCAACATTCCGCCGCGATGACTGGCCTTCTCGTGTGGAAGCCGCATCATCGGTCAAGAAAAGCAAGTTCTATCAGTCGTGGGACCCTCGGGTTCTAGACCTATGGATCAAATATGGCTTGCGAAGCCTGCCAACAGCTATTTACCCCGACCGCTCAGAAAACGATGATGACCCTGTGACCTTGACTACTACCAAGCATCAGGAGGTCTTTACCTTCTTGCGTCCGAATTTTGACGGCTTGGACGCAAATGGCAAGCTGATTGTCAATCGCCGCACGCATCCAGATCTGGATCTGAGAGCCGGAGACACGTACCCATTCTACCGGCCTGAGCCACCTGCAGTTTTCAACGACCTCCCGCGCCTAAGGCCTAGCGCTCTGTACATCTTTGGTGGGCAGTCTGATTTATCCACACCTGACTTGCGGAAGCAGAAGGTGGAGCGTACGGGTACCGGCGTAGGAGGTAGCGGCGGTGCTGAAGCAGACAGAGTCAAAGAAGTGGTGCTCGAAGACGTGGGGCATCTTGTTCCCATGGAAGCCGTCGCAAGATGTGCTGCTGCCGCCGGAACATGGCTGGCGAGCGATTTGAAGCGTTGGAGGAGCGAGGAAGCAGATTTCAAGCGGGAATGGGAGGCAAAGGAGAGAAAGGCGAAATGCACAATCAGTGAAGAGTGGAAGAAGAATATTGGTGGTGATCCGAGGAGAAAGTCGGAAAAGCTCTGAAGAGCCTTGTACGAGAATATGAAAAGAGTCATGCAGAGAGAGAATTTCAAGCATTCTATCTCCCAAGAGGCAGGTTGTCAGAAGAAGCGGCAGTCTTCAGAGCTCTCGTCTTTTCAAACTCGCACACTGGTGAGTTACCGTTTAGTCTATATTCACTTCTATTGGTTGTAAAGATACCCTGTTTTCGAACTCTGAATCATGGCTGCAATCTAACAGATGTGCAATGCTGCTATTGCCCATTGCCCGAGCTACAAACTCCTTCAACGCAGACAACAAATATCCAGCATTCTTCAAGACCGATGACTCGCTGCCCTTAAGATCTCTATTCCATACAAATGCTCCAATCAGCGAGTAGGATCGAAATCCGTACCGCAACCTTGGCGTAAGAGATACTCGTGGCCTGTCGTTTGAGGCACATCTGCTGTGCCGATTGTGTATGCTGTCCACCCTTGATGGTCTTCTATGGACAGATCTGCGCCATACTATGAAAGGAGACGACCGACTTCGACTTTGGAATGCTCGTGGGTTTGAGGGTACCACATCAATTTGTGGAAATGTGTACTTGGGACAAGTAAGAATCTTTGTAACACATGATGAATCCCATAAGGAATGCGATTCTTCTTACTGGAAATATTGGTGATCGACTGCATCAACTGACGCTCCCCGCTCCAAGAGCAGCGAACAGACGTCTCGGGTTTTGTCCGGAGACATCATTTCAGCACGTCCAGCCGACTGCTTTACTCAATAGGTCTCTTTCCGGAAAGCGTTGTGGAGTGGTCTGTCATGAGAACGTTGACAGCACAGCCAACGGAGGTTCCGAATACAAGAGCCAGCTGACTTTGACATGGCTGCATCGGAAGGACAACCTGACTCACAGGTCGATTGTGATCAAACTATCATGTCGAAGAGACGGCCTGGGGTGACTATCGCGAATGCTGTGGTAAGCAATGTCATAAAAGCTATACGGAAGGCTGAGGCTCTAAATCTGTGACAGGGATGGCAAGTTCAGAACCACGATGGCTTTGTCAAGTCTTACATTTCGACTATGCGCTATGGCCCTTTCAGTGAGCAATGTGAGACTTGGCGGCGTATTAGCCAATGGTCTAGTATGCTACGATGTGTCATCTTAGGCGACAGTGACCCTGTCATCATCTCCGACGAGTTCACTGATGATGTCAAAAGCATCTTGGGACCTGCCCAAGTGAATTTCTTGATTTGCGGCGCAGGACATGATCTGCCTATTACCAAAAGCAGAGAAATCTTAAGGCATCTCGTGGAATTTTGGGATGTGAGATCAAAATCCGATATTGATCGTTCAGCAACGTAGAAGCCCAATAAACAGACGCAATAGCACCTATCCGTGGAATCCATCACTAATTGACGGGGTCTTCAACGTCGTCGTTGTGATATCTGTCATCTAAGACGATAAGAGACCTTCTAATCTTCTCCCGATAACTGGAACCCTGCGGTAGAAGTTTTTATGTAGATTACAGGCCAGTCTTGGGTTTACACACTCACCTGGTTCCACACATTTCTGGATACTTATGGAAACAACCGCTTGGGATTACGATGGTCTATGTCTATCTGCTATAATCCAAATTTCGTCAAGTTTTTTTCTTGGAAAGATCATGTCGAGCGCTACCATTCGCGCTCTTCGTCTGAACAACTTCTGGCAGAGACCAAAACCTCGGCCACGACAAGTCGTACTCATCCTGCCGTCCGTTCAAGCAATGCCTCAGCCAGATACCCCAAGTGATGTAGAAGTAGGCGCCGGTGCCGGTCATAAGATGCCTACAATCATGCGTTAGCAAACTGCTCTATTCAGCAAATCAGTGCTGATACGTACCACCACCCATGACCCTCCAAAAGGACCCCCCACGGCAGCCCAATGTGCCTTCGCCACACCCTCAGCTTCGAGCAATACACATTATCCAAACTCCAGATGAAGAAACCCCCAAGGAATGTCGTAAGACCAAAACCAATCATGAGCCACATCGTGCCCAGGATCTTTCTATCCCTCCTGTCCTCCCCTTGACTGACTAGCTTTTCATCGGCTGTCATACTCCTTTTGTGCAACAACTTGTACTCGCTCTCACTCTGCTTCAACCTCGGCCGCAAGTTCAATTCCATTACATACATGCTGCGCGTAAGGACGACAGCGGTGAGTATTGCGTAGGCATTCTGGTGGAAGGCGGGATCTTGAAGGTAGTGGTAATAGAGCGTGATGAAGATGGCGAGCGAGAGTAGGAAGAGCGCCAAGCAGAGCGAGAAGAGGCGGGAGCGCGAGTATGAGAAGGTCGCGTAACACATGAGGCAGGTGGTGTATATCATAGAGAGCTCGTCGACGAGCTGCATGGGATATTTGAGCGTTGCGTGAAAGAGGAAGCTGCCGGTCCCGACGAGTAGATAGCCAATGAAGCTGACAAGAAAGATGGTGTCATGGCCATGGTTGCGGCAGGATTGAATACCCCGATAGGCAAAAAAGACGAAGAGGAGGTTCGTGAGGGTATTAACTATCTCGGCGGCATATGGGGTCGCGTAGTAGTCCTTGTGGAGCTGTCAGTGGGGCCAATTGGAATCATTTTGGTGGAGTTTGCAGACTTCTTCGCACCAATTGATGGTGGAGGTGACTGGGTCCCAATAGCCACCAGCTGGGTTACCATATGCGATGGAAGGGAGCCAGGAAGACATCTTGAAGGTCTTAGCTGCTGATGCCACAGCAACGTAAGGTAGATCTTAGATGTTGACAAATGACCACGATTCCAAAATATTACGGTACTTATTACTTGAGGTAGATGCCGAATGGTACGCTAAGGGGTATACCCGGCGCTTGCCGATCCTCTAACCAAACTTATGTGCAACTCAGATTCTCGGTCAGCGAGACGCCAATTGAGATTTCCTCCAAAATATAAGCAGTTCACCAAGGTCTCCGGCCATTTCGAGTCTACTTTGTCCTGATTCGGCCGGTATTGGTCGTACAAGATGTCAATCCCCAATCAAGCTCTACAGAAGGTTCACCATATCCTTTCACTATTTCTCCCTGGCCCAGCTGATGTTGACACAGCTTGTTCAAGAAATCGAATCCCAAGCTCTCTCAGCACAGCGAGACATCAACATTGTCAAGACGGCCGTAGCAGCCAAGCAAAGAGACATCCGGATGCTGGAGCTTACCTCCACTGAGGTCAAGCAATTATCAAAGGACACAAAAGTCTACCAGGGAGTAGGAAAGATGTGCGACGTGCTCTCAATCTCTTCAGTCACTCTATGCTAATGTTCCTTCCTTCCTTCTTTCAGGTTCGTGTTCATGCCTACGTCCGACGTAGAGAAGCGGTTATTATCAGAAACAGCGGAGCTAAAGTCGAACATCTCGAATCTCAACAAAAAGCTGCACTCTCTGGAGCTTACGCACAAGAACAGTCGGGAGCATATCGAGAAGATGATTCAGTCAGGAGGGAGATGATACATTCGCCCCCCACAGTTAAAACTTCATTACGACGGAGGACTGCTCTACCTCTGATACAATGATCTGCTCAAGGGCACTGCATAGAAGCTTTGACGTCCAAGTATACCACGCGTCTACCCCAGTGCACGCAGTTTGGATCCTTTCGGATGCTCTTTCCAAGTTACACAAGCATAGTGACTACAATCAAGGGAATTGGGCCTTCCAAGTTTGTCAATGTTCAGCATCTCAGTTGTCGGGCTGAACATCGAGCGTCACAGCACAGCCGTATTCCCGTGTTTCAGAAGAGAATCGGGGTCTTCGGCCAATAATCCATGGGATGGCTATGGTTACTCATCGATGGACTTTGCACTTATAACACCCTCCTTGCCGCCAAGACTGCCAAGGTGACAAAATCCTGCTCGGGCCTCACCCCTCTTCCAGCGTAAGGTGAGCGCTGCTTTACGCTCTTGCGGCGCGGGCGACGGTCTCGCGAGCTTGGGTGATCCTGAATGCCATCTCGATCAAATCAAAAAACAAATGGCCTCGGCTGCAAGAAAGCAGGATACAATAGTCACGAGCAAAGATATATTTCTCAACGGCGCGGGCACGGTTAGCGGTGCTCTGTCGCTCATCCATAAGGAGGTCTGCGCATCGTATGTGGAGCAGAATGACCTCTTCGCTCGCAGTAATATCACCAACAGGATCGGCGCATGCAACTTAAGGTACCTGGGTACCCCAGCCTAGTTTCCAGCTCCAAACACGCTACATACTTACATGCTAGTCATTGGTCAGACACGTAGAAGAATCCATACGTGACTGCCGAGCATGTCTACTGATGTCGCTGTCAAATCTCGCAGCTCGAACTCTCTTAATATGCCTCCCTTGCTTCGTAAATCGTCGTGAGCTTCGGTCGAAGCTTCTTCTGATTACTCTGCGTGCTCGATCCTGCGAAGGCGCGTTCGTATCAAACCCAGACTGCAGGTAACGACTATTGAATCAACATGGTCTCTTGCTTGACCGTCGATACCCCGACCCCAAGTACCTACTGGAGTGGCAGCGCCCTGCTATTTGACGCGGACTCCAGAAACGTGCGGACGTACTTCACGACTGCCTTCACGATAGTCAATACCCTTCTTCCGTTCGTTGGGTCATTTGTCATTAAGAGGATCAATCAAAGAGCCATCCTAAAGGGCGCTGCTGTAAACAATAATGGCGTGCCTCTTAACCACTTGTCACCGTGGCTGTCCCTTACGTCCACTGTATTGAATTGGTTTAGAACGCGCCGATTCCCTGGCGGCCCCTTTGGCGTCGTGATGCTCTTTTCTGGGTTGATAAGCGTACTTTCCAGCTTCATTGTCAGCTACTTCGTCTTTGACTACACCTTGGCTGGGCACTGTCCTTTTGGTAAAGGAGTGGTTGTCAGTCAGGCAAATGCGGTCGTTTGGCCAGAGAAGACGCCGTTACCAGACTATTTTTACCCGACGCCCTTGTGGCCCGGTTCTACCATATCTGTCTCCTCTCAGATGATCAGCTACTTCAGCCGGCCGCGAGTGGGTCTAACGCTTACAATTGGAATCTCGCAGATTGCTAACAATGGTCTGGACTTCTACGCTCGGGATGAAGACATTCTAGGCGGCTGGCAATGCAACCGAGATCCTAGCCTTGCTGGGAAGCTCGCCTTTACCAACAACCTCACTCGTCCAAATCAGGGACTGCTGTAATCCCAGCTGGTTGATCGGGACTTGCTCTATACGAACACAATACTAGCTGACCAAGGCGCCCTCATCCAGCCTGGGTACTCGGATGGTCTGAATGCTTTCGCGAACTTGGTGGGATTGAGCTCCAGCCTAGGGTCTACTTGGGACGTCAAGGCAGTCATGATCTCAAATCTGTCCGGAGACTCGGATACCACTCAATTCTCGTTTACAGATCTGCACTGCAATTTGGTTGCAAGCCCGCAGATCCCTTCGAGCTACGCACACCAGGACCATGCACCTTTTCCTTTCCATCACTGACAGATCGAATTAGTAATACAACTCTTGAACTGATCCTCTCGAATACCGACGCCAGCGCTGTGCTCACTAACTGGGGCCCGCTGATCCTTGGTGCTATCATGGTAATCTCCCAAGGCAATGCTACTGGATACATGCAAATGCTCGAACTCACCTGAATGCGATGATTATGTCTTGGGGATCCAATGATAATGGCGATCACACTGCCTCAGTCTCCGGATGCGTACTTTCTCGTGCGGCTACCAACATTGGTGTTTGGCTTATCCTTGCCATCGAAATCATACTGCTGCTCATCCTTGGTGTCCTCGATCTGGTGACCTTGTTGGCACTGACGAGAAACAAAAACATATACGAAAAGATCAAAGACACGCCTAGTGACTTGGTGGACTGGCAGGTAGCCTTCTTTAGACATTTGAAGAAAGACAAGGAGGCAAAATTCGAGGCAAAGGACCTGAGGGCATATTCCTATGGCTGGGACGACGGACATGAAATGCTTGTTTTGAAGGAAACTTATGGTCGAGGGTCAGCGAAAAGGATGCAGAAATACAAAGCGGGTCCAGACCGGGATGACGATCTGGAGATGGAGGAGCACTTGAGTGGGGAAGAGCTAGGTTTAGTAGGCAAGTCAGTGGAAGGGCATATCGATACGTAGTACCATTCAAGCTAAGACTGCGAACGCGTAACGCTAAAGTATCGGTTCTATAAGGAGTATCGATTCTATATATCTAGGCTCTATGACTTACCAAATCCATATCTTTTGTTTCCTAATGCGTAAGCTTGTCTGACCTGGCAGGCTCTTACACAACTCTGATATGGAAGTTGGATACCTGGCGGCCTATGGAAATGAATAGATCCTGGCCGCCCCCCCGGTCTTTGTTCCGTCCCTCGGCAACCCTCTTTGGAGATGCTATATATCTAGGCTGCGCGAGAGCGTCCGTATTTCCATCCGTTCAACCATGGGGGATTGGATGAGTCGGTGGGTGAGTGAAGAGCGCGCATCACCCCTGGTTACCTACCGTAGCGCGCTCGCTAAAGCGGCAGGCGAGCCTCGAGTTGAGTGGGGGGCAGACCTTCAGCTGCGCAGCCTACAAGGTGCGGTACGGGCTGCTATGACTTGCCACTCCTCCACCTTCGAAATGCGCAACAACCGTTGCTGCTGATTGCTATACATCATGCTTGCTCTTGCTGGTACCCACAAGCCCTTGGGCAGTCGTTGGCTCCTTCCTCCAAGCAGACTATCCCCCAGCGCTGTGCGCCTTGCGGCTTGTAGACCCGTATGCATTCCCATCATCGATCATAGATAGACCTTGGCTTACATTTATAGATCCTCGCCTATCAACCTCTTTCCTCCGCGTTTTCAACCACATCAGCGTCTCTTCTATGGCCTTTCGGCAGATGGATGAGTTCTGCGAGTAGCGGAGATTCCTCCGGCGAGGGCAACCGCAATTGCACCAACACTACTGGCGATGGCAATCGGAACTGCACAAATTGTACAAACTGCTACAACTGTCGCAATTGCACCAATCGTACAAAATGTTCCGGGTGTAGGAACTGTACCAATTGCACCGACTGCGTCGACTGCCGCAACTGTACCGACGGGAATGGATTGAGAAATGCAAGAAATTCGACTTCGTGAGGTGCAGAGGCGCTACTCAGACAGGACTGTACATTGGATTTCGAAGTCGCACAGGAATATTAAATGATGCACGTAAGAGCTGCTGGGCTTGCCTTCGTGGAGGAGCCGCCATAAAGACCATCCAGGCGAATATCTTCACACCGACCAGGATTGACAATTGTCGGCAGAACAAGATATCTCACTGACTTGTTGAACCCTCAAATTTTCAGTGATGTAAATCCTCCTCCGATAACTCAGAGGCCGTCAGAGCTTTCCCCGGAAACCCTAAAGTAGGCGAAATGTGGGGTCACTAGCGCGCGAACCCCTTCGATCGTGATCACGAGACAAACCCCGCTCCAACTTCTATGCCTCCCTCCCTATCACTGTCCCGTACCGGATCGTCTTCTCTCATCCATCAACTAGGTCCAGCATCTGCAAGTCTTCAATCGAATCTCATCCATCAAAGAAACATCTAACTCGTGCTTCACTCCCATCAACGAACATGTCAGTCGATGCAGCACCCTCGGACCTTACCAAGGTCGACTCGGCCATCTCTGGCTTGTCATCATCTCCTCCTGACGATAAGGCACCAGTAAAGGGACACCGGAGAGCGAGCTCGAGTGCAGCTGGAGTGTACAACATTGCTGACTTGGGTAAGTCAAGCAGAGGAAGCTGTTATTGGAACAGTAGCAATGGATGTGCGGCTGACGTATGGATAGAAAAGGAAGGCAAGGAGCTGCTAATAGCAAAGGAGACGCAGAAGCTGAACTGGTAAGCCACGTCAACACCCAAGAGAAAGACCTGACGCCGTAACTCCGTCACCGTCATTGTCATTGTCATCGTGTGGATTGCACGAATAGATGCTGACATTCCGGATCAGGCGGCTCAACACATCACCAGCCACGCTGGATGAGAAAGAGGTTCTCAAGAAGTTCCTTACCGAACCTCCGGTCAAGAAGATCGATCTCCACTTCCCGTTAGGGCTTGAGGTCACTGCGCGGAACCTGAAGGGTGTGACCATCAAGGATGCATTAGATGCAATCCACAAGCAGTTCAAGAAGAAGGTATGGTTACATTTTGCTTCTTTGTACGAATCAATTGAGGAGATTGTGACGCTGATGATCTTGACCGTGCAGGCCGACGACGAGATGGAACTCCCTGTCCTTGCGGGCTTCGAATGGGACAAAGAAGAGTCGTGGACAAGGCTGATCGTTCATCAGAAGAAGGAAGGCCAGGCATCCCATGTCGGCAAGAAGAAGGGCAAGAAGGGAAAAGAGGACGACGAATAGAACGTCATACACCAATCCCGCTCACCGAGTTGGCTCAAAGCCATAGACCGGGATGCAAACTATGAGGCGCAATGGAGGGTGAGGATGGGAATTGTATCAACAGCTGAGTTGCAGCAGGAAATCGGCACAGAGACAGTGGCAACTGCATCCAGGTATTCAGGTACTTTAGCTGCATCAATGACATGTCTCTGCTCTGCTTGCTCCTCTTTAAGTCAAAATCAAAATTAGGAGCAAGGCTTTAGTAGCAATATAACAGTCCTGAGATCGTTGATGTTTTGTTGAAAGGGGGGGGGGGAAGAATAGGTGGGGTAATTGCAAAATCAATGTGTGGGAAATTCCCAAAAGCGGCTATCAATGTTTCTGCTAAGCGCGGCTGCAGCCCTAAAGCCCTATCAAAGAACCAATTCCCGCCTTCTTCATTCGCCAACGAGGCCGGTGAATTGGTCCCATCCGTCCCCACCAATTCCTCACCAGTATGGAAGAACGAGCCTCGATCCGTCCTGGGCTACCACTCCCAAATCCTACCGTATCATACTGGCAAGATCCTCCCTCTAGTCTTTCCAATAACAGAACCACGCCCGAACTTCCCACAACCGTAGACACTCTCATCATCGGCTCTGGCATTACTGGCACCACGCTCGCCTACAGGATCCTCAGTCAACCTTCTCCACCCTCTGTCCTCGTGCTCGAAGCCCGTACCGCATGCTCAGGCGCAACGGGACGAAATGGCGGGCACACGAAGTGTGTCGCCTATCGTGAGATCTTGGATAATATCAAAGATCTGGGGGAAGAAGAGGCTGTTAAGATAGCGAGGTTTGGATACAATTGCATGAGGAACGTACATGCTTTTGCTAGAGAGCATGGTATCGCGTGTGACAGTTGGCAAGGGGACACCGTCGATGTGATCTATGATCAGGCCCAGTGGAATAAGGCTCAAAAGGCTGTGGCAGAGCTCAATAGAGTGCTTGGTGACGATGACCCAGTCGCGCAGTATAAATTTTGGGACGCTGAAGAGGCTGAGAAAAAGTTCCTGGCACAAGGCTGTCTGGGCGCAGTCTCTTACGAAGCTGGAAGTTTGAGTGCATACAAGTTTGTCATTGGCATCTTGGCTCTAGCCCTGGAGAAGGGTCTGAACTTGCAGACGGAAACGCCTGCATTGAGGATTAGAAAGTGCGAGAGTGGCCACAGGGGATGGATTGTAGAAACACCACGCGGTGCCATTGAAGCGGAGAGAGTGGTTCTGGCAACGAATGGATACGCAGCACATCTGCATCCACCACTTCAAGGCGTGATTGTGCCACTGAGAGGGCACATGACCGCTCAGCGACCTGGGTCAGGTCTACCAAAAGACGGTCTGGCAACGACATATTCGTTTATCTATGACGATGGATACGAATACATGATACCACGTCCACAAGGTTCAATGTTCGCAGGCAACATTATGATTGGTGGCGGTGCCACGAAAGGGCGAGACGAGGGCATTTGCGAGTTCGGAACCACAGATGACACCACAACTGATGCTGTCATACTCAAATATGTCGAAGACAGCGCAGCTGAGCGATTCGGCTCCAACTGGGGCCATGACCATCCGGAAGGCCGTCTGCGCAGAGCCTGGACGGGAATAATGGGTTACTCCTCAGACGGATTTCCCCTCATTGGACAGTTGCCTGACGAGAACGACCTGTACATCGCTGCATCTTTTCAAGGATCAGGAATGGTGTTATGCTTTGAATCTGCAAGAGCCCTATTTGAAATTATGAGCCAAGAAGACGAAGCGCTGGACCAGTGGTTCCCAAAAGTGTTTCGTATTACACGTGAGAGGATGCTGCGCAAGTTTCGAGGGAGACTCCACGCGAAAGTCCCTCCAATGGATCTTGAGATGAAGAGTCAACCATGATTTTCAACATCAAGACGTCTTAGAACGCCCTCCTATTTGGAACTCAGGCTTTTGTCAAAACAGAAACTACCGGCCAAGAGCGACAGCATTCAATACTTCTCGGGATTTCCGACTACTTGTTTGAACTATCCATGCGGAAGGCTTGGGAAAGAGGGCATTGTCCTGGTAGAATCTACAAGACTGAGTCGACATTATCATGTAACACTGATTATTACTACTCTAAATACGAGACACATCTCGGTGCTAGAACAAATTTTTGAGCCTTTCGAGGACATTCTCTGGCTGCGGGTACCGGCAGGTGGCAAGAGCGCCGATCTTAGGTCGTGCAGAAAAGGTGTGGTGGCATGGCCAATCCGTTGGGACGTCTCGGACTCGAACCACACACCGAGGCAAGTAAGGTCATGTCCAATCCCGGTCTCTTGAGTAGCATTGACCAGGCTGGCAAAAGGGCATCCACAGACCTATTAGGCAGCATGTCGAAGACAACTAGAATGTGGACGAGACCAGTGCCAAAGGCATGATGACTAACAAGTTTGGTGTACTGAAATGAAATCAAATGTTAAGCAGATAATAAAATCAGGCATCGATCTCCAACAGAAGCGTTGAACAGGTGTGACACCGCCCATCGAGTAACACAGAGAGGCTGAGCAAGAGTCCTAGGCGCCAATGAGCTGCATATCGAGTCGAGTACCGCGAGGCTGGCACGGTGTCTGATTTGCTCTGCAACTCACAGGAGTACTGGACAATGCAGCAGAACCGCGGCCATTCTCTGATGAACGCAAAGGTTTCCAGGAAAGAGCAAGCCTAGACGCTCTTTAAAAGCTAGGTCGACTTTGATTGGATCAGATTGGATCAGCTGCCTCGTGAAATCTTCCTGTTGTTTTCATGCAGGACCTAAATCTTTCGGACGAAAGCCGATGGTGATGAAACCCCTCTCCCCAAGATGCTCTGTTTACACTTTTACGTCGTCAAGTCTGGCGACTTAATCGCATTTGAAAACTAATTCGCTGAATTGACAGAAAAACAAGGCTCCACTTCGAGTCCTTTTGTCCGAGCCCTAGCTGTTGTAACTCATAGGAGAGCTCACTGTTAAATGAAGAACCAGAAGTATCGGTTGTAACGGCCTTCTCGGTGGGCGTTTGGGTATCTTTACCGCAATTGGTTGGACATAGCTTCCCTTTTTCTGTTGGCATATATTTTTAGAAATGGAGATGCAGTTGTAGCCCTGCCTACCGCTCTGGAGCCTTGTCCCCAATACACGTGGTGCATTCACTACGAGCCCTCGAGACGATACAAGGAGCAGCTCGAGTCATCTCTGAAATCGCTCTCCCTTTCCCTCTTCTGTCTGAGTTCGGCGGTATATATATATCAGAATGGCAGGGGAAGAGTGGATGAGACAGGCTATTATTAGTTTTGGTAAGCGTAGAATACAACAAGAAGATCAACCATATGCTGATTTTGTTACAGATGGTGGTGGCATCAGGGGCTATGGTAGCCTGCTTATCATTCGAGCGCTCATGGAGAAGGTAGGGATTGAGGAAAGGCGCATAGACCCTGTCGTCAAGTCGAGTTTCTCGCCTTGCCTGTACAAGCCCACAAAAATTGGGTTCAGCACACGCTTTACAAAGGACGTCGAATCGTTCGAAGCCACCGTCGTGACAGAGACCAATCCAAGTGGCTTGTCCAATGATTCTCTTTTCTTGCCATGTCATTACTTTGATTACGGTGCAGGGACCAGCACCGGGGGGTAAGTCATGTCACCCGTTGAAGGACAATAGCTTACTGACAGATGTCAAGTCTTATCAGCATTATGTTGTTCTGTCTCCGCATGACGGTCCATGATTGCATCAATGAGTACAAGATATTGGGTGATAAGATTTTCGGTCACCCAAGGCCGTGCTCGTGGTTTGGCATTCTGTGGCCCAAGTATAGCTCAGACTCCTTAAAGAGTGTTATTAACGAAGCTACTGGAAGACATAGCAACACTGGGTACAGATTGAACTACGAAGTCGAGGAGCAGCTGTCCCAATGGTTCGCCGAATGCAGATATTCCGTTTAGTTTCGGAATTTCAGCTAAGCGCCTTTAGTATCGTTGTTGCCTACCCGGACAGCAACGCTCGCGGAGATGTGCCTTTCCTGTTCCGTACCTATGAGCCGCCACTCTTGGCTCGAGACGATGTATACGAGAAGTTAAAGTCAGATCCTAGACACCACCCATCGGCGATACCTTTGCACAAAGTGGCCCGAGCGACTGCAGCCGCCCCGGCGTACTTCCGCCCAGTCAGGATTTTCCCAGCTCACAGAGGTAAACCTCTTCCTGCTATGCGATTCAAAGACGGTGGATTTGGGTGCAACAACCCCAGCGAAGAAGCTTATCATGATGTCGTGGAGGCTCATGGAGGACTCAGCCGAAACATTGGACCGTTCATAAGCATCGGAACAGGTATTGGAAAGTTTAGATTGTTTTCCAACAAGATTGGGAACTTTCGGGACGTCTGCGCGAATGCTATTGCAGCCCTGAAAAGACCTGCCTTGACAACCCTGGCCGACAAGTCCATGTCTTACCTGGCGAACTTTGATAAAGCGGAAAGGTTCCCTTATTACCGATTCGATGGTGGTGAGGTCCTTGGTGAGGTAGCCATGGACGAGTGGAAGACCCACAGATCAAAGAATCGCAGCCACGAGAAAAAGCAGCCGGGAGCCAAAACATTGGAAGACATTCAAAGAGCTGTAGAAGCATACCTGCAACAGAAAGGTGTGCAAAGAGATCTAGAAGATTGCGCTAAATTGCTGGTTCAGAGAAGACGTTTCCGAACCAAGGATTCATCGAGGTGGGAGCGGTATGCGACGACCTCGTATTACCTGTGCAAGAATGGCACCTGTGAGAAGGCTCGCTTTGATACAGCTCTGGGTCTCAGGCATCATTTGGAAAGCTACCATGGCTTCGAGGCTCGCGGTACAGTGGATGAAATGCTAGAGCAATGTCGCAACTATTGGTGGCTCTACCCTGGTTGACGGTAGTACTTTTAATGGGGGACTATCTAAGGGTGGTGCTTTTGGGATAATTCAGCTCGTACCGCAGGGGACAGCATTATCACTCGTACAATTCATAAAGAGTGCAATGACCAGCGTTGAGTCCTCGCGAGTGTCCATTTCCCAAGACGCAAACATCGAGATAGTGGTTGAATTCATTAGAACCCCTATTTTTTTCAATTTCGAGGTAATAAACATGATGTTTCGCCGATATCGATAACCAAGTTTACAATTTGGGCTTCCAGCCGTTCTTCTTTGACAGTTCCCGGTTCCATTTCCACATTCGGCATGGAATGAAAGCAGTAAGTCTTGGGCCTCCTACAAGTAGGGAAACCTATCTACAGTTTTGGGGTAGCATTGTCTTACCCTTCCGCCTCCAAGCAGCGGGTCTCGACTGTAAGTGCCGCACCCAAAGCGGAACCACTTGAGCTTACCGACCCCTCACAGGCCATGCTAGCTCGTCTAGTTGGGTATTTGGCCAAAGTACAAGGCCCTGTCCGTCTCAGATCTCCAATAGTCTCTCAATCTGACGGTTCCGATCCACACTTGAGGATGCCTGGGCGTCTTATCGGGCTTGACGTCGTACCTTCTGTTTGGAGCTTCAGCTTGAGGGTTTTCACAGAAGATCTCGTATGCGTTCCAGTGCGCGGGCACTGTCTTCCTTTGGTGCCCTGTGACTGTTCCAATCATCAGCAAGGATTTGATCATAGAACGACTGTTCAGCGTACGACGATCGTCACTCGGTGATATTCGCACTCTGGCGGCTTGTCTCGTCTCTGGGTCAAATACCACCACCTCGGTGATCCTACTTGGTGATTCAGAGCCACAGCAGTTTCCCATGGTCGATCACTGCAGCAAGATGTCTTGGTTTATCGAAAATGTGATTTTGAACTTACCGCACGAAGACCCCAGATGCTCTCACTGGAGACTTAAAAGAGGTAGCAAGGCTCGCGGACTGATCCATCTTTTGTACAGTGAAGCTGAAGGGTAGGTTGCCTACTGCGAGAATCTCATGGATATGCTCACGATCACGATAAGTCTCGGTAACAGATCAACGATAATCGCACTTCGTCCGCGAAGGCAGCAATTCAGAGATCGATTATCTGACGACGAAGTCGCCACCACTTTACCCACACGGACAACCATGTTGCAACCGAAACCAGTCCTGAAAGACGAAGACGGTTCAGGTGGCTGGAGGATAGGGAATGCTGTGCTCAACGCTTGCGATCGCAGTCAAAGTGGTCACACAGCTTCTGCAATAAGCCTCTGTGGCCACAAACATGACCGAGCTCGATCCCCATGATATTGCGTGACCGGTCCGGTTTAAGATAGCCGTTTGAAGCTTATTTGGGCCATGTCTATGTGACCGACCCATTGGGCAGCTTGCCTGATCCTATACGCAGCGCCTCAGTCTCTTTTGACAATCACCAATACTCAGGATCCAGCCGTGCTCAATCATGTTAGTAAGCATAGGCTTGTCTAATTCAAATCTGTATTCCGTGGGACAAACAATCAGGAGGTGGACCTCCTCGGTGGAATATTGGGGAGAAATTGATTCCGAGAAGCAGGCAAAGAAGCTAATGCTGAATGCCGGCTCCGCGACTGTCCGCCCATGACGAAATTCTGAGCCTTCGTAACTGCTTCCCTTCCAGTGTTGACTACGAAGATCGGGGCCGACATCTTGAACAGACGTGACACTCCCAGCGAATAATGAAGCTTTAGACGTTAGTATGAAATAATCAGTGCAAGAGAACCTAGGTCCACAATGTATGAATTCCAATCTGTCGTGAGATTCTACCTTTGCGTTGAGACGACTCTTTTTATGCATGGGATTCAGGATTATGGCTCTCTTTTCACTGTCTTCGGTCGCTAAAAGCACGTGCTTCGTTGAGACCGGGACTTCATCAGATACGAGATGCGCGAAAAAAAAGCGATTCCGTTACAAAGAGGCGACTCCGATGAAGATCGAGACTAGTTTGTTAGTGGAAATGTACAAGACTGCGGTTAACGGACCCCTTACGTGTTACCCTGTTCTCTCATCACTTCCCTCGAGAACAGGGTTGCTCTTCCAACAGTTGCAAATGCTCAGAAGAATGTTTTCTCCATCACAGAAGTACAAAGCATGTCATGCCGGAATCTGCATCTCGAGTGAGGGAGACGACAAATGTGTAGATGATGCCTTCGAGTCCACCTTGACAACCACTTCGAGGGTTACTGCCGGCTACAGCCTTAGACTAGCACAGGGCCTTCGGCTCCCTTTACATCTTCCCGAGCGTACGGTCTACACTTGGTCTCTCATACAAGCTGACTGGCCTATATCAGGTCGGGTTGACGTCCCAAACCTGTTTAGGCAGTACTCTCCGAGCTTGCCCGATCCTTCAACGTTGAATGCACTACATTGGTTGGGGTTTTTCAGCTTGCCCTGGCGAGCTTGCAGGCTCCAATGCTGACGGTGTTTCAGAAAGAATAGCCACAGTCAAGCTTCAGGTGCGGCGCAATAGCTGCACCGTATGCGCATGGAAACGGGCCACGGCTGGGCGTCTTGGAGCTGAGTGTCAGGATCTTCAAGTACGGCAGATCCGTAGTCGTATTTGTGGGCACTGCGTGCGGAGGTTGGCTAGGCGCAAGAGGCTGAAGTACGTATCGGGCATCTGTCCGCAGTACTGACTGGACAAATTTTCAAGTTCAGGGTTTCATACATTAATGCTTGGGAGGTTTTTCAAGATCCAAAAGCCTCTCCGATGGAACCATGAGTGCAACAGGGTTGAGTTGGACGCTCTGGGACAGGTGCCGTGGGAGTAGATTGGTTAGAACAGGGCCGTCGTGGCGGTGTAAGAACCGGCGCTAAGGTATGACCAGCAAAAAGGAGAAGACTACTGCATGCAGGCCTCTGGATAACCGTTATTGGTGAAAAGATTCCAACTTGACCTGTGATGATTTGCCTTGCGACCTTCCTTCTGAGGCAAAAGCAGGCATCGGTCTAGCAGAACGACCGGCAGCACGATTGGCAGCCTAATGCACTGTGATCAAACTTAGTCACGGCCTCAGTCATCAGCCTTACTTTTGATTACTGGAAAAGAAAAGAAACGAGCGAATTGCGAAATAGGGATGTACGGCAAAGGAAAGTAATACAATCTAAAACAACTCGTAGATCATGCGTCTCTGAAATTACCAAGCTGCGATTGCACGTTCCAATTTCTTAGCGAGATTAGCAAATACCGTGCTATAGGCATTCGATCGCTGTACAATGATCCAGCAGAGCGCGTCGGTGACATTTCTGTAAGAAGAAAAGGCTTAGTATAACATTGACGTTAGCTCCGCAGAGAAGGAATGATGGCGCGAATCTGTGACTTCAAGGACGCGAATCATTGGCCTTTCTAGCGCCCTGAAGTAATGTGTGTTCAAGCTGTACACCAGTGATGAATCCTATCCGTACCTGTTTCACGGCTGCACAGTCGTTAACAGTAATGATTTTCGGCCACATGGTCTCTCTCATGGTAAGAGGGCGTCTTCATCATGGCTGCAATGCGTCGATCGCGGAGCCTTCGCTCACTTTGAACAACTTCGATGCTAACGATCTTCAGCTCCGGGGGGGGGGGTTGCTGTTCCATTGCTTCAAATCCGTGTTCCATCTCGATACCGTGAAACATCTCACAGACTCCACTCTGGCTTTCAATGCTTCCGTCGCCAACGCTCAGCTGGTGTCTCGATACTGCTGCAAGAGTGATGTGGTAGTGTTTGAGGGCAAGGTGCATCTATGAAACATGATCAGGTGTCTGTTCATGGCTGGGATCAAAGAGGTCTGCTGCCTCTGGCCAGGAAACTGTATATAGATATATGAAGACTTCCTGAATGTTTCCAGCCGTCAAAACCAATTTGAGGACTCGCTCTTCGAGGAAAGCTACGCATTTGATGATTATTTGGCCTGCTTCCGCCCACATAACACACTCCACATACAGTCCACCGCCGCGTAACGATGTCGTGAGTTTCGTCCCCTGTTGCCCTCCACCCTAAATAGGCGCTTCGATCATTAAGTGAGGTCGCAGGGAATCCACATCCAACGTTCAGGGTAATCATTTCCAACATACCAACGGTCCGACCACCCCACAAATAGCGGCTCGGACTCGTGACAACATCCAAAGCGTTGAACAGTATAACGCGTCCTTGTGGGCCAGGCAAGATGCCGGGCTCAGCCGGGAGCAAGCTAGAAAACAGTACGTGGAAGACTGGACTCAGGATTGGAAAAGGAGAGGCAATTGAAGATAGCGATGCGCGAGGTATGCAGGCATTTTGATAACGGACCGCTCGCTCACAAGCGCTCAGGATAAATCGAAGCTTGGAGTTTCAGGCCGAGACAAGAGTCTTGGCTAGACTGCCTGCCTTGTTGTCGCTGAATAGATGAGGCACGCCCAAGTCTAGGTCACCAGGCTTGTGTCATGGTATGGTCGTTGATAATAATGGTACTGGTCAAAATCTGGGATTGGGTCTGCAATGATATGGCGTTCACAGCTTTGAAGGGAAAGTCAAGGAGGCAAATTTGAATGGACAGGCATTGCATCCAGGGCTTTTTGTTTCGAGAGCCTCGAATGGTTCGTCCGCTGGAAATAAGTGGCCTTAGAATTGCTCCAATTCATGAATGGTTCAGCTCAACAGGACCAAAGCCCCAATCACACCAGTGGCAACCACCAACCCTACCAGCATCTTCACTACTCCGGGCTCAAGCTTCTTGGAATCACTTTCGATTGACCCGGCAGTCTCAGCCATCACGCTCCCTGTCTTGGTTCCGCTGCCTTTCGCGCTGGACATGCCTTCCCCAACCAGAAGGCGTTCCACAGTGACCAAGGGCTTGCACCGTTTGTCTCTCCTGAACAGATAACACCCACGGGCACAAGTCCGTTGGAAGAGACAGAAGTTACACAGAGATGGTGGGGAAGGTGATGTTAGAAGAATGAGGTGGGTGTGGATTTGGAGGGCTGGGAGGATATTGTAGATGGCTGCTAAGAAATGTCTCTTAGCTCCTTACCTCCACAATCTTGGAAATGACTTACGAAAGGTAGAGTATCTGGGAGCATGGAATTATATGCTTCTAATGTGCCGAGTATTGGTGGGAGGGAAGAATTTGCAGAGTAGCTACCATAGAGGCTCAATTGGCCATAGCCTCCTCTCGTTAACAGAAAGCAACGAGTTGTATGCCGAAGTTGTAGAGACCACGTTGCAAGCCACATCCTTCATTTCCCTCTCCTTCCGAGAATGGTTTTCATACCACCTTCTCTGGCCGTTGTTCTTGCTGCATTGCCCTTATGCACTGTTCGTTGACCGAAAAATATCAAAATTGACTTTTGGTTCCTTTGAGGCTAAATATATACTGGCGATCACACATTTTGTGAAACGCCTACAAGATCCAGTCCATCGTGGATGATTTGTGGAAGTTGCTCGAGGGTTTTGGTGGTTGGTTTGTGAATTTTATGGCGGGCTTCGAAGTTCAGACGGAAGGATTTTTGACCTTCCTGTTCATGGTAGGGCTGAGGGTCTTGGCGAGAAAATAAGAAGCACCGCAACACCATTGTACCAGCGCCATTAGGAATCGAACCTAATACGAACTAAATACCTCCAACAACAGCAGGTCGCTTGACAGGTCCGTCATGCGCGAGCTCGACATATAGACCTACCTGCTTCCCTTCAAACTTGAACGAGGAAACGCTGATTCTTCCATGTTTCATGTCTCCTCTCTCCTCCGATGGCCCTCCAAGTTACGTAGGAGAGCTCGACGCTCAAGGATCGCGACAATGCTCATCTTTTTGAGTGTCGTATGCATCTTGATCGCGCCCTTCTACTTGATATACAAGCCCCCGGCGTATTTAGTACGCTATTTCCAATGGCGGTGGCCGGATGTCCTCTGGCGCGTTTCGACGTCTTCAAAGGTCATTGCACTCACAATTGACGACGGGCCATCCGAATACACCAACGAAATAATGCAGATTCTTAAGTCAAATGGTGCAACAGCAACGTTCTTCATTATCGGATCGCAAGTCGCAGGGCAGGAAAAAACCCTACAAGATCTCATACGCAATGGAAATGAGCTGGGGAATCATGCGATGTACGATGAGCCTTCGCGATCCTTGAGCGATGCCACTCTCGTCGACCAGATTCATTCCGTTGAAGGAATACTCGACGAGGCATACACCACCATTGACGCAGAACATCCTCCCAAATACTTCCGACCGGGTTCAGGATTCTTTAGCGAAAGAATGCGCAAGATGCTGGGTAGATTGGGCTACCGGCTGGTCCTCGGCAGCATCTACCCACACGATCCGCAGGTTCCTTTTTGGCGTATCAATGCAAGACATATAATAAGCATGTTACGACCAGGAGGGATCATCGTCTGCCATGACAGGAGGAGCTGGACGGCTCCCATGCTACGAAAGGTACTTCCCGAAATTCGGCGTAAAGGATATCGCATAATTACTGTCACAGAGCTGTTGAAGGAAGCAAGGACGTGAGCTGCTTAGATGCATTCTCTTGTTCCGTATAAGAAAGGGCTCTTCTCTGTCGCTTGCTTTACGCAATGGAAAAAATGAAGAAGCACAAGGTGAGTCTGCGTTTTTGTTAGAATCCAACAAGCTGAATGGCAGTGATCAACAAAGTTGGGCGACGAAGTGGGAGCAGAAAGGCAACGCTTGAATGAGACTCTTCGCGAGTTGATCCCCCTTTCTGTTTACTGTCGATTTGCTCTGGAGCCAAGAAGCTGAGGGAGTCTCTGAAGGCTTCAAAGGCATTTCCCGCAAACCAACTTTCGAAGCAGGCAGGCGTAATCTAGAAAACGTTGCAAACTTGGAGCCTTACCATTTGTGCCTGTCTATCCAAGATAAGTCTCAGGTGTACCTGTATTATAACAATTCATCTTTGAGCTTTGCCTTGCTCTTCGGGCGCCGATCCAAGTACAACCTGCGGCGCATGCTGAGATTGGTGTCCTTTTCCATCTGACCTCTGCACTGTCGACTTCGACGCGTGTCCGGCCTGCCACTTTTCTTGGCATTCTTTCTCCCCGACCGAACCAGGAGCACATTGCTGTCCTTCAAGTGCCAAAATAACGCCCTGGCAATATCGAAAGGTGTGAACCTCGAGCCGAAATCCGGTCTTTTCTACAAGACAGGTTCTTTGGGTCATTTCTCCTATAGTGTTTGAAATTCGGATAGGGAAAACTGCGACTTTGCCTGACAATCGGTGTGTTGGTGCTCACGCGGACATTGTTTCGGCACAACGATCGCGAGGCAACATCAGTAGATGAGTGTCTCACTGTTTTGCCCTACGATTGTCGTCGAATTTTCGCAACTTATCGTGACCATGAGCAGCCCTGGAGTCTTAGTACATAGTAGCCTACCGTTGGCTGTCTCCAACTCTGAAGACTTGTTCGTATGAAGGCATCCCTTGACCACGAGAACTCTTGCACCGGCGAATTTCGTATGACATCAGCTTGGGAGTACAAAAGATGAATCGCCCGCCGGACATAGTATCTCGTTTTTTAAATACGCTTTTCTCCTAGCGAGTACTAGCTGCATCATCCTAACACTCTAGAGCAACGTGTTCCTTGAAACCACTACAGACCCTCATCGAAAATTGAGGCCCCTCTCGATCATTATGTTGGAGGTCGTGTATTTTGATCTAGGGACCCATTATCTGCAAGTGGTGCCCATGGCAGGCTTGGTTCCTGTGTACAACTACAAGCAGGTTGAAAGACTGTGGGGGTTTGGGTCCTTTGACTTGATCGATATGGGAGCCGACGGGGATTTCATGGCTGTGCCATGCTTGAGCAAACTCGAAGGAGGTGATAGACATCTCGCTAAACTGCACTGGGACGACAAAATCCCTTTCCATTTGAAGTATGAGCGGAGATTCTGGGTAGGACCAATGGATCAATGTATCAATTCCCTTCACTCTTGTCGAGAAGTCCGCCACGAGACTGAACCTTGGAGTCTAGATAATGCTCTGCGCCAGATGAAAACACTTTCTTCGAACAATCCTGCACGGTCTGGCTCATCGACCGCTCCCAGACAACTAGGTTCCAAGACCGCCTCTGCGCAAACAACCTCCCGGACCGACCCAGCACAACAAGTTTCTTCGAGCGACGATGAACAGCACACTCCAACGACGGACGAGGACTACGAAGAGGCAGATTCCCTGTCAAAATGGATGCAAATCGTGGAATGAAGCGCTTGTTGTGGCTAAGCTCCCGGTTCCGAGTATGGTGGGTCGACCTTTGATTGATGTGAATGCTGACTTAGTTGGGTTTGGTATGTAAAGGAGTTGAAGTGATGGAAGTGGATTTAATGAATACGTCGATGCTCTTGACATAACCAAAGGGCTGTACGTGAAGGGTAGAGGAGGGAGGGAGTTGAACTAGAAGAGAACAGGTATCTATACAAGCAGAAGAGGTCATTATGAATTCAGCTGCTCTACTGCCAGAGCTGCCTATCAAAGTTAGCTGCGTGAGATGTCAGCGCTAATCTTGAAATGCATAAGCGCCACTTGGGGACAGATTGTCCGAGTCAGCCTGACAGGGATGGTCATTGGACCCGGTTGTGCAACTGGGTTCTGCTGCAGCTGCAGGAGGAGGCAGAAATGCGGTGAGAGTTGAAGCGCTGCGAACGATTAATAAAGCTGTGACTGTGAGTCAGAATTGGCAAAGTCAATTTCAGCAAGTTGCAGTGATTGGACAGAAGGAATGAGGAGTGATGAGTGATTGATTTGAGCAGATTGCGCACGGAGAGTCCGGGCCTTTGCCAAGTGCGACTCCACGAACCCCCACTACATTATCAACATCTTCCTCTCCAAGTAGGTACTCTACATCAGTAAAGTATACGGTATCTATATACGAGGCAAGACTTAGAACTAGGTACCTATACTCGTATCTGTCACCGGCGCCTTGCTGTAGGGTTCAGTAAGGTATTTACGGTAGATCTATAAAGAAAGCCTCGTCTCTGAACCGGTTACCTCTCAATCTCATCCCTCTTCCCGTCTCTCAAACTGCGCCTTCCAACCGGCTCTACCTCCTTACCCCCTTTCGCTTATCCCTCCTATCAATTTTGCATCTATCCTCCGCTCTGGAATTTAGCGTGAGACTAGGAGAGCATGGATGAAATTGAGATTATGAGTCAGAGTGCTCAGAGCAACTTTTTGAATTTTACCTTAGTGACCAAAAAGTGGGTGAAAAAAAGAAGTGCGCTTGCGGACTTAGCGGCCTCCCTTGGCACTGCCAGTCGACTCGTAAATTGTTAAATGCCTGGAAGTCCCCCCACTTCTGCCTGATCTTTCCTTCTTCCTTCTTACATACTTCTTCTTCACCATCTCACACCATCTCACACCACATACCTGACAAGACATCCATTTGATATGGCTGCCTTGTAACTGAACACATATATCCCATCTCTCTCTTCTATCTCGTCAACAGACAGGATAGCAACATTGTTTCAACTTACACACCCCACCAACTCCACTCCCCTCAATCCCTCAGATCTTCCTACCCAGGAATATCTGAATCTACCGTCTGCTTCTCGCATTCGCACAGGTTCTCGCTTCACAGCAACCATTCCCCTACACGACCACCAGTCGTTCGTCACGGATACTCCACAGAAATGGCTTTCTCAACCCCAATCACCGCGGCTTCCCACGCCAGCAACCAATACCATCAGCTTCTCAAACCAGGACTCGGACTTTGTGCTCTTCCCATCCACCCCAACCGCCCACACCCCTTCGACGACTCGCAGGAACACCGACTTCGTTCCGGCGACGCCTCGTACGGTCCCTAATCAGCACCTTGGCCAGACCTACAACGGTCAGCAACAATATCAACCTCGACGTAACTCTACTCAGCAATTTTCACCTTCTGTATCTCCTGTTCAGAATCTACGAGTGAGCGGCATCATCCAAGGCACTAGGTCTCTATCTTCGTCTCCGTCTATGCAGCAATTCAATAGTCCTACCGGTCAACAACTGCGCTTTTACGCAAACTCGGCTCCTTCTTCGACGACTGGCTTGCACCAACAGTCTCCTCGAACCCGGCCTCCAGTTCCCCTTTTCTCGAATAGCACTGGGAATATTCATCAGCAAAATCTGTCTACTATGGCTCTCTCCCACAACTTTGAAGGTACCTCTTCTCCGGTGGCCTCTTCCAGTGCAGAGCCAGAGCTAATCATTGACCTTTCAGACGTCCCCTCTGACAACATGTTTGACTTCACCAACGCCGATTTCACTGCGGCGCCGGATTCGGACAATATTCTCTTCGATGGCTCCCTAGACTTCGGGACACACTTCGAACCAATCAACGATCCGGCGCCGGCGCAGACGTCAAACCTACAGACCGTGTCACCCAAAGATCTCATGGTCGACTCTATGTCTGCGCCTCCTTCAGGTGCTTTTACCGATCTAACAACCCCTGGCACCTCCGCCTACGACTCTCCATACATGGCCAACAGCACCGAGACCTCGCCACTTTTCGCAGAGGAGTCGTTCGCTGACGACCCTGAAAAGTGGCCATCCCTCTTCGATCCAATCGAAGAAGAGACAAACACCGGTCCTGTCTCTCATTTCGCGGGTGCCAGCCCTTCACCGACCTACACCGCTCCGAAGATGTCTCGCAACGACTCGTCACCCGGTCAGTCATCATCCCGATCCTCTCATCAAGGCCGCCACTCCTTCACCTCTGGCGTCGCTCCAAAGCGAAGGGACAAGCCCCTGCCGGCCATCACCATCGAGGATCCCAATGACACAGTGGCAATGAAGCGAGCACGAAATACCATGGCGGCACGGAAGTCTCGGGAGAAGAGGGTGGAGCGGACAGAGCAATTAGTCGGCCAGGTCACACAGTTGGAAGCAGATGTCGACTACTGGAAGAAAATCGCCATTGGCATGGGACATGTCGAGTGACTGCTATCGAGGAAAAGGAAGTGTGTATGTGCTCAAGCTTGTGATAAACATGGTGTGTTGGGGTTGAGATATCACGATTAAGAGAACGGCAGTATGAGCTCCATTGGGACTGGAGCGATGACGCTGTCGGTCGAGGATTACCAGGAGAGAGGAAAAGGGGTTTTCTTATTCATTCATTCATGCATGCGATTGCGGCTGTTACAGTACATGGGTGGAGGTGTCCTTTGTTTTCTCACGACGGCCGGTTCTGATGTCTCCTGATCCTTCTGGTGACGGATTGTACTCGTGGCTATGATTGCGTCTTTACCATCTCTTTTACCATGGCTCCACTTTGTGCTTTACGCACCATTACAGACAGATAGAAAATGCGAAAAAAACAAGTCTTTCCTTCAGACAGTCGCACTCTCTTGGAGCATGCAACGGCTACTGTGCCAATCCTAAAGATCTACACAGGCAAGCTGTCAGAAGTAGTGACAAGTCGTAGCGGTTCAGGAACCCCCCATACTACCGACAGACCAACGGCACCTGCGATCAAAGTCTGTGGGTGTGCCAACCACCTTGCCGAGCCCTTGATCAAAACCGTAGTGCGTCGGGTCAATGAGTCGATATCAGCTCGAGAAGTTAAAGGCAGAAAGCAGACTCTCTATTAAGTATTACATGCCATCTTGCACGATCATGTTTGCCCTAATGGCCGAGCGCGCTGTCTCCGATAAGAGAAGCTAACGCGGGGTATCGGTACAACAAGGGGAGGGGTGGGTATCTGAACGAGTAACAACGGCAACGACAACAAAGCAAAGACCAGGTATCAATCCGCTATCCTCCACATCGGACACACACGACGGAAAGAGGGGGTTTGCCAATCAGGTGTGGCTGGTGAAGACGAAGGAACAAACGCGATGAGGGAGGGTATTATGCAAATGAAATCGCTGATGTCCAGGGGTATTGACCATTTTTCTGTACTCTCATCGGGACATCCACTTTTAGGCGGCAGCTGAAACCGGAGTCTGCTCGTGGGTTCCAGTCATGTTTCCGATCTCGCCTTCGGTCATTGCTGGCTTCTCGGCGAGGGTCTCACCGGCTTTGGTCGCATCGGCTGGGGTGTCGGTCGGGAGCGGAACGTTGGCGGCATCCTTGCTGGCTGCTGGGGAGGAACCCTTTTGAGCACGGCTTGCTTTTCGGAGAAGCCCACCAAATCCACTGGAGGATTGCTTCTTGCCCTCGCCGTCAGTCAATTCGTTGTCGGATGTGCCCCCAGTCCTCCGCTCCTTCTTCGTCCCGAGGTTGCCGAAGAAAGAGGTGCGACGCTTATCGGTAGGAGAGATAGGAGAGGTAGCGGCCGCTGGTGTGGTTGGTTCAGCGGCTGTAGCAGGGGTTTCTGTGGTGGCTGCGGTGGTCTCAGCAGTGGGCGAGGTCACAGGGCTGTCAAGTTGCGGTGCGGTGGATGACAAAGTAGACTGCTCGTCCTTCGCCGGAACAGCTGATGGGACCTCCGTTGAAGCGGGGGTTGCAGCATCCTTCTTGCCAAAGATACTACCGAAGATTGAGTTTCTCTTGTTTGGCTTTGGTGCAGTCTCCCGAGTGGTGGAGGCTGGGGTGGTCTCGGCAACGGTAGATTCTGCACCAGCGACCGGTGCCACGCCTGAGGCACCAACACCAGTGGCGGCTTCTTCAGCAGGAACGACGGGCTCCCCAATAACACGAGATGCTATGAGAAGTTAGACTGAATACAGTGGAAGGGAAGATACCCGGTTACTAACCAACAGCAACGGCGTCGAAGTCGCCAGTCTTAGCAACACCCTGTTGCTTGACCTCTTTCTCAACGAGCCTATCCTCCTTGGCCTCTTCCTCCAACTCCTGCTTCTCGGCCTTTTTCTCGGCCTTGTCTTCGTGCTTGATCTCCTTCGCGACAGCTTTATCCTCTTTTCGAACGGCCTTGTCTTCCTTCTTCTCGGCCTTCTCCTCCTTCTTGAGCTCCTTCATGTCGGCTTTGTCTTCTCTCTTGATCTCCCTCTTAATGGCCTTGTCTTCGGCCTTGTCTTCCTTCTTTTCCTCTTTATCTAGGTTCTTGTCCTCCTTTTTGCCTAGGAGGCCTCCGAATATACTGGAACGTTTGTTGTTGCGAGATTGAGAGCGGTTCTTTTTTGCCGCCTTGGATTTCTCTTCCTCGGAGGTAGAGCCATTTCGAGCCGCGGCTGCGCCAGCAACAGCACCCACAGCAGCACCACCAGCAGCGGCCTCACCGACGTGTTCGCCGGTGGTCGCACCGTTAGCAGCGCCTGTAGTCGTGCCAGAGGTCGTACCAGTGGTCGAGTCCGCGACAGGGTTGGGAGCGTCGCCGGTGGGGATGCCGGTCGCTGTCTCAGGCGTCGTGTCGAACGCAGCGGCGGCTGCCTCAGGAGTGGTGTGGGTCGTAGTGTCTTTGGTCCTACGTTCGCGGGATTTGCTAGCCATCATTCCTCGAGATCGAGAGCGAGAAGTACCAGTGGTGGCAGCGGCACCAGCACCTATGATATATCAGCATGCGCATCGTGCAAGCTATCCTAATGAGCCAACATGCCGTATTTCTCAAGCTGACTCTTGTAGCCAGAGCTGCCAACGATGCCTTCACGTGCAGTCTTGGCTTCAGCTGCCTTGGTCTCGATTGTTACCAACCAGGCATCCTTCTCTGACTTATTGATGGCTTGGAAATTGTGCTTGTGGCCATTGAGACTGAATCCAAAGTCGTTGAAGTTGCCCTTTACCACGTCGGTAACATTGGCCTAGGGTGTACAGACCACGTCAGTAGGCTGATCCTTGAACGGGTAGGTAGGATACTGACCAGATTGAACATGCCTTGGGGATGACCCTTATCCTCAGCGCGCTTAGCGTAGAAGAGAAGACCTTTACCCGTTTGGCTGGCATGTGCAGCGTTGGGATGTGCGATGTCCTTTGACTTCTCGTTGCTGAGGTATCCAGAGAGGTGTCCATGTTCCAAGGGTGCATCGCTGAGCCAGAAGTACTTCTTGGAGAAGATGAGACCCCTAAGCGAAGGAAGGCGCCATGTTAGATATGCATCAAACCTTGGAGAGAGCGGATAAGGCTTACTTGAGGCCAGGACCTTTGTAGTTCAGAACGCCCTCATTGATTGGGTGGGACTCAACCATGACCTCCCCCTTTCCAACCTTCTCCTCCTTGGTCACATTGCTGACATTAGGGGCAGTAGGAGCAGCGGCCGTGGCACCATCGGTCACTCCATTCATCCCTAATTCTGGTCGGGACTCAGGGGACAAGTCCGAGGTGTTTTGATCTCGGATGGGGTCGCTGGTAGCTTGGGACGCAGTTGCAGTGATGGGCACTTGCCCTGCCAAATGCTGCTCAGTAGCTGCAGACATGGTTGTAGAATTGATGTTCTTGTCTGATGTGAAAAGGTGTCAAGTTGGATGGTTAAGGGTTCAGTGTGGTTGTGCGATTGACTCGTTGGACGATTTATCAACAAAGGCAAAGCTTTTGTTTTGTGTAGGGTATAGGTATCTCTAGGACACTAAATCAGTGTATAGAGAATGACAAGAAGGAGGACAAGTTGATGCACAGTCAATGGAGGTGAAGAAAATGTTGAGAAGTTGGAGTTGAAGTGTGCCAAATGAAGGGAGATTGTCTCGAAAGCTTTTTGGATTTGGATTTTTTTATTTGGAGACGCGAAGGCGCTAAGATTGCTTGCTTTTAACTAGTGGAAAATGGGAATAGTAAAGTACCTACCTTAAGGTAATCTCGGGTACGCTAGTGTCTTAGCCGATGCCAAGGTCAAAGTCTCGAGGTCTCCTTGCAGTTTGATTCGGCGAGCACTGCTGCTTTGAAACAGAGGATACTGTGAATTAATGTCGGGGATAACTCTGCAAGTCATAAAAGGATATTAATACAATTCCATACCTACGGAACCCTACGGTATCTATCCCCTCTGTCCCAGAAATGATCCAAGCATATTCTATCTGCGAACATATGGTGAAAAAGGGACCTTGGTCGCATGACCGCCGCCCTCGCCGACAAGCATGAGGCGCATTGTCACTCTGCAGGTCAGTAGGCATGTGACCATGTGCTCAACTCCTCCAACGAGTGAGTGGACTGGCAGGTTGTGTGACCCGCAACGTCCGCTATCTCGACTTTCACTTTACACACAGACACTTCTTTTTTCATCTCGATCTCCACAGCCAATGATAATGTACACAAATTCCCGATAGCCTTATCTATCTACATCCAGACTTTTGCAGACTAGGTAGTCTGCGAAACATCCATGCACAAACGCTGGTAACCCATCAAAACAGCATCCGTCCGTCACATTCCTCTCAGAAGACTTTCAGATATGGCCTTGCCTTCCTGCGTCTCGAAATATCCACCCGGATTTTTGGCCTTCATAAAACTCCTGCCGCTATGCAAAAGATCGACCCTGACCCATAGACACCCCTACCCCAAAACCTCATGTGCGTTTGTCTTCGAGGGGCTATCATACAGCATATTTCATCCACTCGTGAGCAGCATGTACCTGAAAAAGGTGAGCAAAAAGTTGATGGAATTAGATGTTCGGAACTTACTTGGTAATGGCGTCCATTCTCTCGCTTGTAAGTCTGAGGGTTATCTTCAGCAACTCCTGTGAGATATCCGAGTGCTGATCCTGCATCTTCCTCCATTGATCATCGTCCAGCATCCACGTGACGCAATTCCTCTCTGCGTAAGTCGTCGATGTTCTCTCGGTAGCTGAGAAAAAGGGAAGCTCTCCACAAGTCGTGCCAGCCACGATGAGCTCTGAGTATTTGCCTTGGGGAAAGTCGTACTTCGCTTTGAGCATGCCCCTTTCCAGCAGGTAGAAGCCATTGGGCCGATCGCCGGGATTGTAGAGCACGGTTCCAGCGGCATACTCCTTGCGTACGAAAAACGACGCCGCCTTGTACCAGAAATCTTCATGCTTATTGGAGACGGTCGAAAAGGTCTGCAGAATGAGCTGTAGAGGTTGGTGATAGTCCTGCCATCTTTGAGGTGGTGCAGGGTTCTGTTCGCTGAGAGTCGCTGTGGCTACCTGGTGCAGATGATGCCTCCGTGGGGAGTTGAAAATAGTCTCCGAAGATGGTATACTGGTCTGCTCTGGCTTCGGCACTTCTGTGCAGGCATTAGTAGATTCACTCAGCAGCTTTAGAGCAGGCTTACCCAGGAAAGCAGGAGTTGACTCTGTCTCTACCTCGAGATCCCGCTGATGATAGAACGCCTTCAAGAGCTCATTCTCGCAGTACTCCAGCGCCGAATTGAGACTCCTAGAGTAGTAGACGCCGTCATCATCGTCAAAGAGTCCTACATTACGGAGGCTCTTGCCAACATCGCTCTTCATCTCGAGACCGCACATGACCAATTGAACTCCCTGTTGAATGAGTAGCCTGTTGGTCCGCTTAAAGGCTTCTCCGGCCGAGAAGTCGACGCCGTCCACGTTGTATAGATCAAGTACAAGGAAGCGGATTGGTTGTTTTCGAAAAGACTCTTCCCGCAGCAGTTCCCGGATCTGCTTCTCAACGCCCACAATGGTACCGAAAAACAGATAGCCTGCAAGCTTCATAACGTGAACTTGTTTGCCAGCTTCAAGCAGGAAACGCTGTTGAATTGGATGTCTCCGGACTGTCGAATTTGCCACGCCTCCGTAGAGCTTCCCACGGATGGCAGATACTTGGGATGTTTGGAGGACAAAGCTGACACAGGCCAATACGATGCCCACAAGAATACCGACGACAAAGTCATAGGCTCCCATAGTAACGACGATAATAAGGATCTGTATATGGTAAGCTCGAGTGATTCACCATAGTAAAGTGGAAGGCAACGTACGGTAAGATATTCGAGGCGGTGCACTTTGCCCCATGTGTCTACCAGGGCTTCCTTCATTAGATCCAGTCCCAAATAGAATATGAGTGCGCCAACGACCATGATCGGAATAAAGCCGATGATGATTGGTCCGATGACAAGTATACCAAAGGTTGCAGCGGCCAACATCACACCAGCAATTCGACTGTCGCCCCCACTTCTCATAAACAGCACTGAGTTCGTGTATACGAGATAATTCTGTTCTGTAGTCAGCGAAGTGCTTCAGCCGCACAACCAAGAAAGAAGTACCTGGATACTCCCGCAAAATCCCGACAGGGCGTTCGATATGCCATGTGCTCGGAGCTCACGGTCAACGTCGACATTGTCTTCTCCAGTCGACAGACCTAAAGCTGGAATGTTGATGGGAACATGGAGGACCCCGAAAAAGGTCAATGCAAGCATTGCAGGCACCGATGATAAAATGGCCCTCCAGTCCGTTAGTCTCCAATTGTAGAGCTCGTAGAAAGAATAGAAAGGTTTCCCAGCGTCTGGTGCAGCAAATATCCACCCTCTGTTGCGTAGTTCGGGTATAGTGAGTTCTTCAATGGCGGCAACGTAGAAATAGAACACTGCAATGATGGACAAGAAAAATGTAGCGTCTGTCAAGGGATGCTTCATCCATCGTTTCGCGTTTTGAAGGATGATAGCCAAGATCAATGGTATGATCCAAAGAGCCACGGTATCAGACCGGAAGAGCTTTTGCAGGGTCGGTATGTTGTACTCCAAGTTGCCGTCAAGCCTTGCAGAAACCTCCAATCCTGTCGCAACCAGAAACCATCCAACACCACCAATGCATCCGATCAGAATGTGTCGAGGGAAAAAGCCGATCAGGGACCCAAGCTTGCATAATCCCATGATGTAAAAAACCGCCCCTGTGAGTACGGAACTCATGGCGTAAGCAGCAATCGTAGTGGCGAGCACAGCGGCCTTTTTGTCTTCGCCCTCGCCCACCTTTGCGAGAATGGTGAATGCCATCTTATGAAAGAAAGGGACAACTTCGATCTTGAAATTTGTTAGCACTGTATCCTCTGAAGTCTGAGTGGGTTCTACCATTTCGGAGCCTATCCCTCCTTTGAAGATGCTACCGCCGAGAGAATATGTTAGCTGTGAAACAATGCAGCTGACATAGAACATGGAGATTCCCTCGGGTCCGAGACCCGTGAAAGTAGCATTGCCGAGAGGGAATAAGATCATGCCTAACTCAAAAATCAGCGACTTGCTCTGACAGGTACTCAATTTTTCTTAACTCACCGTAAGACAGAGCATCAAGGATGTTAAGTAGCAGTCCAAGTATCACAGGAGGCACAAAGCTAGCTGGTTGGCGAAACCCATACTCCAATACATGCTGCCGATCCCATGACTTAGGGTTGGAGGCAACTCTGAAGATTCGAGCGCTCTGTTCTCTGGATCGTTGCAAGACGGCTCTTATCTGATTTGTCGGCTCAGGTTTAGCTACCAGCTGACCCTCAAGATCTTTAATTGAACCATAAGCGGTTCTCTTACCCAGTAGTGTTGTCCGCTCACTCGGTTGTGAGATGATTCCCTCCCGAACAGTGACTGGGTGCACGCCTGCAGTAGAAGGTGATTCGTCTTCGTCTGTCCCGTGGCTGTCTTCTTCGGTTGGAGGAGAGTTTCTTATCAACTCAGTCAAAGCTGAGTGGCACTGTGATTTCTGTGACGAATGCGAGCTTTTGGGAGATGTGGGCTCGGAGACCTCTTGGATAGCCTCTGGACGGGAAGAAGTATTTGAATCATGACGGATTAGATCATCTTGGTCTAACTGACTGCTTAGGTAAGAGTGGTGCTGTGCTGTAGAGGGAGTGTGATGGCGTGAGGGGGAATGCTCGCTGCGGTTTGAGGCAATGTAGGACAGAGCCCACGACGCGAGTTCTGCAGTATCCTCTCGTACACCTTGCGAGGCATTTCTTGTGACATTGAACGGAGCTGTCGACATTTAGTACGCTACACTTGGTAGAGTCTGAATGGTTTGGAGCGCACCATGGGAGTCTTGGAAAGAGTGTTGAAAATACGATCTGGCGGGTGTTTTCTGGTTCAAAGAAGAGGAAAAGGACATCCTTGAGGGAGAAGACTCGTTTCGTTGGCGAAAGAACCCACTGGCACGGTCCTCAATTTCGTCCGTGCCTTCATGGTCACTGCCGTCCGCACTGGAGGGCATAGGTTCTTGTCCACGGATTCGAGCAAATTGTGATCCACTCCTGTTCCTGCCACTACCACTCGACTGATTGCCTGGCATTTCCAACGTTCTTTGAGAGTCCTACGACCGCCCCACGTTCCGGGGTCTCTTGGATCCCAACAGATTCCAACAGGTTCACGACATAAGGCGTGATACGTGCAGATGCATGGCGATGTGAGCAAGCAAATGACTGGATGTGCCGCAAGAACGGCAACCCGGGACTTGCAGGGTAAGCAGAAGAAGACCAGGAAGAGAGTGAATGAAGAAGGGAAGAGAAGAGAATGTGGCAGTGTACTCCATCATGCCTTTGAGAGGTTTGTTGAATTTTGCGGTTTGCTTAGTTGCTAGTTAAGGGTACCCCACTACAAGTTTAAGCTCGAGATTTTTTTTTCCAGTTTAACCTTCCCCCACCAACCCCTCAGCGCCGCCATACTTTAGTGTAGCTGGGATGCATGCGGAGAATGCATACCTAGGTATCATGCATATTCAGAGAGTATGTCGGCGTGATCTCGCCGCTGCATGATCGGGAATTACAAGCACTATATGTAGATAAAAAGAATTCGATAGCAATTGTCCTATTATTTGGCATCGCCTCTCCTTCGCCTACGCACCAAGTGGGGAAGACCTTCCACTTCCCCTAGATTCCGTACCGTCGGATGGCATTTATGACGGTCTGATCAATGCTTTGCATTGAAAGATCTTTCATTCGACACGCACAGCAAAGCGTTGCTTCTGCTGTCATCCATCGTCACTCGAAAACAATTGCAGTGAGTCGGCTGCCGTCCATCTCCGATTTTCCTCGCAGATAGAATACCCCGCCTCTCATGCATAATGCAGGCTCTAAAATGGGCGTCGCTAGGGATGTATACCTCACTCGCGCCAGTGCTAGCCAAAGCCATTGAAGGCAACACCCGTAAATCAGTGCGGAGTAAAAGCTACTGAATGACTTTGACATAAGTCGAAGGAGCTTTCTTCGGATGTCAGATATTGGGTTGCTCCATGGGGAATTTCAGGCTCACCTTGCCGCTGTAGCACCGAAGATCCACAGTCAAGCCGTCCACCTTGTAGGTATTACAGCACTGGAGCAATGCCGCGTAGTCTTTAGCTTAGCTTTTGCAAATATCCCTGAGCGATCAATCGTTCGACATCACCCTGCCTCACAAAAAACTGGCTATTCTTCGTCAACGTGATAGCCCTGACAGCTTGTGCATTAGTACCTCCACTCCCAACACGGTGTCCTATGGGGAAGACAATCATACCCATACTCAGTCTGAATTTCCCCAGCATCCTTCAATACCCTCACATCAATGAACAGATCTCGTGGGGGTTCCAAGCTCCCCGTCAAATCAATATCCGTCCATTGCCCTTTGTATGCTGCCAGCATGTCCCCATATTGGCGAATGTACTCCTCCTCCTCCGGACTCAGCGAGCTCTGATTCCCTGCCTCTGAAGCCATGCCTGACCCTTCTCCATTGCCCTGCCGGCCAGCCTGTTGCTCTTGATCCAGAATATCCTTACCACTCCAGCACATCTCCTCGAGCTTGTCAGATCGGACTCGGTGATAGGCAAGGAGGCACCGCTTGTTACGGCGCATGCAAAGATGATTGACCAGGACAGAACATGCGGTGGCTGGTTCAGAGGAGGGGTTGAAGGAGCCTTCGAAGGGAGCGAGGATGTTGGAAACGTCTTTGTCGAGGTCACGTACTTCGCGTGTGGTTTCTCGGACGAGCTCGGTCTGATAGTGTGGTAGATGAACTAAGGCCTGTGTTCTTTTGGCATGTTGGACCTGGGGTGGTAGTCTTCAGTACCCTTCCAATTGTTTGTACTTCTAATGTGGGGAGAACTCACAAGCTTGAAGGCATGGTCACCATACATGGTGACTTTTGGATCAATCTTTAACCCAGCCAAGCGTATGCACAGTTGCTCAAAGCTCTAAGATCCACCTCATCTTTGCCATGGATGCCAAATGCTGTAATGGTATGCTTGGCAGTCGCCAAACATTGAGTTTGGCCAAATCTCGCGTCTTCACGAACAATGCCAAGACCGGGCCTACCCGCAAGCCGAAAATCACTTGACTTCGTGCCAAGGATATAGACATCAATCACCTTGTCCATCGATTCTTGTGCCATTGCGCCATATATAAATTGTGTTCCGAGACACAGGAACCAATGACGGCAGCACCTTTCGTTGGCTCAAAGGCCTCTCCTTTTCTTGCAGAAAGATAGTATTCATTAGGATGTCGAAATGGAAGTCCTCTGGTACTCTGTTGGTAAGAAGTCCTATATCCACGAGCCGTTGTCGAAATTCTCAACGACTCTTTGCAAACCACCTAGACTAGCTCTACTTTGCCGACACTATGTTTTATGTCATACATGAAAAATCCTTCAAACCCTGGTACTCGTGCCTTTGTCCATCGTCCAACACCCTCCTCTCCAGCCTTGAAACCTAGAGCAAGATAGACGGTGGCGTATCAGGATATAGCGATGGACTCTTTCCTGTACCATGCTCCTTAGACTTTCTCAACGAGTAGACTTTTCTTCTTGAGAAGGATATGCTTACGGTAAAGCAGACCAGAGAAGCATTGACGTCCGCCATGATCTTCACAAGACGTCGGCCCTACTCTGCTTAGTCATAAGACACCTGGAACATTCCGGAAAGCCGGAGAACGACAATGGAAGCATGCTGTCGGGAACATGCAGTATCAAAGTAATTGTCTTGGTTGTGCTTGCTCCACGTTCCGTGGACCTGCCCGCTGAGCTGTTGACACCCGTTCACAAAGTCTACTCCGATAGGCGCAAAGTGCTCCGCTGACATGACGTCCCACGCGCGTTTGACAAGCTGATCATAAAATTCCTGAAGCTTTGTTTCATGGTTCGAAAGGGTTCTTAGTCCGTTAGAGGGAATGGTGTGGAGAGACGAGGCCCTTGTTGCCAGGAAACTGGAAAAGGGTTGGAGACCGGGGTGATGAAAGACCGCTTAATGCTCTATTCAATGCTCCGATTTCTTCGCCGAATTGGCGCATGACTAGGTGGAGTAGGAGTTGGAAAGTCTTATTATAAATTTGATTTGCAAAGGAAACTCTATAACACCAGCGACAGCGCCTTCTATAAATGGATAAGAAGACCAGGCTATCTCCCTCCGCCCAAGAAATGAGGATACCATGGATGCCCCAAGACAACTCCGGTCAGGCAGGATCTCAACTCAGGTGAACTCACGACCGATCTCTTTGTTGGGCAAACCACTCATCAGACCCCATCTCCGGTTCTGCGTCCTCATGCTCGCTTTCGAAGTCGTTCAGAACGGGCGAATATGCTGGCGTCTGGTATTCTTCCGCCTGGATGCTCATCGACTGATTGAAATGCTCGTTACCACTGGTACTAGGATATTTAGGATGGCTTTGGTCATAGCTTGCCAACATTGGGTCAAGCTGTGAATTGCCGCTCATCATCTGCTGTCGGCTATCCTCGCCCTGCAGCTCGTGATGATATGCACCTGGAATCCCTATCACTGGCAGTGCCGGGTGATGGTACTCGGATGGACCGTCGATCGGATGAACGAAGACATCCTCGACGTGGCCAAGATGGGCCATCCTTTGATTCGGATGGCTTGTCGTCTGGTAGTATTGGTTGTGAAGAGCTTGCTGGTTCAAAGCGGCAGGCAGAGGTTTCCCAGGATTATGTGTTTGGTAAGAGGACGGATGATGAAAGAGTTCCGCAGCGTCGAAACCATTGGGGTCGTACTCGTCAAGGGATGTTCCGCTTGGCGTGTAGCTGGTTTCACGGTAAGGCCTTTTTGATTTCTTAGGCTTCAGTGACCAGCCTGCTCCATTTGGTGCATATGCATAGTCCGAGCCATTGTCGCTTAGCTCGTCTTCTGAATCACCTGCTCTTCCTTTGCGCTTGCGGTTCGCGGCCTTGGCTGTTTGTGGCTGGAATTTATAGTCCGGGAATGCTTTGGCGTGATTCTCTCTTTCGACCTTGGCCCACGCATCAAATTGCTTCCGAATTTCTGGAGGCTCCATCGCCCAGCTCTCGCCAGCAAGCGAAGATATCTTCTGGTGATTGGGCGACTTCTCCCATGCTCTGGCTCTGTCTGCGTATGCGGATCTGTACAGGATGAAGGAGTTCGAGGGACGCTTCACGAAGTTGTCTTTCTTTGCCTCCTCTCTCCTATCTTCTACAGATCTGTTGACCCAGGCCTCCGTGTCTTTGATCTGGATGTTTATCATATCCTTTGTCAACTCACTGAGCGGACCACTAAGCGTCTTTGTTTTCACAGTGTTCTTCTTCCGGGCAGCCTTTCGCGGTCTGGGGGAGCCTGAAGGATGGCGAGAGCCGGCGCCTAATCGGTTCTGCCTCGTTGATCGCGTTTGTGGCGCGCTTTGATCAGCCATTTCTGGTGTAGGAGGCGCCCTACCATGGATCATAGGGTTGGGGTATTGCTGTATGAACCGATCAATCTTCTGTTGATGCTGGACGGCTGCATTTGGACTTACGTGCTGCTGTTGGAGAGCATAAGGGTTGTACACACCCTGTTGCTGAGGATGGAAGACCTGCTGTCCGTATGCATCCTGCTTTGTATTAGCCTCTTCGCGTCGTCCGTCTTGAGACTTGCCAACCTCTTGGTGCGACTTACGAAACTCATATCCACGCCGAGGTCGTTCTGTTCCTGGTAGAGGCGAAAGCTTTTGTTGCCGTACTGGTCCATATACCACTGGCCAATCTCTGGCTCTGGAGTGTTATCGAATGAGGTGGCTCCAGAAGGTATATATGGGCTGTTGCCCAAGGCATATATGTTGGCTTGGTGCTCGCCTCGGGCGTTGTGCTGCACCAGGTGACCGAAGCCATCCTGAAGCTGGCGGCCGTCGACACTTGGAGGCGTTGGCGGAGGCTGTTTTACCATAGCCGCCACAGACATGATTGACGTATGGACGAGCCCGGATTGGAGCTTGCGTTATCTTGAGAATATGCCTGACTATTGTTGAGCTGGTTGGAATTTACCCAAGTATTACGTCGCCAAAGAGCGGTGTGTTCCCGACTTGACTGCCGCGTGTGAGTGACCTCTTCCCTCGTGTCTTGATTGGCAAATCTACCGATTGGCGTAGCCTCCAGATGCCCTATTCAATGTGCTGCTCGATATGCCTAAGTTCTGGAGGGTTGCGGAGCTCACGTTGCCCTATAGAATTGTTGTTGACTGAAGTATGGAAACTCTGGAGGCTGGAGGTCTCAATCTTGTGTCAGAAATGTGGATCATGGAGGAAACAGAGGAAATCACAAGGAAGTGGGCTCATCATGAGGTGATGAGTAGAACGCACCTGTTGCGGACATCTGGATTGCGGTCTTACCATGCCAACTCCGGATGCAGCAATCGGGAAGTGCAGCTCCAAGGCTTCTAGAAGTTATGCAGGCCCCAAAGCGGCGACGGTCACTACCCGCCAGATAGTCTTTGTCCGTTGCTGTCGACCCTTGCCAACACTGCCTACAGGAAGGAAAAGTTGGCGGCAGGGGAGGACTTCCTTTGTCCATAGGCAAACGGTGGCCATAGAGGTTAGAGGTGATGTTGGGACGATGTCCGCCGGAAGGAGTACAGTATGCTTCCAGCCCAGAGCCTCTTCGCCGGATCTGTCGACCAGACCATCTAATTCTTTCAAGCCAGTCGAAGGCCAAATGGGACTTCTATGAAGCTGATCTCAGAACCGAATGCATGATAGGCTTCAACCAATCATTGCAGGCATCACTGTACAGCTACCACGGTATCCTCCAGTGCGGTGGGAATGATCCAGAACGGAGCCCTGCTCTACTAGTGTGGCGCTAAATAAATGTGTTGACTGAACTCTGGGATCCACGACCATGGCATTCTCCCTCCCCAGTGTGAATATAGGATTGCGTGACATTCTCTGACACCTTTACAGCTAGCCTCTCCAAGTTGGGAGATCAGCAGTAGAGTCAACTCCAAGTCGATGCGTGCAGTTGGGATATCACATGTTTTACGAGTCAAGTTGACCACTCTGGCAGGGTGCTACAACGTGCACATTCCTCATTTCTTCATGCGGACTGCAGTTCGTCTTTTTGGCCCCCAAACGTTACCAAATCGAAAGCAGTCCAGGCTATTCTCCGATACGCTCAACAAGCCGCCATATCCTCAGCAATCGCAGGGAAAATGGTTCACTAATGCGAGGATGCGACTGAGACAGGGGTCAGGACGGATAGTGGCAGCATCGGGCTAGACCATAATTGATAGCACAATGTTGTTCAGACGTCGTCTGTTTACTTCCTAACTGACATTGTGACTTTAGCACGTTTCGAAGGTAGGTTGACGGTGATCTTTCTAATGCTTGCGTCCAAGCAGCCGGAAAGCATATTAGACGCTCGCGTTCACTAGTCAGCTGGCAGCGGACGGCAGCGAGTTCATGGTTCTGAAACTTCTGATAGGTGGATCATGAGAGCCGGACCGTCTAGCGATGCCGTTACCAGCCTTCGTCAATGACTTGGACCTCTCAGTTTCGAACCACCGGGGAAATTTTTGGCGGAAGTTCAACGTTCCCAGTCGGGTGTTTTACCTGGAATGTAACTTGTGGTGCACGCCATGCCGAAAACGTCGAGTTGTGGCACCAGAGAACCACCGCACAATTCATTCTGCGATACCTAGGTCATGAATAACAGGAAGGTACTTGAGGTTGAATTTCGCTTCTAAGCATTCAGATCGATTCTGATCATGACCAATTCATGTTACGACAAAATGCAAGGCTACAAGTTCCATCGGAGATATATTGTGTAGTGCATATTTCAGTACCATGGTTTCCCTGAACTCTCATCATGCGCCGCTCGCCATGGCCGTTTTCTCCGCATCTGCCCCCCCTCCTCTGATTGAGGATACGATCTCAAGTGTGGACATGGGGCGCATATATTCCAAATCCTAAAGCAAGCCTATCGAAGAGCAGCTGGTTTGTGTGCTTGCAACGGTGGGACATGACTCGAATGGGATGCATGTAGTCAATGTGGAACTGAGTGATCGAGACATGCGAGAAATGGGTGGAGGGAAAGCGTCCATGTACATTCAATCTAGTTCTAGGCAAGAGCTCTACTCGTACTCGTGTAATGCAGCATCTACTCTTGTCAATGTTTTTGCACGTAGATACTCTGATATGCTCGACGAACACATTGTGTTTCGTATCTAACATCAGGTGAATATGGTGCATTGTCGGTAACCTCTTCCAACTCTCAATTCTCCCGTGGAAAATAATGACTCAACACAATTGAAAAGTTGAAAGGGAAATAAGAGAAATTAAGCTCGTTAATGTTTCGGAACATTCCGCAGAGAATGACCTCACAACTGAGGATCGACTTGAATTGGCGCCCGTAGTCACTGCACCACACCATCCAACCATCCACTCCTACATCGCTCCTGCTCTTCCTCTTTAATCCCCCCAACCAAAGACACTTCTGCTCATTTGCAAGAGCGACTTACTGCATCCATTTCCTACTTGCCCGCCCCGATCTTTCACCCTTTTCACTTTTCAACCGGACCTTCCCGAATACATCTTGCAGCACACCCGCTTGCATTGTTCAACTGCCCGCCCTTCTCCCACACCAATTCCACCATCGTTCTCCATGCTTTGAAGACTGTGGCCACTACCCATCCTTCGTCGGTCAAATCACACGCAGTTCTCCCCGAAACCCCAAAATCGATTCGTGGAGGCTCCTGGCCAATGCCGCCCGCAATGGCGCAAACTAGGTTGACTCAAGAGACAAAAGATACAATACTGGGCATGAAACTGACTATTGCCCGGTATCAAGACTGTAAAATTGTATACCGAGGGTCTGCTGTCAGAAATACACTGACATTTCTCCCTACAGCTTCCGACTCTGACGATCCATACCTCCAAGCTACGAATCGTGGGAACAAACTCAAGCGTAAGGTGCATCACATGCAAGATGCACAATCAGGAAGAAACCCCGGGGCCAAGGCCTACAAGCGGGTGGGTTAAAATCTACGATGGCGCTTCTACTGATTACGAGGCTGACATTCTCCGCCAGACGATTGAGCATGCCGGCTACCGCAGAAATATACTTCGCCGAAACCCCAAGCGCTACGATGAAGACGGAGAAGAGCTTGAGGATGAGGACGAAGACGGGGAAGCTGATGCGCGAGCTGCGGAAGACAACCCATATGCTGACATTCATCTCGAAAGTAAGCAAATATTAGCTATCTCACCAATTCAAGTGCTGATCATGGCAATCAATAGATCTACTCTTACCTCTGACGTCTCCTGCGAGCCTGCTGAACCATCCCTCGCTTTCCATCCCATATCTTTCATCTACATTGACAGATATGGCGCAACATGCTTGTGAATTGGTGCAAAGAGAGAGGAAGACTTTGAACAACGCCAAGCAACTGTTGAAGAAGCTGCGAGGAGACCAAACGTGGATACCTTGCGGTTCACTCTGTTCCAAAAGTGATGAGGTATTGTTCAGCACAGAGCACCTATACAATGGTACCGCGTCAAATGGGATCCCGCAGGGTCCGAGAAGAGTCCACACACAAGAAAGAATGGTTAATGGCATCGGCAATGGCGACCGGCAATTGGGAACTCGAAGTGAAGCGAAGCCCGGAACGGAGCTCGCCAATACCAACGAATCGCACGAAGACACCACGGAGGAAGACAGCATCGACGCAATCGAGGCAGCGGCCTATGGCGCCCTACACCCCAGCCCACCTAATGAAGCACAAGAAGAGGAGGTCACAAAGCTGAACGTCCTACCGGACCTTGAGATGACAGGTGCCAATGGCAAGGTATCCGAAGGTCAAGGAGCCAAGCCGGGGGACTCCGAAGAGTTGGAAAGGTGTTTTGAGGACGACATTGTGGACATAGTGGGTCCTGAAGCTTCGATCACAGGCCCAGCCGAATCAGAAGATACGCTGGACACAGATGTGGGATCTGGCCGAAACTCAGGGCACAGTGGCAACAATGACCACACCGTAACACGGGCCAGCCCACTTACAGACGGTCCTATCCCTGCCGCAGCAGACATTCCCACTAATGGAGACACCGCCCTAGCCACAGAAAACACAGGAGACGAAGTCATGGAGGATGGTATCGATGCCGACGACGAAACGAAACCCTCCCCTCGCCGCATGCGAACCCGCGCCCAAGCCCAAGCAGCCAACTCTCCGGCAACCACCACCCGCACCGCTTCTCCCTCCTCCTCCATTCCCCCACCAATCCACCCCCTCTTCATAATTCCCCCCTCCGCCATCCCCTCCTGCGACATCGGCCTCCCGCCCACCGAAGCCGAGGAAACGCGCCGCATGCTAATCCTTTACGTGCAAAAACAAGAAGAAGTGTGCCGCGGCGCTAAGAAACTGCATCAGGGTTTGTTAAAAGCAGATCGGCAGAGGATGACGGTATTTAAGTGGTGTAAGGCGGAGGGACATGTGGGGGAGATGAGCGACGGGGAAGATTGGTATGATAAAGAGGAGTGGGGACTGGAGGAGGGACTGAGGAAGGGCCATAATGATGATGAGGATGAGGGCGCGGTGCAGGGCAAGAAGACCAGGGGGAGGAGGGCGTAAGGGTCTATGAAGGAAATGGAGTCATCTACGACATGATACCCAGTATTGAGAAAGCGCCGTAGCTGCAATATCAAGAAGTTTCAAAATCGCTTGAAAATGATCCATGCGGAGAAAGGGTTAGGAGCTCTCATCAGTCGTCTTCACTGTCACTACCAAAAATGGCCCTAAAAATCTCGTCACCAGGCCTCTCCTTCTCAATCGCCTCATTCCTCTCCGGATCCACCACGACTTCTTCCATGCCCTGACCCTCTCCCATCTCCTCTCCACCACCCTCGTCCTCAACCTTCACCGCCACACTCCTCATCCCACCTCCACTCATCCTCAACTCATCCATATCCCTCTTCCCAACCAATTCCAACCGCTTCTGCGGCATCGCACTTGAATGCATTGGTGGCGGTGCTCCATTTCCTTGCTCAGGGGCCACGTCTCCAGGATCTACTTGTACGTGCGCAGGAGGCTTGATGTTGAAGCGCTTACACAGCAACCGCGTAGGGTAGAAGTTCTCCACTGAGCGAGTGAGAGGCCCGTACATACCCACGGTGGCCGCTTCTTCAGCGGGTGTCTTCGCTTTAGCAGTAGGTTGTGTGAGTAGTTGTGAATCCCCCGGTGCATCTGTAGAGCCTTCCAATTTGATGTTGTCAGATGCGAGCTTCGGAGCTGAGGATGAGGATGTGAAACGCGAAGCCATGATGCCGGTCACAGGCTTGAAAATCTGCGCCGCGTGCGCGAATTCGTTCATTTCGTTGACCCAGTCATCGTTACTGGCGCCCGGGGCTCGATCGGGTAGGGTTCCTTCTGGGCGTAGGCTCGCGCAAATTTCGAGGTAGAGACGGTAGCGAGAGCGCTTGGCGGGGTCTTCGGCGTAGGGCATCCAGCCTGCTGTTCCTCGGCTGAGGGCCGTAAGGGCGGTTTCTTTGGCTAAGGATGGGATGAGCGAGGAGAGTGTTCTTGGATGAGATGAGGACAGGTGAGCGTCTGCTTCGCCTAAGGCAGGGGGAAGGTTGGGGTTGTTGGTTGCGGAGGCGATGCGGGCACGGGCATTGGGGTTGAGGTAGTCGAATACTGATTTGCCTGGAAGAAGGGTTTCGCCTAGAAGGGCGGCGCGAGATTTGGGGGAGAGCTTCGAGGCGGCGGCGATGGTGGCTGGAGACTGATAGACTGATTGGGCTGAGGCGGATGCTTTAAGGTTGGAGGACGTCTTGGAAGACTTCCAGTCTGGGGGGATCTTGGGAGGAGGGTATTTGCCATCTTGTGAGAGGATTGAGGAAAAAGGATCTAAACTGCTGGAGAGAACGAAGCCATCCAAAGGTAGACGGCCATCGTGGCATCTTCGAAAACCCGCACTAGCTTTCCCTGCACCAGCTTTCTTGGAGATGAAGACGGGTTTGCTGTTGAGCAACGGATTGGCTGAAGATCTACTGGCTTCGAGCTTCTTCTTTTTCTTCTTGTCGCCTCCTATGATACGATTGTAGGATATCGATGGGCCCAGTTGATAAGGATCCTCGTCGTCAGAGCCATTGTCGTTGAGAACACCCATGCCGAATCCACCTTTGCGTTCTGGCTTTTTGTTTTTGGTCTTACTACTATTCTTGGGAGCTCCGAAGGCTGTACTTTCTTCCTCGTCATCACTGGCCGGGTCTGTAGGTTTAGTCATCCCAGCGACATCTCTGCTCTCTGAAAGCCTTCCGTCACCTTCAAAGCCCAGGCCTTTGCGGTCACTCTTTCTGATAAAGGATATCATACGCGAATTCTCTGGCGCAAAAAGGTGAGTTTGTTGATCTGACCCACCACCCGGCTCCTGGTCCTCCTCTAGCCTTGCTTTTCTCCTGACCTTTGGTCCCACACCCTGGCCCTCGCGCCAGCCCATCTTCTTCAACAATTTTACCCCCATCGTCTCCCCGCTAGTCTTCAGGATGTCCATGAACGTATCATCTTGCGATCGTTCTCCCACTGTAGATGCAAGCCCTGCGAAGGCATCCGCAGTCTGTACCTTTCTGGCCTCTTCAGCTTCGGCCATGTCTTCCTCGTCCATAAAGTCTTGCGGTCTTTGCTGAACCGCAGGGGCATCTTTTTTCCGGTTTGTCCGAGACGAGACAAAGGTGGAAGGCGTCCATCCTTCCTTGGATCCAACGGTATTGAAGTATCTATGTGTCAGACGTCAGTGAGGCTTCTCCTCAATGCTTTCGGGCCATTTGCGGCTTACCCAGCACTGAATCCACCTGTGAAGGCGCCGTGCAGCCTTTTCCTTCCTTGCTCGTCTGTGACCTCTTGCTTCCACACGGGCACGTAAGTACCGTCATCGCGAATGTCTGGATCCAGAGGTGGAAGTGGAGTACCGTATATGACGTATGGCGACTGTTGAGCAGTAAGGTCTGCTTCGAAGGTCGCACGCGATCGCTTGTAGGCCATGGTGATGAATGTGAGGCATGCTCGAGATTGTGCAAAATTCTTGAAGTCTAGACTTCCGCTTTAGATTGATAGAGAATGTAGTACGCACATGAACATTTCTAAAAGAAGAAAGTGGCCGTGTGCTACTCCAACCTCACAATGCAATGGCGAAATAGGTATACAAGTAAAGCTTATTCCCAAAAGATATTAGTACGGCGGAGCTGGCAAATACTGAAGTTTGAAGGGGAAGAATGGTGACGCCAAGCCTCGGTGCCAAGCCAAGTCTCGCCAAGCCTCAGGGATCGCGAGTGAGGCTGGTGTGCGGGTTAGACTTTACCTGTAGACTGACCTGACCTGCCAATTCTGCCGCAGAGTATGCAGTACTTTTTAGTATTGACAAGCATGATTCCATCTTTCTCCATAAGGCATAAAGAGAAAGTACTATCTCATACCTGACTGCTGATATTCAGTCTATTGATGACCATACGTTCTTGAGTTTCAAAGCATTGTCCTTATAATCCTCCCCCCCCCCGGAGCTGCCCCTCTATCCTCCTCGGCCATACTCCGTACCCTGCAGGCCGCGTTGTCCAAGCTGATATCTACCTCTAACCACCCCAACCCTACGCGACTTCTTTCTAGCATTCTCGTACTGACCAAGTCTTGAGACTTCACTGAAACTCTGGCAGCCTCGACATCTGATCATAACCAAGCCCAGTCAGTCGCATCCACGTCTAGTCGCTTACGGCAAGGGAGCTTCTCGGTCTACTAGCTTGCTACTCGTATTTTCCAACGACGCGGCCTCTTGACCAAAGAGACGGCATACTCACACCCATCCAAGAGACCAATTCTTCATAGAAGTAGCGGCATCTCCATCCGCTGGCAGTCACCAAAGCGGTAGTCAGGTAACTGCCTCAGGAGGCTTAAGTCTCTAAGCTACTGGACGTTCACATATCAACTTTCCCCCGAACACGATTCCCTCGAAAGAATCGATGTCGGCTGCCTCAACGGCTTCTCCCTCTGTGGTGCGCAGCTCTTCACGAAAACAGCCCTCATACAGTTCTCCCACAACAGATCGACCTCACAGGACCCCCTCTACGGCTACCAAACCCTCAACAGGATCCACTGGACCTTTGCGATCAAATTCGCAATCTCAATCATATTCCCGTCCCACGACGGCCTCCGATCAGGCTTCTCTCGCTGGTGTCGCTCGGAAAGATCATGAGACCACCAACCTAGCTAGGCCTTCGATTTCTCGCCGCAGCTCTTCTCGAGAGCGATCTTATGCTGCCCCACCGCCCCAGCGAACCGAGTCTACTCGGGACTCTCGCAGAACTTCTTCGAGACCAAGTCAGTCGCGCAACACCTCAAGGATGTCTACCGCTACTGCGGTAGCCAGCAGCGATGGCGTGACAGCTGTTTCAACACCCACTGCTGCCAGAATACAGTCCGCTGCTGCCTCTGGAAGCACTACACCTCTGAAGAGGAGGACAACACTTGCTGCGCAAACAGGACAATGGTCTTTAGGCAAAACTATAGGAGCAGGGAGCATGGGCAAAGTAAAGCTGGCTAAGAATTTAGAGTCTGGAGAGCAGGTTGCTGTCAAGATCGTGCCCCGGCAATCAACGGACGAGCATCGCAATGATCGAGATCGTGAACGTGCAGATCATTCCAAGGAAGTCAGGACTGCCAGGGAAGCAGCTATCGTCACTTTGCTCAACCACCCATACATCTGCGCGATGCGAGATGTTGTGCGCACAGATTACCATTGGTACATGCTGTTTGAGTACGTGAACGGCGGTCAAATGCTGGACTATATCATCTCTCATGGCAGGTTAAAGGAAAAGCAGGCTAGAAAGTTTGGTCGGCAAATAGCAAGTGCCCTTGACTATTGCCATCGGAATAGCATCGTTCACAGAGACTTGAAAATCGAGAATATCTTGATAAGCAAGACGGGGGATATCAAGATTATCGATTTCGGTTTGAGCAACCTGTTCTCACCAAGGAGCCATCTCAAGACGTTCTGTGGTAGTTTGTATTTCGCTGCGCCGGAACTGCTGCAAGCAAGGCAATACACAGGCCCTGAAGTGGACATCTGGAGTTTCGGTATCGTCCTATATGTGCTGGTTTGTGGGAAAGTGCCTTTCGATGATCAAAGTATGCCACAGCTGCATGCGAAGATAAAGAAAGGTGTGGTCGACTACCCAACGTGGCTTTCCCCAGGTAAGCGGGCGAACTCTTCAGCATTGTTTCGATCTGGTCACTAAATACCCTTTAGAATGCAAAAACCTCATTTCCAGAATGCTTGTGACAGATCCGAAACAACGAGCCAGTCTTGGCGAGATACTGAACCATCCGTGGATCACTAAAGGCTTCAATTCACCTCCTGAAAATTACCTTCCTCCGAGAGAGCCTCTACAATTGCCTCTAGATCCCCAAATAATTGAGAAAATGCATGGGTTCGACTTTGGCGAACCCGACTTCATCGAACGTGAGCTAACAAAAGTTTTGGGCTCTGAGGAGTACCAGAATGCTGTAAGACACAATGCCCGAGAGCACGCTGTCCATGCTATGGGCAGTGAAAAGAAACGGGGTGTCTTCGACTTCTACAAGCGGCGAAGTTCCGTCACAAGTCGAGAAACTCTGCCAAATGCGTCTTCTGACGCAGTGCAGCTTGGTTCAGACCCTGTCAACGCTTTCAGTCCCCTCATATCAATCTACTACTTGGTCAGAGAGAAGAAAGAAAGGGAACGTATAGAAGCTAACCCTGGAGCACTGAGCATGCCCATGTCTCCAGGCGAGAAGCCCCTAAAGATCCCCGACCTACCTGCACCCGAAGCAGCATACACCAACGCTTCGGCTTACGAGATGCCTGGTGAGAAGACCACAGGTGGCCGCTCGAGAGCACGGTCGAGGACACATGGAGAAGAAGACGTGACAGAAGGCTTGAAGAAAGTCAATCTCAATGTACCTCCCGGTGTACCTCCAGCCATCGTGACGCCAGGCCATGAACAGCAGCCCGCCAAAAAAGAGAGCGCTGCCGTTGGACTTCTTCGAAGATTCAGCACGCGGCGGTCAAAGGAGCCCAGATCAGAAGCCCAGCACTCTCCGTCAGTGCAGGTGCAGCCACCTACGGATACATCCACGACGCCAAGGAAAAGCTTCAGTGTGCGGAGAGCTCGTAATAGAGAGCCAACCCCAACGACAATGCTCCACCCCGGCGGTAGCACACCTCATCAAGCTGAGCTGCTAACGCCCCCGGGCACGCTAGAAGCAAGATCGAGGACGAAAAATACCTTGGATCGATCCACGAGCGTCAATTCTGCTGAGTACCGAAAGCGGCAATCGCATCGAGGCGTATCTGAAGGGCAAGGCTCGATTCCGGCCATCGAGCCTCCCTTAACGAGTGGCTCTGAGAGGTCTAGCATCAGCGGTCACAAACCGAAAGCAAGCGAGCCTCCGCCGATCGACCAGAAGAGTGTTCTTAACGCCCGGGCTGCAACCACACGCACCAAGTCTCTTGGTCACGCGCGACGTGAAAGCATACAAGCTAGACGCGCTCTAAGACAAGAAGCCCACGAGGCTAATGTACCAGAAGAACCGGACCAAGAATTGGCAGCAGGCGCTGATAGTCCCAACAAGAGTCTTGAGAACATGAAACCAGTCTACCTCAAAGGTCTCTTCAGCGTCTCCACCACAAGCAACAAACCTCTGCCCGTCATCCGCATGGATATCGTCCGTGTACTCAAGCAACTAGGAGTACAATACACCGATATCAAAGGCGGATTCAGCTGCCGCCACGCTCCCAGCATCGATCTCAATCGCGGCCCTGACAATAGCCCTCCAAGCCCGGAACTTCCATCTGGCAACAGACGGCGAATCAGTTTCGCCGGTGGCTTGAGAAGCGGCGAACGCAATGAAGAAGCGTCAGAGAAGCCTGCGCACATCCCCCGCAACCCATCGCGCAAGCACCCAGCCCCTGATACCTCATTCACAGCCTCTGACGAATCAGATGATAGCGCTATTGGAGTTGGCGCCGCTCGACGACGTTCTCAAGCGGGCGAGAGAACGCCGGCCGGGGAAACAACGACGCATGTGGAAAGTGAGGTTGGCGGGAACATGGTGGTAAAGTTTGAGATATTCATAGTGAAAGTGCCACTGTTTAGTTTGCATGGGATCCAATTCAAGAAGGTGGCTGGGGGGACGTGGCATTACAAGAACATGGCAACGCAGATTTTGGAGGCCTTGAGGTTGTGAGGGCGCGGATTGTGGAAGGGGTTGACGGACATGCTCACCCGAACGGAGGGATAAGAAATCCAACTTTCTTGGTGGTTTTGCGTACATCTCTTCTCTCATGAGGTTTTATCGAGCGACGACGATTATTCAGGCAGCGGCATTGTTACGAGACTCCTTTTTTGGATGGACGGCTCACGGCTTGGCTCAATACTTTGTATACATTCGCTTCCGGCGACGGGATAGGGTCGGCAGCGTCGATAGTGGCTCTCGGGCACAGCCAACAATAAAAACTTTTCAATCGAGACATGACCATCGTACCACTTTTCCGGCACGTTGCCCGTGTCGTCTGCTTCCGAGCTGCCAGGCTCGTTAGCTGTGCCCTTGCTACTACCTCTTTCCCGCCCGTTTACACACCCGTCTCATGGAGTCGAACATCTTTCAAATTGATTAAATGTAGGCTTCAGTAGACGTGGATGACATCGTGATCTAGAAGTACGGATTCTACCCCCTTCCTATCTACTCTACTGCCCTCTCACTTCTGCGCCTGGACGACTCCAGCTTGGTTCGCCTGCGCCATGATGCGCTTCTTGTAAGCCTTTACGTCCCCGGGAAACGGCTCCACGCTCCCACCATCACACACCCATAGGCTCGAGCACACCTTCTGCAACATCGTCACATCGTGGCTGACCATGAGCACGCCTCCTTGGAACGCCCTCAGCGCACTCGACAGCGCATCCATGGCCTCGATGTCAAGGTGATTGGACGGTTCGTCCAGAACAAGGATATGCGGATTCGTAAGACTCAAGCACGCAAACGCAACTCGGGATTTCTGACCACCAGACAGCAGCGCCATTTTCTGCAGGCCGGTGGTACCGGTGATGCCGAAAGCGCCCAAGTGGCGTCGGTATTCTTCGTCCTGTTTACCGGGATAGTTCTTCGCCATGAAGCCGACGGCGCTGGCATTCATGTCAAGGGCGTCGACGTGGTGCTGGGCGAAGAAGCCAACTCGCAGACGAGGGTTTTGGGAAATGAGGCCGACCGAGGGCTGGAGTTGGCCGATGAGGAGTTTGAGGACGGTGGTTTTACCTGCGCCGTTGGGGCCGACGATGCCGATGCGGGAGTCGAGTTGGACGTCGAGGTCTATGTTTCTGAGGAGGGGTTTTTCGGGTGAGTAGCCGAAGGAGACACCGGTCATTTGTATGATAGGTGGCGAGAGCTTCTCCACCTCGGGGAACTTGAAGTGGACAGTGTACTCGCTTTCTGGGGCTTCAAGTATGGGCATCTTCTCGAGTTTCTTGATCCGAGACTGAGCTTCCGAAGACTTGGCAGCGTTGTAACGGAATTTGTCGATGAATGCTTGCAGATGGGCACGCTGGGCCATCTGGTTTTCATACTCGCGTTTGGCCGTCTTGCGGCGCTCTTCTTTGGTGGCGTAGAAGGAGTCGAAGTCAGCGCCTTTGTAATAGTCGAGGCGTTCAGAATGCTGGTGAACTATGTCGGTTGCTACTTCGTTCAAAAAGGCTCGGTCATGGGAGACGACGAGGAGGGTGCTTGGGTAAGATTGGAGGTAGCTGGAGAGGAAGGTAATGGAGGGGACGTCCAACATATTGGACGGTTCTATGAAATTTCAGCCAGCTTCTTGAGGGGGATTAAGAGGTCGTTTACCGTCAAGGAGAAGCAGGTCTGGCTCGCAGAAGAGCGCTCTGGCCAACGCCAGTCTCATCCTCCAACCTCCAGAGAAGGTTTTGGTGGCATAATGCTGCCTTTCTTCCGAGAAGCCTAGACCTGCGAGTATGCTTGCAGCTCGAGACTCAGCCTTGTCCGACTCCATCTCAGAAAGCTTTGCGTGAATGTCGCTGAGCGTAGTGTCTAGACCTTCTCTGTGTCTGTCGAGCTTTTCGGCGTCTGTGGATGTGTCTGCCATCGACGACCGTTCAGCCTCCAGCTCGGAAAGCTGCTTGCTGATTTTCTGGTGCTGCGTTAGCACACTTTCTGGTATACGATGAGATGTCAAGTCTATACTTCTTGTTCACCCAAAAGATGTTTTCGCCATACATCCGCATCGAGGACTGCTTGCAGAGCGGGTGTGTCGTCTCCAGTAATCTGTACCGAGGACAAAGCGTTAGAACCCCAATTAGGCAGCATTGCACAAGTCTCGGGAGAAAAGGTACCTCCTGCTCAACGTGAAGTATAGAGATATGGGTAGGGATAGCGAGTTCTCTTCGACTTAAAGCTCGTAGCAGAGTACTCTTCCCGATACCGTTCTGACCCACCAGTCCGTAACGCCGGCCAAAGGCCATTGTGAGAGTGGTGTCAGTCAATATTCGCTTTCCACCAATAGAGACATCAACCCCATCCACTTTAATGTCTTTGCTCTTGGCCTGGTCATTCCCCAGCTGTAGAGGATTGACTGCCATGAAGAATTCCTCATACGACTGGGCTTCATCTGGCTGATCCAGTAATCGAGATGCTTCATATTCGACATTTTTCATGATCTTTCGATCTTGCTTTGCCTGGATCTTTTGTTCTGCCTTTTGAAGCTTCTTTTTGTCTACTCGGGACTCTACTTTTCTGCTGTTGGCAGACTCTAGGTCGACTATTCCACCGGCCAGTCCCAGGGTAGAAGAGATATTACGTTGGGATCCGACCTGGATAGCTTGGTCGAGCTTCCGAGTCTTTGGGGCCATTTGCCTCCGCTCGGGGTCGACGCCATTTGCGGCATTGAGCTTTGAGATGAACTTGTTCACGAGGTTGTGGACTGAGGCCGTGTTCTGATCTGAGAAGTCTCCAGATGCAGATACTAGCAAAGCGGTGATGGCCTCAGCGGCTTCATCCAATGGCGACTGGGCGTTAGTATCTGACTCGACATTGTACAGGGTGGAAGCATGGTTCAGATATCCCTTAATGACATGAGCATCAGCATCAGCGTCCAATGTTCACCTCTCCTCTCTCCCAAAATTCCCAATGGATATATGGTGTAGCATGGATACGACTGACTGCAGCATACTCGGAGATGACTTGATCTATCCCCGGGATTTGCGCCTTAATTTCCGCTTCCATTTTCGTTGTTCGCTGGCAATAATGGCCGGTCACCGATGGAAAAGGAAAGTAGAAAGTGGAAAGTGAATTTGTTGTTCCGTCAGCGTGCGTCCTGGACACCAGGAAGAAGCTTGTGGCGGCTGCAAGATGGCAGGCTGATAGGCTGGTAGCCGTTGGCGACAATCCTTCTATGAACGCCAAGAGGAACTCCTACACTGCTACAGGCTACACCGTGGTTCAGGGTAGATAAAGTAGGTACCTTAGGAAGAATCACACACAGACAATAAAGCCAAAAAAGCGAAATGAAGTAATATCAAATTCCTACAACTTCACCCGCCTCTGAATGAATCTACCGACCGTACTTTACCTACAAGATACAAGGCAGGTATTTTGAACAGGGGTTAAGGTAGCTAGCTAGCTAGCTGTCCCTATTTTAGGCCTTTGACTTTGAGACAGAAAGGGTGCTGAGGTCCAATCAACACGTCGCTATCAATTATCGATCATTAATCAAATGTCGCGTGGAGAAAGACGCCTTCCAAATAAATGAAAGGGAATGCAATGCACGCCGTCGCTAATCAGCCAATGGAGAGCTTCCCAAGAAATGCATGGTGAGATGCATCTTCGATGGCATCATACGAGGTCGAGAACGTGGGTTAAACTTGTCTCTCGATCTGCCGACGATCATCTTGTCTTGTCATTCACCCTCTCCACCTTCCACCCTCCAAATCCCCCAACTTCTCACCAGTCACCACGATTTTCTTGGATTGAGCACTCATTCCCCTTTTTATTCACTTTATATCAAGCATGACTGGTAGACTCAGCTGTTAGCTATATTCATTCCCTACGAGCAAGGAACCAGGATAGCAGAGTCCGGGCAAGTACAATACTTTAGTCTCATTGCCAAGAGTTTGCGCCTCTCGGTCCTAATGGTCGCGAATACATCCCCATGTCTCCTGCCGCTACAGAATCCTGGGAATCCTGGGAATCCTGGGAGATCGACCGTTGGTTGCATGCCCTTCGCCCCACTCATTTTCACCCAGTGCTGAGTCTGGCAATCACCAATCTCGACGGGGTGCAGCGTGCAACGCCAATCGACCCATACGGCATCAGCCTTGCGGGCCAGAGCGAGCTCTGACAAAGCGTTCGGCCTCTCAGAGCTCAGGGCAGCCAAGGGCACAGACGATCTGGTGTTCATAAGGATGAAACCTCCTGCCAAGTGCTAAGTCGTTTGGACTCGTACTCGTCGAACGCCGTAATAGCTGAAAGATCAAAGGCATCACAAAATCAGGCCCAACATCGTACTTGCAGCAGCGAGCAAATCTTGCAGCTCACCGGTGTGATTTGATAGGATCCAGCGGGCGATCTTGCCCTGTAGTACATAACTCCGTAATGTCCCTTCAACATTTTACCCCGCCATGCTTGCCGGGCAAATGAATCAAGTTTGCTACAGATTTGCTTACAGATCTGAGACCCAAACACTCATGGGCCCATGGCTGATACGGCAGCCACGGGTGGACCGACTTGTGCCTAAGGTACATAACATGTAATTGCCTTTTCTTATTAAGCGACCAAAAGGCCCTTCGTCCTGTAATCCGCAAGGTACTAACGCACAACTTCTGAACCCCCAACCTGGTCTCGGCTTCCCTCTAAAGTCCTTCGATCGCTCGTGATTGGGGGCATCTGGGAATGTTCAACAGGCTTCTCAATTCCACCATTCTCATTCGCCTTCCCCTCTCCCGGAAAGGTGCCGCGCAGCTGAAGCGGCATTTTTCTTGTTGTCATCCTTTAAGGCCTTTTAAAGCCTTTAAAGGCGGTACGCCTAGGTCCACCCCTGGTCTGCTGCAGTTCGGGCTGAGGTTTTGGGTTAGTCAAAAAGCGAAAAGAGTCCCCCGAAGAAAAGCGTCCCTTTAAATGATGCCTCGTATCCTGCAAATCCTAACCGTCAACCGTTGCTGATTCCCTTTCTTACTCCATGGAACGCCTTTTCCAAATTCCAGGTACTGAAGCCAAATTCATAGGAGCTGCGCGCATATGGAGATTGGGGAACAGGGGAGGAAGGGAAGCTCGCAAGAATTGTACGAATTAGGCTCAGTCTACCTCTATAAGTATCAGATTTACACGCCTATCCGATGGAATGACACAGCGCCGCCTACCCCATTAGCAATATGTGGGGCATTGCAAGAGAACGGGTGCAGACATAAGGGTGTGCTGTCAAGATATTGCTTTCACCTTCTTTTTGCTCCGACAAGTAGAAGAATTAATAAACAAAGTAGTCATAGACTTGCAGTACCTTAGACTTTAACGCACGAAATTCGTAGAGACGGTGATTGGGTCTGTCGAAAATGTTTACTTACCGGGATCTTCGTTACGCATTTCGTAGGCTGATGTTCCTAAGCCTGAACACAACCAACACTTCCACTGCACCGACACTCAATTGTTTTCCAGTAGCCAGTCAGGCTGGAATTCATGCTGTGGATGAATCCTCGAGTCTGCATCTCTCTCATCTAATTCTCCTGCCGACTTCTACTTTCATTGACTTCCAACACGCCCAAATCCAACACCCTAACTTCGATTCACACGCCCTCCGACCCAGATCAATTCCGGATGACTTCACGAATCACAGGACCCACAAATACTTTATCGAGGTTCTAATGTGCTAAGGCGTACATTTCATGGTCGCTGTAGACGTCGGCGAACGTCGGTGATGGAGACAGTCCCATCGGTAATGCTTCCTACCCCGTCGTGTGCCTTTCTGTCTGTGCCAATTCTCGAGACTCTTCGCGCATTGCCTTGCTCGCTCTGCATCAAAACGTAGCATATTGTCTAAAAAGATATAAAGTCACCCATCTATGCTCAACAGCTAATAAAGTGTCTATGAACAGCTATGTGCAACGGGTACTGTGGGCGTCGCAGCCGTGGGTTTCGCTTTTGGCCATCCGCAACATTCGGCCGCTGCAAGACCGACATCAAACAAGAGGAGAACTATATCTAGAGCTGGCTTGGATGACTTTCAGCCTCTTTCCAACACGCCAACAACACCATCAGCGCTGCCCCAGACTGCCCCTGCTCCATCCTCAAGACTTCGAAAGCGAACCTCTCTTGGCCGGCCCCTAACGTCGTCGAATAATCCAAGACGCGGAACGAGAACGGTTGGCTCGACACCCGACACTAGGGTTGATGCCGAATTTGGGGGAGGGGAGGCAGGGCATGCTTTGCTGCAAGAGCCTGGGCTTTCCACAGGCCACGGACCTTTTGCGTTCGAGTTCAAAGGCTCGGAGAATACTCCTCCTCCAAATTGGCTCAGGCGCATCTCGAGATCATCTCTCAAGAGTGGAAGTCCTACGCCCACCCCTCGGCCGCGCTCGCCGTCCATGTCCTACTCCAATGGTTCAACAGCACCGATTTTACCTAGCTTTGGTGAGCCATTGGCCGGCACATCATCACGAAATAAGCTAGTGAAGCGAAGCTCTTCACAAAGGGCCCTACATGGGTTCGACGGTAATGCTTTACATTCCACGCTTCGCAGACCGGCCACCAGCCATCAAAGATCCGCAACGCTTCAGCAGCAGTTTTTGCAGGATCAAGAGACACGTCGACCGTCTTTGGGCGCTTCATCCATGTTGCTCAACGATCTTTCCGAGGATCATCATTCGTACGACGAATCGTCGCAACTGTGGCAACCTTTCTTCAAGCCCCAACTTCCAGGAACAATCAAAGATGGTTCTTCACGGAAACGTAGTGCAAATGGAATGCTGAACCGGAGTGACACACCTAAGAGTATCGTTCCAGGCATCACCGAACTGCCTACTCTACTTCTGGCGACATCCATCAGTTCACGATCTTCAAACGAAGGCATCAATGGCCGTGCGTCGAATATCTCCGCTCTTAGCAGACCCTTCACTCCTGGCGGATTGAATGACTTCACCTCTCCTGCAGTCGATCAGACAAAAGATGATGTCAATGCCACTCCCGAGCTCAAGCAAAGACATTCATTTTCCATAAGTGAAATGTTTCCGTCACCGTCGCCCTCGACGTGGATGCCCCGCTTAGGCAGCCTTAAAAGAGGTAAAGGCTTTAGCAGGAGCACCGCCGACAGGAGGGTCGTCTCTGCCCCACAAGCTTCCAAACCTCGTATAGGCGCCCCATTTATTCCGGTTCAAGGAGCCGTCGGAAGGCCGCCCACACCCACCAGCCGCCACTTTATGGAGAGTCAGACAAGCCCTTTCGAGGCGCACTCACGTCCTACCAGTGTCCAGCAGAGGGGTGCATCTTCGCCGCTTCCACCGCTGAACCGTCTGTCCGCTTTCGAGGTTAATCTTCCAGGCACCAATCCCTCGTGCCCTACAACTCCGCAGCCAGAGGACCCGACTTCCCCGCGCGTCCCATCTGGGCATTCTTCTCTATCGACGTCATATCCCATGGGCCAAGCTATAACTAAGACTAGGGCTTACCGTTACTCATCGAATCCGTCAGAGCATGGCTCAACTCTTTTAGGATCGGACAACGAGAACAGCCGTCTGATGTCAGGCGACGAAGACGATATGGATTCTCGAAGCGGCACTATGTATGATTCTACGAGAACTGGTGCAACAGGTAGTAGTCATTCTGGCGTACGGAGGCCTCCTATCGAAAGGATATTCGACGAGTCCTCACTTCCCCAACTGCCTTCCAAGGATAAATTAATAACGTTGCAGGATCTGCTGGCACACGAGTCATTCGCGCACACTGATCAAAGGGGGCATCGTGCTGTTGAGGAGGAGCAGGATGTATCGACGCCCGTTCGAGATACTGCGTTATGCAAGGACGATGATAGCTCCACTCCCATGCATGAAACCAGCAAAATTTCTTCTGACGTTTCTCCATCTCCGCCCATCGCTCAGATGGAGCCCAGAACGTCAGGTCCTTCTGCTCGAGATATGGAGATCGACCAAGAAGACGAGTTATGGTCTTTTGATCCAACGGATGACTTGCATAAAGCGGGTAATGGTGCAAGTTTCCCATCACCAAGCGAAGGGAGTAAAACCTCCTTGGCCCATCCCGGTGGAGACCTATATGGCAGACGAGAGTCTCCACCTAACGATCGATTAGAGATGCCGTCGAAGTCGAACATCTTTGAGTGGTCAGAACCTCCCACGACGGATAAAGACACTTTGGAAGGAGAATCGCCTCGGCCAAAGACAGTTCATGGCAGACAGGGCATAGATATGCGTGGGAGTCGTCCAACTGGACGTCGGGGTCTCAGTGCTCTACATCTGCGGAGCCAAAGCGTCCCTGTCCCGAAAGATACGGGAAGTTATCGCAATGGCAATAATCCACCCAAGCTTCTGGGCAACAAAGGTCCCAGCGAGGATTGGGATGGCGATTTCGACTTTGACGAGCCTTCCCGTGGTCCCAAACAAGCAACAACCAGCACCGATTACATACATTCCAGCCTTTCTTCTGGTATGCTCGTTCCTCGTGCCATTCTAGAGAGACAAGCCAGCGTCCACGGGCAGTTCGGTCAGGTCAAAGAGTTGACTCTGCTTGTGGAGGAGCTAAAGCGGCTTCAACAACAAGCTAGCGGTCAGGGCATTATGGAGGGTCAATCTATTGAGCTATGGAAGGAGGCAGAGGGTATCATTAATCTCGCCACATTGGATGATGAGAAGGAGCTATTTCCGCCACGATCTCCTCACTCTCCGAGTTTTGACTTCGATCTGTTCGACGAAGACTCTCCTCGGAGTCGACGGAGATCAGGGCTCTCGCCTTCCAAAGAGGACCGGATGAGTTTAGTGGATGAATCCTCCGGTTCACAGCCCTCGTCGAGACGGTCGTCAGAACTTCCAAAACTCGAGTCATCACCGCCGACCTCCAGGCCGCGCAAGGAGTCGTCGGCCAAAGCCAAGTCTGTCCTCGAGACTATCCATCAACAGCGCAGACATTACGAGCCGGAACTCCTCGATGCGAAGCTCGCTCAGAAGAAGCTTCCTTTCGACACCACCTCCCTCAAAGACCTTGTCACACGAGCCGGCGTTGTCACTCGGGCTCTGAAAGAAATAGTCCGCCGAGCCGAGAATGGTCCAGAGACACCGGATTCTCGACCCACCACACCTAGAGATCCGCCTTACACTCAGATGTTTCAACAAGCTCCTCCCACACCTACGATCACCAAAAGTCCTCGCGTCACGCAGAGTCCTAGAAGCCCTAGAAGCCAAAGAGGCAGTCCTTTCCTGGGGGGAAGCATTGCTGGCAATGATAATGACATCAACGGACATATGAAAATCATGACAGTTGTCTGAGCAGGCTGGATCATTGTATTAACGCCAGCCCTTGGCCTTGCGGCACCGTTGAAGATGCCCCAAAACCATCGCTTCAATTCTTGTACCATACCATGTAATCTCGCATAGAACTTGTTTCCTTGACCACTCCTCACAGCATTTTAGCGACCTCGGATACGCATAATTCAGCGAATACACAGCGCAGCGGCGTCTAGCGCATGAGGCTACTGCTACTATTTCGTTGTTACAGGATGTCTCTATCGAGCGTCTTCTCTTTTCGACTCTTCAATTCACGCTGCTTTCATTTTTGCATGAGAGACGGGATTACGGGACGACACAAAAGTATAGGTATGAACATGGTTGTCGAACATGTGTGTCCGATGACTGGATCACGGGGAGGAACTTTTAATAAGGGGTGCTAGCATGCATTGTGGGCGGGAGACGGCGAAAAGTCGAGGATCGGACGGAAGACTATTGTACAAAGGGCAGGCAGGCATATCAGACGAAATCAAAGATGTGCTGTATCATGCCTGCGCACTGAGTGAAACCTGACACTTCCGACCCTCCTCCATACCGACTCCGCTCCCGATCCCACTCTCTCCTTGTGCGATCGCCACAGCGCAAGCGTCTCCACACACACACACACACCACCTCTTCCAACACCGAACCCTTCAACCCACGCAAGGCCCACCATCCCCTTCTCCTTCAAACCAACCAACTCCATCCCTCCATGTCCCCCACCACCCCAACCCAACCCAACCCAATCACCTCTCCGACCCCTTCCTTCCTTCCTTCCTTCCTTCCTTCCACCACGCTACTCCTGCCCCTTTTTCACCATCCCCCTTTTTCCACCATCCCTCTCTTTCACCATCCTATCTTCTTCCCCCCGCCACCACAACCTCTTTCTCGGCGCCACACCCACGATCGTCGCTTCTGCACCGGACCAGGACCGCCCGCTCCGACACTTTCATTTATTCCTGGGCTGAAGTGGGAGCATCGTCGCTTTTGATTATCGATCTATTTATCTATCTATCTATCACGTCAGTCTAGGCTCCGTTGCTGGGGGGGCCGTTCTTCTTCTTCTTCTTCTTCTTCTTCTTCTTCTTCTTCTTCTTCTTCTTCTTCGTGCTTTGGGCGAGCGATCGATTAAAGGAGAGAGAGAGAGAGAGAGGAGTGCTCAACTTCGTGCTTTCTGTCTGAGCCCGGCTGACGGTTTTGGATGGGTCGGTTGGTTCTACAGACGCGTAGGGGGGGGGACATGGGCCTGCGGAAAGATCAGCGATGTCAGGATTGCATTCGGCTCTGTGATCATTTCGTCCACGTCGAGTGAGTAACTTCGATGAGTTCTACGGTAGGGTTTGCGTTCTTGCCATTTCCACCTTGCTGCAGCGTACATGTCAACGTTATCTATGTGCGTGAACAGTGACAAATGACATCTCAATTCTTCAAACAGAACAAGTTCACCGTTATTATGTTGTATCTCAGCTCTAAATATCTAACGCTGAAAAGGTGGAAGACCATGGGAATGCATGATAGTCTAGATGCGATCTCCAGAAAGCTCTGGGGAGCCAAAAGAACGGCGCCACCACCCCTTGGACCTGAGAACCAAGGACCACGCTTTCCTCCGCCGTCTAACCCATGAGTGCTGGATAGGAATGAGAAGCTTTCCAAGCGAGCTCTCTTCTCCCTACACCATTCATCAAACGCTTCGAAGCGTATGCCCGAACAGAAGCTTCAGATGTCTCCAATCACAGGCGTGAGGCTTCCAAAATCTTGTTTCACCCAAAGTTCATCAGATCATGCCCTGCGTAGAGTAACGAATTCTGCTCTTCAGGATCCTCCCTCATCTACTCTGGGGTTGCACTTTTCAATGCTGCATTCAAGCTCTGCTGCATTGGACTGGGGGATAGCTGAGCAACAGGCGGTATTACCGCCGGAGTACCAGCCACTCCAAGGCCTGGCGCTGCACGAGGTGGACTGTGCTTTGTTGGCGAGAGACCTGGCGATGAGGGCGCGTTGTTCTGTAGTGGAGGTTGGTGCGCAACTGGACTAGACGATGGCGGCTGCATTTTCTTCGATGCGGCGGCGGGCGATTGCTGCTTCGTGGGTGAGAAAGCGGGTGGTCCGGTTGCTGGAAGAGGTTGATTTGGGGAAGCACCATTCGTGTGAGGTGTCTGATACTGTGGAGAATGATGATGCGGGGGGTTGTATAATGGAGGACTATTTTGAGGAGGGGACAAGGAGGGACCATTTTTGTCGGGCGAGGGGACATTGTGGGTTGAATGAGAGGATGATGGGGTTTGACGATCGAAAGAATTAGTGAATGGGTTTTGAGATGGTGGAGGCGGGCCGTACGCCTGAGCATGTTGAGGTTGCTGGGTTGGTGTATAGCGTGCTGACCAGCCTACATTGTGAGGCTGATGGCTGCTTTGATAAGCTCCATTCGCGTCAAGCGATTGGAAAGCTTGTGGTGGAAGCTGGGGTACATATCCGTTATGTGGGGTTACATGGTTGTTATAGCCATTGGCGTATGCGGGAGGGCCAGGCGGTGATCTGAGACCTGGCGGAGGTGCATCTGGATACGCTCTCCTGGTAAAGAAGCTCTCCTCCTGGTTACCAGCGTAGATACTTTGCCGTGGAAGCTGACCTTGGGGAGATAACGTTGGACCATTCATTACGGCTGCATGCATGCCGTTCTGTCGGTTGTGAGGTGCGTGAGGGTTATGAGCGTTTGGACGATGGTGGTTGTTGCTGTCCACTACTGGCTTGAATTTCTTGGAAGGGGGCAACTGAGATCTCTCCTCGCTTGACTGGCGCTTCTTGTCCTCGTTCGTGCCCGAGATTTCCAGTTTCGGTTTCTGTTGGGGTGGTGAAGATGAAGATCCAATACGAAATTTGAGACTTGGGATCTTGGGCTTCTTCGCATCTTCTTCTCGGCGTTTACAATCTTGACAGATAAAATGGAAGTCGTCCTTTTCGGCATCTGTTTGAGAGATACCTAGGCACGCACTGTGTTGCCAGACATTGCACTTTTCACATGCTACGCTGTGAGAGCCATCGTCCTAGTAGATATCACGGTCAACGTCCTCAACTTCAAAAAGCTTGCAAGTCGTCACTTACGAGATTAGTGCCGTGCACTCCGCACTTTGAGCAATCGAAGACCCATTCGTCGTCTTCCGCCAGTGCTGCAAGCTCCTTCTTCCTCTTTTCTATCTCCGTCTTCAGATGCCTCTCAGATTTCTTTGCCTCACCAGCTTCCACCTTCTTGTTCTCTTCCGAGAGATTGGCCAATTCCTCCTCTTGTAGGATACGCTTGTACTCTCTTTCCTTGATTCGTTGTTCACGAGTCAACATGCGTGACTCTCGATCCTCCTCCATCCTCTTCTGCTTCTCCTGGTTCTGCTTCGCTGCAACAAGATCAGCCTTTCGCTTTCGCTCCGCTTCAGCAACTTCCTGCTCTTGTCGTTCTCTCTCCATCTTAGCTTCGAGCCTGCTAGATCGCTTGGCCGTAGCCAGCTTCTGCATATTCATCAGCTCCCGTTCTTGCTTCTGCTTTTTTCTGACTTGTGACTCTTCTGCCTTCTCAATAACCGGCCAGACTTCTTCCTTGATCCGTCGATAAAGATCCTTCTCATCTGGATCCCTGCTCTTCTGTATTGATTCCAAGAACTCCTGATATTGGCCAAGCGTAATAGCGATACATTCCCACTTTCTCCCGCCCAAACCATCATCCGCTTCGTTCGCCCCAGCATCTCCAACCTCTGCCGGCGTATCATTGTCGGCATCATTCGCCGAATCTTCGGGTTCTATTGTCTTTCTCCGCTTGCTAGCTCTGGCAGCGGCTTTACCCTTCTTCGATTTCGTTTTCGCTTTAGGGGCAGGAGGAGAAGGCGGTGGAGGGTCGGTGCGGCGATATAGACGATTATCGTCGAGAACAAAGTAATAGCGCTCATGCTTATCATATCCAACTTCTTCAATACGCTAGATGCCGAGCTATCTTAGCTGAAGTATGTGAAGAAGGGCAGGGGCCATACCCATTGTGTTTGCTCACTGTCCTTCGCCTCAGGCATTCTCTCCCTCATTCGGTCGGCATTGATCAGGGTCCATTGTGAGAGTTGGACAAGCACTTTCAGCTTGAGGAAGACGTCAAATTCGGAGAACTTTCGGGGCTCCTCATCTATGCCGAAGGGGTTTCGGCTGGGTGCTTTTGCCACGTATTGGCGGCGTGTGTATTCATCAAATATCTCTGGACTTTGAGGATATTATTAAAAGATACTTAGAAACCACTGGCAGTACTCACGTAAGACCTCTATGTGAAGACACATATTTCAGAAGTGCGAGTCCGATGTCTGATAAAACCTGGGAGGATTCTGGCTTGAGACATTCGGTCTCGAGGTCCTGAGTTAAGAACAGACTTAGCTTGAGATGTCTCAGACAGAGAACAGATGTTTGACAGCTCATGGAGCAAAGGGCGGGGGGGGTTTGGGAGAAGTACCTCGATGGTCAAATCTTCGTCAATTTTCACCGCTTTGCCGAAGATATAGATATATTGCATGAGGTTGGCCAACTCCCATGTGTTCCGAAGCTTGTCAAGCATGCTTAATTCTGGTGCAGGCTCCGAAAATTCCATCTCATCACGGTTACGCTTGCGGGAGCCCATGTTAACGGGGCCCTGGGGAGGTCTGTGAATTATAGAGTTTTGTTTCCAGGAGGGCAGACTCAGTCAGTATATGGTAAGATGACACCCGTGAATAGTCGATTTAGCAGTTCCGGGAAGCTATTGTCTATGGAGAGAAGCTCACAGAGCAAAGTCGGCGATGGTCACGAGTGATGTTGAATTGGCCTTGAATTTCAGCATCATCAAGGACGCGATGCGATTTAACGGCGGGAACGCTAGTGAGAAGCGCGCTACGGCAATCAGCCTTATCACTGTTCGAGGACTCTCCAATGGGCAATTGAGACAATCACTGAGTTCAATCTTGAGCGCTATTGACCAATATTGTAATTCACTCCTTCAGCTTCGGGATTGTCCTGTGCCAAGCGCATCAAGTGCACGCTGCCGTAATGATATCTGTTATTTACTTGTACAGCCTCAGCAGAGCTGAGCAACACGAGATTTTAGAGTACAGGACAAGAGAAAGGCAGTGCACCACGGGCATGCATCATCCACAGAATCCCAACTTGCATACTAGATTGTTGAAAAACGCCAATGTCCTTGCTCCTTTCCAATTGAAAATGCTTTTAAAATCCTAATGATAAATCTCATCCCTTCAATCCAAAGCGCACCAGGGTATTTCTATGCATGTAAAAACCAGCCGTCCCTGATGCACGCATATGCTACAGGCCCAAAATCGTATCAGGGGTATATCTTCCGGGTATTCGTGAAGTGTCATTCGTAATTGAAGAGGCGCAGGCATTACATTCCTTGACTGTTCGAGCTCTCGACCACATTGTCTGAGAGGTTGATGAGTAGCTGGGCAAGGCAGCGTTTCGTAGCGGCGTCATCACGAAGGACCGAAGAGAAGGTCGCATCCCGGAGAGGCTCGGGTAGACATTGACGGAGAGCCTCGCGTGCACGGGCATTGTCACTCAGTCTAGTGTACATTTAGCTGCTATGCGATTCCATTTTGTCAATGGAAGAACTGACCTGAGAAAACATCTAACGACATGTTTCAAGAGCCGCACAGTCTGCTGTTCAACAAGCTGAGTGACCATATTACTAAGTACTGTGCCGACGGCGTAGAACCGCTCATAGGTGTGGCAAATGTACCCCAGTCCGGTATCGTCTAGAAGTATTTTTTGTACAATGAATATGGCAACGGTCTTGCTCAACTCCGAGCCAGTCTCCATGATTCGAAGGCACAGTGGTATGATTTCGGTGGTCAACAAGAAGTTGATCACTTCACTCGAGTCATTCTTGACTAAAGCACCGATAACGCCAAGGGATGTAAGACGGAGATACTCGAACGGTCTTGACTTTGATGTTGTGTTCAAGAATGGGTATAGGAAGAGGGGTATATGCGCTAGCACTGAGTTAGCCGCCACTCGGGCATGTGTGAACAGCATGTGCGTACCATTGAGGAACAGCCCACGGGTCTCGTTGTGCGAAGCTACGCACTGAAGCAGCGCAAGAGCGTTGCACACACGGTTTGAGGCGGCGGCTGTCAGTTGTGATGGGTTGAGTAGAGGGTAGACTGAGATGATCTCTTGGAGCAGAGAAGTCATGACACCTTATTGTTAAGTCAATAGCCATCTTTGGATCCACAACACTCAGCAACCTACCGAATGAATGCCATATGATTAGCGCTAACTCAGGCACCTGCTCTCTTTTCTTGCTCAACTCCATTAGCGCAGTCTCCCTCGAATTCCCATTTAACAGTTCCGCGACCCAGCCGAGAACCCTTCTGTTCTCCTCCATCCAGTTCCCCTCCGCCGAGTTGGGACCGCTGTTGTGGTCCATATTCATACCGTGCCCATTCGTACCACTGTTGTTGGCCCCCATACGGCTGTAGTGCTGGTGTTGCGCAACAGCCTGAGCATGTGCATGTTGGTGAGCAGCATGATGAGGATGCTGTTGTTGGTGATGACTTTGCTGCTGGTGGTGCCACGACGGCTCAGCTTGCGGGTACTGCTGCTGGTGAGAGAAGATATGCTGGGGATTGATCATTTTAAAGGTCGCCGAGTGATCCGGCGGAGAAGTGATGTAGTTTTGGTAAACCTTCAAGTACTATCTGGAGATGAGCATCGACAGAGATGGAACATCATCGGGACATGGGAAGCATCTGAGGTCCGAGGTAGCAATGAAGAGCTTCTACAACCCGAAGTTCATGCAGGTTTAAGATCCCGCCTGTTGTTCGCAGGTCGTTCGTCGGTTGTTCGCAGAAGAAGCAAATAGCAAACAGAAAAGCTAGCAGCTGGTGACTGATAGCGAGAAAGTGAAGAAGCAAAAGCAAAGGAGAAGCATTCACTATGGTGTGTCTAAGCAATACAAGGTCAAGTTGATACTGGTCCGTGCTTCGAAGTATTCTCCTTTCGGTCTAGCCAGAACGGCCGGACGACGCGCGAAAATTCTGAGAGATTTATGAAAAAACTCCTGAAGGTGGCACGATCGCCACTTTCTCCAGATGTATTGAACTTCATTGGAAAGCTTTGGAAAGCTTTGAGAGATTCCTAGCCGCAGTGTCGTGGTATTGGGAAATGTAATCAGACTCACGGCATTGAAATGCCTATCGATCAGAAATAAGCAATTACATCTGGATCAGACCTTCATTTGGTGTCCGGGGTTTGGTCAAGAGAAGAACTTTCCGCCTCTAGTATTACTGGTGTTCTGCCATTCACGTGTGGGTGGACAACAGACAAATTGTACGGGTCATCTCAACCATGATCTCATACGACAAGAGTTATATAACTGTATTGCTATGCCTCACACTTAATGAGTCTTGAGAGGAGGAGACGTGAACACTTTTTTGCAAAGCCTAGGGAAGATCCAGAGATCCAATTCATCTCTTTCAATCCAATAAATTCATGCCATCCCATCACTCCAGCGCTAAAACAGAAATCCATCCATTGTCCATCGCCCATCGTCCATCATCCATCATCCATCATCAGCCATGCATTACACACTCAACTCATCGGAACTCCATGGCGCCGAAGCAGCCACGATCGTTCAACCACGTTAGCTCAAGCTGTTGGAACCTATTGTTGTTATTACTAGGTATATCAGCATTTAGCCTTCCAGGCAAATCACCGGAAAAGCCACACTTACTGGTGACTATTCGAAGAATGGAAATAGATTCCATTGATAGTGCCCGCTACTTGGTTGAAGCAGATATAGTAAAACCCCTCGAAGCTCGCACCGTTAATCTCGCGCACACGATGATCTGGCACCAGGAATTTCTCTTTCCAGCGCATGAACATGTTTTCCCGGTTTGTGCTGTGTTTATAATGGAAGTCGGGCTTCTTAGCTTGCTTCGCAAGAGGCCGCCATGCAGGGAAGCGCGCCCAATGCTTCATATCCTCTTTGTCGCTGGCGCCCCAATCTTCATGACGGGTCTGGAAGGTATACTTTGGGCCGATGATCTCTCCTTCGAAGAAAGTAGTGAGGGTAGCGTGTTCGGGTGTTAGCCCTGCGATTATCCTTTAGTATAATTGCTTGTCCAACTGGGCCGAGACTGACCTTCAATCTTGAGATAGCCACAGACGAAAGACTCGCACATGTCAACGGTCTTGATGTCAACTTCCACGTTGTATTTTTGACTGTCAGACTGCTGTGTGCCACGGAATTTGCTGCCAGCGCGAAGCATAGAGGAGGTGTGTGTTTGAATCAACTGGTTGTGCGATTAGTTAGCTTAGCGTTTATTCCAACATTATGCTTCAATGATACTCACTCGGTTGCTTTCTACACCAAAGCGTATCGAATAATAAAGGTCGAGGGCAGAAGACGTAGACGCAGATGGTTGAACGTGCTCCTCTTCCTTATCATCTGCATGCGGGCTCGATGGGCTTTCACCCAACAGGGAAGCCTCTGCTAGGTCCATTGTATTTGTTTGGTCGGATGTTTTGTCGTGCGCCGGGTCGATGGTGATATCCATGACGTTTGGGCTCTCTGGTTCGACAGGTACATCATCTTGTTGCCCCAACGCCCGTTCACTGAGTGTGCTGTCTAGAGCCGCCCGACCAAGACGGTCGAGTACTTCTACCCTCCATTGTCCTGGCCGATCTTCCTCAGGGGGGCATGTTGTGTGGGTTGACCTCTCCAGTAGTAAAGGAAGGTGATCTGTACTATCCCTGGGAGTCGGCATTGGGTACACGCATGGAGGGTCAATCTTTAAAATTAGACAGACCAAGGAATCACTTAATTAGAATGTGGTACGCAATACACATTAGGGTTTTCAGACAATGGACAGCATGACGGGTATGTGCGGCAATTGTCGTGTGGTTTTTGTCCACAAACATGAGAGGGCAGAGCTGAGACGGGTACCCATGATCCTTATGGTTGGGTTGTGGGGGAACGCTGAAATGCGCAACCCTAACCCTAAGTCTCCAGCAGTCGCCACCCTCGCCACCCAAGCAAAGCATTGCGTTTGGGAAGCTATCCCGAGAGCCTTACGACCGATACTCATTGACAAATTCGACCGGCAATAGAGTCAATCTAAATGATGATTTCTCGACTGTCACCTGAAAATGCCAAAGTAGACTCCTGGAGGCTACCATGGGTATGTCCACCGAACCTCAACGCCCAACGAGATAAATGCTGCAGCTAATAACACTATTCTCCCGGTATCGTGGTCTAAATAGGCTTGATCTAGAGATTCCGTATCAGCTGTGGATGGTCCTCCCATGAGAGCGAGTGTAAATGTGAGCTTGGCGTACCTTGAAATGCAACGAGATGAGCGAAAAGACAAGAGCTTTGAGATCTTGTACGAGATAGTAGAAGACGCGCAGGCCTTCCGGATCGGCTGATTCTGTGACATCGACTAAGGATCCTATCTTGGCCGTCTGGGAGTGGACAATCAGCACGTGTATTCTATGAGGCTCCCGGCCAACTCAGCAGTACTCACCTCAAACGAGATATGCTCACTGCCTAGTTTAATCTCTAGCTCCTGCCTGCCATCCTTGTTCTTTTCTGGCCACTTGGTATCGTCCTCCCTTGAGATGCATTAGCAAAGGCCGACGTACGAACTGCAAACGGGGCAGGTACTTCATTATCTCGCTCTCTTTGACGATACGCTTGATCTCGGCGATAAGGAGGGAGCTGACGCACACTGCGCCGAATTAGCTTGCTTGCCCTTTTGTGTAGCCTTCCTCTGTAGACGTACTCTCTTTGCGGATCAGGGAATCGTTACGATAATTGGAGTTGTTCGCATAACGTGCAGAGGCACTGCGGCCATCGCCGAGGGTTCGGAAGTCGAATTCTAACACATATCAGTAAGGCTACCCTATTACTCATCGAAGTTCTCGGCTCACCTAGGAATTCATGACCAAACCGCCCGGAGTGTCCTGAGCTGCGTAGGTATCAGCGGCTGCAAGGACCCGGGCAACATTGTTCCTTACTAGTAGCGCACATAGAAAGGTTCACTGGAAGCAGCCATGTTGAGCGCAAATCTGATGAATGATGGACGGGGGAGCTTGGAGCTTGTCTCGCGGAATTAAAGTAAACGTGTAAAAAAAAATTAGCGCCGAAATTTATCTCGGCTCCAAAGTTGCGGACAGCTTTCAGCCAGGCATGAAGAAACATTGAAGACAGACATACGTGTCGCCCATACACAATCGTTGAGTTGTCTAATCAGTCACTCATTTTAGCCATCTCCAAAAACAAGGGAAGCGGTGGTTCCTCCGGTTGCTTGCAATATAGTGCTCGAAACACAATCGAACGTTGAACATCTCCAAGGCCTCTGAGGGACAACAAGCCATCCAGATAGGCAGACTGTTCCGGCGCGGTGACCATGGCCACCTTCATGGAGCACGCCTACAGTTTGGTCCACCAGGATAATACGGCCGACCAACCGACTTTGCAAGAGCTGAAGACGCATCTAGAGAAGGGATCGGATGATTCCAAAGTTGAAACGATGAAGAGGATCCTCACAATTATGCTCAATGGAGACCCAATGCCATCGTTGCTCATGCACATCATACGTTTCGTAATGCCATCGAAAAGCAAGGCCTTAAAGAAATTACTTTACTTCTATTATGAGATTGTTCCTAAGCTGGACGCAGGGGGGAAACTCAAGCAGGAGATGATTCTGGTTTGGTACTTTTCTTGCCAGACTCTTGTTTCATGTTGCTAATGCTGATTTGTTTGAAGCAACGGCATTCGTAACGATCTACAGCATCCCAATGAATATATCCGAGGCAATACCCTCCGGTTCTTGTGCAAGCTCCGAGAACCCGAGTTGATCGAACCTCTCCTTTCTTCTGCCCGATCGTGTTTGGAGCATCGACACGCCTACGTCCGCAAGAACGCCGCCTTCGCCGTCTCCTCCATATATCACCTTTCTGAGGTCTTGATTCCCGACGCTCCTGAACTCCTCCAAACATTTCTCGAAGGCGAAAGTGACCACACGTGCAAGCGGAATGCATTTGCGGCTCTCAGTGCAATGAACCATGACAAGGCGCTGGAATATCTTGGCGGAGCTTTCGACGGCATACCCAATGCAGACGAGCTGCTTCAGCTGGTCGAGCTCGAGTTCATACGCAAGGATGCAGTGCAGAATTCACAGAACAAGGTAGATGTTTTATGAACCACATGCCCTCCAGGGTGACTGACATCATACAGGCTCGATATTTGCGCCTGATCTTCGACTTGCTAGAGGCCGGAGCCACGACCGTAGTGTACGAAGCAGCATCATCACTAACATCGCTCACCAATAACCCTGTAGCTGTCAAAGCGGCGGCGACTAAGTTTGTCGAGCTCAGTGTCAAAGAAGCCGACAACAATGTGAAGCTCATAGTACTAGCTCGAGTTGACCAATTACGGAGAAGAAATGAGGGTGTCTTGGACGACCTTACCATGGAGATACTTCGTGTCCTTGCTAGCCCTGACATGGACGTTCGAAGAAAGGCTCTGAATCTTGCTCTCGAAATGGTCTCAAGCAAGAACGTGGACGAGGTGGTAATGCTCCTGAAAAAGGAACTTCAAAAGACTGTGGATGAGCAGTACGAGAAGGTACGTAAATTCGATTCAATTGCTTTCTGGACTCGTGAGACGACTTCTGAAAGCAGAATACCGCTCTCTGCTTTTTAGGATTGTCTCACAGCTCAAAACTGCCTTCAGAAAACAAAGCTGATTATAGAAAATCAGAACACCGAATATCGGCAACTACTCATTCACTCTATACATCAGTGTGCCATCAAATTCTCCGAAGTTGCGGCGTCCGTTGTAGATCTTCTCATGTACGTAAATTCAGGAGAGATACTTTCCTATTTGGTACCAAACCCGAGTCGCAAGGAAATTTTCGGGTGCAAAGACTCCATTTTGGTCTTTAGATCTGTTTCAGATTTCAGAGTTCTACTTTCAAGGAGCAACGCTGATCTTACATCAGGGATTTTATCGCAGATTTTAATGCCACCAGTGCCGTCGACGTTATATCATTCGTCAAAGAGGTCGTGGAGAAATTCCCCAAGCTTCGGTCTTCGATCGTGGAACGCCTTGTCACAACGTTGAGCGAGGTCCGTGCAGGAAAGGTGTACAGAGGTGCGCTTTGGATTGTTGGCGAATACTCACTAGAAGCAAATGATATTCGGGAAGCGTGGAAGAAGATACGGGCGAGTCTCGGCGAGATACCGATTCTATCCTCAGAACAGCGACTGCTTGAGGAAGTACCCGACGAGCAACAAGAAACAAAGGAGCAAGTCAATGGCCACGCGAAACCTTCAGCCCCTACAGGCTCGAGAAAAGTCTTAGCAGACGGTACGTACGCCACGGAGAGCGCATTGACGAGCGACTCGTCCGCCAAAGCCAAATTGGAAGCTGTCAAGGCTGCACAAAAGCCTCCGCTACGGCAACTCATATTAGATGGAGACTTCTACCTCGCATCTGTGCTTTCTTCGACTCTGACTAAGCTTGTGATGAGGCATTCTGAGATCTCGCAAGACACTGCTCGTACCAATGCGCTGCGGGCTGAAGCTATGCTTATCATGATATCAATCATAAGAGTTGGTCAGTCACAATTCGTCAAGGCGCCCATTGATGAGGATTCCGTCGATCGCATTATGTCGTGTGTTAGATCATTAGCCGAATTCGCGCAAAAGAAGGATCTAGAGACAGTATTCTTAGACGATACCAGGAAAGCATTCCGTGCTATGGTGCAGGTCGAAGAGAAGAAGCGAGCCGCAAAAGAGGCTGTGGAGAAGGCAAAGTCAGCGGTTCAGGTAGATGATGTTGTTGGTATACGGCAATTGGCCAAGAAATCTACGGGCGATGGCTCCGATCAGTTCGACGTCGATCTCGAAAAGGCCACTGGCGGCGATTCTGCAACTGAAGAACTCTCCTCGAAATTGAGCAGAGTGGTCCAACTTACCGGATTCTCGGATCCAGTGTACGCTGAAGCATACGTCAAAGTCCACCAATTCGACATCGTGTTGGACGTGTTGCTGGTCAATCAAACCTCGGAGACGCTTCAAAATCTATCCGTCGAGTTTGCTACTTTAGGCGACTTGAAGGTAGTGGAACGACCGACAACTCAGAATCTTGGGGCTCACGACTTCCAAAATGTCCAGAGTACCATCAAAGTGTCTTCAACAGATACTGGCGTGATCTTTGGCAACGTGGTTTATGATGGATCCAGCTCGACAGAGAGCACCGTTGTGATCCTCAATGATGTGCATGTAGACATCATGGACTACATACAGCCAGCACAGTGCACTGAAACGCAATTCAGAACAATGTGGACAGAGTTCGAATGGGAGAACAAGGTCAATATCAATTCAAAGGCCAAGACATTGCGGGAATTCCTGACGCAACTAATGGCATGCACGAACATGACATGTCTGACGCCAGAAGCATCAATGAAGGGCGACTGTCAATTCTTAAGCGCGAATCTCTACGCTCGGAGTGTTTTTGGTAAGTGACGTCTGGCCGACAAATATTGGGGTGAATGCTAATTGCTTCTGTAGGAGAGGACGCATTAGCAAATCTGAGCATCGAAAAAGAAGGAGATGAAGGGCCGATAACAGGGTTCGTACGCATTCGCAGTCGATCGCAAGGTCTTGCATTAAGTCTGGGATCTTTGAAAGGGTTGAACAAGGTTGGAGGTTCAACTGCATAGGCCGGTCGTCTTTGTCTATCTCTCTGGTCTGCTCATGAGAGTCACCCGTCCCTGCCAGCAGCTTGAGTAGAAACAGGCGCTCCGGGATGTCTGACAAGTCACCGCCCTTGATAGTGGTGCCACACAAGGCTAACGGCTCTGGATCGCTCGCATCCCACGTACGCGTGGCTACGAATGAAAGAAAAGTGAAATGAAAGGGAGGTGCGGGGGCTATTATGAGTCTCTGTCTCTAGACGACTAGGACTGCTTGTGCCATTAGCGTTCTGCCATAATCATGTATAGAGATAGCCTAAAAGCTGCAATGAGCATGATAGACAGGAACTATCTCGATATAAAATGTTGTATTGTGCCTGCATGCGACCTGCATTTCGATTGCATGCCTCTGGAAGGTTTGCTGCCGGCGGATGCGGCTCCGCCCTGCCGATCATGAAGCTTCTCGCAGTCTCGCCCGAAATGGCCCTCAATTCTAAGTCTTTCTCCAAAAGCTTTTGTGCTTTTTCTCAATGTAATGTTGACAATCATTCTGACAGCTACTTATGGCACCGATGTCTTTGGCAGACAGCGACCCTTTTGTCGATCCTGTCGACACCGTCGGCGATCATGACTACAGAGAGGCATGGACGCTTCCAGTAGGCAGAAGTGCCTCCCTGACCTTGGCCACTGACTCTCTCATTGTTCTAGGTATGCAAGACCTTCGTGATCCTCTAGATGGGGTTCAGAAGCTGATGGCTGGATAGATGAGGACTTCACGAGACGAGAGACGCGCAATTGCTGTGGTCTTCTACCTTCCAGTTTGGAACCCGAATGCAACTGTCGCTCCCCGACACGAAGCTGATCTATTCGCAGAGGCTAAGACCACTCAAGCAATACCATTCTTCAACATACTATGGGCCGAGCTGTCAGACTTCGACATAAATGTCCAGTATGCTAAACCCACAGCAAAGAACGTCGTCCGGGTAGCCGCAGTCAACTACCTTGTCGAAAAGCCTCAGCGCAGCTATGCACAATCCTGGGTCACGAAGCTGCTGGATCGTGCTTACGGTGAATCGCAACGGAAAAAGCGGATAAAGGTGCTCATCAACCCTTTCGGCGGGAGTGGCAGTGCTCAAAAGTGGTACCTACGAGACATCGAGCCCATATTTGCAGCGGCGCGGTGCGAAATAGATGTTGAGAGGACTTTATACCAAGGACATGCTGTCGAGATAGCAGAGAATCTGGATATAGAGGCCTACGATGTGATAGCTTCATGTTCTGGCGACGGACTACCACATGAGGTGTTCAATGGCCTGGGCAAGAAAAAAGATGCCACAAAAGCGCTCTCCAAAGTGGCTGTGGCGCAGCTACCATGTGGAACTGGAAATGCTATGAGTTGGAATTTGAATGGAACGAGCAGTACAAGTATCGCTGCTTTGTGTATTGTCAAAGGCATCCGGACGCCACTAGATCTGACCTCCATCACCCAAGGCGACAGACGAACTCTATCTTTCCTTTCCCAATCACTGGGTATAGTGGCAGAAGTCGACCTAGGAACAGAACATCTTCGATGGATGGGCAGCGCAAGATTCACATACGGCTTCCTTGTCCGCGTGCTACGAAAGACGGTTTACCCTTGCGATCTATGGGTGAAGATTGATATACCCACTAAAGGCGCAATCAGAGAGCACTACCGGAAAGAATTGACCAATCAAGCTCCAGTAAAAGAAAGGCGAGACTCCAATGACACAGAGGACCCCGCCCTCCCAGAACTGCAATATGGCTCCATCGCCTCCCCGCTCCCCTCTACGTTCACAAACATCCCCTCAGACAACGTCGGCAATTTCTACGCCGGCAACATGGCCCTCATGGCTCCAAACGCCAATTTTTTCCCCGCTACCCTTCCCTCAGACGGCCATCTCGACCTTATAACTGTTGGCGGCGACATTTCACGCCATAGTGCAATCAAGTGCTTCCTGGCCGTCGAGAATGGGGGTTTCTTCGACCTCCCTCAAGTCAATTATCGGAAAATTAGCGGATATAGGATAATCCCGCGGGGACAGAAGGGAGGGTATATAAGTATTGATGGGGAGAGAGTCCCGTTTGAGGGATTCCAGGCGGAGGTGCATAGAGGTTTGGGAACTGTGTTGAGCAAGACTGGGCATCTGTATGAGGCGGACGGTGTGGTGCCTAAAACTGGCTGAGGGAAATGGAGTGAGAATCGAGGCTTGGCTGTACATGCTGTTTTGCTCTTCGATGATACCCGTTGGCATTTTGATAGATGGGTGATCTTCTTCATGAGGATTATGGATGGAAAAGCCGCAGGCGTTTAGAGGCTTTTCTCTTCTAGTACGGAGTTCAAAATGGAATACATATATATATATGCATGAGCAAAGATAAGCAAGAGGCAATGTCTTGCCTTCAATTTGGCTTGCACCTAATCTTGGGTATCAACGTATCATGAAATCGTATCGTCTTCCGTATCTCACTCCGTAAAGCCTTCGAATTCCTCTTCCTCATCACCTCTACGATCCTCTCCGTCATTTCCTGTCCTCTCTTCTATCCCCTGCGACCGCTCATCCCCCAATACCTCCCTGGCCCTCTCCCTCACAACCTTCGTCCTCCCCTCTATCCTCAACCTCTCAACCGGCCTCATAACCCCCACCCCCTCCCACTCATCCGTCTCCAGCAAACCGTCAACCCACACATCAAGCACGTGATACCTGACCCCATCCGGCACCTTCCCATCACCCGCACTCAACGCCCCGATGCCATCCTCGCTCCTCGCTTTATAGACCCCCTCCAGCAAATCCAAGTACCCCGTTACTAGTTCCCTATTCCATGCGTGCTGCTGCAGATATTTGAACGAGTAGGCGATATATTGTCGTAGCAGGTATAGATACTTGTCGAGGCGTAGTGAGGGAATTTGGGACCAGTAATGGATAATGGTTTTCCAGAAGGCGTGGAGGAAGGGGAGGAAGAGGGTCGTGGGGAGCGGGAGGAGGAGGGATGCGAGGGATTTGGAGAGGCGTTGTTGGGGGATGGGGCGGTCCGTGTGGAAGATGCCTGTACGGTGAGATGAGTACCGTAATTTGAAGCTTGAGCCCGGAAAGGGGACGACCTACAGAAGAAGAGACCTTTCCAGATCTTCAGGAGCTCGATGGTAGTGAAATTACGACCGGAGCAGAGGTAGGTTTGTAGGGAGGAGAGGGCCTTTTCACGGGTTGGGCGGTCTGTGGGGTAGTGCTGTTAGCGATGCTGTTCAAGCTGTAGCATTGTTAGATAACCAGAAACGGAAAAGATACACAAGATGATACTGCTATCTAGCCGAGGGACATGAGGGTATTAGAGAATGCATCTATAAATGGTCGTGATGGCATTTAAACTGTGTAATAGGAATGATATTGCTATTCGATCTTGCACGAGATACAAGACAGACAAAAGCAGTGTACCAACGTTAGCAACGAACATTTGTTCTCATATACAACATATATGTGAAAGTACATCATGCCTCGATGTTCTTTCAGTCTAACATCTTGACCAACGGGACTGATCCTATGATTTCTATCCCAAGCAATGCAAATCAAGATTGCGAAGCTACTCATGTACGTACCATTTGCTGCCAGCTGTTTCACAAAGGGCGTCTCTTGTATGTTTGAAGCCATGGCTGCTTCCCTAAAGTCGGGATGGACTGTTGAAGGTAGGAGTGAGTACTAGCACTAAGCAAAGAATTTTGCTGATCATGATTGGGGAAGCAGCGCTGCCGTCCGAATAAGCGTGGAGCTACGGACCGCTAGCCACTTGGATCTAACTTGCCGCAGTATCGCGCATCGAGACCGCCGCGATTCACTCTGAAAATCGAGAGGAAATGGAAGCATGCCGGGTATAAAAATCGGAGAAAAGATTAAAGAAGGTCGCGGAAGCTATATGCGACTCGTGATCCGGAAACTCGATCTCAGGATTGTTTAGTATTATGGGAGGTTCCTAGTACCTGTAGGAGGATTCCGATTCACTGCGACTCAGGCTAGAAGTCTGTTGGGTATAAAAGTCGGAGAAGGGTTTGTGATGTTGCATGCTGCAGCCCATTATTGAGCCGTTTCATTGTGTGCAACTGGCTTTATCCGGACTGGTATTAAGTTGATGACACTTGTCCCGAGAATCTGACGCCGGACGCTAACATCATATGAATTCTACGAAGGTTTCAATACTATGGCAATTCGTTCTTACAGAAATGATCCCCGACTCAAATGAACCGTTCGAGTGTTGCCTCTACGACGAGCAGTCAGTGAATATGTAGTCGATTGTAATCAATATAGGTCCTTCTGAGAGTGTGATCACTCTTATCTATGTATTATTATCCAGTCGCATCTATCTTAGCGGATTGAATATTCAAAATCAAGCTATGAAGTAACGACAATGGCTGTAAACATGACTAGAAGTATCGTCTGGAGTCGAACGCGAGTACGCTGTTAATTTTACAGCTTATTCAAGCGATCGTACTTTCAATCGCTATGATTTAGAACATAAGGGATAAAATAATAATAAAAGATCTAGAGTATATATTTAATATGTAGAAAGTAATTAACGAATAGAGTTTAGCGCCATCGCTTTATACTTTCACTATAAGTCAACGACTGCTCTCAGACTTATTTAATTCTCTCTTTGCTATTTAATAATCTCGACTCTCGATTCGACTTATCTTTCTACAAGCTATATCCCTTCAATCAATTGACTCTGCACTTTAGTTTTATCAATGCTAAATATCTCTCAGACGAGCCCTTAAAGTCTTTCATCAGTGATAAGAATTGATAGTATCGACATTGAAAGGAGATACAAAATCCTTAATCTCGGTTTAAAATGACTTCAAACGATGTTAAGGTACGTTTTCTAAGCACTTATTCAATGAGATGTAATTCTTACAATATTTACTCGTATTTAATACTAACGAGTTTCCACGTACTCTCGTAATTTGACTCTATTTAGAGAGATCTTTGCTAACAATCTCTCCTATATCTCAGATACTTCCATGGAAAAAGTCACCGTCTATTAAGGTATTATTAATGCCTTTCAACGTTCCCTGCAAGTCTGTCAGTACATAGTATTAATCTGATATTCTCAGAATTCGAACAGTCCCACGTCATCAAAATGGAGCGACTTTACCTCACATAGACCCTCAAATAGCGCATCATTTGCTCAACCATCAAGTGCAGAGACCAGTCCGCGCTCCAAACTCGAGATTAGGTACGTTCAAAGCCTATACTATCGTAATGCGTGCGTTTAACAGCGGGTTTATCAAATAGGACACGAGGTGTCACCCCACCCTCGCACCCACTAAGCTTTCAACGACCGCAAATCACCAGTTCGCAATCTCTCCCTATTGCAGCAACACACCCTTTGATATCCTCAAACACACCGTCTCTACCTGGGACACAGCCTTTCACCCCAACAACGTCTAAGAAGCGCGTCTTTGGCGAGATCATCGATCTTACTATCGACGACGATGACTTCGAGCTGCCAGAACCTATTGAGCCCAAAAAGTCGAGGAGCTCCAGTCATTCCACTGAGGCATCCACCGAGGCGAGGACTCAGCAGCCGGAGAATGTCAAAAACGCTTCTTCAAAACCCGGTAAGATGCACCCCCTATTTTACTCTAAAGCTGCATACAATTGTCGACTTTAGCTGTAACAAAATTTGATTAAAAATGATAATTGTATCCTAAAATATAGTACTAATCATATATAATAGTTCTCAAACTTAGACATTCGAAGACGAAAGAGAAGACTCTATATTCCCACTTAGCAAACTCTGGAGTCTCCTCTCGCAAATCAGCTCCTACGATTATCATACCGCCGCCACAGCCATCACCTCAAGAACGCCGGCGTATCTTTATCGAGAATCTCTCAGTACTCGACGATGTATCTGTAGTCAATATAGTTGACGATTCATCACCTCCTCTCGACTTTGAATTCGTTACCAACAACATTCTCCGAGATGGAGTTCAACAAACGTCGGAAGATTTCATGATCGGGTGCAAATGCCGAAAAGACAACGGGCGCCACATGGGTTGCGAATATCTATCTTGTGAATGTCTGGAGGAGTCGGTAAATTCTGAGGGCAAGAAACGATTCCCGTACTCACAGGCTAAATTCAACACTGCCTGTCTAAGGGATGCATTCATCAACGGAAGGAATCATATCTTTGAATGCAATAGCCGCTGCAACTGTGACAGTAATTGCAAGAATCGAGTCGTGCAGCATGGAAGGAAGGTTGGACTGGAGATCTTCAAGACAACTAATAGGGGCTGGGGTACGTTTCAAACATTGCGGCGTGTATTAAGAGCATTCTACTTCGTACTAATCTAGTAATCAGGACTTCGTTGTACGCAAAACCTGAAGAGGGGCCAATTCATTGACACTTACCGCGGAGAGATTATCACTCACGAGGAAGCAAACCGTCGCGGAGAAACACGCACCTCAGACCAGGAGATATACTTCATGGGTCTTGACAAGTGGGGTGAGAAAGATGGGGGTTCGCTGTACGTGTGTGATGGCATGCATCTAGGGGGGCCTACTCGCTTTATCAACCACTCCTGTGACCCCAATTGCGCGATATACACCGTCTCCTACAATCACTCCGATATCAACCTCTACGATCTCGCCTTCTTCGCGACAGAGGCAATCCCAGCTGGGACGGAATTGACGTTCAACTACGTGGATGATGACAAGACGGACATCATCACAGAAGAGAAAGCTGATGAGATGCAGAGGGAAAACGGTTATCGTCCTGCAAAATGTCTGTGTGGGAGTACCCGCTGCCGTGGATATTTCTTCACTTGAGGAATTCGAAGGGAGTGAAGAGCTAGGTTATAGGTCTTTCTCAGGAGGCCATGAGGTTACAATCAAGAAGATCAACTTGGAAGGTTGCTGGCAGATCCACCTTGACAACTTATACGTCAGCATGAACAAGGGATCAGCGCTAGTCTCCAGTTATGGCACAGAGAATTGGCAGCTCAGTGGGCATTGGCAGCACATTGGGACAGCAGCATTAGTGGGAGGCATTCAGCATTTCACTTTGGAGCAAGGAATTGCTTTTCTCTTGCCGACATGACTACATTTTGGGAGGTCAGATCCTGCACGGAGCAGCATCAAGCATCTTAACAGAGGATTGGCGGAAGAGTACAACTTTTATTCATATCTCAGTCAAAAAACAGAAGGTTCAAAAACCTCCAGTCTCCCAAGCACGGTATCATGTACAAGCCTGTCATGGTATCACCCCTCGAACGCCCGCCCAAACAGATACGTTGACTCTGCAAACAGCACCCCCCTGTTCCGTGCCACCCCACGAAAAAAGCCATTCCATCAGTCCCTTACCCACCCCATCGAGCTCCACACCACCAAAAAATCCCCGTAACCCCAAGCCGCGCCGCCCCTTCTCTCATCACAACCCAGATCGATATCGACAGCCTCAAAACCCCCCATCCAACACCTCCCCGATGCCCAAACACCCCACAGCTTCGCACGGTCTCGGCTCCAACACCGTGGCCAGATCACCCCTCTCTTCTCCATCGCCGTCCGCCGCCGCAGCGAGGGACGTCCGCCTCCGTGTCTGTCTCCGGAGCAGGAGGACGCTGTTGATGCTGCGGATGGAGGCGGGGGAGGAAGAGGAGGAGCGGGTTGAGGAGTAGGAGGATCGTGGAGAGAGGGAAGGTGGTGGTGGGAGGAGTTGGGGTTGCGTTGGGGGGAGGGAGAATGGCGACATCGGCGTGGGATGGACGAGGTTGAAGGACATTTCGAGGTTGGCGTTTTGGCCTGTGTTGATGCACGTGTTTGGTAAGGTGTGGACTCGGTGGTAGCAGAGCGGATTGCTTGCTTGCTTGCTTGCTTGATTGAGGAAGCGTTAGGTGTAGGTCAATGGTATAGGAAGCCGAGAGGTAGGTAGGAGACGCTTTTGAAAAGACTTCGAGTCAAAACAGGCAAAGATACTTGACAGAGCTAATCCAGGTATCTATTTCCGTCGTCTGAAAAGGAAATTCGTATCGCCCCGTATGACACCAACAGTGTACTCTACCTCACAACAGCAGAACAAGCGAGAGAAACGGGGACCAGCAGCACCCCTTTCTACATCAAACCCATCATTTTGCACCCGCCACACGTTTGCATGCATAGCAATCTCCCCTTCCAATCTCCCCTCTCCGGCACCTATAAGCCTCAGGAGAGGTAATCGGGCTAAGGCCTACATACCTAACGACGGCCCATCTCCGGCCGCGCGTTGTCTTTCGCATCCTCCTTCCTTTCCTTCCTTCAAAACGCAATCATCCATTCCGTTCATCCTTTCACAACGAACACGATCAATTAATACGGGGAAGGCTGCGCAGTCAGCGTCGACAATCGGGGCTGCCGCTAGTCAGTGGTTTAATCTGGAGCTGAGACGTTTTGTTGGGTCGAGGCGGAGAGGGCGGGACGACAGGGGGGGTTTGGGGGGCTGAGACTATCCATCAACTGCTTGCTGCCACTTTGTTCCGCGCCCAAATTTGAATGCTACAAGAGACATGCCTTCGATCATGATTCCCATGTTACACATTCGCGCAGCATTTGATGACTAGGCACTGACGCTCGGACGTGCTTCTCCCATCATGGGTGGCAATATGTCGTAGCCAGCCCCGTGGAGGAGAGGGGCGGCTTGGGGAGAAGATTGAAATGCCGCGATGCTGACCCTGTCTTCATATAACTGTCCATTGCATTGCGTGGTTGGAAGAGATATACGGAGAGGGTTATGTCTGTATGGCGTCTCTCTACATGTGGTCGTCGCAGATACAGCACCATGTATAAACAATCAGGCCTTCCAGTTCCCGCCTTGCGTAGTGCATGCAGAGCACCAAACAATCCCACCTGAGTCGCAGAGCCTCAAGATGATCGAAAGTGTAGACAAAGTCAGTGTTCGCCGAACACTAATTTACAGATCTGTTCGAGAAATAATGCCAACAAAGATGGAGCGCCAAAGACCCCAAAAGCGCATAGCAACGTGGTATATCCCCCCTCTCTTCGCCCCAAACACCGAGCCTCTTGAGCCTCAAACCCAACATGGAATAGAACAAGAACTCCATTCGCAATGCTTATGCCCAAAGTATCCCCTCCTATGCCATACTCATACAGCGATTCCTTGCCTTCACCATTTTGCCATAAAATACTTGCCGTAACGTCGTCAATCGTGTCTAAATATCATGGTTCCGCTCGATGTGGCGGATCTGGAGTCACCCTTCGACTGCCCCTCCTCCTTGTAGCAGTACGACTCGGAGCCGGTGCCCTTGTGCCAGTCCTTCTTGTCGTAAAGCTGCGCCTTATACTCTCACCCCAAGCGCTGTTATCGAAAGTATCGAGCACGTTCTGCCTGTCGACCGAACTATTGGCTCTACTCCTTCCGGCCACCGGCGAACGATCGTCCCCTGCGCCATCATAACCCCATTGAAACGGACTGTCGCGCGAAGGTGACGGCGAGTGCCCGAGATCTCTCTGTGGAGTAAGCGAAGGACTAACATTGCCGCTGTTATCTGATCGTGAGGGCGAGCCAGAGTCGCCGCGATGTCGGAGACCACTGGTATCGAGTGAGGGACGGCCTCTTGGACTGGCTTGAGACATACTCGCGAATGGCCCAGGAGTGGCAGGATCTTGCGGAGAGATGGCGTCTTGGTCGTCGACGAAGATCTCTGGCACAGCGAATTGTGGAATGTTAACCATGCGGGCCGAATGACGGAAGTCGAGACGCGATCTGAACTGGCGAGACCAGAACATCATGTCAAAGAAGCCCTTGACGACACGACGGCGGACTTCCTCCTCAACTCGTTGCAGACGAGCACGCCGGCGGAGGTATTCTTCTAACCGTAAGGACTTGCTGTCCGAGATGACATTGTAATGAGCAAGGATCATGAGACAGGATGTAAAATTGATGCCGCGGTCGGGATGGGCGGAGACCATCATTTCCTGAAAGAATACCTCCATGCGGTTCCGCCGACGTCTTGTGTCCACAACGTCGATTTTGCTCAGCTCGTGGTTAAGCTGAGCGAGGTCGACGCCGTGTATGACTCCTGGCGGAGGGGTTTCGTTGCCTCTTGTCTCAACAGTGCAATTCTCAAGAATGCGGTGTACGGATTGTTCGCTGCCGGCATAAATGCGCATCTCAAAAGCGCCCGACAGTTCTCCGAGCAACCGAGGGAAGACGTCCTTGGAAATCCAACCGGTGCCCTCAGGATCGTAAGTAGCCCAGGCCTGTTTAAATCTGCGGAGCTCCTTCCGATTGATCACAGCTAGCCCGCTGCTCCTTTGGTACACGTACGAGAAACTCTCGAAGATCAATGACACGAACAAACTGACAAAGATGTACATACTCAGGATGTTCCAAGAGATGAACAGAGCCCGAGCCCATACGGCGCTGCCACAATCGCTTTCGTAGAACAAGGGGGACGCGACGCAATTGGGATAAGTGATGGTTGCGAAGTCTTCCATGATCTGATTCCAACCTTCACCCATACTCATTCTGAAGAGCAGGATAAGAGCTTTAGGAACATTGCGGAAATTGATGTTTACATTCTCTAATTTGCCGAACCTGGTAAGACCAAAGGTCTGCGTAAGGGCAATTGCGTATACCAGGAACAGCACAAACCAAGTCGCCAGTAGATTACCAATAGCAGACAAGGAAGCTGCCGCTGTCTTGAAAAGCTGGTCAAGCTGATTGTTGCGAGGAATGAGCAGCAGGGCAATTGACACTAAAAATAGCTTGTGGAGCTGACTGTAAGTCTGGTCGTTGTACTTGGAGAGGTCGAGGAGCGTCGTGATGACAGTGCCGGTGATGGAGAGAATCGAGTAGAGGTCCCAGGAGCTCCTACTGAATCTCTTCCATGTAAGTCCGACGACGCGTACAAGGACATTAGCTATATACACAACTGTGAAGGCCAAGAATATGTAGTCTAGCATGGTTAGAATATATTTCGTCATATCCCCTGAGTTAACTCATCACATACCTCTCAAATGCTGCCACCACAGGGGTTCGGGGTAGAATTCCGTGACCAGCAAAACAAGGTGGAGAAATAGGATCGTGGTAAGCAACCTTTGCCACCTTCCATGTTTCTTGACAGCGATTCTGTAGCACCAGCCTCTAAAGCCGGATTCTGACTTACTTGATGGGCGCTTCGACGGTGAGATTTGCCGTAGGAGCTTTCGCAATTCCAGCCACGATCGCTGGTCGGCTGTCAAGAATGCGACTCCTGTCTGTTCCGTGTAATTGCGCATAAACACAGAGACAAACAAAGTCAGCACGAAGACGGCTCCCAAGAGATTGAACGCAATGAAGAACACAGCATTGCCCTGGGAATTGTAAGATGGGATGGCGGTGGCGGATACTCCACGACCACCCGAATAGATTGCTGTCCACATCACATCTGTCCACCCTTCTTGGGACACGATTTGGAAGAGTATGCTGAGCGAGCTTCCGAATGTGTCGAAGTTGTAGTATGGGTTTGCACTTTGTCTCGGTCCCCACACATTCCAGTTGTAAGGGGTGCTATTGTATTCGCCGACGCAGTCGTCAAGGGTATTTATGCTGGGATCGTTACACCCTCGCATCCGCCCATTGAAGAGGTTGAGGCCATAGATAGCGAAAGGAAAGAGCAAGCTGAGAGACACAAAAGCGGCCTAGACAGCGCTTAGTCCCGCTCTGTCAAAGTGCGATCAATTTTCACTTACGGATACGACCTTCCAAATTCCCAAGACTATCACCGAGTGGAACGTGTCTCTCGCACTATCGCTCACATTTAGCAGCCTCAGGGCCCTGAGAGCTTTGAAGGCTCCCACAGCGCGCGAAACAGCCCCATCCGAGTAGAGTGAAGTGATGACATTGATCCATAGCGTGACCAGGACAAGGCCGTCGATGAGACCCCAAGAGCTTCGGAAGTAAGCATTTGGCGTCCAAAAGAACCCATCGGCAATGATCTTGATGAGGGCTTCGAGGGTGAACACACATGCAAACCCCATATCAGTCCAGACGAACCAACTTCTTGAGGTATAGTGACCAAGCTTTAGGAAGTATTCTCGCTGATATAGCGGAGTCGAAACGCAAGCCAGGAGAACCATGGCCACGATAGCAGCATAGATGAACGCCGAGAAGGCATACCAAACAGGTTTGACTGGATCGATACCTTCGATACGTTGGCTGCCCCGACCAGGACCAACGATACCCTGACACAATCTTCGTATGGGATTGCGGGGACCAAAGATGAAAAGAGATACATTATATCTCGGGTGCCTTTGCAGATACTGACGCTGAGCTCGCTTTCTTTGTTCGGTAGCCGAGACAACCTCTCTTGCTCTTGTCCGTATATCTACCTCGTCTCCTCTGGAGAATTGCAAGCGAGAGTAGAAAGGGTTTGGCTCCTGATCACCGAACATCTTGAGAAGCTTACCCCACAGAACCGAGAGCAGCCCAGGCTTGACATGCCCTACTGGACGGCCAGTGATCGGGTCGTCGTCTTCGTGTAACTCCTCCACAGGCTCCATATGCTCGTCGAGAAAATCTCGAAACACGGCCTCCTGAAGTAGCATTTCCATTGTGGCAGGACCAAAATCAAGAGGATCCTTGTGCCGACTTGTGTCTCGACCGAGCTTGAAGATAGTCGACAACGACAGGTTGCCTTGGGACGAACCTCCAAGCTCTTTCTGTTGAAGGAAAGCTTTGACCTGCTGCAAGCGCTTTTCGTCTTCCGAAACGTCGAAGTTCTCCTGGATGACCGCAATGAACATGTTCAATACGACAAAATTTGCTAAGATGAACCATGAAATAAAGAAAATGGCGCCTATCCAAGCTTGATCCCAGATCAGCTCATACTGCGTTGAATTATACAGTAGTACGGTCCAGTTCTCGCTCGAAAGAACTTGATACATGCCGATAAAGCCGTTGTAGATGTCCGAGAATGTTATGCGAATAGCGGGGCCGCCGATGCCGTCGTAAGAAGGGAATTGTCCGCGAAAGATCTGAACGGCAAAAATTGCGGTGAGGAAGGTTATGAGGAACACGAATACGATTAGATTCAGTAGACCAGAGACATTGCCCAGAACCTTTTTGATTAGTTCGCGCGTGAGCGACACCGCAAGGACCACGCGATAGATCCGTATGATTTGGAAAAATGTGAGCCATTCGTATGCTTCGCCCGAGTCGTGAATAGAAGGAATCTGTATGACTGCGGTAATGATCGCGAGGCCTAGATCGATCCAGTTGCGTTGGCTTTTATGAAAATTCCTCCAATCAGCAATAAAGCGCAGAAGGATCTCGAACACTAAAACACAGGCTACGATCGTCTCCGTGTCATCGATGAAACGTTGACGGCTTTGGCTCATGTCGGAACTTCGAAGGCACATCACGAAAAGGTCGAAAAGAATGATCACAATCCATAGCCATTCCGTCATGTCGTACGCACGCTTCAAACCACTCCTTTTTGGAATCTCTTCTTCCTCTTCAATGAAGTGATCTTGCTCAGCAACTGTGAATGCACTTGTTTTGCTTTCCTCCCGGATGACCTGGAAGGACGATGTTATAACCGCGACAAGCAAGTTCATGAGCCACAGACTCATAACGACAATCCCGAAGGCGAAGAATAGAGCTCCAGCAAGGAAGTCGGTATCAGTACAGTAGTAGAGGAGATCCGAGAAAGTGTTCGCACTCATGACCACGAAGACCAATTCTAGAGACTGGAATATGTTGTCAAAGCTGACCGTCCCATTGTACGGACCTGTGCCTTCCACACAAAGTGAGTTCTGCGGGCAAAGGTAGCCTTTGTGCTTTCCGGTTCCGTTCTGTATAAGATCTGCTTTAAGCCATGGCATCTCTGACCCGTTAGTAGGGCTGATATACCCTCCACAGAACTGGACTTGGTTGTTCGGATCATTCAGATTGTAACTGTTGGTGATATTGCTTTTAGAGTAGTTACTATTAGGGTTTAGGAGAACTTCAGTTGCGTTCGGAAACCAGACGCAAGTGCGTTTGAGCGATGACTTGAAAGCCTGGACCCCAATGATAGCGAAAAGAAGCCAAAAGAAGCCTATGAGAAAAGCAACGTTGACCAGCATGGGCGCTGCTTTCTTCAGACTTCTCAAGATCACCTGGGACCGTTTAAGTCAGTCTGATTTAGCGGAACATTTAAAAACCGAAGACTTACCGATGTACCACTGGTAAGCCCGAGAAGCCTCAGGATGCGTAGACAACTCAGCATTCGAAATACAAATAGGTGACGGTTACCCTCGACCATAGTCAGAGAAAGGACAAGCATGATCCAGAATGATACAACTGCCACAAAATCCAGACGGTTGAATCCATGGCGGAGAAACGCTCGTCGAGCCAGCCGAACCCTTTGCTGTTGACGTGAGTGACCTGGGTGGTCGACATGCAGTTGCGCTCCTGTAAACGAGCGGAGAATAGATGGCTGTTGTCCGGCTTCCCTCACCCCGTCCCTTACCGTCAAATGTCTTTGGGGGGCAAAGAAAGTCCGGACCCTATCGCTAAGAGCGGCTCTGAAGCCCCGTGCGATGTCAAGAGTACTGTACTCATCGGCGTTCTTTATCAAACCAGAAACAATGATTCGTGCTAGTAGTTCTAGCGTGTAGATGAAGAACAGGGCGAGAAGGGCGAAATTGATCCATGATGCCTTCCAGGCCTGGGGCTCATTTGTTGAAGTATATTTAATAGGTTTCGCCGAGTCGATAGCCAAGAGTATGGTCTGAACGACAATGAGAATCAAGATCACGGGCTCGGTGGCTGGATGCACAAGCATCTCGCAGAGCTTCAGTCGGATCCAATTATCCGGAGAAAATATCCCGAGAGAATTCCCTTTGAGCGGATTCGGCTCCGGCGGCACTCGTTCATTCGTTGATACTAGCTGTTGGGCTTTCTCTGGGGGAGGACTTGATCTTTCATCATGGGCGTAGTCTTGCATAGCTGGGAAACTTGGTGGTTCCTCCATCCGGGCTTCCCTGATCGAACGTTCTCGACGCACACTGTTTTCTATGGTATCTGGCTCGTTGCTGAGATTGACAACTCGCTGAGATGCTTGCCTCAATATAGTTCCAGCTCTTGATAAAGGATTAGATGCTGTTGACGGGCTTAGAGATCTGGTGCTCATGGTCGAAGAGGGTCTACCCATCCCAGCCTCCACATGCGGCAAATCATCACCGAGTCGAGAACCTGACCTGCTGTGGCCCACACTGGGTGGTGGTGCACGAAGCCCTGGTCCAGGTGCTCTTGCACCAGCAATAGGCTGCAGGAATCTCGAGTCGGTCAGGGGTGTTCTATCGGTGTCTTGCGGGGAAAAGTAGGTGTCCTGTTCGGCCTCATCAATTGGATGAGAAGTAGGTAACGAATATGTGGATACCGCATCATTTTCCGTGATCACGTTCAGTGTGCTTCTCCTTTTTCCAGGTGGTGGCCTAGAGGGTCCTGGAGGCTCGAAGCTTAGACCAACGGATCCCATCGCGGCCTGGAAGTTTTCCGCATTGACCGGCGAAACCTCTCCGTCGTCGTAACTTACAGGTGGTTGGTGAGCGTTCCTGGGTGTCGTGACATGAGGCAGGCCTACATTCTCCCCTGCAGGAGCAGGCGGAGACCCCTCGTTGACCCGTTCGTAGGCTGTATTGACCCTCCCGCTGAATGATCGACGATGGCCCAACAGTGTCCGTGTCCTTCTCCTTGAACTCCTGCCATGGCTCCATCCTTCGTTACTATCAGAAGTCTGATCGGGCTGTCGTGAAAGATCCTGCAATGGTATTGATTGGCGTCTCTGGTTGTTATTGGGAGAGGAGCGGTCAGATGCCATAGCAAGGACCGGATCAAGGAAATAGAGCGTCAAGACCTCTTCCCCCCATGCTCAGACGTCCATTTATACCTCTCATCTAGTCCAGCTTGCGTACAATTCGCTCTGGCGCAACCTGGGTGCTATTGCTTACAGTCCCGAAACTGTCTCCGAGCTTGCTTAGGGGCGATTTGAAAAATATGGTCAAGAAAGATTTGTCGGGATCTTGCAGCCAATGACTTGGTAGCGAGCGTATGGAGATGGCCGTCAATACTGTAGAGTAGAGCGCGTATGTACGTTGCTTACATGGAAGTCGTGGATGCTGGAGTTTTAGCGGCCGCCCTGTTTGTTTGATGGACACCTTTGGAACGTTTCGTATCATACGCTATAAATAGTCTCCCCTTACAAAAAATTTAATTACCGTACTCTACTCATTCTCATTCAAAACAGTCAAACGATTCTTCCTTTCCTATGAAGTTGTTGCTAAATGCCAAAATGTACAGGGATTACATGATTTGACGCAAATAAAATACAGTGTCCCCAGCGCATTTCCCTGTGCATTCACGTTATACCGTAGATACAAAGCTCCAAGACAAATCTTGGCTCTTCAAGACATCACCCAAGAATACCGATATCATCCTGACTTGCACCATTATACATTAAATACCAATGCATTGACGACATGACCCTCGCGCCAACCCTGTGCCTGCAAAGTCTCTGTATCTTTAAGGATTTTGCCCATATATGCAATCTTCACTTTTCCGTTCCCGGTCATCTATGCGAAATGTCAGTATGTGCTCGTTAGTAACACGCAAAATTCTATCCTCACATTAGCCTCCTCTTGAACCCTTCTCACCAACATCCTTACGACCTGATCTTTGCCCAATGGAATGACGACATCCGGCCCTCCTCTATCACTAAGTCTCGCCCTGACTTTGATGGTATCGCCAGTCTTAAGCACTGACTTGCCTTTCTCTTCTCTTTTCCTTTCGATCGCTTCATCGTCATCTGCTGCCCCATTGGAACCTTCTCCTTTCTTGATCTCCTCTTGCTGGTCTAATACCACATTTTGAGGATCGCTAATGACATGCTCTGGCATCTGGTACAAATTCCCTGCCTCGTCATACGCACCATTCTTGAAATCACCAGTAGGTACCGTAATAGCTGCGGCGTCCAGTATGCTCTGTGCCGTAGTAATGTCGCCGTCCGCCAGAAGCCCCACTACGACCTTCAGTGTTGCCCATATCTCTGCATGGCCCGTAACCCTCGTATCGAAAAACTCTTGTCTCTCTCTGTCCAGCTGCGACCGAGTCCACTGCGTCTTCGCCGTCCATATATGGAGCCGTAATGGTGCGTTGAACTGTTCCCCTAAGGCTAGATTTCTCCGCGTCCGGCTTCGCTGTGAGATCTCAGGATTCTGAGATGAAGTCCGTGGACTAGGGGGTTCAGGCAGTTGCTGGGTGGGGGCGGAGGTGATGGCACGTGAGGAGGAGTCGCCGTGCGCATTCGAGGGGGAATAAGGCGATGATTCCTCTTCATCGCGGGGAGTGGAATGACAACACCCCTGTCAACGACGCCGTTAGTTGACATGGGTTCGTATTTCAAGATAGCTGATTGCTTCGATACGAGGCTGCTTCGGAGGGGGGCGATTTACCATTGCTCATTATGTAACAAAATTCAAACTTCTCATGAGTTGATGTATTTGATGACACGGATAAACGAGTGACGAAAATGCCATGAGCAACAGTGAGCTCGTGATTGGTATGGATATTCGTGGAGAAGAGTAGATGGTGCTTATGCGAAAGAAGTGGTGATTCGTACTTATTGAAACGATTAAATTCGCTAGTGTCAGAACTTCAGAAGTGGCTTGCTTTGCCGGTTGACTGCTCTTTTGAATTGCCAAATCACTGGAAAACTTTCTTCCCATATAGTTGGAGCATACGAGACATGTCACATATTTCACATAGGTTTCACTAATGCTAGTTACAGTCACAGATGTCGTGACTTTACCTGCCCAATGACCGCCCCGTAACGGGGCCTTCTGAGACACTAAGTATTCAGTCTGTGACACCTTGTTCCTTGCCTCTTTCAGAGACTGACAGCCTGAGTCTCCACCATTTGGCTTCTTTCTGTGCTCATCCCACACCCTTCTATTGTTGTTGACGAGCATTGTGTAGTCCGTCGTTCAGCTATCGGTATCCACCCAAATCGACACTCCCTTTTTGTCACTTTTCATTCCTTCAGTGGCGTTGACCTTCAAGCTCTTCTGGAAATGAGTGTCAAAGACTCTGAACTGAGGGCTAATCCACAACCCCTTCACGTGCGGCAAGATAACGTATCGAATATTATGCCGGCTGAGCGGCACCAATTGTAAGGTGACATTTTTGGGCCCACTGAATGCAAACTCCTCGCTGATATCCATGGTCAATTGAAATGGGAGCGCGTACATCGAAGGGTTTTCTATGACATAATCGAGATTTATCGCTCCTGCTGGGACGTTCCCACTCCGCGCGGATGCTAGCACTCGAGGCTCGCCAAACGGTATGACCAGTTCTGGCACAGAAAGGTGGGTGACTACTGGAGGGCCCTGGAAGCCGTCTCGATGCCACTTGATTTCCAATCGTAGATCGACGAAGGTAGATCGACGGTCTTCCAGGTCTGATTTTTGCGCAAGGATGACAAAATCGTGCGCCTGAAAATCATTGGGCGAGATCATGGACGCTGCAACAGTATCCCCAGAAGCCGAAGAGATACTACAAATGGCTCCTTCGTGGATCTCGACTACTTGTGGTTCAACACTCTGGATCATTAAAGAAACATTAGCCAAAGACGCAATTCTCGAAGTCAAAGACCATTCTTGAGTCAGTCCCTTCGCGACCTCCATCTCGCCCGCATCATTCTTGGAGTTCTCATCAAGGCCGTCAGCGTTGAAGTAACTCGGCCACGGTTCACAATGAATCCTAGGCAGGAAACTATGATTTGCCTTGAATGGCGTCACGACTCCGATTTTAGTTGAGAAACTTTTGATGATCGGTGTTTCTGGGTCGGAAAGAACGTGATAACGCGCTTTGACTTCCAGAATATAGTCCGCCGCAACTGGTGACCCTTGAATGCAGAGTGTATGTCTTCGATTCGCCATGGGAGCTAGATTGCCGATGCTTTTCGAAGAAGAGTCAATACTGCTGGGATCCGGCGGATCCTCTGGGGCGACCTCTCTGGAGTCCTCTCCTTCATCCAAAGCCCATCTCAGCGTCGGTAATATCCCTGAAGGTGCTAGAAGTCGGGCGTCAATGCTGACATTGGTTTCTTCTTCCTCTTCGTTCGTAGCTTCTATCTCTATAGTGATGTCCTCGTCAGTGAAGTAATTCGGTGACAGGCCGAGGGCTTGAATCTGCATTTTAGGCGGCTTGGGCAAGATTTTCACGACGCTACTGCGTCCAACCTTGGCTTTCTTTGGCAACAAGCCTAATGGACTTTTAACCCAGAGAGTTTCTTGATGAATTTGTTCCTGTTCAGTGATGACGACCTCCATATCGAAGTCAACTACAGACATGCACAGAGTGATGCTTGCAACCTCAACGTCTCCAGGATCACGCGGTACATGATCAAGCGACAGGGCTTTCGTGACGCCAGGGGCAATTTCTAGATCAGCAACCCCGATCAGTGGCTGGGAGCCTGGAGAGAAATTCGGACTTGAGGGTAATGATGTAGCATCTGAAGAAGCCTTTTGTAGGGAAATGCGATGAAGGTGCGCCAGCCCATCAGACGTGCTAGCCTCGGGTTTTTCGGTCAACTCATGCTGGATGTTGAAGCTCCTCAGACCTCCTTCAAACGCAACCTTGACTTGCGAAACTAAGATAGGAGTCGAATCCTTGTGTGTGCGAGAAGTAATAATTAGCTGTGAGGGCAGCGATACACCCACATTACCTTCAGTAACACCGAATGCAAACGTTGCAGAGACTGTTCGGGGATTAGCAAGCATAATAATCTCAATTCAGACCACTCGTGGGTTATGACCGTATAGACTTACTGCACGAAAGTGTGCTCTCAGCTCGTATAACAGATTTAGGCCGTGGATTTGAAGTCTTGATGCCGTCTATTGCTTTAGAGAAGTCATAGTGCCAATCCTGTCTTGGTGTCAGGTCTGAATCAAGTCAGATGGAGGTAACTCGAGTAAATTCGAATAAGGCCATTGGGCTTACAGCTACACATGAGCTCCCATTCCACAGCAATCAGTGTCTGAAGATCTCCAATGCGGCGTGCACAGTCTCTTAAGGCCCAGTCCATCTCTTCCAGCAACACCCACCAGCCTGCTCGGCGCCAGCTCAATGTCTGCGAGAGCGATATGAGCACTCGGGCTGCACGATCCCACCGCTTGTTCTGCATGTGTACCCTTGCAATTTCCAATTGTAGCCTTTCAACCGTCCTGGTGTGATCCTTTTCTGCGAAGTAGTCTGCTGATCTTTGTAATGTCCTCAAAAGGGCTGTGTATTCATCCGGGCCATTCCGTATCAACATAGGCACATCATTGGCGGGCTCCCTGCATAGATAGGTATCGTAGACTGAGGGCATGGCTGAGTCCTGTGATTGGGAAGGTCCCCCTTCCGAAGTTGGACTTTTCAGTGACATTGTACGAGTCTAGATCTTCTGTTTATTCAGGTTTCATGTTACCCTATACAGCATCAGTCGGCGACGATTTTGTGGAACGAAGTGTGGACATCCATGGTCCTCTCGAGACTGGAAGTGCTGCCCATTGAATGGATGTTGTTTCCATTGCATGAGTTGATAGTAAGGATAACTTGCACGCGATCCCTTGCATAACAATTGTGTTGTGTTTTACGAGTAGGAGGCATGAAGTCAACCGCTTCTGCAGATCAACGGTCAACTCTTGGCTCGGCAGGTTCCGCCAGACAATTGTCTTCAAGATTCCTGCATCCAAACGTGATTGATCACAGTTAACTTTCAGAATACAAGGAGTAACATAGACAACTGTATGGGGACTTGAAGATGCCGACATCCAAGGTACACACGCTGCTAATCTGGTGATCTTCCCGTTCTTCAAGGGACATGTCCAAAGATGGAACTCAACGCTCTTCGTCAAGTACATTGATTTGATTTTCTCCTAGTCGGCGAGAGCTAACACCCGTCTCCAGCGTTCCACTTCTTTGCCGGTCTTGCAACGGGCTGCGTGTCCGCCACGCTCCTCCAACCTGCCGACCTCCTCAAAACCCGTGTCCAACAGTCCCGCTCAACCTCCCTCGTCACCACCCTTCGCCAGATTCTCGCAGGTCCCAACTCCTTAAAACAACTCTGGCGCGGTACACTGCCATCTGTCATACGTACAGGTGTCGGTTCCGCGCTTTACTTCTCCTCCCTTAATGCATTGCGCCAGCATGTTGCGACATCGAATCTTCTCACGTCCACAGGTATAGTGCAAGCGTCTGTGGGTACCTCGCAGTTCTCATCCTCGAGCTTGCCTAGATTATCTAACATGGCAAATATGACTACCGGAGCTATTGCAAGAGCTTCGGCGGGGTTTTTCATGATGCCGATCACGGTCATCAAGGTCCGCTATGAATCGAGCTTATATTCTTATAAGTCAATATGGAGTGCGGGGAACGCTATACTAAAGAAAGAAGGCATCAGAGGCTTTTTCTCGGGCATCGGAGCAACAGCGATACGAGACGCTCCCTATGCTGGCTTATATGTCCTCTTCTACGAACAATCGAAACGACGACTGAGTCAGGTTCGGGAGGTTACTCCACTCGCCGAGATATCAAACTTTGAAGGTGGTATGAAAAGCAGCACTTCTCTATCTATCAACTTTCTGTCTGGTGTTCTAGCAGCTGGCTTTGCTACAGTGATTACAAATCCATTTGATGCGGTGAAGACAAGACTGCAGCTTATGCCTGGGAAATATAGCAATATGATCATAGCTGGGCGGCGAATGGTTAAAGAAGATGGTTTTCGAAGTCTCTTCGACGGGTTGGGGTTGCGGATGGGTAGGAAGGCCCTCAGCTCCGCTCTAGCCTGGACTCTCTATGAAGAGTTGATTAGGCGGGCTGAGATGGAGGTTCAACACAAGGGTGGAGCTACAGTGTAAGCGCACTCCACCAATCGTTTCTTTGTATGATATCGAGTAACCCTCCCATCCAGTGTATAGAAAGCTGTTGAACATGCCATATTCAAAACGTTGTCAATATTGAATTGACATCTGCTTTGCTCCTAGCGCTTTGTCTTCGCATGCTGCTGATCCAACAGTAGTTCTCATTTCGCCTTCTTCCCTTCCTTCTCCCTTTTGTCCCTTTCTGCGTAAATCTGGCTCGTGAAAGGGTCCTCGAATTGAAGCGCCCCAAGGTAGACAAGGAAGACTTGGATGGTCAAAAGTGCTCCGGCTGGTCTCCCATACAGGAGACTCGTCCCCAAGAAACTCATCGTGCTTCCCCAGTACATTGGCGCGCCGGTGACGTTGAACGGAAACCCCGTCACAGGCTCGTCCATCAGTATCCCAAAATAATCGCCTAGGAAGGTGCCAGTAATGCCTAAGGCGTAGTATGAGGTCAGGACTAGGGTATTCCCAGTGGCTAAGAGGACATAGGCGATGTAAGGGTGATGAAACGCAGGAATGAACGGTTGATGGCGGAGGGCACGTTCGTAAAGGGCATCACGGAGAAGGCCGAGACCGAAGATGGTGAGGGCAAGAGCGTAACAGGCTCGGAGAGAGTTGCCATTGAAGAGACGGGTGAGTGTCTTGTTGTGATATTCTTGGCGGGCGACGATGCTGGGACTACTCATCAGATCTACTCCAACATACGGGAGTACATAACAATGGGATCCCACGCGAATACTCACTTCCAGAATGTGGGGTTGAACGCTATAGCAAGGGCAGAAACTACATCGTGGTGAGTCAGCGCCTGGAGAGAAAAAGGTTGAGGCTATGGACGTACAGTAGAGAGAGTTTTGAGAGAGGTCTATAAGACCTCCAGTCAATTGAGACATGATCACTGTTGTATGAAGCTATTGTATGAAGCTAAGGTAAAGAGTCTGGCTCAACAACTTGCTCGCTCTTTATGGCTCACTGTTGTCAAGCGCTAGGACCAAAGAGATCTAGCGCCATCAATCGCGTATTACTGAAAGGGCTGGCTTCATTACGGTCTCTATATCCCAGCACGAGGAACTGCAAACAACCAGATATTGAGCGAAAATCATCGTCTCTTAATGTGCCAGGATTGTCTTATGGTCTAATCGATAGCGTACCATTCCGCTCTATTTGCCATCTATTCTAGCGACTACAATCGCAACGTTCGACTCATTTGAGTAACCAGGGGAACAACCATCAAATTGTCGGCGACACGAGATTCCAGCGACGGTTCGTCCGTATCTGACAAGGTCTCCTTTCGAGCAGCCATTGCCCCATGCGACGCCGAGCCACCATATACCGAGTCACCTGAGGACCCACTTCCGCCGGCATCGTCGTCGAGCTTTCCCTCCTTCGCTCCTCCGCCCTTCTCATCTCTTTATTTTCCACCGCAAACATCTCCAGATCATCTCAAGGCATCCATCACTGAGCCTGTCAGCGAACCCCCGCCGGCTTTCAGCCCGGTACCGCCTGCAGAGGCTGCCGTCGCTGGCACAGCAAGCGTAGAGGCGGAGACCAAGGCTGCACTTCCAGCGGACAACAAGGGGGAATCAAGCAAGAACGCGGAAGACGCCGAGCCGCCACCGCCATATACAGAAGGCTCGAGTCCGCTTGACTCATTTACATACGTGATGGCCGCCGCAGGCGGTGCTGCGAGCATAATCACTCAGGTACAGCAGGGGGGTGCGGCGCCTGTGAGTACTTTAGCGGGTACGAAGATCACAAGAGTCCCAATTTTCGCGGCTGCTATAGCGGAAGCTGACTTAGAATTCAGATGTCAGCGCGGACGAGCATATCACATTGGACCTCAGGTATGTTGAATCAATCACCCCTGTTGCGCTAAAACTAACACCGATCCTGCAGAGGAACTCGCTTCACGTTGTCACGGGACGAGCTTCTTACTCTTCCCGAGTTCGTTCTCCTTTCCTTATTCCCCAATGGACTTCTGCCAGATGGTCATATGAACTCCTTCCATGAAGGAGACATATACCCTGTCGATGTACGTTACCGAAAAGCTGGCATATAGCTCGTCACTCCTCAGCACTGATTCAGTTCACCAGTATGATCCCCAGTCGCTCCAGTATATGCTCGAATTTTTCCGCATCGTCGCCCAAACAATTCCCTCCTCCTCACCGTCTCCTACCGGATCACCATCGGAAATCCAAGGAAGCTCAACAGAACCGTCCTCCACTTCCGCTCGTGACATGCTTCAAGACCGAGCCGGTATCATCGTGTTGCGAGAGGATCTAGATTTTTACGCTATACCGCCAAAAGCGGATGTTGACCAAACCGAGATGATCGAGGTCAAGCGGGCAGCAGGAAGAGCATTACTGAAGCAGGACGGAATATTCTCTGGGTTGAGGAGGAGTGAAGAGACGGGGACGACAGAGCAGCATTTAATTGAGATGTTGACAGCTGGTGGCTTCAACAACGAGGACCGCTGGGGCCACCGTGCCGGCGAGCCCAACAAAGCCGTCATTTGCAGCCTCGCCCTTGCGCGACTCCGAACTGACATCAAGGGTAGCGAGACGTTGGCCAACAGCAACGCGGTGGGTATGGCCCAGAAGCTGCTGCTATTCTGGAGGAAACCAGCAAGGAGATGTTGGTGGGAAGGCGTCGAGCTGGACAACGTTGAAGGTGTAGAAGGGAAGTTGAAGGTTTGGATACGAAGAGTCTGGACGCTGGAGATGGTGAGTACATTTCTAACTATGCCCTTGATTCTCTTGCTTTCCAGACAATTACTGACAAGGCATCTAGAGCGTCATCGGGCTACGATGATCCAATTACATCCATCTAATAGGTTTAGACTGACAAAGCGTACATGGTTGATTATGATAAATACCCTTCAAGTCAGTGAGCATGAGCGAAAGGCATGTTATTAGCATTTCTTGGGGACTGGGGCATAAAAAGAGATAAAGCTACGTTTCGACGTATGCTCCACCGTCTTTAGACTTCTCGATCTGAATCATCTGAGGCTGTAGGCTTCAAATGGAAGAGAGCCATACCTCTTTGTACTGAATTCTTTCACTATCCAGGACCGGTCCCTTTCTACTACTCTCTCCCCAAAACTCGCCGCGCTCACGTATCTTTTGGACCGAGCAGTATCCTCGAAGTGGGCTTTGCACATCTGTGTTTTGCTGAGCCGTTTCCGCATGCTTCCGCTTTCCCTTCCCTTCCCATCCCATCCCACCTCGCCCTGCGACTCACTCATCCTATGCTTGCGTCGCTCCAGCTTGGCCTGTGGCAGCGGGGCTATACACATGACCGGGCTCCTCCCCCCACCCCTTTTCTCGCTCCCTTCACAATCGCCAACTTTGTCGCATTCCCATGCGCATACCTTTCTTACGCACAACGTTTACTCACAGGGACACGCACCGGATTCCTCGTGTCCACGTATCGTAATGTGCCATCTGTAAAGACATAACTGCTACCATCTACGTATATAACCGCAATTTGTCTCAATCCATCCTCCTTCCATTTCGCGTCATATACCTAAACCATCTCCCTGCCATCTACTTCAGAACGTGCATGCTGGGCCATGCTGTGAGAACCTTTGCTGATGCTAGGTGGCTCCATCACAGCACTCGTCTTATTCGATCGAGGCCCTGCAGAGGGTTACAGTCATCACGCAAGCGCTGTCGTCGTGATTAGATTCCGAATCGCCGTTTCCGCAACCGAACACTTGGCGAGCGGATCAGGGCTCTCTGCGAAGGGAGACGGCAGGTTTGTATACTTGGAGGGAGTACAAGTAGCATGGGCTGCTCAAATGTCATTGCTGCGATTGTGAATGGGTGTCTGTTGGGTTGCAAATCGTGGAAATATGGCATCGTTCGGTTAAGGAGTTTGACCCGGCAGCAGATAGGAATTGCATGGCGGCTGAACCGTGCAACTCTTTCAAGCATGGTTGTGATCTCCCAAATATGTGCCAATTGACTTGATGCAATCCAAGGGGTCGTGATAGGCACCTAAAATTATGTGTGAACCAGTCTCACATAGAGGCTAGCATTTGAGCTATACTATGACGCTTCGGTTCGAGTACTCGATGTTTTCTGTCTGGTCATATTTTTTCTGAGCCTTTGGGCTTCATTTATAGATCGCCAGTACATCAAGGAAACCAAGAGCAGGTCACCGTCGCCCATGAAATGAGCGTATCCACTCGGCTTACCGCCATTGTGCTTACTGCTACTGCTCTTGCCCTTTTCCTGTTGGTGCTTGCTGGTCACTGGATTGTCCAGACCTATGGCCCAGACCTATGGTATCTTGCTCGTGCCGGGCCATGAGTAAGCGCTTTTTTTTTTGCTGCTCGAGCAGCATTAACTGCATTTGATACTCCTGTAGTGCATCTCTAGTGGTGTCGATTGATAAGTAAGCAGGAGTGTCCGTCGCCTCGGAAGACTCGAGTGTACGTTCGCTCAAATAATCAGGACTCAGTCCAGCGTCCGCCAAGAGACCTCGAGCTCTTGGTACTGATTCATCCCGCCGGATGTAACTTGCTCCCAGTAGGTCTCCGTAGTTGCGCGCTGGATGATGGGTCAATAGATCAGTCTCCTCACTGAGAAGCAAGATTAGCTGCTGAATACCAACCTATGGCTCTAGGTATCTTACGCGCTAGGAGGATCTGGTTCCCTATCACGAGCCCCACCCGCGGCCACAAGCGTTTCTACGTCTTCAGGCCAGTACTCTGGGTGGGCATGATAAACAGGGTAACCGCTACCGCCAGGGTGCAGGGGTTGCGATACCTGTGATCCATCAGCGACTTTACCACTCGCATTGTAATGCCCAAAGTGACATGACACCACATACTTGAATTTGCTCCGTCTAGGGAGAAGAGGAGGGAATACTAACATCGACAAGCTTATCGCCCTCGACTCGAACCTCCCTATCTCTCAATTGCCGCATGAGGAAAAGAAAGTTACTCTCCTGGAATTTTTGACTCTGGTCGCCCTTCACATTTTCAAGGAGCTGACCGGCTGTTCTTGCAAGCTCTTCCGCATCGTCCGCATCTTTGCCCTCCTCGCCCCTCTTTTGAGCTTCATCAAGAATTCTGTCAGAGCCAATCCGGCTGTGATCAAGCCATCCTTGACCCTCTTGGTCCTTGGTATCATGCAGTCCCGCGTCTGTTTGGGTCTCCTTTCGATGAGCGCTATCACCTGATTGCTGTATCTCTTCTCTGGCCGCATCGAAAGCCCTCTCGAACGCTGCTTCGTCGTAGACATCTTCAGCTTGCCTTTCGGGCTGCTTCTGCCGCGCCATCGTAGACAGGGTATCATGATGCTGTGGCAAAAGGCCACCAGTGTATCCATATGACCATCCGCTGTAAGTCTGACCAGCAGGTATCTGCTGTTGCTGAGATTGATACGGAGAAGGCTGGTTTTGTTGATGTAAGAAGTCCTGGTGCCACCCACCTGTGCGTTGCAGAGGTGCATGCTGACGAAATTGGGATTGCGGAATTGGCGATACTCGGGCCTCATTCAATTGCATACTCTGGAAATCCGAAGCCCAGTTCGGGAGCTGTGGCTGGCCAAGTTTCTGTTGGAAGGAGCTGGCTGGGGGGCCATGGTAGAATGAATCAGGCTCTGAATATCCGGCTTGAAGTGGGTATCCTGCCTGAAAGGCTTCGAACTCTGCATCGAGTATAATGGCATTCGAACCAGGCGCGGATCGAAAGTTCTATAGGTCGCGAGTTAGATCTCCTTCGGAGAAGCTGGCAGTGCGGTGACATACCCCGGCCGGTGCTTGACGTGCTGTTATTCGGTCTTGCTGCAAGGTCCGATCTACGGAGGTCTGTTTCTGGAAAGTTTGGAGGGCGGTTGAAGGCCCACACAGAGCGTCGGCCATCGTCTATTCTTCTCCGCGAAGCGTTTGAGTGGATCAAAGAGAAAAGGATTGTGAAGGAAGAGAGGAGAAGCAGGGAAGGCGAATGTAGACGAGTGTCCAGCGAACTAAACAGCCGAGGCTTCCACGGCTTCCTGAGTGCAGTTGTCGGCCACCGTACCGTTATGCGCGCCAGGACCGCCTCTTTGCCCTATGAGGATTGGTGAAAGTCGCATATTGAGAAAACAATTTCGAGCATTGCTGGCCTCATCCCCTCTACCTTTCGAGGCCAAAGCACTGAAAATGGTATGTTAGTACCCAATGGCAGAGATATCATCCCTAACCATGTCTCAGGCGCAACTTATCACCAATTCCGGTCACGATGACATGATTGTAGGTACATTTTAATACTCGAAGCTTCCCAGAGCTCCGCATTCGGAGGCTGATGAGCGCTATGACAGCATGATGCTGTATTGGACTATTATGGACGACGACTGGCTACCTGTTCCTCAGACAAGACGATAAAGATCTTCGAAGTGGAGGGAGAGAATCACAAGTTGACAGAAACACTGCGAGGGTACGAAACAGGCTTCCCAGTTGAGCACGTGCTTTGTGCATTGACATTGTGATCTAGACACGAGGGGGCAGTCTGGTGCGTCTCATGGGTCCGTTCGCCTCTCCCCTCCCCCAAAACCCTGCTTCATCTTAACCCGCGTCATCACCAGGCACACCCCAAGTACGGCTCCATCCTCGCATCCTCCTCCTACGATGGCAAAGTCCTCATCTGGCGCGAATCACCCAACTCGCAATGGACGATTGTCGCCAACTTCGCTCTCCACACCGCCTCCGTAAACATAGTCTCCTGGTCGCCTCATGAATCTGGCTGTCTACTCGCCTGCGCCTCGTCAGACGGGCAGGTATCGGTCCTAGAATTCCAAGAGGGAAATTGGACACACCAAATCTTCGCTGCGCATGGACAAGGGGTCAATGCTGTGAGTTGGGCGCCTGCTACGCAACCAGGAAGTCTGGTATCGAGTAAGCCTGGGGTAGAAGGCAAGGGGGCAGGAGGAGGGGTGAGGAGATTCGTGACCGGGGGGAGTGATGGGGTAGTCAAGATCTGGGAGTACAGGTACGCTCTTCTCTCATTTTATTCCTATGTTTTTCCTTTTGAAGGGATGGTCGTGCTGATAGGATATCCGCAGTACACAAGACAAAACCTACCTCCCCATCAAAGAGCTCACCGGCCACACCGACTGGGTCCGGGACGTGGCCTGGGCACCCACAATCCTCCAGAAATCGTACATAGCGTCCGCGGCGCAAGACAAGACGATCAGGATATGGACAAGTGACCCCGCACACCCCAACGATTGGAAAGCGACGGTCCTAAACTTCGACGCTGTGTTATGGAGGGTGAGCTGGAGCCTGAGTGGCAACGTGTTGGCGGTCAGTGGAGGCGATAACAAGGTCAGCTTATGGAAGGAGAACCTGAAGGGGGAATGGGATTGCGTCAAGTGGATAGAAGAGTAGAGAGACAGATAGATAGAGGATGCGCTGCATGAGGAAAATGCGAGCGTTGCTGTCGGTAGGCTACTGCTAGAGGCGTTGATAGAGTGGGACTGCAGCATCTAGATCGAGTTTGGGGCAGCATTAGGTGTACGTGCACTTGAAAACGACTTTTGATTGCATGCAAAGCTAGCGCGCGAAAATGAACTGTGCTAAGTACATGGGCACAAGAGCGAGTCGATCTCGCGACGCTCCTCCGCCTGCTCCACCAAGCGTACGTGAAACGATCCCTAAAGACCGACCGCCTGGGGTGGCAATGAGCTTTCCGGCCCGATGCAACGCTATAGCTGTGCTAGCTGGGGAGCCAGATGGAGGAAGCGTAGTTGTAGTAACGGCGATAAAAGACCTCGGGGCGAGCCCACAAGCAGGCTGCGAGAGATCGGATGTAGGGGTGCCCTTCGTCATGATATTCATGAATCGTGAATCGTGAGTGGAAAGTGTGTGCGGAATTGACTGGGATGACGGGGATATGATCCCGAATGAGGGTGTTGATTCGTGTCCGAATATCTTCGTCCGGTCCCTCATGTGCTGGATAAATTGTGATGTGAGATTGTAAAAAGGTGGAAGATGGTTTGCCAAAAAGGAGTGTGGTGACCAATAGATGATCCAAAAATGAGTGTGTTTGGTTCGTATCCAGGAAGTTCGTTTCATGTATTGCGTAAATGATCATTGCTTTCCGTGTTCAGTTTCTGCTAAATGAGGCCGTGGTGGTGGAAGATTGTCTGGAGTGCGTGTGTTCATTGTCGTCGTGTCCGGGTCCAAGTCCGCTCAAGCACGCCCTCCTCTCGTCCATTCAGCTCATTCATCCTTGTCAACATTCCAAAAGATGAACGGCCCCATGCACCTCTTCAACCCCGTATCGTCCATCGGGCTCCACCATCTCCCCAGCATGATCATGCCACCCGGCAGAACCACACCTTCGTAAGCCCAGCATCCAGCATTGATCTGGGCATCGTCATCGACCTGATACATATCACTGAGGTTGTAGTCGGCGCCGGCTGGCTTGTATGGCACGTATGGAGCGTCCCCCTCGGATGGCGGAGACTGGAAAGGAGCCCAGGTGGTGCCGGACTGCGGTGGCATGCTGTCTGGTTGAGCTAAGGGATCGAAGTATTTCATCATCGAGATACGGTGCCAGCCTGGGATCCCCTCCTGAGGCGGCAACGGGTGTAGGATACCGCTGCAGTGGAAGGGTTCGGCATCGTTTCCTGAGCCGCTGAACTGGTGGTAGTGAACACCGCGCTTGGGAAAGGTCGGCGAGGTTGGAGAACATGGCTTTTTCTTTCGCGGCAGCGGTAGCTCGATGTCAACGTGATTCACGCCCGGTGTGCCTGGTGGTGAGGGTGGTTCTTGAGGAGGTTGCTCACGGAGGTTGCCCCGAGTATACGCTGCCATTGTGCGACGTCCTACACGTGGGATTCGTTCGGCTTGAGGAGGTTTAGTCTTATAGAGCGTGTCGAGTCTCATGCACAGAACTTTGGTAGGCATGGCGTTGAGGTGAGATTCGAATACTTTTGGCCAACGGGCTCTATTTGCTTCAGGTTCGAAGTCAAGTTCCAGAGTCTGAAAACCGTCATGGTGATCGATGCTGTCGGTGAAAAAGTATTCCTTGCCAGGTTCGCACCGACGAATGAGATCCATCTCGAAAAGGTCGTGCAAGTAGGCTGTTACAAAGCATCAGTATTTTAGTTACAGAATCTGAGCTTCCAGACTAAGAAGACTTACCATAAGTCCCTTTCCAGTGCTTACCAAGCGTCTTCGCACCACCTCCTTGAACGAGTCTTGAGTCCCAAGCCTTAGGCTTTTCATGCGCTTTGAGCTGGTTGAATAGCTCATACAGAGTATTCTCGCCTTTCTCAGTCAAATGGTGTTTGAAGAAGTTTGCGATATGCAGCAGAAGGTTTGTGCTAATTTGCCATATACTATTCACGCTGAACATTGGGAAGTCGTCGGGGTGAGAGTAGACCGCAAATTGAGAGTATGCAAAACCAAGTGCTGGGTTACCTCTGACTGAGGGACTGTTCAGCTGCAAATGCGTGAGGACGAGTTGCAAGGTCTGGAGGAGAGGATTCATGTTGCTTTTCTCTTCCAAGCAGTGGAAGATTTTTCTGAGCATATTGGAGCGTTGCACGAATTCCTGGATCACACTGAGGTTGTTGGAGGGGTGTTTCGCTTTACAGCCAACAGGTAGGTTTGCATATGACTCTAGAGGATGTAAGTACAGTGTTTGAGGTACGGGTAATCCTGGCTCGCTCACCAACAATGAGATCTCTTACGAGTTCCATACAGCTGATCTCTCTGAGTTCCTGACCCATTAAGAACTTGGCACTTTTGCGAAGTAGCCGTGAACGAATCTTGTAATGCATCGCAATCTCCAGGCCTCCCTTCTTCTCCGGCATATCGTAACGCTGAGCGTACCGGTCGCGCCAGACACCACAACGATATGTGTCCACTGCGGAATTGGTGGCATGACAGATGAGTCGGAAATTGCACACCTGTCGGTCGGTTTCTAGAAATGTCGCGATCTGCTCATTGAGCTAGTACGGTGGGGTACATCAGTACAAAGCACTTTGAACAGGGCGCAAGCCGCCGTGAGGAGCACAGCAGGAAGGATGCTTACCTCGAGTGATAGAGAATTGAAAGCCATTGCGGTGATATGGTATGAAGAGTGTTGCGAGGGTGGACAGACGCGATGTAGAGTAACGATCAAGGTAGGTGAACGTTTGAGTCAGTATGCTTGCGGTGGGTTGCCAATGCAATGCGATGTTGCGCTGATGACTGTAGCTAACCAGTAGCTGAGGTATGAGACTGACGGAGGAGAAGGAGACGGCGAGGATGCGGAGGTAAAACGGTTGTTGGGAGGATGCTGGGAGTGTGAGGAGGAAGAGCGATGAGGAGCAAAGTTCACAGAAGTGAGCAGAAAGATAATGAGGAGGTTGGTCTTTTTCACCCGATTAAGACGAAAGTGAAAGTTGCATGGAGCCCCTGAGTTTCACTGGAGTGAATGACAACGGTGGCAAATCGAAAAGTGAAGTTTCCGCGATCACCATTTCTCATCTCGCAGCCACTTTGACATTATAGATCCAGTGGATAACGAATTGGCTGGCGGCCTCCTATAACTTGTAATTGAAACTGGTGTAAGCCCCAGCTACGGTGAGAACGGAGTTCTCAACACTTGCATACAATCTGTAGCAGGGTGGAACCTCAGTATATCTGTGATCGCGGCATCTCCTGAGATAATTCTCGATCAAATGAGAATGATCAAGGTCTTACGCAAGAAAATGCGTCTGGGTGAACGAGGAGAGCTTCTCTATGCGATGGCACCAACAGTCTTTTGCAGATGTAAATTATAGGTCTCAATCCACGTAGATCCTGGAAGACGTACTTGACAATCTTTCAGATACCAGATTGGACCAACTTGCTATCCTACAGATGCTTGAAAACTAGATGACTCTTTCCTCTAGACGCCCAAGTCGAGCTGCTTGTTCCGGTGACGAGAGCGATCAGATAGGGAAGAGACACCGTAGTGAGCTTCGCAAGCACAAGCGGCCTCTCCATCCGACTGCAGCACTCATCGATGTGTTTCTCGTCTATTGATCAGCTTGTAAGGTGCAATGCGAAAATGGTCGGATTTCAGCGCGGTAAGGTCATGACCGTCTCCTTGTATTTCGGATGAAACGAGCCTGTCATAGTACTATGCAACATGCAAGCACAGAAAGCACCAGCGTACCAGTACTAAAGACTCCTTGCCTCTGCGCACCAGACTTGGGTTTGGCACCAGAAGAACCGCTGCCAGACGAGCTACTCCCAGTCGTACCGTTTGCTGTCTCATCCTTTGTCACGACATAGATCTCACCACTAGCATCAGAGCTGAAGAACATGCGACCCTGGCTATCAAAAGCTAACCCCACTGGTCTGAAGCAATTCCCTGGACAGGCGGTATTGTTGGCATTTGCGACGATGTCTGTGTAGGACGTGTTACTGTTCGCCGGAGCCACGGGTTCGCCGCCGTCGGCAAAGGAGATGAGGGAGACTTTGTAGCCGGAAGGGTCGGTGCGGTCCCTAAACCATGTCAGTGTCCTATGCTTCCAGCCCATCCAAAAGGTCGACATACCAGCTCCCATGAAAGGTGACCCAGCCATCGTTGCCGCTGTTGTTGAACACAATGTTTAGTGGCGCCATGTGCGCCTCGAAAGTTAACCTCGGCGGTGTCTGCTCTGCGCAGTAAGTATCATTGATAGTGTTGTTCATATTTCCAATAGCGAATTGGCTGCCGACTGTCAAATTACTATTGTCCGGTAAGTCGCTTGGATCCCAAGCAGCGAAGCAATAGGGATATCCATAATTGCTGCCCTGCGCTGAATACTGAGTTCCGTTGAGGTACCCATGAAAGTTCAATTCCTCGCCAGGGTTGTCCTCGTGGACATCTTGGCCATCACGCGTGGCCTGATCGACCGAGTTTTCCACGGAGAAGATACCACCAGTAGTCGGATGCTCAGCGACACCAACCGAGTTGCGAAGCCCCCAACTATGCACATTTCGGAGTCAGCATGGCTTTCTCAGGGCAACAAGCAGAGTCATAACCCGGATTCGAGAAATGAGAAGAGCGCTCTGCTCCCAAAAGATTGGCATTCAAACCCAGAATTTGTAAAAAGTAGGAGGGATGAGTTGGTCCGAAATGTGCGTACCCAAGACGTAGCCCATCCGTATCATACGAATAGCCATCCGCCGTGATGTTGTTAAGGTTGAAAGCCTTTATCTGACTGTGGCCTGAAGAAAGCATTTCCGCTGCTGGATCGATGTTGGCAGTGCTTCCTCGGCTGATCAAAAGCATGCCGTCAACCTTCTGAGAGATGAGGAGGGTCCTCGTAGTATGGTCATCTGTGTTCATACCCGTCACTACGGTCATATTGGTGTCGCCGACAGTGGAGCTCGCTGAATCGTATTCCCACGAGTAGGCTGCTTCTGCTGAAGAAGCGTAAAGTGTTTTCCCATCTCGTGATAACGCAATGCCATGGTTGAGCTGCGTACGACGATTCAGTATTGACCCTAGGCTCAGAAAACGCGGCTTACGGCGGTGGCCTGCACCACGGTCTTCTTCGACTTGACAGTCACGCAAGTGCCGCCATTATCTTGCAGCTGAAGACTCTCAATCCCCGCGCCTGCTTGAACAACCAGTAGATTTCCTGCGCTGTCGAACTCTATGGAACGAGGGTCAGTTAAACCGGTAGCCACAAGGGCCGCCCGGTACCCAGAAGCAACGGAAGGCTTTATCGAGTTCGTAGGAATTAGAGTGGTTGAACAGCTCGAAGATGACTGGCCCAAAGCCGGAACGAAGAAGAAGAAGCCGAGCAAGGCAACTAACGGGACAGGTGACATTCTCAAGGAAAGCCAGGCTAGAATAACAGGCTCGTCAGAAGTACAGCAACAGAGCAAAGAGAAGAAAGGACATTCAGAGAGCGGAATGGCTACGAGTACTCTCGAAAATTGCCACTGAAAGGCATTGAACGGGAGGGAGGTCTATGAATAGTCCTAGAGCATTTTGCCGCTTTTCCGGCGAAACGATGAAGATTCGATGACTTCAGCCAAGCTGAGCGACCTTTGCGAACATCGATCATAGTACTTTCATTGAATGAATATTCTGTATAATAAATCAACCTGATGGAGTAGGGATGATTTGTCGTTGCACGGTAGCCAATCAGATAGCCTCAACTCTAAGAAGTAATCTAGATATTCTATGGAGCAAAATGGTTGGAGGGACTGACTGCCTCAAATTCGGTACAACAGTTTTGAGGTCTAACTTAAACTTGGAGATAAAATTGTTCTCTGCATCGGGTATCTATCATTATCGTGCAATATCTGCCAGCAGCAACGAGTGCTCATATATTCGCTCCCCGTTCCGTTATGCTCAAAGTTCGTCACGCTTACGTCCTCCTTTCATTATTTTATTACAGAGCCTCTCCGACTCCCTGACTCCACCTGTTGCTGTTGTTGGAGTTATTGTTGTTGTAACCATCGTAGCTGTCGTGCTGTCCCACGCTACTGTAGCCACCGCTAGCACGATTGTCAGCCTGAAGGTCCTCAAACCTCAATCTTCTCGGCTGCCCGTTAATGCTGGTAGCTGGACTTCTGCTGCTTCTCCTCCTGCCATCTCCGGACGGATATTGTCCACTCTGCCTCGGGCTGTGGCTTTGGTGTTTCCGTGAATGGATGTTGGACCCCGATTCCTCCCACGGAATTGGCGGTGGTGCGGCCACGTGAGGTGATGACTGGGGCGAGTTGGCAAATCGTTTCTGGTGTTGCTCCCAAGGTGCCACCGTCTCACGCTGCGCTGGCTGGTAAGGATCGATCTGACTTTGGTATCGCTCGCCGCTGCTATTGCTCGCAGTGGTAGTACTAAGCTCAGAGTCATAACTGCTATCTACCAACATGCTGGCACTATTATTCCTATTGGGTGAGCGGGATGGCACCTCGGGTGGAGTAGTGTAGCCACGGCTGTTGCGATACTTGGGGTGACTTTCGTCCGCGAAGGCTGCTCCGGGGAAAATTTCATGGTTATGCAATGACTGTCGTAGCTCTCTGGATGGTGCATCAACTTGAAGGTTATGAACATGCTGGTGCTCATAAGGTTGGCCAATGCCGCTGTAAGGCGGACTGACACCATGGTCACGGTGGATAGTGTGACCGGCTGGTTCGCCAAAACCAGTGAGACCGAATGGCGTCGGCGGTCGGTCCGCATCGTTGTGGGTAGGAAGCCCGCTAGATTGGGGTCGGGTATCGGAATTGGAACGAGAGCGAGAAGAGCTCTTGCGCGAACCTGTTTTCTCAGGAAGAACGTACGCAGCAGCGCCAGGAATCATGCCATCAGTAAGTCCAGCGCGAGAGTTTGGTGCAGTCCGACGAGAACTGGATGGCTCAGGGACGAATGGGTTCTCACAATGGCGCATAGCTGGGTGCTGAGACAGGCTTGGGGCTTTCTCATTGTGTACGTGGTGTTCAGCTGCCGCGGCCGCCATAAGTGGGACGGTGGGAGACTGTTCTGTAGGCACTTGTCCTCTTTGCGCAGGAGAGTAATTGGAGTGGTGGCGACCTGGGTTGATTGGCGATTTCCATGATTTGACTTCTTCGTCCTCGACCGGAGTGACGGTTGGGCGTCGCTTGCTACGGCGTCGTCGACGGAGTAGACAACAGCAACAAAGGCCGAGGAGTGCGAGAAGAAGTAAGCCTCCAACAACGCAGCCGACGATGATGCCGATCTTGGCTCCTTCGCTCAATCCATGATGAGCACCGGCCACGGCTGACGTAGCTGCTGGTACGGGCGCCGCAGTTGCTGATGGTGATGAGGAAGTCGAAGATAAAGATGAAGTTGGCGGAGTTTCTACTGAGTTTACTGACTTAACGACACTGGCTGCAGCTCCGGCGGCGCCAATGAAGTTGTTCAGAGGATTAGATGTTGTGGTTGCAGCTGCCATCTTGATGGTGAGGAAGGTTGATGAGGCACGGAGGGAGGTCCGAAATTGATATGGAAGAGAGGTGATTCAACACAGCGGTGACGTTGAACGACTATCACTGTGGTAACAATCAAATCAATTGCTCACCACAGACATTCGTTTTTCGACTCATCAACGGGCAAGAAAAGGAACGAACGAGGAAAAGGTATTATTAGAGGGAAGATACAAGATACAAGAAGCGGAGGAAGGGAGGGAGCGCAGCCACAGTTATGCTGTCATAGATGCTGCAAGACCCAACGGATTGTCGGTACGCGATGCAATTAACATCCTTGAGTATTTGAGCCACACTGGCTTCATCGCGCAATATTGATTGGAGAGCGAGGTGAAATTTGCGATAGCAAGGCCGCTAGATGATGTACTTGACACTAACTAGGTAAGGTAAGCCGGGATCGTCGCGGCAAGAAGACGGCATCGTGGGCTTTTCAACCTTGGCATGATGACGGAATTGCAAAGGAAAATCCTGATTGTTCTGATTGTCCTGATTCTTGAGCCTCATCATCTCGTACACTCGTACTGCACTGAACGCAAAGCTTCAACGGTGGCGTCAGAAGGATACAGTCTGTCGTGTTTGATTGATGGAGGACAATAGCAATGCTGTAAATTAAAGCGATCCAGAGCAAGACAAGAAAAGCACCACGAGAAGATCGTCACGACACGCTGTCAAGCTGCTAAAAAAAAGGGGATCTGCACTGATTGTACACAGCCACAACGCCACATGTAAGCCGGACTTCGGGATAAGATCTTACTTCACCTCCGCATTAGGACTAGACCCTCGTGAGTCGTGCTCCAGATTCTAACCTCTACAACGTCCGCCGAAGTGTGTCTAGCTCCTAGGTACCAGGGAATTTTACTCCGCCTCTTCCTCCACCTAATACCCTATCACAGACCAGCTGAGGCTGGCCCCTCCTACTCCGAGTAGTCACCTCATGTGGTGGATGAAAGACAAGAAGCCAGCTCGATCATCGAATCAGAAGGCAAATTTGTATTGTCGAAGCTTCGTTCTGATTTCTATGCACAATAAGATTGTCTATCTACACGTTGTCTATCTACCAGAACAGAGCTCCAGGAGCATCAACATCTCTAAAGCGCTTAACACGCTCTCCTCCACCTTCCAAGTTGTCCTCAGCCCGAAAATCTGGCTCAGGAACCTCATCCCTCGATCTTCATTCTTCGTTCAATCCCTCCTCAGATCAGATGTCCCCTGCCTGATTCCCTCTACCGCCTTTGGTGAGAACGCCGATTCGAACGGTAAATCACGCCGCGTCTTAACATCTGACTGGAAAGTGCCCAGACATTGTAACTCAATGTGGTATATGCAGAAGGCGAAGACGGCAAAGTTGTGCGCATTGTCTCGGGCGTGGCTTGGAGCTGCGAGGCCTACATAGGCGGCGGCCATGTAGCCGTGGGAGATATATTGCAATTCTTCGTTGAATTCCCATTGATTCCAACCCGTACTGTTCCAGTCGGCGTTTGGAGGGTAAACGTGCGGGACATTGTAAATGTCTGCAGAACGGGAGAAAGACAGAACAAAGTCAGCATATGTACCTATGAAATGGCCCAGAAGTATTAAAGTAAAGCCATACTTACACGTCAAGGAGACGAGATGAAAAGGTTCGTGCAGATCAGTCATACCCGACGAACTCAAGACCTGTCAGCCTCTCGTAAGTCCAACCTCGATAGCCTTGATCTGTAAGGCCAATAATCTCGAGTAAAAGCGACAAAGGGCAAGATTTCCTCCGAAGAACCAAAACCCTGGATGTCCACTTCGTCGCCACATGCCCCTTGTCTCTCCTTCGTCATCGAACCCCCAAACATCGTGGACACTTTCCGCCAACTCGTCCCCAAAGACCTTCCTCGCCGTCTCTCTCATATTTTGATACCCTGTCGCAAAAACGATCTCATCTGCTTCCAGCTCCGAACCATCTGCCAGAACAAGACTACGGGCTTTTATAGATTTGACGTCGTGCCCTTGCTTGATCTTGATCTTTTTATCTACGATGAGTTGCGAGGCGCCTACATCAATGTAGTAACCGCCGCCTCGGCTGAGGTATTTCATGTAAAGGCCGGCGCCGTCAGGACCACTGTCGACGGCAAATCCGGCAGCGGTGAGCCCGTGGAGAAGAGTGCTGTCACGCCGCATCATTTCACTGGTGGCTTGTATATGAAGGCGTTTAGCAATGGGGTTGGGAATAGACATGTTGACTATGTCCGCGTCTTCAACAGGGGGCTGACAAGGATAAAAGAATCAGCGCGCTTATTCCAATGGAAGCAGGGACTGTTACCCCATCTTCGGCGTAAAGGCCTTTCATGGTCACTTCACTCAGAGTATCGCTTGTGAGAACGAGGGTACTACTGCGTTGCACCATTGTGACATCGTAGCCGTGATCATAATAATCTCTAGCGATGTCGTGGCCGGAGTTACAACAGCCAACTACCACTGCCTTCTTTCCCTTGCTTTTCCCTCTAGGCGTGGTGAACTGCGATGAGTGGATGAGAAGGTCCCCTCTGAAATCGTCAATTCCAGCGATGCGAGAGGGGAAGTAAGGCTCCCCTGAGTGACCCGTCGCCAGGATGACATGCCGAGGATGTAAAGTCCCTATGCTCTTGTTAGTGAGTGGGATTCGGTTTAGGAAGAATGAATTACGATTCTCTTTCTTGCCATCCTTTTCGCGCGCGAGGGTCACCGTCCACTGCCGCGTACTTTCAGACCATTCTGACGTTTCCAAGGTAGTATTAGTCCACACATTAAGTTCCAAGACACCTGCATAGTATTCGAACCAATCTGCGAGTTTGTCCTTTGGGGTAAAGACCTAGACATATTGAGCTCCTCTTATCTCAAGATTCTGCGGAGGAACCCACAGGCCAATTCGGTGGGAAGTTCAAGTAAGGCATGTGATCGTACCTGCAATGCATATTAGTTGAGGAATTTCATGCCCATCGTTATAACCCACCAGACCGAGTCATGCAAGACCAATTGATGGTATCTGTTTCGCCAATTGTCTCCTACGCGAGGGTTCCGGTCGATTATCAAGGTCTCTAGGCCAAGTTGCTTGAGCCTAGCAGCCACAGTGAGTCCACCTTGGCCAGCACCTGGAGAGGGAGAAATGATTAGCTGATATCGTTTTGGCCATCTTGGTCCTTCATAGCATACCCAGAATCAACACGATAGGCTGGCGGCCACCCTCGAAGTTTTGTTGAGCAACAAGCCGATCTTTCCAATTTCGACCTCTATCCTCAAGGCTGCTTTCTGTTCCTCGTGGTCTTCGACTGCGAATATTTTCCTCGTATCCTTTAAGTTCTTTCAGGGTGGTAAATAGAGTCAAAGCTTTCCATCTGCCACCATCATTGGTGTCCGATACTAGTCTGACCAGACCTTCTCCCCTTCCAGTGCTAGTCTCAATCTTGAGAAAAGTCTGGACTGCCTTCAAGCTCCCAAAACCTGAGGCTTGTGGGAATTTATGTGCTGAAGAATCGTCCAAGCTGACGCTGGTCAATTGGCCACCTTGGGGAGAGCTTTGAATAAATCTAAGGATCTGCTCGGGTCCTTGAAGTGTGTGAAAGTCCCAAGTCATACAGAGCAAATCTCGCCAGCAAGATTCCTTGAAGAAAAGCTTTGTTATGGAAGCGTGCTCTCCACTGAGGAGATTGTTGAAGAGAAAAACCCAATCATCTACGATTGATCTTGGAGAAGTGCTGGGTGGGGGAAACGAGGATGGAGTGCTGTGGGGGTCAGGAAAGGGTGCGGTGGGAAGGAGTCGTGAGCCCGGTAAGACGATGTTGGATGGGGGAAACTGGACTGCTCCTGTGGCCATTTTCTTCTTTTTGATCTGGACACTGGGATGAATGATCGTTGTGGGTTTGGCAGGCTCTCAAGCTGAAGGGAGATAGCGTTGTGATGATTGTCGTGATTGTACAGTGCACTCGTTTGAATTGTTGAAGAGGGGTTATCTTGACTAGGCCGACGACGTCATACAGTGACTTGAATTGCTGCCGGTCACGGGTTTCTGCGGTCAGCCTCATCGCGGGGCGAACCTTCAAACCTCCCAGACAATAATGTACTTTGGGGGGAAGGGGGGGGTGTTGGCAAAGGCCATTCATTGATTCTCGGGGATGCTTGCTCGATTGCGGGTACAAGCAACGGCCAAAAGTCATGCATGGAGAGAAGGACCAGATGACGTTGTAAGAGATGATACAGTCGAGATTATAAACAAATTGCAGAAACTGCTATACCAAAGCACAATTATCGAGAATCATCTCTCAAGCTCTGCTCTCAATTTGCTCTCTTCCCAATAATCCTTCTCTGGAGAGTTGGGATAGCGACACGTATCAAAACAGGCTTGTGTAGATTGATGGGTCACTGTGTACCTGGGTACGCTCTAAAGTAGGAACGGAAGGGTATGAAGGACTCCAGCTGATTGGTCTAGGACTAAGCCACCCATTTCCAGCGCCTCGCATAATGACAACTCTGCGTTGAGCAATTCATAAGGTAGTCTGTGGTGTGGACGGATGAACGAATGTTCGCTACTGAAAAATCTATATAACCAAGTAGGTAGCTAGTTGTGTTAATTAGGCCTAGTAACGGCCTACGGCCGGGCCACCCTTGCCACCCTCCACCTCCACAGCGTTCACTTGCCCTCAGCCTTGCAGAACACACTGTATTCCAATTCAAACAACGAACTATGCTGCTATCGAAACAGAACACGTCCAACCGTTCAGCAGAGTATGGATGTTTCTTTCCATTTCTTACAGGTTAGTAAGGAGTTCAGAACATGGCCTGCGCCCGTCGCAGCATACTGAAACCCCAGAGTCCTCCCAACATCGTCCAATCCCCGGGGGGTTGAATTAAGTTGGTGCTATATCTTGTCTGCCACCAACACTCGGTCAACGACGATCAAAACGGTATTGGAACAAAGTCGACATCGCTAAAGGACAGGAGCCTTCTTTTGTGGCGGTAGTAGGCCCCCACGCACAACATGGACGACGACTCAAATCTTTTATTGCTCATTGTGCTCTCTAGTCGACAGTCGCAGGGCACAATCAAAAGACAACGTACTCACAATGCATTGTTCGTCGTTTCTTTGTGCGCCGCAAGCCTGACATTGTAGGGTTCAAGACACAAAGTCCGTTCATGGCTGTTACTCATTCAGCCGTTTATATATCACCCCAACCTCCTATCTTTCTCTCCTTCTCATCCACAGTTTCAGCCCTCTCACGATCCAATTCAAACCCCCAGAAAGCTAATCCACTTTTAGCTAATCTCTCGATCCATACTCATCGCTTTCCCTTCGAAATGTTTGACAACAACAAAGGAAAGGACGTGTCGACGTTCAGTACTCATGAACCGGGTTGGGTCAACATCGACCTCGAACCGCACTGCGCCGAAGCTACTGTTATTGATCAAGGGCCCGGGTGGAAAAACTTCGATCTCGAAGCCAGAACTCCTTCCAAAAAGCGCTTGTGGCGCGGTGGTAGAACGTCCAAGATTGTCGTCGGTGTCGCTGTTGTTGCAATGTTTCTAACGGCGATTCTGGTGTCAACGGTTGTCGCGGTAATGAAGGGGGAAGACAAAGGAATACAGTAGGTAGTTGGATTTGGGATCGGGTAAGGGAAAATTATTTGCGTCGAACTTACCCCTTTTCTTGGGCTTTCTTGCACTGGAGCAGCCATTTGATCGTTGTCATCAGCGTTCCTTCACTGGGCTACTGGCACTTTGATTTTTGGCTGACTTCGCTTGCCCCTCGTTTCCCATGGCCTCCTTCTCGTATCCTGCGACTTGCCATGTTCCATCTTGCTACCTTCGTTCACGAAGCCACGTCTGTATACACAAAGACGTAGTAATACAGTTTTCTTAATGTCCGATTCTCGACCACTGCAGAGCGCGCGACATGTTATCCAAGCCATCACGTTTTCTTTCCCTTGTTTCCCTAGTCCACTCGTCCCTCTCCTATCCTCGCAAGCAGTGACAGCAACCTCGTGATCCAGTACTACCCACCACTAACACTAAAAGCCAAATGTCCAATCCAGAACCTTGCCAGATTTACACCCTTTCCCCACTCCAATACTCACGGTCCTCTCTCCTAGCAAAACGAACAACATGGAAGCCCCGGGGACAGTGGTGACTCCTCAACACTAGGGTCCGGCCAAGGCTGGCCTAAAAGCTGCGCGTTCCAGGCACGCAATCGGTTTCACCATGTAAGAATTGAGATCGGTTGCGGGGCTGGGCGTAGCGTTAATTCATTTGACGCCCGTTATTTCGACGACGATGCGAAAGCGCTTGACGACGACGCTGCTTCCTCTTCCTGTTCATCCGAAGACGGATCCCTCGAGGAAAAGGCTGTTGGGGACCAACAGAGGAGCATCCTGCCCCGGGGGGGTACTCAGACTATCGATCAACGGTACTGGAGGGTTTTCACGTTCTTTGTAGCGTCGAGTATTCCTCAGATTTCTTAGCAAGTGGGTTTCACGGATTTTGCGAACCGTTCGGAGAGAAGGGAAGCCGTTGTCCTCGGGGCTGCGGATACATCCGATAACGAATAAGCATTTCACTGCAGAATGAGTTTTAGGTTCACTCAATCCAGTTGTTGTCTCGCTTGTCGTGACCGTCACTGGTAAGTTCGGTAGAGGGGGTTTAGATATTCGAGTTAAATTTTCGAATCTCTCTATCGTTTTTCTCAGACGATCGAACGCTGGCCAACCCTTCGGAGACCTGAGATTTTCAATGGCACTGCGTATGATCCAAGTGCTGAGGAAGGAAACTGGCATTTTAAGGGTTTCTGCAATTTGGGTGTGAATGGCCTAAAATTTGTAAGACAATATGTACTAGGCTTTTGTCGCTGAAGACCTTACACTTTTCTTCTGACCTGAATTCCGTATCTGTAGAAAGGAGTATTACCACACTGTCATATAGATGACCATTTACACGAGACAAATCTTGGTGCCCAAAAGAGACTTTCGGCTTCCAGCCACCATATTTATACAATTTTACCCATCTAGACCTCATTACTCGGGTACTCGACCTCACCACTACCAACAAAATCCTCCTTGATACTTCTCATACTCACGAATCGACTCAGCAAGTTTGATGACCCAGCCTTATCGTTCGTCCCGCTCGCCCTCGCGCCACCGAACGGTTGCTGGCCCACAACCGCTCCGGTACACTTAATATTGATGTAAAAATTACCAGCGCTGTTCCTTAGCATGTCTTCTGCAAAGCGAATGGCTTCTCTGTCTTTCGCAAACACGGCGCCAGTCAAGGCGTAGTCGGATGTGCTGTCTATGAGCTTGCAAATGTCTCCGAACGCGCTGGAAGGTGCGGAGTCGTAAACATAAACGGTGAGTATGGGACCGAAGAGCTCGGTACTGAGCAGGTGATGGTGGGGGTTCTTGGTCACGTAGATGGTAGGGTGAATGTAGTAGCCGGTAGAGGAATCATATTTGCCGCCTGTCAGTAGTTCAAGCTCTGGGTCATCTTTGGCGTCGTCGATAACTTTCTTTAGCTTGTCGAAGGATGCTTGGTGAATGACGGGGCCGATGAAGTTGCCGAACTCGGTTGGAGGTCCAACTTTCAAGGCTTTGGTCTGTGCTTCTAGGACTGGTTTTATGGTTGGCCATAATGACGATGGCATGTAGGCGCGAGAGGTAGCGCTGCATTTTTGGCCCTGGTACTCGAATGCCCCACGAACAGTGTTGATGACGGCGTTGTGGGGGTCGGCGCTGGCGTGGACGAGATGGTAGTTCTTGCCTCCGGTCTCACCAACGATGCGTGGGTAGCCTCGATACTTCCCTTCCGCCACGCAGTTGGCGATCTTGCCGTACAGGCTGCGGAAGACGGTGGTGCTGCCCGTATAGTGTAGGCTGGAAAAGTCTTTGTGGGCCAGAACAACGGAGGTCACCTCGACAGCGTCACCAGGAATAAATTGGATTACATTCGGGGGTAGGCCAGCTTCGAGGAGGATCCTGTAAATTATGTAGTTGGAAGCAATGGCTGAAGGAGATGGTTTCCAGACAACGACGTTCCCCATCAAAGCTGGAGCACAGGGAAGGTTTCCACCAATGGCTGTGAAATTGAAAGGGGAAATTGCATAGACGAAGCCCTCCAGAGGTCGATACTCAACGCGGTTCCAGACGCCGGGGGAGTTGTGGACTGGCTGCTGTGCATAAAGTTCTTGAGCATACTGCACATTGAATCTCAGGAAGTCGCAGAGCTCTGCAGCCGCATCGATCTCAGCCTGCCAGGCATTTTTACCTTGACCAAGCATTGTCGCAGCCATTATCTCATATCGATACTTTCCACCAATTAGGTCCGCTGCCTTGAGAAAGATAGCAGCTCTGTCGGCGAAAGGCATCGATTCCCAGGCTGGCTTGGCTGCAAGGGCAGATTCGATGGCATTTGAAACGTCAGAGGAGCCAACATTCGTGTAATTGGCAACTACTTCCCCGTGGGCAGCAGGATTTGGTTGGGTTAAGGCCGGTGTTTTCAACAGCTGGACAATGTATCAGCAATTGAATCCTGCCGTTCCGTGGGATTGCTGCTATCAACCGGCGCCAGAAAGAAGGGCGAGACTTCTGGACAGCCAGTGCCGTCCGCAGGTTCTCACCTCTTTGCCATTGACCACAGCCGGCACCTCGAGTGTTTGCTTCTGGGCTCCGCGAAGTGCTTCCTCCAGGGCTTTTCGGTCTGGTGAACCTTTTGAGTAGTGTTTCTAGTGTTCCGGTGGTTAGGGTATAGCTTCAATGGCTTGATTCGCGCTTACATTGTTCTCGTTCTCCACTTTCGGGACTTTATAAGTAGCTATTGTGGCCATGTTGGAGGGACTGAAGCCGTTCGGTGTGCGGGTAAAGGAGGGGATTGATCTGTAAGCAATTGGTCTGTATGATAGTCTCCCAAGCAATTGAATGCTATTCGTCGCCATTAACCCAAAAACTGAGAAGCATCAGGGAAAATTCTCTCTTTTTGAACCTTTTAGAACAGAGCTTTCGTACCGTTCCTAGCCGTTGAGTGGGGCTTTCCATGTATACCGAGGTTTTCCCGAATGCGGGAGCGCCTGCTGGGAGCCGCATGAAGACAAAGCAGTGGAGTGGAGATGTCTCTGATACCCATAGGGAATTGACACACATCTCTTATATTCAAACCCCTCTTGACTCTAAATATCAATCGCTCTATAAGTCTCCTCGATCGTCCATCCAATAGGCCTCCCTCCACGGATCGGCTCTTCACTATGGACTACCTACAGGGTAAGTTTGTTTCCCCGTGTCTCTCTCCAGCTACATGCGCTGCTAATATCTCGCCTAGATCTCTTTCCCCAAGCCGCCCGATTCTACAATGACTACTATTACCCTTTCCAAACCTATCTCGTCCCCCTCTACCGCATCCTTCTCAGCTCCCAGTTGTTCTTCTATCGCCGGATCTATCCCACCCTCTATCCCATCTACGTCCTCTCCAATAATGCGCTTCATTCACTCTCAACGGATGCCCCCGACATTCTCACTCTTGCTATCCTCGCCATCGCCCTCATCATATCTCTCCGAGTTCTCGATTACATGCGAAGAACTATCATGTATTGGGTTGGCCTAGCTATCAAAATGGGATTGTGGTTGGCTGTTGGAGGGTTGGGGGTGTATGTATGGCAGAGAGGTTTTAACCAAAGTGTGGAGGACTTTGGCTACGTTTGGGGCTTCCTGCACGGGTTAGGGAACGAGGGCGAGAGGATTGGAGGACAGAAAGCAAGAGGCAGGGAGAGGGATGCAAGGAGAATGGCAGGTGCGGGCAAGAGAGGAAGGACCAGGGGAGCGGGCTGGTGATGAGGAAGGATGATGATAGATGACGGGAATAGCGAACTTGGGTGAGTATGGGTACCAATCAGGATAATTCACAAAGTGCTTGCGAATCTGACATAAAGCTTGGCAATCACAGACGTGCTGGGTCTCTATTTTCCACGCAACAATTCTCATCGATACACACTAAAATTGGTACACCTCACGAGGTGCGGACCGAAATAGTTACTCTAACTCTCTTGATGTCGCCCGTCGGATAAACCATCAGCTATGCAATGTTCAAAACGCCGACGCTATGCTTTGCCAGTAGGCCTTATCGCTCAGAAGACGGCATGCTGTGTTGCAGATCAGGGTATCATCGGTAAATGGAAGAAAACAGAAGCTGGTCCCTACCAGGACCGGCCTTACTCCATTTCTGCGTCCTGGTAATCATACTGAACCTCATCATTCGGCTCTCTAGGCTCCTGTGCCTCATGGAATTGAATAGCATCATCGATATAGCTCAAGATGGCACCAACGCTATCCTCATTCTGCACGTCTAGCTGTAGGAACGACACCATGCTGAAATCGTCGATGAGCTGAGCAACTGCTCTATTCAGACGCTTAAAGCTACCTCCTGCCATGACTGAATCCGCGGAAGACGGATCGGCTGACTTATTTTGGGACGATATCAGCGCCGCCTTGCTGTCTGTTGGGTTGTCATCTAACAGGGAGTTATCAGGGTCGATGAACCGCTTGAGCTCTTTCCGTGACACGGAGTCTTTGACCAAATCCATCTTGCTGAGAACGTTGACGTGGGGAAGCTCAAGCATAATCATTGCGCTCATAGCTGACAGTGTACCTGCGAAGAATTTTGCTCGATCGATCACGAAGGTGGATTCGAGGAGATATGCAGCGCAGAGATTGACGTTCAGAGCACCGCCACGAGTAAGATGTTTGATCAAAGTCGGAACAATCGGGATGTGGGTGTAGAGTTCGATTTGGCCGGGCATATCGATTATGATCAAATATTCGTCCGTGAGGGGATCTATGGCCTCGGTGAGGAAATCGAGATTATCTAGCAAAAATCTAATATATATAAGCCAACATTCAACACCAGCACCGGACACATTGTGTCTCACTCAAAGCAGTAGATTAGTCCCCCATTAGGTCCCAAGCCCATCTCTTCCATGGCATCCTCGAGGGAGATCAGCTCCTTGATGTCGAGGTCTGGTGCATAAGAGAAGTCCTCGGCGGCAGGGTCAAGATTGACATAGAAGCAGGATCGTTTATTGAGACGAAGGTGTTGTATCAAGGCGGAGCAAAATGTGGTCTGGAGTTGTGTTCAGTACATATTATGCAGACGGCAGTCAATGCGCACACCTTGCCGGCGCCAGCCGGGCCCATCACTACGACGCCGAACTTGCTCATGGCTGGTAAGATGTGAATGAAAATGGATCGACTAAATCGTGTGTCAATACAGCACACTAATACTACTGTATGTCCGAGTCCGAGGTTGAGCGAGTTCGTTGGAGGGGTAATTATAAGCGCTAGTCCCCGGAGCTGATGGGGTGAATCCGCCGCAACCGCAGCAAATTTGTTCTTCGTTATCACGCCAGACCGCCCTTGAAATTCTCTCCATTCTGTGTATTCTCTACGTTGTGAGCAACTTTTAACATCCATCCTACCTAACATAAATCGCAAACAGAGAAACGAGCAACATGGTCACCCAACCCCATACCAATGGCGTTAAAAAGCCCACTTTCCTCTTCACCTCGGAATCCGTTGGGGAAGGGCACCCGGATAAGATGGCAGACCAGGTGTCAGACGCAGTCTTAGATGCTTGCCTGGCTGTTGACCCCCTCTCGAAAGTGGCTTGCGAGACAGCCACAAAGACTGGTAAGCAGTAGTGAATTGGCCGAGAGCCTGTGTGATACCTATTGACGTCGCTAATGCTTACCGCAGGCATGATTATGGTCTTTGGCGAGATCACTACCAAAGCAAAGCTTGATTACCAAAAGATCATTCGCACCGCCATCAAAGACATTGGATATGATAGCTCGGACAAGGGATTCGATTACAAGACCTGCAACGTCCTGGTAGCAATAGAGGAGCAATCCCCCGATATTGCCCAAGGTCTGCAGCTCGATGAGGCTTTGGAAAAGCTAGGTGCCGGAGACCAAGGCATAATGTTCGGCTATGCGACTGACGAGACGCCCGAGTATCTACCTTTGACTGTTCTATTTGCACATGCACTGAACAAAGAGATGACGAAGGCCCGGAATGATGGTACTCTGCCTTGGTTAAGGCCTGACACAAAGACTCAAGTCACAATCGAGTACGAACGTGACGGCGGTGCTGTTATCCCGAAGAGAGTGGATACAGTAGTAGTCAGTGCCCAACACAGCCCAGATATCTCGACCGAGATGCTCCGGAAAGAGATCAAGGAGAAGATCGTACAGAAGGTCATCCCCGCCAAGTATCTCGATGACCAAACGGTCTACCATGTAATCAACCTCACTGATGTCTACTCGAGCTTTCGCTTACAGATTATAGATGCAACCATCTGGACTGTTCATTATTGGCGGACCGCAAGGAGACGCCGGTTTGACGGGCCGCAAGATCATTGTGGACACGTATGGAGGTTGGGGTGCTCACGGAGGTGGGGCATTCTCTGGGAAGGATTACTCTAAGGTGGACCGATCTGCGGCCTATCTCGCCCGATGGATTGCAAAATCGCTTGTCCATGCCAAATTAGCACGACGCGCGTTGGTCCAGTTGTCATACGCAATTGGTGTCGCCGAGCCATTGTCCATGTTTGTCGACACCTACGGCACTTCAGATCGGTCTTCGGAGGAACTGGTGGACATCATCCGGGCGAACTTCGACATGAGGCCAGGCGTCATCGTGAAGGAGCTTGACCTTACCAAGCCGATCTACTGCCAGACGGCAAAGAACGGCCATTTCACCAACCAGGATTTCAATTGGGAAAAGCCCAAGACCCTGAAGTTCTAGACCTACATACTCGACGCGCTGTAAGATTCAACATGCATTTTCTTTTGTCACGACAATTGTACGATTCAACATGCATTTCCTCATGTCACGAAAATTACGATTATACCCTCTCGGCACTTTGTTTTCAACAACTCAAAGCGCAGGCCGCAGGAAAAGTTCACCACATTCAACACAGATCAAGGGATCTACATAGAGGGCAGCATATATGACGCAACATGGCGTTCGACGAGAATCTTCAACAAGATTCTTCCTGTGAAGGCCGTTTTGCTGGGAGTGTAGATAGATAGCGCTGGAGCTTGATGGCCTATTGCCTACAGCTCCAGCTAGCATTCAACCGATGTATCAGATGACCTCCAACTTTCTTTGTGTTCTGTCTGTAGAGTATGTACTATCTAACATTCTCTCTTGTCTCTCTCGTCTGCTGATGCAAGGAGCATCCAGGGCATGTTGCGCATTGACTTGCATATGCATCTTCGGGACGGGCCTTGGTTCTCAATGGCCTGTGCGCTACCTTAGCGAGAGTGTCCAGTGCATGAGGGTGTGGTGTCTGCTGATTTAAGTCATCTGTCCGAGCTGAGCGAAGTCTGTCGCTGCTCACTGGTCATTTGTTTCTTGATCTGCGGCTCTGCATTCTCAAGGCAGCGGCTTAGTAGCTTGGCTGATCTAGCTAGTCAGCGATGTTGTCAGCATCAGGATTGTTGTCCTACGGTATCCTTGTCTGCGTCAACGCCGTCAAGAGACACGCTACCTTGGTAGCCTTGTAGCCTCGAGATGAGGCCACGGCTTACTTCAATGAAGAGCAAAGGGTTCATATCAAATGACATTGCAGATCTGCTAACGGTCCTGCTCGCAGATTGTGAAACGAGCAGCTGTCTATTATAACATAAAGCAATCAAGTGGCTCTTTCTCCGGTAATTCTCCGCCCGCGTCATCAACTAGGAACATTTGTCACGTTCTTTCCCCAAATTCATTGCCGTCATCTCTCTGATCTCATAGGTCCTCTGAAGACCGGTGGCAGAATTTACTGCGATTCTAGAGCAACCGGGCGTCAATCCGCCAATGACAGCCAGATGCCTTTCTCCTTTCTCGCACAAGGTGACCAGATTGAAGACGGTCTGGATCTCTCTGCCGCTGTGGATTATCTCATTTAGCCTCTACATACCATACCGGATCCCAGATACCAATGAGCATGTTCGCCGAGGGTTCGCAACTTGGCAAGGCAATCCCGATGCCAAGTGGCACGAGCAAATCAGGCAATTCAACTCCATACGGCTTATCGGACTTGATGATGCTTATGTACTAATTTTCCCGAAGAGGCGCACCCTTCAGCCCCGCGGCAATCTTCAGAATGAGCTCACCACTTCCCGAAGAAAGGCTGACCCTCGAATGATTTGCTCAATCATTACTTTTAAAGTACTTAACATTATAAACCATCAGAACCATTAAAGAAGGAAAAGTATCTCCTTGACCTGACAAAGAAAACGCGAGGCTTCGTCTTCAAAAATCAAAAGTAGGAAAAAAAAAAGGGCGCAGCAGGAGGCAACGCCGCCTCGCTTTTGCCTTGACGATCGTTGACCAATGCTTTGAATGATTGGCGGAAAATGAGCCAATTAATTGACGGATTACGGTCGACGATGGAATTCCAGCTACCTCAATTACCCCACGCAGATTCTAGCCTTTTCGCTTGTTTGCACCAGACATTATTCGTGTTCACTCGTGTATCGCTCGTATCACGTATCATCACGTAGGCATCACCAAAAAGGATTTGTCACTGTGTCTCGTATCCCGACTCCTACCCAGGCTTACCGCCACCTCGCCTTTCCCCCTTCCCCCTTCCTCCCTCCACCTCCCCCTCTCCCCCCTCCAAATTTGGCCGCGGCTGTACTCCTTGCATGATCATGACATTGACTGCCCTGATAATAGCAATAGGCTCCTTCCCTTCCGCAGACGATCGACGTACCCGCGTTTTTCATGCCTTATGTTCGCCCGAGTCCTTAAGCCACCCAAGTTTCGACTTTTCCTTGCAATCTTGCGAGTGGATGAGTCCTCGGGAAGGAGCTGCGGTTATGTGGCGTGCCCGTCCAATCACGCCTGCAATCAGCTTCTTTTCTTACTTCTTACACTTTGGATACGTAGACTTATCCTTGCCCATAGATTCCATGCCGCTCCTCGCCTTTTGCCATCGCGTCATATTCCCGTCCCCGCCCCGGAGCCATGGAACTTGTAGATCTTAGGCCGGCTCATCACTACCTTCTTCCATACACTATCCTGCTAGAGTCCGAGATAGCTGTAAATAATCGTCATCATGGAAGTCGACGGGGCGAATGCCCTGTATGAAAGGCAAAGGGTGCTTGGTTCGTATTGGATGATCTGCCTGGACCCATGAACGGCGGCTACTGCGATTATAGACAGTCACCTGCACATCGCACGAGGACCCCTTTTTGGTCATGTAAGGGGACCGGGGGGGGAGGGGGTGTGGGTGTCGTGGGTGTGTGGAGCTCGAGGCTAAGGCCGAGTCTCTCGGGCCCAAGGCTATGAACTGCACGTTCTGGCTCCTGCTGCCTGCACGGCGTGTCACTCCGCCTTTTTCCAGTGGAGCGGCATCGTGCATTGCATTTGCAGCATTAGATCCTCCTGAGCCTTGAAGATCCCTTTTCAAAAAACTGCGCCAGCCTGTCCGGCTCCGATGTCCATTCACGTTCATGTTTCGTGATGACTCTTCAAGCCATGGTAGATCCTGCAAGCCTTGTACAACCTATCCCGTCAGTCAGTCAGTCTTCTTCTTTACTCCAGTGTCCGAGGGTCGTACAAACCCCCCAAGAGGCAATAGCTGCGAAAGCGCGAGGATCACCGTTTCAGAGCAATCTTGACCTGTGGGCTTTGTTGTAGTCCGTCGTTCAGACTTGACACCTGTCGTGATCCAGAGTAGTCTCCCTTCCATCCCTTCAATCAACGGCTTGCGTCCAAGATTCGAGCCCGGCTTCGCACAGCAATCCTCGAACCCTCCACTCGCCATTCCCCCCCACATTCACGGGCAGTCCTCGGATCCTCGAAGCTAAACCTCGAAGATGCAGACGAGATCGGCCATTGGATGCTGAAAGTCGAACAAGAAACACCAAGGTGACCCTTCATATAGGAATGTCCAAACTCCCCTAAAGTCACCGGTGAGATTATGTGCCACACTGCCCATCGACTGCCCGAAACTACTTAGACTACCCATCGCCCGAGCCATCCACCGCCCTCCTCCGAAGGAAAATCGAATGCGACTTGACTGACTACTAAGTATTATTATTGCCTATTATTATCATCATTGGGGCGACTTTCCATCAACACCCCCCATCCCCGCGACCTTGCATCCAGTCAATATACACCAATGCGTTTTGCATGGTCGCACTCACCACTATACACACCAAATATCTCTACATCCAATTACCGCGACGGCTATCTGTCACCTTGCAGCCAGCTTACCTACCCGTCCGCCTCCACTCCACCTTCGCAGGCTGAAAAGGTAAAGTTGAGGTAGTGCCCGGGAAGAGGGGTCCTAAGCTTTCTTTGCGCGCGACCACTCCCTGCATGCGACGAACCCGCGCCAGAGCTCGTCACCAACAATCATCACGTTGCTGTGTAACCACCTCGCTGCCATTCACCCAACGGGCCCTCTGGCGCACCGGCCCCGTCGGTGCGACAAGAGTGGCGACCAATAAGGCTACGTCAATCTGGCCACCATGTACTCGGCGCCGCTCCCAGTATCATCGTCAATGAATGGTATGGGAGGCAGCATGATCGATGGATCGGGTACTATCAACCCAGCAGCATTGAACACGCCCGGTAATTTTCCCTCCAGTCAATGAACGTCGCTTGGAGACCGCTTGCCCTTCTCTTAGCGACAGCCGCAAAGGGCATTGACTATCGTTTGCTCAACCTCAACCCACGTCAAGTTGCGTCGCCGTTGCTTGACCTCTGAGCGCATGAGCTGACGCTCGCCACTCTTTTCCTAGTCTCGGTCTTACCGAACCCGTCCTCGATCAACGCGCACATAAATTCTCGCGGTCAGAAGAGAAGTCGATCACCAGAACACAGTGGCGATCAGTTCGGCGGTGGAGCCGAAGATGGTATGTGTCACAAGCAAACAATGCGGGCTACCGTTCTGCAAAGGAGATGGCCGGCCTTGCGTCTGCGAAAGATCCTAAGAGCTTGCTGACTCTTGTCGGGTTTCACAGACGATCAGAAGCCGAAAAAGCGCGGAAGGCCTCCGAAGTCCAAGCTCTCCGCAGAGGCTCCAGCTTCTCCATCTTCGCAACAGGTAACACACAATAACCCAGACCAGCTACGGACTCCGCAACTTCAGTCGCATGGTCTTCCGCAGGACGTTAGTGGCGTTCCGACCCAGAAGTCTCCACCGAAGTCGACGCCCACCAAAACAGTGATCAAGGCATTGCCGACAGTCAGAGATCATACCACAGATCAATTGAACCACGAGGGGGATGAATACGTACCAAGGGAATACGACAATGCAGGAGAGGAAAAGGTCAACGCACAAGGTTTTCCTCAAGGAGGTCGTCAATTCAAGATTCGGACATTTTACGTAGCGAAAAGACAAGAGAAGCGATTCATGCTGGCAACAGAGTGCGCTCGCGTCCTAGGCTACAGGGACTCCTATCTACTTTTCAACAAAAACAGATCTTTGTTCAAGATCATTGCTACGCAAACAGAGAAGGACGAATTGATTCACCAAGAGATTCTTCCTTATTCGTACAGGTCACGGCAGATCGCCATCGTCACTGCAAAGTCCATGTTCCGCCAATTTGGTGCTAGGGTGATTGATAACGGAAGGAGGGTCCGAGACGATTATTGGGAAGCGAAGGCTATAAAGCAGGGTTTTACCGAGGAAGACATGGCCGGCGACAAGCGACCAGGAGCTGGGAAAGCAAGGGAGGCGGCTTCCGCTCTTGAAAACAACAATCCTGTTGACACTGGAGGACCTGGCCAGCATCAAGAAATCATTTACGCAGACCCTAATATAGGGAGCCCAAATCTTCCTCACGGTTACTTAGGAGGACTCCCTCCCATGCCCGAGGATTCCCGGCTGCGAGCTTACGGCACCATCCAGCGACCGAGGCAGGAGATGGGGGGTCCGTCCTATCAAGATAAAACGCAAACCAGTCCTATTACAGACGTGCTGCATCAATCCTCCAATGCAGCAGAGAACAACAAGAACTTCACTCATCAGCGAGCGAATCGAGGCAAGATCATGACGGACCTCTGGAACCGGGAGCGTGAGACGCCAATTTCATCGCCCCAGGGATTGGATCAAAGCCCAATGGCCGCTCAGTCACCACACTTGCCGTCAAGCACAATGCGAAACAACCAGCAATCTATGCTTCAACATCAAGCCTCCCAGATGATGAGCCCACAGCAAGCTTACTCACATCAGCAACAACAACACCACCAAAACCCTCACGCCCAATCTCCCGTCCGCAGCGGCATGCCACCATCCATGCGCCCTGAACTGCAACAACACCGCTCTTCTCTCTCTTCTTCCTATTCCGGCCATGGTCAACAAACGTCCCCATACGGTTATCCTCCCCAATCTCAGATGTGGGGCCATCCACCACCACACCCCCAACCTCAACAATCCCCCCTCTCGTCCCACCACCCCAATCTGCCTCACTATAGTCCCTCCTCCCATCACCAACAACCGCCGCAACTCCAACAACAACAACAACAGCAGCAGCAGCAGCAACAGCAGCAGCACCACCAACAACAGCAGCAGCAGCAGCAGCAGCAGCAGCCACCGCCGCAGCCGCAACAGCAGCCGCAACAGCCACAGCCACAGCAACACCACCACCCTTCCCAATCACCTCACCCACAACAAGGACATCCACAACCACAGCTCCATCACAGCCAGAGCAGTGGTTCCATGCACGGCGGCGTAAGCTACCAGACCATGCCCGGCATGCCCGGCCCGCCTGGAGGATACTCGCAAGCTGCAGCAATGGCGGGAGTAAGAGCGATGTACCCGCCGCAGAGCGCCAGTCCAAGTCAGCAGCAGTACCTGCATCAACAGACGACGGCCGCGCAGCAAGCGGGGATGCAGGGCTGGGCACCGCCACCTCAGCAGCAACAACAGTGGGGACATCAGCCAGGAGGGCAGGGGTATCCCGCTAGCACTGGATACTGAAAAGACTACAAATCTTCGAGACGAAGGATGATGTGATGCGTTATGGGTCATGGTGATGGAATTGTATGACTGCATTTCGCACTTTGCTTGTGTTTGCTTTTTTGGCCTCGTACACTATTGTTTCTTACGCAAGCATTCGACGGAGATCAAGCATATTCGGCACGGCGTCAAGTTGAGCACGAAATGGATACCCCCTACACCAGCACCCATCAAATATCATATTCTATCATCTTTGTCGCACTGACGACGGCACAGTACCAATCTCATCATCTTCTTCGCACTGGATCACAGCACCGTGCGAATAGGAAATCACCACATCACACCATATCACAAAACAGCCGGCGTTAAACTTCTTGTACACACCTAGGGAAAGGGAACCGGGTGGACCTATTGCATTGACCGTGTCATGTCATTTGTTGTCCACTTCGTTTCTGGACACAGGCATACCTATAATCGCTTTGTAATTACACATTTGGAAGGGAGCAGAAGCATACTGGATGGCCATCGATAGCTGGCATTGGTGTATTCTCTCATAAGGGCTTGGGTTCCATTTAGCTTGGGGGATACCGGATAGCGACTCGATCAAATCATGCATTGTTTCGCACAACCACGTCAGTCGCAAATCACTTGCGCGTGAATGGTTGTGGACTAATGTAACGCTTGCTTTACGTACAGCCAGCATGCAGTCGAGGCCGATGGGCCTACTGACACTCACAATGGTACCATTGGGGCACAGGAAATGCTGGATCGTGCATGGAGACGTTATCTCGTCGAATGAATCTCGCATTGTGCATCATGTATGCCAGCCTTAGTTGCCTCCCCGTCGCTGCATGTACGAGTACTTCGCGAGCCCCTCCATTCACTCCTCGGCGTCACAACCTCAACCGCTCGCCGCGCTTCTCCTTATCTATACTCGCTATCTACCCTATCCCTCCACGATCGTCAAATCCGTCGTCGGCTAAAATGTTCCTCGCAATTCTGTGCCCGAAGAGAAGCATGGACGGGAAAAGTGCAGTCTCGTAATCGCGAGACGATCTGGAAAGAAAATCGATCAGACTAATGCAACGCCAACGCTCGCTATATGCACTTAAAGATTGATGCTTAGAAGTAAAGTTTCGGTGAGCCCGCCGGCTTCGTCGTTTCACAGATGGTGGTGGGTGAAGATCGTGAGCGCGTCGCAAGTGGCCCGGGCATCGCAGGTGCTGGAATGAGGAGTCCGCCTAGGCCAATAGTGGCAGTCTCCCGAACCGTTTGCGGCGGGTCAACGGTCATACGAGAGACAGCGGTCTTTTGCACCGAGCACCGAGGGTTTAGCAATCTCTTCGCGCACGTCCAGCTCGGCTACGCTGTCGGCGGGGTAAGGGTTTCGTGGACCCGCCGATGATAGTCAGATCCTTAGGTCTCTTCTTCGCTTGATCGCCAGTGACTTGAGTTGTGCCTCGAGCTGTGCGCACTGCTCGAGCCACTACCATCGGACCCCCCGTTTTCCTTTGGCACGACTTGTTCCCTGATGGTGCTAATCCATTCGCACTGCAACAGCTCCGCCGCACTGGCCCTCCTCTTCGGATCGCGCTCGAAGCATCTCTTCAGGAACTCTATGCCCTGCTCACTCAATTGCTCTCTACTAGGCAGCTGCGGCGGGTTGCCCTGGGCGATATTGTACATGATGGCCCACTCGTTGTCGAGGCTCGCCCAGGGACGCCGCCCGGTGCTCATCTCGAGGATCACGCAGCCGAGGGACCAGACGTCTATCGAACCGAGACGGCCTTCGTTGGAGCCTTTGATGACTTCAGGGGACATGTACATTGGAGTGCCGGTCATGGACTTTTGTTTTGCCGGAACTTTGGGGAGGCCGGGACCGCCTGCGGCGGCGAGTGGTGTTTCGTTGGTGGGCTGGAGTGTTTTGTTTTGGCGGGCAATGACTTTGGCGGCGCCGAAGTCGACGTATTTGATGATGCCGTTGTGGTCAAGCAGAATGTCTATGTGGTCAAGTGGTTAGTGATAGTTGCAAAGAACTTGATGAATATGGAACTTACTCTCAGGCTTAATGTCGCGATGAGCGATGCCAGATTGGTGGAGGTATGCCAAACCCTCCAACATCTGCAGTGCGTAAACCTGGACCACTGTCTCGTCCTCGATACGCCCGTGCTCAAGGAGATTGGCCAAGGAACCGCCAGAGCAATATTCCATGAAGATATAGACTTTGTCTCGGTGGACCTCTATGCCGAAGTAGGATACAATGTTGGGGTGGTCGAGGACCTCGAGAACGGCCTGCTCATCACGGATTTGGCCAGCCACGGTTGGGATGAGCTGTGGATCTTGCAATCGAATCTCTTTGACAGCCATCAGGTATCCTGTGTCAAGGTTGATGGCTGCGTATACCGATCCAAAAGTTCCACCGCCAACAAACTGGCCTTGTTGCCATCGCATACTGACGTTGGTAGCCGAGGATGAAAGGTAAGTCAACGAGCGGTCGGCGTCGTTTGACTCTTCCATAACGCGGCCCAATGCCTGTCGTTCTGCGTTCTTCTGTCTCCTGGCCTCATCAATCTCGCTCAACTGAGCAAGCCATTGTTCGCGGACAAACTCTGAAGCTTCTGCATCGTTCTTCATCCTGCTAATGTCCATTTTTCGGAACTGCCCTGCCACTGCTTCGACCCTTTGCTTTTCTGCCTGAGCGGCTAACGTCGACTTGGCTCCCATTATATCGAAGTGTGATATCAACAGCGACATACATCCAGCTACCTTAGTCCGTAATCGCTTGAACTCGCCGTCGGTAATTGAGAGGATGTTCGGTCCAGTCGTCATGACCATAGCAAATTCGAGAGCAACTACGGCCCATTTGAACGTTTTTCGGTCTGATGGTACACAATCATCGCAGATGAAGCTCACCCAGTCCAATGCAAGCCTAGTGAGCTTCAAGTTGTTCATCAAACGTCGGTTGACGTCCATATAGGCCACAGATCGTTTCCCAAATTCAGTGGCGAATGCAAAGCAGGTCTGTATAAGTTCCTGGTTCTCAAGACCTTCGGTCTGCTTTCTGATTATTTCAACGCTCTCCATGATAGTGTTCGAAAGCTTGTAAGCAGTCTTTTTGATCTTACCGAGCTCCATGTTGACTCTTGGCAAATTGGCTCGCAGATCCGTCAAGATATCGAGCTTCATGCCTATGGCTTGGAGGAAAGCAGTTCGTGCGATTTGTAGCCGTGGTAAGGACCCGTCTGCTACAAGACGCAAGCGCCCAGGTCTGATATCCATTGAGGGTGCGCGCATAGTGATCTCTACCTTTTTGCCATCCCAATACAAAGGCTCATCCGGCCGGATGATCAAGACATACATTTCCGAAACATCCTCCAAGTCTTTTGCATCCCCATGAGAAGACGTTCCGAGTAGTGACTGTATATCCCGGGGCCGATCGTACAAGGACGGCGATGCTATGAGAAAGATGCCATCGTGTTGAAAGGCGGGACTGGAGATGAGGAAATGATCTGAATCGATAAGAGCATCGTAGAAGCTTTGCAGTTGCTGCCTTCCGAAGGAAATATTGAACTCGGTGGCATTCTCGAAGCGAATCCCCAAATGCCTCGAGAAACGGAACAACTTTCTTTGACGAACGCGGACAGAATCCAGTATTTGTTTATACCGCTTGTCCATATCTAGAGCGTTCTCTTCAGGCCTCCTTGTCAGTTCTCGCTCGAAGTGCGTGGTGAGACGTTGCAAGGCCTTGGCTGTCAGCCCGCTGAATTGTTCGGCGACCTCGACATCGCCTCCCTCAAGAAATCGTCCTATGTCGTTGCAAAAATCCCATTCTTGTTCGAGAATCTCGGCTTCCTTGAACGTGTTCCTATTTCCCACGAGCTTTGCATTCAACATTTTGAAGTAGAACTTCAAGGCGTCCAGGACCACAAGGTCGAAGTTATCGTCAATGCAGGGAGGCAGCTCCCAGCCGGCTTCTGGCTGAGATAGGACGGTATAGTCTTGCTTAATTCGCACAGCTAATTTCAGCAATATTTGAAATTGGGAGATCATCGAGGTCTGCATCATTGGTGTCAGTGTCGCTGGATCCTTCATCTTGGTAGCAAATCGCAGTCGCATCCGGATGATCTCTTGGATGAGCCGTGAGGGAAAATTGATGAGAGTCAACAACTCTTCGATGTAAGGAGGCAGATGGCGTTTAGCGAATTGAGTGGCGTTCATGATGAGCATCGTCTTGGCTTTCTTGATGACCTCTGCTACTGGAGCTAGCATGCTGTGTTTGCCCTCATCGTCGCCCTGCAAAGACGTAAGACCTTCATCTTTATGGAGCCTTTCGAGGAACGTCGAGTCGTCGACCAGTCCAGATCCATCCGGAGCTTGGGTCGTCGACTTTGCAAAGTCCAGCTCCTCATTCCCAACCCAGCCTCGCAAGACGGCAAGCTCTGTGTTGATCATTTCCGTCGTATTGTGCCAAGAGATGACAGCTTCAGAGCTCTCGATGAATGCAGTCGAGGCAGCACGCTCAATGGCGATCCCGAGAGCTTTTCGCGTAGGAAACAACCTTTCGCATTGTTCGATCTTGTGTACGACATCCAGAACCTGTTTTGCCGCTGGCATTCCCACTTCAGTTTCACCCTTGACCTGGAATGCAATGATTGCCTCGATGATGGGTATGATGCCCCCTCGACCTTCGTCTATCATTCGCCGCTGTGCAGGTATAGTCCGCCCACACACCTTCGCCCGGACACCCAACCATAGCTCGTTTTTGAGCACCTCCTCTCCTTTCTGCTCTGTGTTGCCTATCAGCCGTGCCTTCTCCTGCTTAACGACATCGCCTTTCAACACAGATGCCAGCATACTATGCCACTCAAGCCTTTCACGGTTTTCGGGCACTTGAAGCTCTTCTGAAGATGGTTGGATAGCATCGTTGTTATAGAAGAGCTGGGTATCTTGGTCGTAATTCCCGTCGGCGTCTAGGTGGACATCGGACGAGGGAGATTCTTCCTCAGGCTCGGAGTCAGTACTATATCCCAAAGAGGGTGTGTACGGCTCTTCGTCAAGATAATCGTTGTATCGATCCTGCCGTAGTTGCTGTATGTATGCCTTCTCTTGCGCTCGATACTGCGCGTTTGGGTCTCGCCGGACCCGTGTGCCAGAGAACGAAGAATGCTTGCCCGAGTTGTATGATAGCAAGTGAGGAGGTTTCCGTGGTGGATTATAGGTACTGGATGGAGTTCGTGCGGGTGCTGAAGGTCTTTGAGGCCTCGCGTTTGTTACTGAGGGGAGGGGTGGGACCTCCCGTATCTCTCCCAGACTCTCTTCCCTTGTCCTGTGTTGCTTTTGAGAATTCCATGAGGGTTGAATTGAAGAATAGCCAGTCAAAGGTGTGAGGTCTTCCCCAGTCGAGCCCGGGGTGAACTGGGTGTGGCTATCGGTATCGCTGATGCCGTCGAAACCGAGCTCATGTCCTTGGTGGGTCGAAGCGGAAAAGTCATCCGATGAGCTCGAATCCCCCGAGTCATGCCGAACAGTATCTGGCCGTTCCTCCATCACCTGTGGTAGGCGGTGAGCATCGAATCGCGCTTTCTCCGGCGTTATATCTGATCTTGGAGAAACATCCCCATACGCGCCCTCGGTAGTGGCACCCATTGTCGCCAAGCAAATTGAGCCACAGCTACGGCGACCAAGGTTTTTTAGCCACTTTGCGAGATCTTAGATCTAAAAGTCAACAGCGAATCCTTCTTGAGGTCGTCCAGCTAAAAACAACACGTTGGACTAAGCGGTAGCAATCGGAAAGATAATTAGATAATGAGGAGTAGAGTAATATCCAAAATATCAGTGCGAGGAAGTCCGGAAGTCTCTACGAGTATGAAATCATAAGCCTGCGGCACTTATAAAGTGCCGGTTTGGTGCTGTCATGGCCAAGTTTTCGGACATTACCATTACTTCCATCCTTTCCCATCTCAAGCTTGACAAATATCACTCATGTTGCGAAGAAGACTTCATCACAGAGCTATCAATCAGCATCTGACTTCAGCCAGGTATGAGATTGAACTACGACAGTAGAGTCGACTGTTTAGCAATCTGCTCTCTGCGCATGGAAAGTCTGCGAATTGATTGCAACTGTAATGGCCTCTTGCCCGAACAACACGCTAGACAATGCCCTTCATGCCTTGATGTTAAGCTATGTTTACGAAACTAAAGCGTTGTAAGATACGACCTTGACTGCTTTATCTCTGCGTAGGTTGCGGGATCTGAAGCCTTTGGGTGAATAGACGAGCCATTAAATTGCTATTCTTCGGTCTTTTCGACTTGCAGCAACACGAATTCGGTGGTGACTCTCTACATTCCCCCCAACACATGAAGACTAAACCCTGCATTGGGGGTCTCCGTCTCATTGAATGTGAATTAATTGGCATAGCTGCGGTATCAAGTATGCTGGGAGTGTAAGTCTCTGTTGAGGTTTCGGGATGTTTTGGTTTCATCTGTTAATAAGCTCCACCTTACTACAAACTTTCCGCGTCAATCTCGTGGGCATTTAGTCCAACTCCACAACCAAGTCACAATCAACATGACAAACATGGCAGACTAGCTCGGATATGATTTGCTCTGCTCTTCTCTGCGATGACGAAGATACATGTACTGATGGATTCGTACTCATTAGCTTGTGACCCGACATTTGGCCCCACGACGTGGTTCAAGACGTCCTTTGGTTGAACGACCCGGCACACCTATAGTATGGCCAAACACATATGGCAATAAGTCCAGGCAGCATCGCTTGAGTCAAACCCGACGGACAGCAAGATCGCAGTGGGACAATAAGCGTTCTCTCGAATGGCCATTTCTGCTGCAGCGATCATGGTCACCCTCATCAGAGCTCCAAGCGAGATATGTCATCCGCATCAGCAGATGCAAGCACTCCCCAGGCTGCACCGCCCTTCCAGTCGGCAAACTGATGGGCTTGACGAAGAGGATAGAGAAGGGGACATTAGATAGGCGATGGCGGGATGGACTTGGCAATGGGGCAATTTCTTGCGAGCTTCGTCATTTCTTTGAAGAGTCTTAAAGGTGTCCATAGACTCTGTCGACATTGACTGATGCTACGCATCAGAAGCATCACAATCATGGAGCTTGAGCGAAGAAGCATTATGGAACGTGCCACCTATTCTCACACTCCAGTGTCTAATACTATGGTTTAATGTCAGCGTACTACTACTCATGTCATCATACCTGGAGACATCTCAGCGCAATGCTACAGAAAATAACCATCGTCGGCTGTCTCATTTGATTGGTTTCCCGGCTTCCTGAAAGGTAAAGTAGTGGTAGAAGAAGTTATTGCCCCACGCCAAGCCAAGCGAGGATCAAATCACGGTTGTGCCTGCAGAAATAGACACTCTTGGCATTTTCCCAAGCTTCCGATTGAGCGCCATCCAAGTCCGCCTCGGTACGCCCCTGGCATCATCAACGCTCAATTGCCATGTCGGAAAGGGTTGTTGATTGACAGGAGTCAGTCTTATACGTTTGCAAGACGTGATTTGTTCTACCAAGCCACCGAGGTGAAAAAAGAAAGCTTGACCAATTGATCAATCATGTGAGAATCCGAGATTCAGACTTTCAGTAGTGGTGCATCTCGAAAAGCTCCCACGCCCGGGCCTCATCTCCCCGTGATCTGCACAGGGGGCGTCGTCCTATTAAGATTATAAGCGATTGAGGGCAAAACAAGACTGACCCGCTCCAACTATACTCGGTTGTCCTCCCCACTCTTCCCACCTGTATACTTGAAATTAGAGCAGGTACTCCAGGCTGAGCTGCATACGACGCTACGAGCAAACAACATCCTCCGTCAGCTCGTTGCATTACACCAAGCCCTTGACCTGTGCTTGCCATTCTGAACATCAATAAAGATGTCGGGTCCTGTGGTGGAAGGGGTTGACTTGAACGCTCTCAATTACACCTCCCTCGTCCCATACAATGAATCCATACCCACCGGCGGAAACTCCCTTACTCAGGATCTTAATGTTCACTATGATGTATGCATCATATCATCAGTCTGCTTCATCGCGCCCACTGACTGACTTGACAATCCTAGGCCGGCGATATCGCTTGGATGCTCACGTCCACCGCTCTCGTCTTACTCATGATTCCGGGCGTTGGGTATGTCCTCAGACCACTCAACCACCCGGCTGTATTTCAATCACGACTGACATCGGTATAAGCTTCTTCTACTCTGGACTCGCGCGAAGGAAATCCGCGCTCTCCCTGATATGGCTCTCGATGATGGCTACTGCTGTCACCTCATTCCAGTGGTTCTTCTGGGGCTACTCTCTCACTTTCTCACACTCGGCTGGAAAGTTCATCGGAGACCTCGAAAACATTGGCTTTAGGAATACGTTGGCAGCACCGTCCGTTGGCAGCCCCAGGATCCCGGATCTTATGTTCGCCGTGTACCAGGGCATGTTTGCCGCTATTACGTATGATGATCCTCTTCGAGTAGCGTATGATCAAGCTTGTTGACTTTTCATGTATAGCGTAGCTCTCGCCGTTGGTGCTGTTGCCGAGAGAGGCCGTATGCTTCCCTGCGTTATTTTCATGCTGGTCTGGGCCACTCTCATCTATGACCCGATTGCTTGCTGGACGTGGAATCCTCATGGGTGGGTAGCGTCTATGGGTGGTCTCGACTTTGCTGGTGGCACCCCTGTGCATATCTCATCCGGATCCGCTGCTCTAGCATATTCGCTTATGCTTGGAAAGAGAAGGGGACATGGGACCCATGAGTTGAACTTCCGACCCCACAACGTGACTCAAGTCATCATCGGAACGGTCTTTCTATGGGTTGGATGGTTCGGCTTCAACGCCGGTTCGGCCTTGAGTGCAAGCATGCGTGCTGTCATGGCCGCTGTTGTTACCAATCTCGCCGCTTCCGTTGGAGGAGTGACGTGGTGCCTGCTGGATTACAGACTCGAAAGGAAATGGTCGGCTGTCGGATTCTGTTCTGGAGTCGTTGCAGGCCTGGTTGCGATCACTCCAGGATCCGGATACGTGCCTGCTTGGTCCGCTGTGATATACGGGATTCTTGCAGGATCCGCGTGTAATTACGGTACGAAGATCAAGTTTCTCCTAGGCATCGACGATGCTTTGGATATCTTCGCTGTGCATGCCATTGGCGGGCTCGTCGGCAACCTCTGCACAGGCTTCTTTGCAGCGTATGTACCATCCCCTCGCAATACACTGTCCGCGCATTGACAAGGTTCTAGTGATTACATAGCACATCTGGACGGCTTCACCGTGATTCCTGGGGGATGGCTCAATCACCACTGGATCCAGCTCGCCTACCAACTCGCTGACTCTGTCTCCGGTTTCGCCTACTCGTTCGGCGGTACATGTATCATCCTATTCCTTATGAACCTCATCCCAGGCCTACGACTACGTGCAAGTGAAGAAGCTGAGGTCCTCGGTATGGACGATGCCGAGATTGGCGAGTTTGCCTACGATTACGTTGAGCTTACGCGAGACGTCCTCAACGGCGATGCATTGGTTGACGAAAGCGAGTCAAAGTATTCTGGCGATCAAGATTCCCCAATGGGTCGTGGTCATGAGAAGAACTTTTCTACCTCTTCTGATGAGATCCCCATGAAGATACGCCAGCGGCCGTGAGCAACTCAAATTCCTCAAGTCAATGGGTAGTAACGGCTAGCTTTCACTTCGCAATATGTACCACGACCTTGGAGTTCTCTTTCTTCGCTTGGAGGGGTCCAAAAGACCGTCTAGGGATTCTAGCCGGGCAGGGGGCGTAATGTCTTCGTTTGACATAGGCGTGTTGGTATGCGGCGATACGAAGCGTAGGGTCTTCAAAGTATGCTTGGATAGGTCTTGTAGTTGTGTATCATACTTCACAGCCTAGACTCTTACTTGTACCATTCTTTTGATCTTGTAGCTTCCGCCAAATATAATATTATGTCTATTCTTTCCGCCCACACTTAAGACCATAACATGACGCATCCAGCACCACCGCTTTTCAGTTTCACCAGCTTCAGCGCTTCAGCAACTATGGAGTTTTCCCCGAGCCCCCTTGAGCGTTCTTCTTTGGTGCAGAAGCGACAAGTTTAGCCGAGGTCCGCTTGGATCTAAGTTGCGATCCTCACTCGTCTCAACATGTTTTAAAGGCTGGCCTTGAAGCATCAGTTGAAGTCGCACGCTTCTTGCAATCATGGCCAGCATCGATTCCCCAAACCATTCACCCGCCCCACCTCTATCCAACTTCCCCCAAAATCCCGAAGAATTCGACGCGGACCCACGCGTTTCCTTCTCGAAGCTCGCCAACAAGTTCATTCTTGAAGCAGACAATGGTGAGGAGTTCGAATTCGATGATGCGCTGAAGAGATGGGTTCCAGTGGTACGCCCTCGTCCCCTACGTATACATGAGGGTGCCCATGCAAGCTATGGTCAGGATGGCGGATTCTAATTGCATGCCCGGTCGTGGTTGGATCTACAGTTGGACAATGCTTTGATGGAGCAGCAAAGAGCCGCTTATGCTGTTCAAGGCGTGGATGAGTCGGAGCCGGCGCAGGCGGTGAAGAAGAGGAAGAAGCAGACATATGTCAATGGGGAAGATGTAAGGATCAACGTTTACTCAACTCATCTTCCTGTAAAAGCATTCTTACTACAGAGAGCTGATGTCGGACCTTATGAAATAGGAAACAGGTGGTCGAGCAAATATCAAGAAAGCAAAGCCCGCCCCAGAACCCCGGGAACGCAAAAACACTGCTGTCTACGTAACCTCGCTCCCACTTGATACCACTGTCCAAGAAGTGCACGACGTCTTCTCACGCTGCGGTGTCATTGCCGAAGAAATCGACCGTGGTAAGCCTCGCATCAAGCTGTACACCAACGACGACGGGAGCTTTAAAGGAGACGCCCTCATCCTCTATTTTCGAGCCGAGAGCGTGGATTTGGCGATACAGCTACTGGATGATACGGATTTTAGATTGGGTGATGGGCAAAAAATGAAGGTCGCCGCCGCGGACTTTAGTTATAAGGCTCAAAAAGACGCGCCGGCGAAGAGTAATATGAAAGATAAAAAGAAGATTATTAAGAAGACGCAGAAATTAAATAAGTAGGGCGCTGGGTCCCTGCTAGTTGAACAGAGGCGTTGCTGATCATGTGCAGTAAACTCGCAGATTGGGATGACGATGATCCACAGGCTATTCAGGATACCAGTTCACGGTGGGATAAAGTGGTTATACTGAAACACCTGTTCACTCTCCAGGAGCTCGAGGCGCGTCTGATTCTCCCCTTACTCTAATCTCCACCTTCTCCTGACATCTCCACCTATAGGAAGACCCAGCGGCCATCCTCGACATCAAAGAAGACATCCGAGAAGAATGCGCCAAGATGGGCGAAGTCACTAACGTTGTTCTCTTCGACAAAGAAATCGATGGCGTAGCAAGCGTGCGGTATGGTAATGATGTGGCTGCGAATGAGTGCGTGAAGGTATGTTGCCCGTCTTCGTCTTAGTCTTACCAACGCATGACTGGGAACACTGTTTGCAAAGTCCGAGCAAAGCACGTGGTTTTAATAACACTGTTCCTCGAATGCAGGTCATGAACGGCCGCCACTTCTCCGGAATGGTCCTCGAAGCCTACATCGCGGACGGGAATGAAAAATTCAAGAAGTCGAGCGAGAAGAAAGCAGCTGTAGTTGAAGAAGAAGAAGAGGGTGAAGAAGAGGGCAAGCGATTGGATCAGTTTGGGACTTGGCTTGAGGAAGAGGCCGGTGCTGCGAAAAAGTGAAATAATTGCGAGGGAGTTCGGAGTGATGTAGCCAGGCTCCGGGGCATTGGTAAGGATCTTGAGGAAGATCGGCCACAGGGGAGGTACCCATTTGACACTTGTGTTCATTATGTATGGGCGTGGTTGTCCTCTCGCCGTCGATGATGTTACTCACCTTGTGAAAACCCCATGGGAACCGTTCATTCACTATCCTCTCCATTCCAGCCTTCGCAAAGCTGAATATCCGAATGCGTTGACAGAGAGCCGCGCCTCAAGAGGAACAACCAGAACCGACGAGACCAGAACCGATTACGATTTACCTGAGAAGAAGAAGAAGAAGAAGAAGAAGAAGAAGAAGCCAATGATCCTCGAAGCAACAATCGTTCTCCCACCCCGGTGGATGTAAAAGTTCGTCCCCGCTCATACCACAATTGATTGATTGATTTCGACCCCAGCCATGCATACCAGCCCTTCCACCTCACCCTCACCCACACCGACATCCCCTCCCTTCCCTTCCCATCCCCCAGCCTCTCCAACCACAACCTCACCCCGCTCTCCCACATCACCACCCCAGCCGCCCCCTCCATCAAGACCGTCCCCTTCCTCCCCTACTCCATCCATCCCCTCACTGGCTCCCGGACCCATCCGCTCAAAACGCTACTCTACAGCTACGCCCCCCCCCCCCCCGCGTCAACAGCGCCATCGCAGATGCCAAAGCCGTGCACGCTGAGGGTGCGAATCAGCCTGTGGAGTGCGTGCGTTTGGTACGTGTGGTCAAACGACGGCGACGGCGACAGCGATGGTGGGACGGAGGGGGTATTGCGTTCGAGGCCCGGAATGGCGGGCGAGGGTTTGGGGGGATGGGTTGAAGCGGTTTTTGGTGGTGCTGGGGGACGGACATATTATTTTGATTTTGATGTGGTGGAGGAGAGGGAGAGGGGGGTGGGGACGGGGTATTGAAGGGGGGAGGGCAGCGGTTCGCACTGGATGAAGGAGGCAGGATCGAGGGCGAAGCATGTTGCAGGAGCAAAAATTAGATGAGGGGGAGAGGTTGGAGAAGAGCGAGCTTTACGCTATTGTCGGCACTGCTATGTCAATGTCACTCGCTTTGCATTCCTTGCTAATCGCCTCGCACGCTTCACTATCTTTTGGCTAGAAACACAATCAGTCTGGACCACGTAAACAACATCAATCGTGCGAATGTTGCATCGCTATTGCTAACGCCCTGTTGGTCTCACTCAAGAGAAACCTAAGAGCAGACGAGCACTCGCACAATCTATTCCTCGCCTTCGGCAGGAGCCTCCTCCTCGCTGTGGAGAAGTTAGCAATGATTCGAAGCAGTAGTCAGTGGACAAGACTTACTACTCTTCCTCGCCCTCCGAGACGGAAGCCTCCTGGTATTGCTGGTATTCGGATACCAAGTCGTTCATGTTGCTCTCAGCCTCAGTGAACTCCATCTCGTCCATTCCCTCACCAGTATACCAATGCAAGAAAGCCTTACGACGGAACATAGCAGTGAATTGGTCACCAACACGCTTGAACAGCTCCTGAATGGAGGTCGAATTGCCGATGAAGGTCGAAGACATCTTCAAGCCGCGCGGAGGAATGGAGCAGAGAGCGGTCTGAACATTATTGGGGATCCACTCGACGAAGTATGAGGCGTTCTTGTTCTGAACGTTGCGCATCTGGTCCTCCACTTCCTTCATGGAGACCTTACCACGGAAGATCGCAGCGCAGGTCAGGTAGCGGCCGTTTCTAAAGTCAGACGCGGCCATCATGTTCTTGGGGTCGTACATTTGTTGAGTCAATTCAGGTACAGTGACCGCGCGGAATGAGGAAGAACCACGGCTAGTGAGAGGTGCGAAGCCAACCATGAAGAAATGTAGACGCGGGAATGGCACCATGTTGACGGCCAATTTGCGGAGGTCCGAGTTGAGTTGACCGGGGAAACGGAGACAGGTGGTGACACCTGACATGACTGCGGAGACAAGATGGTTAAGATCTCCATAAGATGGGTTGGAGAGCTTGAGGGTACGCATGCAAATGTCGTAGAGCGCCTAGATTGACACGTCAGTCCTTAAGTCTTTGTGGAAGGTGCGCATTTGACCAACCTCGTTATCGATACAGAAGGTTTCATCCGAGTTCTCGACCAACTGATGCACGGATAGAGTAGCGTTATATGGCTCCACGACGGTGTCGGATACCTTTGGTGAAGGGACCACGGAGAATGTAGCCATCATACGGTCTGGGAACTCCTCGCGAATTTTCGAGATCAAAAGCGTACCCATACCAGCACCAGTTCCACCACCGAGAGAGTGCGTGATCTGGAACCCCTGGAGGCAATCGCATCCTTCAGCCTCACGACGCACAACATCAAGGACCTGGTCCACCAATTCCGCACCCTCGGTGTAATGACCCTTGGCCCAGTTGTTACCAGCACCAGATTGACCAAAGACGAAATTATCGGGTCGGAAAAGTTGGCCGAAAGGACCAGCGCGGACGGCGTCCATGGTACCAGGCTCAAGATCGACGAGGACAGCACGAGGGACATATTTGTTGTTTGATGCCTTGAAAGCGGTGAGCTGCATATCATGGCAAAGAAAGATGTCCTCATAGTACCTCATTGAAGTAGACGTTCATACGCTCCAGCTGGAGGTCAGATGTTCCATTGTATCTAAACAGGGTCAGGGGTGTCCAAACGTTGCGTCGTCTTTTGCATTTGCTTACTGGCCAGAGCCATCGAGTCCATGCTCGCCAGAAATAGTCTGCCTGTGTATCGCCAATCACCATGAGTATGCCAATTATATCGCGTAGAAGGACTCGAGGATGAACGAACCAGAAAGCAGCACCAATTTGGTTACCCTAGCCGTGTCAGCTCTAATCCGCGTTGTCGGAGATGCACAGACTTACGCATTGACCGGTTTGTAGATGCACCTATACATCAGGAAGGGCAAAGGTCAGCTATGTGGTCTTCAACCAGCGGAGGAGAGGGTAAATGGCCAGGGACGCGTTTGGAAAATTGTTGTGTGGGGCGACGTACAATTTCACGCATGTTGACCTTGGAGTAAGATTGGAGACTTGAGAAGAGATTCTATTGAGTAGAAGAGAGCAAGTCAAGTGCTCGAGAGAGATATGAGTGTGGTGGAGTAGTGGTTTTGGAGAAGTGAGTTGGAGAGAGAAGAGCCGTGTTGTGGGACTGCAAGCGCGAAGCGCTTCGCGGGCTTGGCGTAAACACTGAGAGGAAACCCGATTCGCCACCACTGGTTTCAATCATGGAGTTCAATCGTGGAGCGCTCGAATCGAGTACGCACCCCAAAGGCCATTGACCGCAAGAAATTCCAGGAGCTGTAGCGGAAAAACCATGTCGGTTCTACCGAAGTCATTATGTAAATCATGATCATATTGCTATGCTAGATAATCGCATCAAACATGGATCCCATTACATATATATGAGACCTCATACCTTCTTCCGTATGAAGAGGCGTTTCAACACACTGCTTTTAGGTTTCTTCGCCGCGAAAGAGACAGCCCGATCATCCACCGGCTCAGCAGATGCTGCATCTATATCATCGGGCTTCTTTTCTTGCTCTGCGGCGATCTGCTCGATCTGCCCAACCTTCCAAACTCGCAAGAAACACATGCACACTGCTGCCGCTACGTACATGAAGCCTGTGAAGATCTGGGCGTGGAGGTAAGTATTTCCAATTTTTTGCCTTAACTCGAGGGCTACGGGCTCAGCGACTAGATCACGGTTAACCAAGTACTAAGGAATGATTACTGCAGGTGCAGTGATGTAACTTACACGTTGTAGGAAGGACTAGGACTATCCAGACAATAGACAAAGCAGAGGGTAGCTCTTTCAAGCCCACGACTTCCGCTCCGACAGGTGCAATCGTAGTCCAGAACGTACCTGCGACGGTACCAACGATGATGGCGAAGAAGACCAAGACACCATAGCTCTTGGCGAATATCCAAATGACGAAGCAGAATAGACCACCAATGAACGTGCAAAGCCCTGCCAGATTGATGCGGCCAGCCTTGTCTGAGAATATCCCCACAAGAGGACGACCAAGCGCCTGCCCAAGATTAAGTACTGCCCCGATAATGGATCCTTGCTGCGCGCTTAAGCCAATGCTGGTGGCATAATTCGGCAGTGAAAACAGTAAGACGATATAACCCATCATGCTGAAGAAGCCCCATCCTAGTAAGAGCAAGAACGCAGGTCTTTTGAACAGCGTATAGTCGAAGGCCAGCTGGATCGATCCAATAGCCTTGTTACGGTCCCTTATTAGCATGGCGCAAGTGCAATTGACCGCACAGGCCAGTATCCCAAGAATCCTGAAAGCCCATTCTACACCAAGTCGATCAATCATCGCGTTTGTAGCTAAACTGTACATCAAGCCCCCAAGGCCACTACCCGCAGTGCCGATACCATTGGCAAGACCTCTCTTCCTTGTGAACCATTGTGGTACGATACCGACAGAGCCCACGAAGAGAAACCCCATGCCGAACCCGAAGCAAACACCCTGACTGAGAAACAGCTGCCATATCTCATGTGTGAAAGATGCGCTGATTAACGCAAGAGTCTCAAGAGCAACGCCGAGTAACAATGTAGTTCTTGTTCCATATACTCGTGTAATGTACGTTGCGAGTGGCGATATTAACAGAGCCTTACGCAGGTTTCGGAGTCAGCATTGCTTACTCAAGGTAGGTAATGGACTTGCAAGGCAGGTCTCTGGAGTAGAAAGGTCCTCTTGCTCCCCAAACATGTCTTGCAACTCAATCTCAATACCATATAGGAAGGGGTAGCTCGGACATATACGTACCTGGGATATCGAGAGACCTCCGATAAAAGCGAACTCTAATGCTGAAGCTCCGGGGTAGTAGTCGTTGGCCAAGTAGTATGCAAGAAAGACACCGTAGGAAGAATTGATGCCCCATGTATGTGCGTTAATGAAGAAAGTGCTAACCACGCAGACCCAACCATAGCCTCCATCTGGTGGCTCGTCCACCACTCTCTTTTCCTCAGCCTGTGGCTGGTCTGCACCCGGTCCAGCGATAGTTGTTTCTGAACCAACAGGGGGACCATTGTGCCCATTGGCACTTGCTTTGGCGGCAGGATGAGGCGACTTTTTCCCGTTCATGGTGGTAGACGGCCATGGGAAGCTCTGAAGGCTACGAAGGATCGAGGGGAATGTGGGATCACGACTTCAGAATATCGAGGGTAGAAAGTTTGGAATAGCATGATTGCGCTGCTAGCTTGACTCCTGGTATTAAATATTTTGCTAAAGAAAATTAGAGCATGTCATGCCACCATGCCATCACAATGCGCAAAAGGGGATTGCCGTACACCCGGTCTATACCCGGCTCGGCCGCTAGACGTAGAGCTCAGTCTCGGTAAAGGTACACCCTTACATACAGGTAGATGTCTTCATTTAGTATAAAAAATCAAAAAATCAGACATCCACATCCGCTCTCTAACATCTTTCAATAGCACTTCATCTTGATGTCAGTCTCACGCTACAATAACTTTCCAAGATGACCGTTTGTAACGGAATTATATCAAGACGTCCAGACATTCCCAAAGCTTCTGTTCAAGTTTCTCCAAAGCTTCATAAGCACGCTCAAAGTCCTTCTGCGAGTCCTCTTTGCCTGGGATGTGAAGGTGCGTTGCATCGTCAAGCAAGCTGCCCACTGCTAGTCTCAATTCGATTGCTCTGGTGTTCACGCCTTGCTTCTGCTTCTCCAGCTCTGAGTTGTGCTTCTTGACAACCTCCTGCAGCATCCCTAGACCAAAGTTGCCGTGCTTTCTTATTACTGTAGCTAGCCTTTCCTAATTGAGACACTTCTCCAGATTGCGTGCATTTGCACACCTAGAGACGACAGTATTACGTAGCCCCAAATCCGAGTCAGGAGTATTCTCGAAGATTGCGTTGATGATCTCTCGATAGTGAAAGAAATCGCAAGCGAATTTGCCTATTTTGAACTTAAACTCTTTCAGCATAGGTATGTTGTACTTTCCCGCAAGAGCATTCACACCTGCACATTTCGGAATGAGTATGGCTTCTTTGAGGCAAAGAAATCGGGTTCTAAACAAGTCTGAGGAGCAAGATAGACAACATGCTCCCGAGACATGGCTGGGGGCTTATATATGGTATAGATTGAGGGATGTTGCTGCGACAAATGCATTTACGGACGTTGTTCATGCGCTTGCGATGCGAGATCATTGCATTATCGACCATTTCTGGCTTCGAGCTTGTTTCAGCGACATGGCCATCTGTATCTTGTGATAATGCTACGGCCACGACTCAGGGATCATCTGCGTCGTCATGATCGAGGGTGTAGAGGTAGGTCAGCATGCGTCGAACCGTGGACTGGTCGTCATCGTCTACAGTGATTGTTACAGTCATTGGCTCCTACGAACACACCTGTAGCCGCTTCTTGACTCGTGGATTGCCAGGTGTGTACGCACCTTAAATACTGAATCACATGCTGCAGCAGAAAAATCGGAGCGTTGACAGATGACAGCGCGATGGACCGTGTAGACGCCTAATCCGCAATGGATTGTGAGGTCCAAGTACTTTGAAGAGTCAAAGAGGTCACTCAAGCTGCTGACGAGTTCGGTTTGATCGACGGTGGGCATGTGGTCTTTCGGCTCGTGGTTGTCCCTGTGAAGATGAGACTATGTGACGAGGAAGAGAAGAGTCAGATATTTGTGCTGACCATTTGGTGACCAAGGTCGTAGATCTGGAGGGTGAAGGTCGGTGACTTGGATAATTTCTCGAGCTTTGGTGGTTTCTGTGCTTGTGAGTGGAAGGAAATTATGTAAATAGGAGGCTGGAGCGTGTTAATATGCATGCTGTAGAGGATTTGGTAGGCCACGTTATCATGGACAATGTTCTGTTCATTGTATACATTGTTTCATCATCGTCTACTTCTTGTCTGAGTGCAGATGCAATACCCTTTTCAAGCTCGCTGAACTTAATGAGCGATCTAACCTCCCATCCAATGACTCATTTGCGAGACGGTCCGTTTCTGTTAGTCTCTCAATAGGTGTCTTTGAATCCTCGACCTTTACACTATCGTGCAGTCCGTTGGTTTTCTGCAGAGGCACGTTTATTGATTTCGCCTATGATGAATCATGCAAATGTCGCCAGTTAAAAGAACCGTAGATCACCCATGTGATAGCTTGGGATATTTGAGCTTACAAGGTGATGCTCGAAATGCATACACTACAGGACGAAAGGTGCGCGCTAAAAGATCTCGCTTTCTTTGATTAACTAGTGTCATCTTTCCCCCTCCACGGTCAGTCAAGCCTTCAACCTCCTCTCCTCACACGCCACACACACCGGCTTCTCTTCATTCTCCCGGGTGAAGAACCTTCCATCCTCGAAATGGCCTCCACACTCCTGTAAATACACGCATTAGAACACGTCCACCAGACATGCAGCCCGCTTTGTGCAAAGACTTACCACACAACAAAAGCATTCAGCATGCCACTCAGCACCTAGCGCGCTTAAGCCACCCTCGACGACCGGCTTCCTACATCCCTTGCACTTCCCGCTGAATTTTGCAGCATGACATCCCACACACCATGCATACCCATTCTTCTCCACGAAGGGCGTCTTCGCATCAAACGGATCACCGCACTCTGCGCAGAAGAAATGGCCTACATGCCAGGATCCACCACAGGCAAGAACAACCTCACTCTCAATAGGCGTTTTGCAGCTGCGGCAGCGTGGAGAATACAGCTCATGGTAGTCGAGATGGCAGTAGAAGCGTAGAGATGAGTCACCGTCATCGGCTGCTGTTTCGCCTTCTTTTTCGTCCGGCAAAGCGTGGGTTTGGCAAGCTAGACGAGCTTCAATGCGTTCAACGCGAGCTGTGCGGGCAGAGTCGGGCTCGGGGTAGAACGCAACGCATTCTAGGGGTTCTGCGCAGTGGTGGCAGGTGAAGCAGTGGGGATGAAAGCGTTGAGAGGCGGCGCTGACAATGCGGCCTTCGATAGGGAGAGCGCAGGCTGCACATTGGGCAGTAGCACGGCGGGAAGATGGGGTCCAGTGGAGCTTGGAAGAGTGGACTGGAGTGGTAGATGAGTGTTGGGGGAGCGGACGATTGGCCGGCGAGTGGCGAGATCTGCTTGAAGGTGTTGGTAGGGGTCGCTTGGTAGGTAGGTTCTCAGGTAGCGAGAAGGTGGGGATTCCAGCCTCGGAAACAGAGATCGAGGGCGTGGAGGGTGAGTCGCTAGGCGGAACTTCATCGACTTGAATGGAGGGCGGAACCGGGACGTTGATTGTTGGTACTATGGGCGCCGAGGCCGTTGATGCTGGCATGTGCGGCTTGAAGCGTAGTCTCGCAGGACTTGCGGATAGCCCATCTAAGGAAGAGTCTTCCTTCTTAGTAGTATCTTTTGGCTTCCAGTCTTGCTCGAAACTAACGATTGGCCTTCCTGGCCTGTTGCTGACGACAGTTGGAGAAGGTAACTTCGGGCTTCTATCCTTCATCCGCATACTTGTAGCAGCTCTGATATCGTCACTACGTATCTCCTTGCCGTCTTTGACCATTGGTATATCTGAGTGACTCTCTGCGTGATTAGCAACGACTTGGCCCGGTTTTACTGAGGCTGGTGGATTTTTTAGGTAAGAAGGGTTGTGAGATTGAGAAGGGGGGTTCCTATGGATTTCGGACCGAGACACTCTCATGTTGTCTTCGGCAGAAGCAGTTCTTGAACGGAAGAACGATTTACTTCCAGTACGGTCTTTGGACACTGTATTGCGGTTCTTTGTAACGAGTGGTGCAGGTATCCTGCTCTGGTCTGACCCAGCGCGCTCAGACGTCTTTCTGTCGGCATCCGGCTCTTCATAGATCTTGTCCTTAGGGTTTCTGAATAGCCCACCACTCACATCTCGTGCTCTGGGTCCGCTGGATCGACGGTACCCTGAAATCCTGGGCAACTTTCCAGGCTCTAAATTCATATAGGCTTTCTTCTGTGGTGAGTCCCACAACGCATGCGCGGTCTGTTGGTAAGGTTGCGTCTCCTCGGTGGGCTTTTCGGGTTCTGCGAACGTGATAACTGTATTGCGAGTTGCTTGTGATAGATTGCTGTCGCCCTTACTAGAGTTTGACGTGTCGGAGGCTGATCGATGGCTCGTAGCGGAATCGCCGTTTACTGCGCCCTGCTCTGCATGCCATCCAACGCTCTGACTTCGAGCATGTGCCCCTTTCTCAAGATGAGATTTGTAGCTGTGTAACCGATCTGGATTCTTCTGTGGCGACACTTGATTTCTGTGTTTCCAGACGAGCTCCGATGCTTCATCTTGAGCAGCGGCGTGATCCTTTGCCTCGTCCCGCAAATCCATATCCTCTAGCGCTTCCCTCAATGACCGAGCTTCCTGCTTCTCCATCCACCGCATTCCACTCTCTCTGTATGCTCCACTCGGGGTCATCGGAGGCGCTCTAGATATTGTGGAAGCTGAAAAGTCTCGTGAAGCCACAGACGCCCTGAGCTGTCCTAAGGCTGCGTCTGCAACTGGCATGTCCGATTGCGCTCGTCTATGTGACAGTGCACTCGCAGATCTCTCATATTTCGGGGCCATGATTGGGTCGGCTTGTTGCGTTGAGCTTGAGGGTCGGAATGATAGAGCAGAGGATGCTCTGGCGAAGGGCTCTGCCGTGGACGTGGCCGCTCGGCCGGGGAATGGTCGTGAGCCACCAGGTCGCGCAGGCCGGTTGACACGAAGGTCTTTTAGGTAGTCTGCCTCCCATTTCTTGTGTGAGCTAGGGGCTGGTGGAGGATTCGAGCTCGATGACGAAGCGAAAAACTTCAATCCCGAAGATCGCCTTCTTGGGGCTTTAGGAGCGCTTGGTTGGTTGGCGAGCTCATCTAGGGGTGCTGTGGAAACATCTATACCTCCAAAATTACCATACTCATCTCGGTGGCCCGACCTATGCAGTAAGCTCATTGTCACCTTTCAACGGTGTCCAGGACCAAGGCGCTTAGGTTTGGTGAGAATAATGCTTAGTGGAACACCACTCTGTGGGCTGCTAGGATGAGAGAGAGTTCAACGAGTGTAGAAAAAAATGTTGAAGACAATGCTGTGGAGGAATGATGCGCGAAGCAAGATAGCGATATGAGTATGTTTCTGTTTTCGATAGTAGTCTAAAAATGGGTGTGGGGTCAACACCAATCAGGTTGGCCCACCAACATAGTGGGCGCGAAATCTGCGACACGAACATCCTTGACATTTACGGGAAGACCCATCGATCCTTTGATCAAGTTCGTCTGGAACGCCTTCTGGTGGGATTATGAATCGGTAGGACCCATTTCTGACAGATGGCAGAATAAACGCGAGATCTTATCCGCAGAGACCATACAAGATCAGGTCAAATTTCATGAAACCGCGAAGAGTCGAGCCATGTTAGTACGATGGATAGGAGCCAGTAAAAGCGTCATAAGTAAAAAGCTCTGTGGGGTTTGAGAGTAGGGACAGCAAAGCTGGTATGGATAAGAAGTCTAGGTCAGTCATAGCTCTTTGAGATATGACGCTGTTCTTGTTGCAGTCGTTAGGGCATATCGTACATCCTTCGTCCATATCGTATATATTTCTGCAGTCAGTTGCCAAAGCTGTTGAGTGGAGATTACTCCCGTGTCAAGTTCCCGTCGAGTGGTTCAATGTCCATGATTACCCTCTTGGTCTCTTCGCTGCCCTCCACTCAATACAACCATCATTCCCATAGCCTCCCCTGAATAACATGACTCTGTATGCTTTCAGCATGTCAGGCCAGTTGGTCAAATCGTTATTTGAGCCCTCTGTAGTACTCTCCACCTTGCCAATGAATAGATTGTACGTGATGGGTAATTGATCCAAAGGCTCCAACGATTTACATCTTGGCTCGGTCAAGTCAAGATTGAAGTAATTTCGCCATGAGATCTCGATATTTTTCAGGCCTTGAGCTCGCGACAAAACTTGGCGGACGATCTTGACATTAGCACGAAGTGCTTCAATGCCAGAGAAGGTGGTATTTGTTTCATTTTCTTCCCCTTGAAACAGTCGAATATCCAAGATGCAGGTACGGATGTAAGGAAATTGTTTTGTGCATGCCAAGGAATGGAGGGCACCATCCACATTGGACCCATGGATCTTATTTCCCCTGAAGATGAGGTAGACGTGAAGCGTCCAGGCGGTTTCTCCATAAAGAACAGAGATAGCTTCTACTGAACCTGTTTGCTGACCTCAAGTACCGCCGTATAGAATGTACGATCGTTATAGAAAGTTACAGGACCTCTGACATGTCGGCCCAAGCGTGAAACTCGCGGCTGTGAGATGAAAAGCTCTCGATATATTTGGAGTCGTAGTTCAGTGGGCAAGGACATGAAGGTAGCCATATAGACTGGTAGTCCTGGAAAGTAGTAGATACCTAGCAGTGATACAACACGACTCCCTTTGCAAGTAGATGATGGCAGCTCACTCCATATATCCTGGAATTCGAAGTCAGCGAGCATCTCATATGAAATTGCAGCAGGTAACCAGGCGTGCCCACCTTACACGATAGGTCCTGGGATTTTCGGTCGCCAGAACGGTAGAGCTCCTATCGCCGAAGCTCCAACGGAGCAGATTCTATGACTTCGGCTCAACTTCGAGGCTTGAAGCTGATATTCGACCTTATCATTAGGCCATCAAAGCCGTATGCGATCAGTCTTTGCGTCTCCAAGACTTCTCGATTATCGAGCATTTGGAGCCTATGGTGAGAAGGCTGCTCACAATGCGGCCAGGAGGAGAAGGATCCAGATTCTGATGAAGGACTGCGGGTGTGATAGACCAATGGTCATAATCGTGGTCTCCAAGGCCGCGTTCAAGCGGGTGTCGAAACTGTCCCTCTGGCAGAACCTCGGCGCTTTCCGAAAGATCTCGCCGCGCGCTTTGTCAACTTCACGCGTCGAGAAGTTGCCGTTGAGGATGGGAAGGAGCTACATGGCAATGACCGCCTGCGATGTTTGATACAGGAGATCATGAATCTCACCAATCATTGTCGGATTTCCGGCAAGCTCGAGACATCTTCTTGCCTCCTATATCGAATGCAGTTGGGACAATACTTACCCAAGAATCTCGGAAACGCAAGCTCACTAACGTTGAACACGATGATGACATCAGAGAAGGGTTCACCATAAAGGTATAGTCATAGGAAAAAGTAAAGAGTATCTGTTAACAGGCTTATTCAAGTCACACCCATCGCTTCCATCCGCCCAAACACGGAAGTTGATACCAAGGTTACAACTACCACGATCATTTCTGCCTCTGGCCTACCTCGACCCGCTTGGAGGCCAGGACGCCCTTCCAGGCTCCAACTTGTTCTCAGCATACATCGAAGTCCTCGAAGAAATTGTGCATCAGGACCCACGGTCAAATCAACCGACAGTCTTGATCGCACAGTCAGCTATTGATGACGGGCTCTTTGCTATCGAGCTTGTACAAGAAGGAATCTACGCAATATGTAGACTGGGTAATTGGGTGAGTGTGGATACACTTGCACGACTGCAAACCGTGCCTATAGATATTGTACGCCCGCGAAAAAGACAACATCAAGGGCAGCCAGGACTTCTCGGAGACAAATGGTGGAGCACTGCGGCAATTGCCTTCAGGTCCGAAACCATATGTGACCAGGGTAAGAAGTCGAGTGGCGAGAAGACTCGCGGAGTGCGATTGTGCCTGCAACCGGCCCAACAGGAACCAACTACACCGGCCCAAATTACCCAAGAAATATCTCAACCCGTTTTGCAGGATCAGACTGGAAACACGTTGACGGACATGGTGGAGGAAGCAGCGCAAGACCCAGAGGAGGTGCTCAAAACGGTCAGGGTTCAGTACCAGGAGGCTTTATATGCGTCTAAGGTAAAGCATTTTTCATGCACGAGTTTTGGCCTTATTACTGATTGCTTGTCAAGTCGTCGTTGGCATATTTTGCAAAAGGGCCATTGTCTCGAGCACGGGCTGCATTTTCCGTCCCCGATGGCTCTGCCAATAACCACTCGCATCTGACTTCATTCTTGAGATCTTGCATCCTGCCACTTGCTACTATGGACACCAAGTACCGGGAAGCATTGCCGGAATTAGTCAAAGGATTCCCCTTCGAATCGCATTCGGACGACGAATGTACCACCGTAATTGAAACGATTAGCAAGAAAATTCGCAAGTCCAAGAAAATCAGTGTTGGCAAAAATGGCTTATATCCAGGAGAAGAAGCCAACATTGCTCGATGGTGGCTTAGCAGAAATCTATCTTCTGTTGCTTGCGATTCTGCAGATGCAAGAGAAGACGCGACCAGGTCAGCTGTGCTTGAGCAGAGGGCTAGAGAAATTCAAATGCAAATCATTCTCTCTCTTGAGACTCTTGCACTAGAATCGTTAGCGACAAACCAGCCAGTGGAGAATTCACCACCAACAGATTTCATAGAAGGAGACGATGGCTCAAAGAATAGAAAAAAGAAGAAACCCAAGAGGCCCCAGGACCTCAGCATGTTGTTGGATCTACTTGTCGACCGCCTGTGCATTTGGCAGTCAATGAGCGTAGATGAGATGAAGACCTCAAATGGAGAGGACGGGCCTGTATCTCCACATGGAGCAAACTCAGCCGTGAAAGCAGCAGGCAGAGACCATCTGCGGCAATTCTGTGTAGATGTTGTGCTGCCTTTGTAAGTTTCTTTCCTGCTCGCTATGCGATTGCTAGTCGCTGAACATTATAGCTATGGAGCACGCCTGCCAGAGTTGACGACTTTGCTCTGCCAAAAGCTCGGAGGGTCTAAGCAACCTTCGCCGAGGCGGCCACCATTGGCGAAATGTGCATCATCCTACGGATCAATAAAGCCGGGTGCATCATTGCAAAGACAGCAAATCCGAAGACCTCGACGTACTTTGGAACGTGTGCTGACCGACGAGCGAACTGCCTCCCAAAAGCCACCGCCGTCCTTGCCACGATCTGCCACTGACCCTGTCTTGCCCCAAGTGAAACGCGAAGTCAGTGACACATCTTTGTCGTCAATTCCGCTCAACAGAGTCGCAATGCACAAGCGCTATAGCCAGCGAGAAATAGATTTACACGCAACATCACAGGCTGCCGAGGCTAAGCTCAAGAAGAAAACGAGAGTAGAGCAGGAGCTTCGAGGTGCAATCGCCGCGCTGAAGAGGCCCAATCCTCGCATGGCGGTCAAGGACCTAGTCGAGTATGCAGAGAGAAGGGCGGCAGCGTCACACTCGAGAAGTATAACATGCTCAGCCGAAGTCTACATTTTCGATGCTAAATGTCTGCAGAGCCTAAGAACCCTGTTCGTAATCCTTTCGCCCAAGGCGCTCAAGTTATGGCTACGCCAAGCAACAATAGACACAAGGACGTTTACGGCGGTCTGACACGTTTTCCACGGCAAAGTATAGCGTCACTACCTGAGCTAGAAGAAGTCCCACCGTCAAGCATTTCTTGTGTGCCTTCATCTTCAAGGAAGCCAAGACGGTCGCCCTTCTTAGCCCCGGATAGCACAAGAAAGACCGACAGCAGCGCTTTGGCTTTGCCTGTCGTTGAAACACCAACAAGAGGTCCATCCAAGCTTTGGGGCCGTCCTCCGATCTCTACAGCGGCGATAGAGTCTGTTGCTGATGTGTCTCACCCACCACCTCTATCAGCAGCATTGAATCCACCTAAAGCTTCCAATGGCATATTTACTTCTCCTCAATTGCCTTTGCAGGTTCATGAGACGCCATCGAAGTTTCGTTGTTCGCATCAAGTTGAACGATCTGAAGATGCTAGCATCAGTGCAACGCCAGTCAAAGCTCCGCCCCCTGCGAACAAAGCTGCGGACAACTCGCCAAAAGCTGTCTTGTCGCCATCATCGCAGGGAAAGGAGGAATCTATCTACGCGGCTTTGGGATGGGATGATGATGTTGACGAACTGTTATAATTTGAAGTCTTTCTCCTGCATCATCCAGCGACGGTGTTTATTGCAAGGGGCAATGAGTTCTGAGGCGTTTTGGGTCTGCTTGCATTAGCGAAGGAGTCAAACACAGGTCTAATGATAGCGCGAGACGTAAGATAGTAGCTCCGACTCCAATATTCGTGACTCTGGGAGGGAAGTTGACGTGGCTAGAGGTCTCAAGCTCTAGGCGTGCTGTCAGAGGGGTGGCAGTTGCAGTGGTGCTATCCCGAAATACCGGCGCTGAAACAATTTGATGTGCTTTTTACACATGAGTAGTAAAGTTGTCTGCATTCACACAAACAATCCAAAAGAAGCGAAACCAAATCAATGCGCAAGACTGTCACTGTCACTTTTCTCTATAGAATGACAGTCAGTTAGTCTGGCAAATAACGAAGGTAGATTTGATATAACGCTAGTCCTAAAAAGTCACAAAGTAGAAACGCGAACACGTCCTCCACGTCTCGCACATTCACTTTATCGCTTTACAAATTCGAACCGCACAACGCATTGATTGAAGCTCATTACTACTGCTTTCAAATCCCTTTTCCCAAGCCCGGCAGTCCACTCTCCTTCGGCACCTTCTGACAGAATGCCTCCTCGCAAAAGCAACATCTCGCAAATCAGCGCTGCGGGCGACGATGGCACTCCGGTCAAAGAGCGCGAGGGTACTAATATTGAGGTAGGTCTGAATACCCTTACACCCTTCTTCTTCTCTCCAACCTGATGAGTTCGTGTCCTCAAATCACCCTCAATGGCCCGATCGCAGAACTCTCTTCGCACTTCACTCTCCTCTTTCTTAGCTCCTCTTCTCTGCTACACAGAACACGATGGCTAACAATCTGCCACGGCTATCAGGACCTCTCCCTCCCCCGCACAATGGTCCAACGTCTCGCCAAAGGCGTCCTCCCCCCCAACACCTCTTTACACAAGGACGCCATCCTCGCCATGAGCAAAGGCGCTACGGTCTTCATAAACTACCTCGCCCACGCCGCCAACACCGCCTCCCTCTCCACCGGCAAACGCACCATACCGCCCAACGCAGTCATTGAAGCCCTTGCGGAGCTCGAGTTTCAGGACTTCGGGCCGAGGGTGGAGGCCGAGTTGAAGAAGTTCAACGAGGTGCAGACGGGGAAGCGGAATGAGTATAGGAGGAAGGTCAAGGAGGGCAAGATGAGTGGTGCGAAGGGGGAGGATGGTGGTGAGGAGGGGGAGGATGAGGAGGGGAGGGCGAAGAAGAGGGTCAGGAGGGAGGAGGAGGATGGGGGGCATGAGGGGAGGGAGAGGAGGGAGAGCGGGACGGGGGATCCGAGCGCGCAGCTGCAGACGGGGTATAGGGAGTACGAGCCCGAAGACCCCGAAGACCCCGACGACGACGACGACGACGACTTTGACGCCGAAGGGCAGGCGGGTGAGGAGGGGGGGAATGATGCGTCTAATCTCGAACCCCGGCCAAGAGCTTCGCGAGACGAAGAAGAGGAGGAGGAGGAGGACGATGAGGACGATGAGGACGAAGACGAGGACGAATATCCGGATGAGGGGAGACGGCTCAGTTCGGTGGAGAGGGAGGCGAATGGGAGTTTTGATACCCCGGGGGATGATGCGGTCACGCCTGGGAGTTCGGCGGATGAGGTCTTGAGTGAGGACGAGGGCAGTGATTGAGGGAGGCTCGTGAATGAGGACCTCGAGAGAACAGGAAGAGCTGACACGGCGGTTGGGCATCCTCGATCGGAAAAGGAGACGCTTGCATGATTCAGATGGGATCAAGACATCTACGCGGTTGCCTCTTGTGTGGCTTCCCTGACCGACTGGGCCGGATGGACTCGGTATGTGGTCATCATTTGCATAGCGAATGTCTACCTTGCTAAGATTTGGAAACCTGGGGCAGTCATGTGGGCCTAGTCTCCATCCCGTGTGGACACTGCTGCATCGATCCACCCACCCATCTCGCGGCATCTAGCGGCTCCACAAGTCTGGCTATCTTAAAGAGATCGGGTGCCATGCATTTCATTCCTTCATCGTCTCCCCCTCTGCCACCGTAGCTCCATCATCGCCCCACAACCCCTCCAATTTGAACTCCGCCGCCCATTCCTTTACAATTTCCTTGCTACCCGCACCACCTTCCCCTGCCTCAACCTCCTTGGGCGCGTCAACCCACCCTCTAATCCTGCCATCCCGCCAATCCATCAGCACGCCCATGGCCGCGCTCTGCAGATTCGGCACACCCCCCTTCCCCAACCTGCCCCTTTTCCTCGCGACCTGGACCAGGAAATCCGTCGTGACGTCTCCATTTGCACCCGCCGACACGAGCGTGGAGGGTGGGAGACCGTACTGGTCTAGCAGTGGCTGCAACGTGGCTTCGGAGCGTGAGAGACGGTGGAGGAGCAAAGTGATGGCGGGGATGGGGTCGGTGATTGCGGAGGGCGGGAGGGCGGAGAGGAGGGTTAGGTTTGCTTGATGGATTTGTTTCGAAGAGAGATGGGGATGGGTTTCGCCATTCGCGCCTGGGCCGGAGGATGAGGGGAAGACGATACCCGGAGAATCGAGCAGTTTTAGTTTGTTGTCGAGCTTCACTTCTCGCAGAGCGGTTGTGACGCCAGCTTCTGCGCCTACGGGGCATGCAGTTGAAGATGAGCGAGAAAGGCGGGAGGTCAGAGCGTTGATGACAGAGGATTTGCCCACGTTGGGGTAGCCGACTATGCCGACTGTGGTGCTGCGTTTTAGTTGTTGGGAGGAGGCGTAAGATTTCAGGGCGCGGAGTAGTGTTTCGCTTGTGCCTTTTACTGTAAGAGCTTTGTGATCGAAGGTGCGGGCGTTGGGCGCGGATGTATTCGCTCGAAGGGGAAGCGTGGGAAAGTATCGGCGGAGGTAGACGAGCCAGGCTTTTACCACCGGTGGAGGTACAAGGTCAATCTTGTTGAGGACGAGGATCAGCCGTTTTGACCCGGCGTCTGCGGCGGTAATTTCGCGTTCTATCTCTCGAGAGCGAGTGCCGTTGGGATCGCGGGCATCGAGGACGTAGAGGAGGATGTCTGAGGTTGAAAGAACGGATTTGAAGACTTTGTCGAAGGCGCGGCGGGAGGATTCGAGTGTTTGGGGACCGGAGGTTGGGAGGGAGCTGGCGGTTGTGAGGACAGCGCCGCCTTCTGTTTCATCGTCTTGGTCCATTTCGTCCTCGTATTCGTCTGGCCCATGCTCATACTCCGCTGCTCGAGCTTTGGCAGAGGCTAGCAGGGCGCTCATGGGGTTTGCGGAGTCATTGGGCGTATCTTCGTCCATGTCTTCATCATCGAGGAGGTCTGAGAGTGTGTCCTCGCCGTCCACATTTGATGCCACTGGGACATTCTGGTCTGCTGATGCGGCAGCTTTTGTCACTTTTGCTTCTTCTCTCTTCCTCTGAAATTCCTCCTCCTTCAAGCGCTTCTTCTCTTCGATCTCGTGGAGGATGCGGTCTTTGTAGGGGAAGAGATTGGGGATGCCCGGATCCTTCTTTAATCGTGACCGCCATTCTGGGTTCTACAATATTGATGAGCTAGGTCAGGTGCTGAGGTGTGGAATCAGGCCAGACGTTTTTTGCAAGCTTCCTTTGTTTTCGTTGCTTCGCAGCACTAGCTTTCTCGATCTTATGCCGTAATCGCACCGGTGTGCGTTTCGACTTGGGCTCTGTAACGTGATTAGTACTGTATATTATAGATGAAGCCATGAGTAGGTATCCCACTCCCAGGTTTATTAGCCATTATGAATTTTGTGTGCCTTGTTCAAGCCTGGTCCTGCTGCAGTTGCGGTTTCAAATGGTGAAAAAAAGTTCGTGCCGAGGTACTCTATGCCAAGATTTCGCATGCTACGGAGTAGCCTATTCGCTGCAAGGGTCTGTCTGCATTTGCCGCTTTACTCGGGATGGTAAATCTAGACCTGGATACATCTATAGATACTCTCCAGCTGTTGGAAGGCTTTCTTACATAAAGCTGGTGCTCCCTACTCTCCAGCCCTGAGCGATTGTAGGCACTCACACTTATTGGTTCTGGAAATCTGAAGGAAAGCCACCGTTTTCTCCTTTTCTCTCGGGAGTCCCACGGCTTGAAGTGCTTATTTCCACAGCATATTCTATTAAAGGCGCCCAAAAGAAGGTAGGTCAGAATTTTCGTAACTCACATGATGTTTGGTTTCAAGATCCGATCTGAATGACCAATGCTACAGATGCTAAGCCGATCAGATTCTTTTTGGCACGATAGACTTTTCCTCCTAGATTCACTTTCTCACGTCCGACATTCCCCCATCAGTCGATTAAAGCAAAGACGTCCGAAATAACATCAAGATGCCATTGCTAGAGGAGAACCCAACGTTTACAGGCCGGCCAGAGACTCACAAATTTGCCGGAATCCTCTTTGATATGGACGGAACCATAGTCGACTCAACAGACGCTATCGTCAAACATTGGCACAAGTGCAATCTTCTCGGCCGCGCGTTGTGTGTGAGGCGCATTTCAGCTTACTGTCTGTAGAATAGGCAAAGAACTAGGAGTGGATCCTGCCATGATACTGCAGTCTTCACACGGGAGGAGATCGATAGATACGTTTCAGCTGTACGATCCAAGCAAGGCCAATTGGGAGTGTGAGTGGTCCAGCTTTGCCCCGTGTTTGCATGACTGACATGCGTCGAGCTAACGAAAGGCTAGATGTCAGTCACGTTGAAGGCTTGATCCCTAGACAATTTGGGCTCGACGCTGTTGAGGTGCCTGGGGCCAGAAGTGGGTCATGACCCGATCTTCATCTCAAAGAAGGCATGCTGACTCCGGAAACATGAAGACTTGCTCGCATCGCTCGAGGCAGCCAAGGTGCCATGGGCAATCGTAACAAGTGGTACACGACCTCTTGTAACTGGATGGCTTGACGTAATGAAGCTTGCTCATCCTCGGAACTTGGTCGTTGCGGAAGATGTGAAAGAGGGAAAGCCAGGTCGGTCAAGTCCTGATGAGTGGTTGAGAGATGGCATCGATAGACACTGACGAGATTAGATCCCGAATGCTATCGTCTCGGGCGAGAAAAGCTCGGTTTAAGCGCCGACACCAGGGTTCTCGTGGTTGAGGACTCTCCAGCCGGCATCCGTGCTGGAAAGGCTGCGTCGTGCAATGTGGTTGGGCTGGCGACAACGCACGATATCGCGCAACTGCGAGAAAATGGCCCCGATTGGATCGTCAAGGATCTTCAGAGTGTTCGGTTTGTCAATAGGAACGCGGATACAGGGGAGGTTGCCATAGAGATTTTGCACTCGCTAGAGTAGAAGCGCAAAGATCTTCTTCAGGCATCTTTGCGAGCGGTACAACATAAGTACTTGGTACCCAGGTCGAGGGATGGGGAGGGAGTGGGGAGAAGGGGGGAGGGGGGGTTTGGGTTTGAGTGGTCTGGTAGAGATCTAGATTTGAAGCCTCAAGGGCATCTTGAATTAGCAGACGTTGGTGCTGTTGGATCATCGCCGGGAAGCGCGAAAAGGAAGGTCGAAAGCTTGTAATGACCCTTGTCGACTTCATTCCCCAACTTGCTCTAGCTCATTGTACTTCCGTTGCCACCGAGTGTAGGAATTACCGGATACGGACGTCTTTTTCTTTGCTTTTCGGTTAGAATCCCGCCGATCAGTGGAAAAAGGGGCAAAAGATCGTCCAAGTGACGAAGCGGGAGGATTGACGTTGACGATCTTTGCGCTTTGGGGCAATTCGCCATTTTGTGCCGAAAAAGAGATATGCGACGAATGATGATGAGACATGGGCGGTGTGGCAGTACTAAGGTTCAAACGGCCAGTCGGCCCTTGCACCTTGCGTCGCGGAGTGCAGACTGCACCGTCGCAGCTGAGCGTTTCCTTCCCCGTTTTGTTCTACCATTTTGACAGGGGACTGCCCCTGGGGCTTGTGGCGTCCATTAGAACAGCTGAAGTCTTTCGGAAAGCACACCTTCCAGCAAAGCGTCGCCGTTGGCTTGGATATGTGCGATACCGGTTAGAACGGAGCGATGTGATAGCCTACGGTAGTAGGGAAGAGGAGAAGCCGGTTTGACAGCGCAGCGCCAAGAGCTTGGTACTGGGAATTGATCATTCGATGCGCGCCTTATTAGTACGGAGGTACCTACGGTAGTCATGAAGCAAATACGAGGTATCTGAGCCAAGTGTGCTCAGTTCCAATCGTGCAATTAATTCCTTCCCTAATTAATTACCTCAGGCGTGTGAGATTCCTTTTCGGATTCAACAGGTGGTGAGAAGTGTCTTCTTCGAGTCGTTCAGGTCTCATGTGTTCTGGAGGCTTGCAGGTACGGCTTCCGACAGGATGACTACCGAACACTGTTGCACTCGCAGTGCCGTGAGCCTAGGCAACTTGACAGCTGTCTCACTCTCCACACTACCTACTAGGTACTACTTGTATGAGAAGTGAAAGTCTGAAAGTTGCCCCAGTCTGCCGGTAAGAGGGGCGGGAGGGGCATTCGAAGCTATGTACATAGGGAATTCCGACGATCTCGATGATCTGCAAGGGAGATAAAATCATCCGGAAAGTGCTTTGGGAGCCTCAACACTCCCACTTCAACGTCGTCATGATCATCCCGACAAAGCGCGCTTCCCGACTTTCCGACTTGCAACGACTATACTTTGATCCAACCATTTACCGAAACCTGCGCACAGCTGCACCTATGTATCCTGGACCTTATGGTCTGGACCACGCGCATCTCAGTTGATGACTCTTTCCATCACGGCAGTTGATTGCTCTGGAGTGCTGAGAGTCTAAAGAGTCTCAAGGACTGACTCCTACCCTACCCTACTGATTCTACTGTTCCATCTTCGATACCGCCTAACGGCAATCCCCCACTGCCACATGTTGCTTACCACCAGATACTAAATGGTACTAATGCAGTCAGCGTGTATCCATGTATCCATGTATCCAGAAATAGGTCCCTGCGTCACCAGCGCGATCGTGCCGACAACGTCTGTTTGCCTCGCCACACTGAACTGGTGTTGACCTAGATGGATGATTGGGGGTGGAAATTAGAATGATAGGAATGAGTCTAGTCAGACGGTGGACCGGAGGATAAATCGAGTTCTAAACCATGGACAGATGAGATGGCAGGAGTAAAAAGGATCAAAAATAGCATAGTCAGTCGTGGGAAGGACCGTAATTGCGGCCAGGGGTATCTGAGAATAAAGTAGCGGTAGGCCTCGTGGCAGATCTTAGCGAACCATGGCGGAGTATCGCTTTAGACACGCTTTTCCCACTCTTCTCTGCCTCTGGCAATGACGACAGTAGTCATGTGAAGAACTCGTATACGATCCAGTTATGCTTTGGATGATGTGGAAATTGATGATCACGCAAGGGGGAAGTCGAAGTACCTCGTGCCTCAAGTAGCAAAAATCCGAACGCTATAATTCTTCTCGCTTCGACTCTTGTGCATGCGGCATATGTGGAGAAAGTTGACTTGAGGCGCGCGGTGAATTGAGTGGATGGATTGATGACGGCAGTTGAACCAAAGGAAAGCCTGGACCACCCTCCAACTTTGCAATCGAGCATACACGATTGCAGCAAGCAAACCCAAAGCCTGATTTGCACGGCAGGGAAGTCTTGGTACCCGAAGTCTTGGCTGGGAACAAGGCTAATGGATTTATGGACTACTTTACTAAAAGGGAGACTAAGGTAAGTTAGGTAGCCGCTAAAGATGGGGCAAGGAACAGGGGTAATGTACACACTACCTTACACACTAAAGTACCGTCCGGCGTCCTAGTCCTTTAGCGGTGCCCCTAGCCGCGGGGCCCTCCCGGAGCTTTCGCGCCGTTCGTCGGTATCTTTTTCGCCCTCTCTCTCGCTCTCGCTCTCTCTCTCTCTCTGTCTGTCTCAATTCTTTTCCAAACAGATTAAACGTTAGTCCATTCGTTGTTTTCTTCAGTAATACTACCTGATCCCCTCGATCTTCCTTCTGTGTACCCTTTTGAAAAAACCCTCACACTCGCTCACCCAACTTGGTCTGCTTTATTGACCCATTACATTCGCTTTTTCCTCTTCTCTTGCAAATCCATTGGATCCGTGCCCCCCCCACCCCCCTCCTTCTACCAATCGTAGCTGCCCACTAACACCCGGAACCGCTCGAAACCACCCTCCAGAACATACACTTCCCATCACCAGATCACATTGTCACGATCCCAAGTACCGTTCCTGGGCTTGTCCATAGCAGCTGAAGCTCTTCGGCGACTCCTTGTCCCAAAGCGTGCTGGGCCTCCCGAAAGTTCAAATATATTACCGAGTATATTGACTTGCTTGCTCTCGAAGCCCCTGCGACTCACGGCCATTCTTCCTCCCAACACCACATGCGAATCATGGTCAATTGATTCCCGCAATGGCACACAATCATTACGAATATTCTCAACCAGAGTCTATGTTCCCCGCTGCAGACTCCGCCTACCAATTCCCGGGCTCAATGCCAAAGAATGAGTCGCATGATTACCACACCGCTGAGGATACGCCCTTCCAAGTCAGTTACAAACCGTACAACGAACGACAATCCTATCCGGCTCAAAACATTTCAAACACCGACGACGGTGACTTAGGAACACGTTCCCGTCTCACGCAAGAGCAGCTAGCTACACTGGAAGCCGAATTTGCCGAGAGATACAAGCCGAATACAGAATACAAGAAGTCTCTAGCCGAAAAGATGGGTGTTGAATTTCAAAAAGTCAACGTAAGTGGCCACCCTGCGTGTGTCATATTTCGTATTGACCTTGGTCGCAGAATTGGTTTCAGAATCGCCGAGCTAAAGCCAAACATCAGAATCCACAAGAGCGGAGATATGATGTTTCACCGGAGCAGGAGACCCGTCAAGGTCCAGCAACCGCATTCTCCTCAACGGAGTACGAAGGAATGCCTCAATCTTTTCCCTCGGAAAATTTCTCTTCCCCAGGACAGGGCCCTGTCCTGTCAACAGATTTTGCTACCGCCTTTGACTTCCCCAACTTGGAGGAGATGAATCGACAGTACAACGCTAACATGAGCGGCCTTCCAAATTTCGACAGCAATGCAACTTTGCAACCCGATTTTTCCAATACTGCAGTAGCCGATCCTATGTGGTCGACCGACTCTTACGATATCTTGAAGATGCCGTCTCAAACGGTCGTGGAACGAGACCTATTTGGATGGTCTCCAGATTCTTTCGCCGACGCATCTGCCCAAATGCAGGGCCAAAGGTTCATCCCTGGCCACACCGACGCTCAATCTCAACCAATGTACCACACTGCTATTGACGGGAGCCCTGTTGGAAATCCCTCAACCCAGAGCTTTGTCACGACTTCTTCCGAGGGAGGTGAGCCTCAGGAATTCATGACTCCACCACAAGGGACTTCTCCGATGCGGAGTCTCAACCAGTCAATTTTCCCGCATCGAGGATCGGATTCGTCTGATTTGGCAGCAAATTTTGACACCATAAACATCCAGCAATCACGGGCTGGACTCGGAGGACTACGTGGGACATCCAATCCTGCGTCTGCAACAGCACTTGTCTCCACTACTGGTCTTGCAACGCCTCAAGTCAGTCCTGATGCAATCGTCTCCGAGTCGCCCTTTGCGGCGGGCTCTTCGGAACTCGCTGCGAGGAAGAGGCGTCCACGACCGTTGGCCCTTCAGAACGATTCGAGCCGAAGCATATCATATACAGGACCTGTAACATCGTCTTCGCACCTGCGAGCGTCTCCCCCAGGTTCACGCAAACAATCACCAGTTCGCCGTATCAGATCGACGGGAAACAATATGAACGTCATGACTGGAAGAGTAACAAAACCTGGCACGGTATCTGCTCAAATGTCCCCTCGGAACTTTGAATCCTGCTTCCAACTGGCTTCATTGTCGGAATCTCAGCCGAACGCGTCTATCAACGCACACATCTCTCAAACACCACGTGCTGAACAGAGCCTTCTCACGCCATCTTCTGCCACCTTCGCACCACAGGCCCATGCAACTTGGCCAAGTTATGCCTCCAGTTGCAGTCCATTGGCTCCGAGCTGGGAGCAAAGCGTCCATGACAGCAGCGCTCCTGCCTACGCTGCTCAACACGGCTACAACTTGCCTCCATCACCTCCGGTCTACCAAAACGCAGCCTCTCAAATACCGTTTGAACAGGCGCATCACCAGCAGCCATTTGCGTTTCACTGCCCTCCGCAGTCCGCCCCTCCGCATCTAACAAGCTTCTTTGACGCCTCGCCTTCAATGCCAGCTGACGGGTTCAATGCGGGCTGGCCTACTCCGTCAGTCACACCACCGGAGCCTTATCGAAACGGTCCACAGATGCCTTTGCCCATGCGACCGAATCACACGCTCCACCATAGTCACAGCGGACCAATGAATTTCTTTGCAGGTACACCACAAAGCTTCCCGAGCTCCCACCCTAGTATGGGACCGTTCCAGCCTTACCAAGCACCTTTTCAGAGCACGCCTCCTGCACCCAAGGAGCTCGACATCAAAATTGATATCGGTCCGCCTGTTCCATCTCAACATGGGCAAGAGGTCAAAACGTATACTTTTAATCACAGCACGCCCAAAGACTTTTCGCCTGGCAATGGAAAGAAGTAGCCATCAGCGAGTCATGGCGGGAGAATGGACCGCGGAAACTGTCATTACTAGGGCCCCTCGACTTGGACTGCCAGCCTCTGGAGTGAGGAAGCAGGCGTCGAGCGGGCGGCGGTCACCGAAGATTGTCGAGCAACGATGTACGAGTATCACGCTTCTTTTACGGTCCGCCTCACGAGGGTCAATCGTTGAGTGTAGAGGAAGGTTCAGTTTCGCAAGCCTGCGTGGGATAGCGGTCTGGACAGACACATACAGCTTAATATACTAATACTAATTCGGCGTTGATATTCGAGGCGCATCTACATAACGAATTTGTCGATGGTCAAGCATATAGATTTCTATGCACGGGCAACAAGTGTGATTGTTCTGCTATATCCTGCCATTTCTCCATGACTGGAACATGACACGCTTGCGGGGGCCACGGGGAGCGAATGGGAGGGGGATACCCCTGAATCGGGCGAACAGGAGCATTTGCATTTGGCGCATGTGATTGTATGAGATAGCAGGCGTGTTGAGCGTTCTTTGTTGCTTGGAAATGTCGGGCGGAACTTTGTCTGTTTGATGGTGGCAATGAAGGAGGAACATACGAGACGCGATAGGTGGAATACACGCTGGGGATCATGGACATCTCGCAATAGGCCAAGGCCAAAATACCAAACCAAATTCTATCATCAAGAGAGCTGCTCATTCGTTGCGAATCCATGAGACACGTTCTAACCCCCATACATAGCATATGTGATTTGCCAGGCGTATGGACCCTTTTTTTTTCTTTTTCGCTTTGTATTTGATAGCAGTAGAGTACGCGTAATGGCTCTCTTTTCCCTTTTTCCCTTTTTTCCCTTTTTTCCCTCTTTCCCTCTTTCTCTCTTTCCCTCTTCATTAGACTTCCATTGGACCCTGAGACCGATGCTGATCCGGCCTAGACGCCAATCATCCGCTGTATGATTTTCTCCAACTTCTCCAACTTCTCCAAATTCTCAGGATACTTTAAAGATGCACATATATACACACACACACACACACACACACACACACACACACACACATACACACACAACACACACACTAACCCACTATCCACTTAACAAACTTTGCCCACCAGTGGTCGCCTCTTTCCGCATTCAGGTACATCGTAGATCAAACTCTACCGAACCAAATAGCCGGGTTTCCCTCCGATTGGCGATTGGCAACGTCTCCCTCCCTTCTCTTCCCCCACCATCATCTGATGAATGATGATCCATCCCCATCACCCTCACCATCATCATCATCCCCACACCCTCTCCATCATCATCATCATCATCATCATCATCATCATCATCATCATTATCATTATCATTATCATTATGATTATCATTATGATTATCATTATCATCATCATCATCACCAGCACCATCACCATCATCATGAGCATCACCAGCACCAGCACCATCACCACCACCATCACCATCATCATCACCATCACCATCAACAACCAGAAATTGAATACCCCTACTACTCATACTCCTACCCTTACCCCTACCTCTGGCTCAAGTACCGGAGCTACTACTTCTACTACCGTTGCCACTAAAATAAAATACAATCCATCATCACCATCCATTATACCTCCCTCGGCTTCTCTTTCTTCCCTTCTTCCAGACTTAGCATTGAGAACGAGAGAAGAAGGGGGAAAAAAAAAAAAAGTTGGCAACGGCCACCCCACGCCCACGCCCAACCCAAAGCAAAAACGCCCCCCTTCCCCCAAGCCAGCCCTTCCTGCATGAGCCTAATCCAGAGCACCTTAACCAGCTACATGCAGATTTAATCGCTTACGACATCCCATTCGAGACCTCACCACCAAAGACCATCCGCCGAAAAGAAGTTCGATGGCTTGATTTGTGGGAGGGGAATTTCTTTGTTCCCTCCCTTTCCCCCCCCCGGCGACAGCTGCATGCACGATGCACGATGCACGCAATTGGATTTCTGTTTGAGGCTATGAGCCGATGCCGATGGTGATGGCGAGTTGAGGGCCCCAGCGTTTTTTTCGTCTGTGGACTTTTGATAAGGGAGGAGAATGATAGGGAGAATCCGTCAAAACTTGGCACAGTTGGGATGGGGATTCCATCAACCCCTGCCATTGGTTCTTTTTTTTATTTTCTCCATCTTTTTCCTGTCTTTGCCTGCACGGGATTGATGATTATGCGGCTGCTGACAGGCTACTCTATCCGTGTGTGCGAGCGTAGTACCTTGTTGACTTCCTGCAAGATTCGGGCGCTTCTGCTTCATCTTGCAGCCTGTTGTGGCACCTTTTTGTGGATGGAACATTTTCGGCGAATTAGGGATGTCGCGGGAGTGCATTGGTTTTGGTAGGCTGTCAGAGCTGCATGTACAGGGTGGGTATGCATGCAGGTGATTGACTTACCTGAATGCTGGGGGGTGTGGCACGGAGCTCTCTGTCAAAGACTTCTAGATTTCGCTTCTGCAGCATCTTGCATGGCTGTGGGTGTGGCAACGTCGGGGAGCGCGGCTTCCTCATTCGCGGCCTCGTGACGCGGGTGACTATACTGCAAATTCATTTGCTGTGGTTTGATTACGAGGCATGCGGCTTTCTGCACGATTTTGCAAAACTTGGGATTTGGGTTTTGGGGGATTTTACAGCCTCATCCTGGATTATCTTTTTCAGCTCCGTGTTTTCTCGCAGCCAGATGGCAGTACCCAGAGTATGTGATCCTCCATCTCCATCTACCATGATCATGGTCGAAGCTTCTGTCTTGGTGTCATCCTGCCAGATGTCATTCTGAATTAAAGCCGTGTTGCGGGTCGTGTTTTTTCCTCGCTCGAGGGCTGCATGAAAGGGTATGCAGGTTGCTTTTTTGGCGCGCTAGAAAGAAGTTGGAGGTGGGGCGGATTCGCGATCCCAAGCCGCCCGTTCAGTTCTTCCCTTTTTTTTCTCTTTCTTCACGGGTCAAGCTGCCAGCCGAAGTTGCAACCGAGCAGAGTTGAAACTGGAGGCTTTGAGGGTGTAAGGGCGGTTTGTGAGGCTCGAATGCTTAGTTCCTTGACCCCCGGGGCCGTCCAACTTTGACGTTGCGGACAGGGCAAGGGTGGGTAATTTTTAGAGGGACCGTTGAATTCATGCAGCACTCGCAGTGTCGCAAATTTGGATCGATTCCATCTCTCACGACAGCATGCTTTGTGGGTGATCAAAAACTCAATTACTCTTCGCTCTTCATTCAGGTCTCCGTCGCGCACTCAAGCGAAAACAATACTCTCGCCAATCGACATCTTCACCCTGTCTGATGCGTGCACGGCCTTTCCAAAAATAGATTCGTAATAATCTTACACACATATACGGATACCTCCGTGTACATACATGGAATCTAGGTGCTTCAGGCACAAAAATGAGGGTATCTGAACGCCACTCAGCGCCGATCCATGCATCCAAGAAATGCCAGCTCGCATGTAAGAGCAAAAGCGCAAGAGTTGGTTTTTGGTCCCCAGAACGCCGGCGCAATAATCTGTGACTTGGCGAAGTGCAAAATGAAATGGCAAACGCCGTTCGAATCCAAGAATACTAGCGACTCGGTCAAATCCGGTGGGGTCTAGTCGAGGTCACTTCATCAGCTTGTCGACCGTCTCCCTCTCGGCGTTGATGGCAGCTTGCAATTTCCGGGTCTGGCGCATTGCCTCGTCCCTAGGGAAATGGTCAGTTGTCGTCACCATGCATTCTCAAAGACTCGTCTTAACGTACCGAGCAGACTGCAACTCCATGACCTCGATCTGCGCCTGGTTCATCCTCCCGACTACCTCCTCCATCTCCAGATCCGCTTCACCCAGCGCCCTCTCCAATTCTGCAACCCTCTTCTCTAAGGATTCAGTCTTGAGAGCCTCATCAAGCGACATACCCAACCCGGTCGTCGTCCTGTCCAGCTTCGGGGAGCGACCGCCGAACATTGTTCTGGGGGACAAAGGAGAATTTGCGACGGGAGAAAACACCGTGGGCGTCTTAAGACCAGTCTTGAGCCGCTGCAGTTGCTGATTGTGGCTTTCCCTGATCTCACGAACCTCCTCTTCGTGCTGCGCAAAGGCTTCCTCGGAGTGTTGCTGGGCGTTCATGAGCTTGTCCTCCAGATTCTTGAGTTTGCCTTGCATGCTATTGATCCGCGTCGTCGAGTTCTTCTGTGCTTCTTCGCCTCTACCAACGGCTTCGGCGAGCCTTTGCCGTAAACTGGCATTCGATTCTAGTTGGAGGCGCACTTGGGAAGATAAGGCCTCCACACGGTCTGCCGATGCGCGGAGCTGGTCTACCAAGCCTGCATTCTCTCCGGTGTGAAAGGACTCTGCTTCCATAAGGGATTCTGCTTGTGCTCGAAATGTTGCTGCTTGCTTCTTAGCATAGTCTCGCTCGGCCTCGGCGTCGTTCATGCTTTTCAGTAGCTTATCCATTGTAGCAGCCGTGTCAGCATCTTCAACACTTGAAGGTGCGCCTCCATGCAGCTCCCGAAGTTTGGTGATGGACATAGCTTGCGTGACTTGTAGATCTCTATAGGCCCTCTCAAGCGAGGCAGACGTGGCATGCGCTCCAGTTGCGGTCTCTGATGATGATTGACCAGAGATCTCGGGGATCAGGATGTCATGCTCTTGCAGGACCTTTCTTAGAGAGCTTGTCTCCTGCTCAGCTCTATCAAGATCTTTCTTCAGTCCACCAAGTCCTTTCTCAATATGGTACTTTTGCATGGACGCATCCTCGGCTCGCCGCCGAAGCTGATTGATCTCAATTCGTAAGCCTGCGACTTCTTTCTCATACCCTACCCTTCGAGGAGATTGGTTCTGCAGAGCGCGATCCCTCTCGATCTCCAGGTTCCGGATTCCCTTTTCATGTTCATTTTTTTGGTAACTCTGTCGATCAAGCAAGCTTTTCAAAGCCCGGTGTAGAGCGTCACGCTGCATTTCAATATCTTTGACCCTATCCGCAAGGGAATCCCTGGATTCTCGTTCCTTGTTTGATACGGAATTTGACCTCTTCAAAGTACCAGCTCTTGACAATCCACCCCTTTGCCCGGCGACGGAGCTCGATCTGGTCAGGCCCGTTCCGGATCCTTGCGTTTCCGGGTGTCCGTTCTCTTCAGCAATAGAATCAAACTGTGAACCATGATTTTGCATCTCCAGCTGTAGCCTTCTAGCATTCATCAACGTAGAATTCTCATTTTTGAGGGATTGGAGCTCTTGCTGCATCCGCGCGTTGTCGTAAGTCAACTTTTGGTATTCTGCAGCTCCTCCTTCCAGACCTTCCAGACGCGACTTCAGCTGGGGCACCACCTCGTCCCGAAGGTTGTCTCGTTCGTCTCGATGTTTTGAAAACTCACCTCGAAGCGCAGTGAGCAAGTCCTCGAAATTTGTTTTAGCTTGTCTTTCTTCTTGGAGCCGCCGTCGATGGTCTTCTAAGGAGCTCTCGAGCTCATGAACTTTAGTGATTCCGGCAGAGTATAAGGCACGCTCTTCATCCATCTGTCAACTGATCAGCGAGATGGAGCATACTGTTACGCGCATCGTACTTACGTTTGCCAGCTGCTTGCCAAGCTGTTGAACGTAATTTTCAAGCCCCTTCCGTTTGTCTCGCTCATCTTGAAGCTTCTGCGTCAGGTTGAGCTTGAACTGTGCCTTCTCCTGCTCTGATATCCTTCTCAATTTGGCCAGATCGTCCCCCTTGCCTGCACCAGCGTCGCTCAGGGGATACCTGTATGAGCCACTGCCGGAGTCCGAGAAATAGTCACTAGTCCGCCGTCCCAATTCCGGTCCTTGCGATGCTTCAAGTCGTAGTTGGTCCACCAGATCTTCCAATTCCAATTCTCTTCGTATCGATCCGGCTAGCTCTGTGCTGACTTCACGCAATTCTTCATCCACGTCATTGAACTGCCCTGTTCCATCTGCGCCTGGCGGCACTGGGAACCCCGTGCCGGCAAAGTATTGGGTGCCCATGTTTCCGTTTGCTTTGGGGATGTCTGTCATACGAGATGTCGACTTGTTGGATGAAGTGATACTGTGAGGTGACGGGGACAGTGGCGAAGGAAGAGCTGGGGAATGGCTACCATCTGAGTATGTCGTGGGTGAGACTTCGGCAATGGGGGACGAGGTCTTCCACCCGAAGAAAGATGTGAGCTTGTTGGGCCCTGGTGATCTCGGAGTTTTTGTTATTATCGTAGGATCAGAGGATTCGTAATCATTACTCGTGGGTCGATTGGAAGGGTGCAAGGACATTGCTCGTTGCAATCCCAGGTTGTTGGGGACCGGTTTGGTCCGGAGAGCTTCATGGAGTCTGGATTCGCTAGCTTGTCGCGCCCGTTGTGGCCGGGGAGAGGGTTGTCGATTTTCCGTATTGACAGGAGGGAAGTATTCGCTTTGTGGAGGTTGAGGGCCACGTGGAGAATAGCCTCGGGGAAACCTAGGGTAAACACGGATCAGCATTGGTGAGGCTGCGAGGAATGTATGAGCTCACTGGTCAAGATCACGGACTTGGAGCGGCGGAGAAATGATATTAGGAGGAGGCAGCGATGGTGGGTCTTGGAGAAATGATTGTCGATTAGGATCACCAGGGTTGTAGCCGCCAGCGTCGTCTTCGCCCACAGCAACGACGACGCCTCCGGAGGAAAGGGATTGGACTCTGCCTATGAGCGGCAAGGCAGAAGAGGGGACAGGTTTCCGTTTGACTGGCTCAATCTTGGAAGCAACGACCTGTTGGCGGGATGATGGGGAGTTAGATGTGGAGGGATGGGAGGGAGAGGTGTCGAGTCTGGGACGACCGCGGTCCATCATGTTGCATTATACGTCAAGGTTTAGGTTGAGGCTCCATTGTCGTTATTTCCGCGAAGGATTTGGAAGCCCAGATAGGCAGAGATGTAAGCCAAAACTTGCGCAATCCTCTCTCCCGACTCGGCTGGGATCAGAAAGGAGACTGTTTGGAGATGTTCACCCCTCTGGTGCCTCCGTAATTTGAGATTGAGGGCACCAAGGGGAAGGGCACGGCCACTTTAGGCAAGGTCGAGGGTGGGAGCGACGGGAATCATATGTCCGACAATGACCGACAACGAAGTCACAAGATGTATGTACTATGTATGTATGAAATAAATGGATGTATGTACAAAAAATGTGGTGAAGCTGGAAAGATAGATAGAGGAGTGATTAGACACAGGAGAATAATGAATTAAGTAAAGTAAGGTAGTGTAGAGTACGAGTAGAGTACAGAGGGAAGGAAATTTGGAGGTTGCATCGCGGCTGTCATCCGAGTGCTTAGCGAGCAACCCCTCCAAAAGTCCAACCGTACCATGCAAGGTCCCGCCCCGGAGTGAGAGGCATCGTCGCCACAGCCTTTGTGCGATAGGGGTCAGGGGAAAAGTAACAGCACCAGCAGTAGGTAAGAGGGTTGGAATTTGCTGACTGAGGCCTAGAAGCGCATTGATCATCTACGCACCGGTGGGTAAAAAAGCTACTCGTCTTACGCTGTACGCAGCATTATCGCTTAAGCTCTACTCGTATGGTTCCATGCAGAAGAGTCAAAGCGAAAATTCCAATCTCCGAGAAAACATGAAGCGGAAAGTTGAGACGTGTCCGAGCATCATAATAATATGAACCAATAACTTGTGTAATCTCATCAACGAGGCGGTGAATAGATGCATCCGCTCGTACTCTTTACCTTTCCAGATATCATCTTTCAGCGGCATTATTACCTTCAGCTGGCCTTCATCAACTCAAGTTTGATCTTCCTTTTCCCCGTCGATTCTTCCTTCACGTCACTGATTCTCACGACAACCTTCTGGAATAGCTCCACCTGCAAATGTACCCCCGTTCCACTAACCCGAAGGATATACTCTTCCTCATCGAATACGCCTTCAGGCTCTGGCGTGGCTAGGTCTCGCAGCCGTATCAGACCTTCAATGCCGAATCGCGGCACAAATACCACGAATCCATTCGAGAATACCTTCATTACAAATCCCTCTTCTTCCACCACTCGTCCCTTGAGCGCCTGCCCGACGTAGTACTCTATGCTCGCTCGGCCGGCCATCTGGGCGTTTCGATGTCTCACGTTGATGTTTTTGCACACTTCTTCCAGCTTTGCTTTGCTGTGCAGGCTGATGTCCAGGGTCTCGTATTCGATAGCCGCAGCCAATTGCCTGTGGGCTTCGAGATCAGCGTATCGTCTGATGGGACTGGTGAAGTGAGTATAGATCTCGCTTGCTAAGCCGTAATGGCGGAAGTCGGGGTACGACTGGCTCCCTGAGCAGAAGTATTCCGCAGACATCATGCACCGTGTGGCCAGGATGCGAACTAGCGTGTTGAAGAAAGGCTCCTTCGCGTCGACGCATGAGTCCAGTGAATCCGCAACTGCTTTGGAGCTTTCTGTGCGAAGGTTGAATCCACGCTTGACTTTCAGCTGGTTCGCGAGCTCCTCAAAGTTGCTTTTAGGCGGAGCAGCATGCCTTCGAAGCAAGGCAGTTTGTGGGAATGCTTCGTATATCTTCCCGGCCACGCTGATGTTAGCGAGAAGCATGAACTCTTCCACGAGCGAATTCGTGCCTAGCAACTCCTTAGTCTTCACATCCACCGGATCCGATGTCTCAGATTCCGTTTGCACACGCACTTCTGGACTCGCAAGATTCAAAGCTCCTGCATCCATGCGCTTCTGACGTAGCTTCTTCGAAAGCTTGAGAAGGGTCCTCATACCCTGGGTTAGTTCATCTTTCTGCGCCTTGTCGTCGATTCGCATTTGCGCTTGCTCGTAGCTGAAAGCCTCCCTGGACCTAATGACGGATTTGGTGAAGGAAGAGCTGACGATCTCTGCATTCTTTGTGATTTCCCAGATAACGGAGAACGCATAACGCTCGATGTATGGTTTCAGGGAGCACAGATCAGTACCTAGGAGCATGGGTAACATGTCAATGCGTTTGTCTACTAGATACACTGTTGTTCCTCGTACGCTGGCCTCTGCATCCATTGCGTTGTTTGGCTTGACAAAATGCGACACATCTGCGATATGAACTCCAACTTCGTAATTGCCATTCGGCAGCGGCCTCGCGTGGAGCGCATCATCGATATCTTGACAACCCACGGGGTCGATACTGCAAACCAAAAGATCACGTAAATCTTTTCTGCCCTGCCAACCTGGATCCTCCGTGCTTGCCGGCACCTTCCATTCGTGACCTTCGGAAGGTAAACAATCTAAGACTCCTTTCGGAAAAGGCCTGTATTGCACGTCATACTCTAGCAACAATGCCTCGGTCTCTGCTCCTTTGGTTTCAAGGTCACCAAGTGACCTTACAAAATGGCCCTCAGGATATCGTGAGCTTTGGTCCCATGCATCGATAGTCACTAGAACTCGCTTGCCTAACAGTTCGTCTGCTTGACGGGTACGTAGTCTAATCTTAGGAATCCGTTTGTCCATCGGTATCAAGAACACGGTCTGCTGCTTTCGGCCTTGCTTTGCGGCCGAACTTGAGCTGCTGTCAACATGTCCCACATATTGGCGCCAATTTCGTTTGATCACGCCAACCACTCTAGCTGTAGGCTGTGGTCGACCTTCGATGCTCTTTCCCTGTGTCTTTTTGACTTCTTCTTGCAACGCCTTGCGTTCTTGCTCAGTCACGACAGCCTCTCCTTCAGCTTCATCGACATCCGCATTTTCGTTCTTGTTTAAAGTGTCTTCCTCGATGATCTTGGTGGATGGTGCTTTCCATTGGGACTGTGGCAGAACCTCTACCACAACAACATCCCCTGACACAGCTCTGTTGCTGTTTTCTCGACCTAGTATAAGCAGAGACTTGTCAAAGGCCGGGACGTGTACAGAACCCTCGAGATAATTGTATGGAGAGACATTGAAGATGCCCTGATGCAGTGTGCTGGCTCGGACACCAGTCATCATTTTAGATAACGAGAAGTAGTCAGGATAAAGCTGTTCAGCTGCTGTGCTTCTTGACTCTTGGCCTTGGCGAGAAGCATTGATCATGTCAAGAAGACGTTCAGCATCATCAAGACCAGATACGTAGTCGGCCAAAGAGCAGGCGCTAAGCTTCTCTGCTTTAGCCTTTCGAATGTTCTCTTTATCATCACTGAGCATAACGATAGCTGGGCACTGGATGGGCCGCTTGCTGGATCTGACAGACTGATGCAAATGTTGTCCATACCAACTGACTGCTCGTCGGACAGCCCTGTCATTACGGTCATTGATGGTCTCACCCTGCTCTCTGACAACATAGGTCTCCTGCCGGAAGTCGTTGAAAAAGACGTAGAAATGTTTATCTTCACTTTTAGTCAAGCCAATGATACGGTTGTACAATGGGAGAGAGCGATTTCTCAGCTCCTCCAGCACTGTCTGAAGGATGATGACATCGTGAAAACCGGAAGTCTCTTCGAACAAGTCCATGCCATTGAGTAATGCATTTGTATCTGGTACTAGGTAGTGACCAGCGGAAAAATTCTTTGTACCTGCTGGCTTCTCCGACAGAACAAACGGGGCAACTGTTGTAATGTCAGTAAACGACTCAATTTATTGAAAGGCGTGCCCTAAGCATTCGACATACCGACTCCATTTGCGTCCGCTGGGGCATTTGCCAGACACGCCGAGCAGAGTCTCGACGAACATGGAATGTCTCGTCTGAGATACAACTCTTTGACTATCTTCTGCACCTTTCCACTCTTAGTTGATCTCACAAAGACTTTGCTTGAGATGTTCGAGGCATATGGATCAGCCAGTGACCGTTTGAGACTCGTCATAGCTGCGATTCGACTTTCTGATATGTTTATCTTCTAGAATCGCGCACAAGATTTCTCTAAACAGTCTCTCGAATGGTCACTGTCATTCAAGTCATAGAGTCTTCCAATTTCTCTTGCATGGCTAAATTCTCAGATGTTGATGGTGCTAGAGTTTCCGCGGCGGACAGAAAAGGCAAGCGCCGCCGGAGAAGCTGCAAGCCAGCCCTAAAACCCTAGAGTGCAGGGATTATTGATAAGGTGCCACCGTGCACTTGTGCCTGGGATCAATAACACCTCTCCAAGCTGAAGTCACTCGTCAATTGATTTTGATTTTGTTTTTTATTCGTCTAACCACCATCTCTGGCACCATCTACGGAAGCTGGGCGCACCATGTCACTCGATCCCCCGACTTATCTAAGCTCCTTACAAAATAACATCCGTGCAAGACCAATACCATGGGAGGGAGCCGTACGAGCAGGCACCATTACCGACAATGACCTCAAGACAATCAAAGCTGTAGACAAGGTGCGCAAGGAGCAGAGAAAACAGACGGTCGAGAATGATATGGATTCCTACCAATCTCTCATACTGGGCGGAGACAAAGGCACAAGTGTACTGGAATCTGCCTCAAAACGAGCAGATGTTATCCAGTATATGTTAGTATTGACAGGGGATCTCATTAATGGTATGGCTTCTAGATCCACATATACGAAATCTGTTCATGGGTGCTGACAGTTGACCTTCAGATGCCCCCAGTCTTGCCTCCAAGCTCCTCGAGCACCCAGAACCATACAAACCCATTGTGCCTTATCTCTCTCACTCCACCAATCCAGAAGACCCAATCCCATTACTAGCTTCATCTGTCCTGACCAGTATTCTCTCGACAGCTCAGACACAATCGCCAAAGTCCAATCCGAAGACAGACGAAGCGCTCACAAAGCTTTACAAATACCTTTCCACCTTGACGACAAGCCAGGACAGTGGCTTACAAGACATTGCCGTACAGGAGTACTCCTCTCTCCTAAGATCGAAGAAAGCACGCGAGATATTCTGGAGCCAACGTCAAGAGACCGTCAGCCCTCTCCTCGACATCTTGCGAGCAGCAGCTGGCGCAAGCAAAGACAGTGACTCCACACTACTCAGCGGAGGCAGCAGCATCCGCAGTGCCACGGAAGCCGGTATCAGTAGTGGCGTCGGCCTCCAACTCCTCTACCACATCCTCCTCACAATCTGGCAGCTAAGCTTCGAAGCCTCCTTAGTAGGTAAAGGCCTCGAAACGGAACAAGAGCTTATACCCCTCTACACCCAACTCCTCCGCCTCTCACCCAAAGAGAAAACCACCCGCATCCTCCTCTCCACCCTGTTCAACCTATTCTCCGCTCCCACCAATAAGTCCACCCTCCTTCCCATCGCCACAACCGCCCGCCTTCCTGCCCTTCTCTCCAACCTCAAAGGTCGCCATCTGACCGACCCTGACCTCCTCGACGACTTGAAAGCCCTCACAGAAATGCTGGACGAATACACAAGTTCTCAAACCACCTTCGACGAATACGCCGCGGAACTATCTACAAGGAAACTACGCTGGAGCCCACCCCATCGAGACGCCAATTTCTGGCACGAGAATGCGAGAAAGATCTTGGACGATGATGGAGGCGCGCTGCCGAAGGTGCTAGCGGAGATCATGGGGAAGAGTTGGGACGATGAGAAGCAGGTTCTGGCTATTGCGTGCAACGATGTGGGCTGGCTGGTAAAAGAAGCCCCGGAGAAGAGGCAGGGGTTGGAGAAGTTGGGCATCAAGGGCCGGGTGATGGAATTGATGACGGACAAGGATGAGACTGTTCGGTGGGAGAGTTTGAGGGCTGTGGGGGAGTGGATGAGGTACAGTTTTGATCAATGAGGGGAGGGATACTGGTGATTTTTTGTCAACTGGGCATAGAGATAGGCAGTGACACAGTGGAGAGAATCAAGAAAGGGAACATGAAATAGAAATCGGAGGTTCAAATGTATAAAGTGTCCCGACAATGGATGTTTCCTTGGACTTAGGCCATTAATATCCTTGCTACATTGTGGTCTTCGCTCTTCCCTCAAGTCTTTGCAAAGCTTCCGTAATTGAATGAAATGTAACATTATGGGCCAGATATCTGGATAGATCCAACAACGATAGGGCCCTTCAGGCAGAGAATGACAGAAAACGCAAGATATCCAAAGCGAGCATTGCAGAAAATCCAGACTGTATCCCCAAACATTCTCAAACCCGTGAACTCAAACCCACCTGAACGTCAAAGCACCGCAAACCCCTCCCAACCACTCTCAGTATCCCTCGCCAGTTCCCTCCTCCTCTCCCCCAACCATCCACCAGCTCCCGCAATAGCAATGCTTCATTTGCGAGACCATTACACTCGCCGTCCTGGTCGGCAGCAAATCTTCCATTACAGCAGCACACCTAGTGCATCTTCTCGTGCTCACATTCCTCAACTCAATCTTACGCAAAGCATCCAGCGGATGCTCCTTCCTCCATCTCTTACTTGTGTAATCGTTCGTGAGCCCCAAAGAGGCGACGTTGGCGAAGTAGAGTTCCGCGACGTTCACTTCCTCTTTCAGTGAAGCTGTTGTGTTGGTTAGAAGATCTTTCACAGGTCCCAGTAGTACTTCGGGGACTTCAGCTTTGATAAGCATGTTCTTCTCGATGTTACTCCGTTCATTCTCGTTCATCCCGGATGCTTGATAGGCACTCCTGATGCTATTTTCCAACTGTGATAGAATACGCTCGAATTGCGATACCGACACCGGAGATTTCTGGAATACGGTTCCGAGCTCCTGATAGGCTAGTCTCAAGGGTGTCTGCGATTGCTGCGTTTTGCAGGCTTGCATGAAGGCTTTCAAGGGATTGCAGTTGTATTTGAGGAAGCTGCGGCATGAGGAGACAAGGAGGAGCAGCAGGGCTGGGCTGTTGGTTTCACGGACTAGACGGTATTCAGTTGGGTCTTGAACATACTGATGCTTTTAGGGGTAGCTCACTCCTTGCGTTGAGGACATCAAGACTCATGTTTTCTGCTCCATCGTTGTGGTCTTCAAGGAAGTCTCCAAGTACGAAGATTTCGTCGACGATGTAGCTGATCAGGGTCATTGACCATGATACTAAGCCGATCAGTACATGGACAGTCTCTGATCCGGAGTTAGTCTTCTCTCTGCAATTTCTTTGGGATTCTTCGGCGTACCTGGCTTGCCAAGTTCGTTCTCCACACCCTGTTTTCTACTAATGGTCCCCATGAACACCATAACAACGGATCTTATATTCAAAAATGTCCAAGCCAAAATGGCCGAGGGCGATGGCCGATGACTCCCTCCAGCATAATAAAGTGCCGCTTGGACACTCAGACATCGCTGAAGGGTTAAGCCTTGATTTGACTGGAGCAATTGTTGCATCTGCGGATCGATGGAATAGTCGACCTGGACACCGATCGTCCGATATAGCTCGCTCAAGAAGTGCAACTTGAATGTATTGGGATTGAATAGTGTCGGAGGATGCCCTGCCTGTGCTTGTGCCTGGTCGTGCAAGTATTGGTTCGAAAAAGCTTGCAGTGCCGCGACAATGTCCTCGTTGTTCAAGTTATTGAGAGAAGCAACCGATGACTGCATTACGAAGGCTTCGACGATCAATTCGAGTCGCGCTGTGTATGTCAGCAGGCACAAGAGGTCGTTGCGGTGCATACAAACCTTCATCTATTTGGTCGCTTGTATGCTCGTCCTCGAACTGCATAGAGCTCAAAGATGCCAAGTGCAGCTCGTCGAGAGAAACAGCAGCACAAGCGTTAGGAGATAAGGCAGTGTGCAAGCCTATATATCATGAGAAGTCGTCCCCATGATTGGGTCACCCAGCGTCCGGGGTGTGAATTGTTTCAATGCGCAACTTACAGAATCTACTCCCTGGAAAATAGAGACCAATCTGGGCCATACTCGAGATTTGGTCTTTTCCATCTCGAGGGATCACGTTCATGTTTGTAGTCTCTCGATATTCGACTAAACCCTCACAATACATCATGGCCAGAACGGGCCTCAACGTCATATGCTGGATGGAGAGTAGGGCTCTAGGGAGTAAGATGTCATTCGATCTCTTCATGAGTATCTCAGACTTGAATTGACTCATTAGGTACAGTCCAAAACCAAGCCTTGAGCGATACGACTTACAGGAAGCTCCGCAACCGATGACGCGCTGGTCTTCTTCGAGGACAATGAATTGAAGCTGGTATGTAACTTTGGCGTTGCAATTTGCAACTCCCATTTGCAAAGTATTGTAGCTTGTACCGCATGAGTTCGAGTGTGTTGGAAATGATCAGAGACGTAAGAAAATGAAGCCAGGAGAACCGGATGCGTTGGTTCTTTACTGGCAGACCTCGGCCCTGGAGGTAGAAATTCAAGGAACGACAGTTGACTGCGTGATTGCACACCATCATACTGTGCTGAGGCACCGTCCAGATTCTCATCAAGTGGAGCACAGTGGTTCAAGACTTTGAGATGCTGTAGGCCTATGCTTTGGTGCTCAAAATCCAGGCTGAGTCGATATAACCGGAGCTCCTTTTCGGTATTGTACGTTGCCAGAAGTAGGGGACTTTCTTGTTATGTCGGTCAGCGACTGTCTCACAGCTTGGGAGGCAACCGTCACCTTTATCTGGGCTCTTGTTATCTGCGATTTTTTCCGGACACATTGTGGCGTGGGTCAGAAGCTCGGATGGACTAGCAATGTTCTCTGACTCGCCTTTGAAGTCTTGCCATCGATTATCCTGACCTTGATACAACACTCTGATCAATCCACCCCTTGTGACTGCGAGCAAAGCAGCCTTTTGTGGGCTATTAGTTTGTTGGTAAGGGTTGCGGGGTCCCAGCAATCTTTGTTGAGATACCGTGAAGTTCCACTGGTCTTTGGCTTTGAGCATGGGCTTAGGGAAATATGACTGCACCGCTGTCAACCGGGCTCATAGCATTAACATTGCAATCAGACGGCAAGCATACTGGTCTGTCTAGGTGTAGCCATGTCAATCCAACCACAGCACTTAGATGGTCTTCTGGGTCGAGGACACTGCGCCTCCAGAGACTGAGGCGATTGATAGCAATGAACACGCTGTAGATCGATATCTGGCCGAAAGCGTCAACAATTGCTAACTCGTTACCATGATGACTCCAGGACAGATGGACTAGTTGGTGTGCAGTAGCGACACCGTCTACCAGATGTTCTTTGCTCATCCTCCATTGGCCATCAGAAGAATCACACATCAGGTTACGAACAACCACATTGCACCCGTCGTGAGTGATGTATGCAATGCAGCCATTTCTAGACCAAACCAATTTTCTAGCTAATTTTTAGAGATGCTGAGGCAAAGCGCTGGAGGTTCGCGACGTACTGGCAACATCCGCTGAGAGCTAATTCATCCACTCGCTGAAGCAGGCTCTTTGGGAGAGGTTCAGGAAGGTGCAATGAGTGACCATCTCCCACATCTCCCACGTCTCCCACATCTCCCACATCTCCCACGTCTCCAACATCTCCAAAGAGATCATCAAGATCATCCTCCATAACCAAATTGCTGAGACGTGATCATCAAAGTCCAAGGTACAATTGTATTGGATGACTTGGATGAAAAGCGTAGTACAAGCTCCATTGATGGATCAAAATTGCCGCAATCCCCGCCAGCGAGGAACGATTATTCAGGACTAACCCAGTTACCTGTTGACCGCGCCGTGGTAGAACTTGGAGATTGCGCACGGATTCACCGTGTATCCAGCCTATTGACTGCGCCTGCTATATGAATTATGAATAGGACAGATAAAAGCATGCGGGCAGAGGGTATTCGTTGAAGTCCAATATGTGCCCCAACTATTCTTCATTGAGGAAGTATTGAAGCTAAATCGTCTATCATTGTCTCCTGTGAGACTTCTTTTAAAGATGACAATCTTTTTTGAGGGTGAATGATTGAGGTAAACAAAGGTGTAAACAAAAGGCTATTGTGGGAGGGGCATTTGCGGCTAATATTGAGTAAGCGGCGCGATCATCGCTGGGGATCCTTCACACCATTCACAACATCGCTCTGATTCTTCTTGACTTCCCTGCGCAGATACTTCCAGACGGTTCCTACGACATTATACGTCTTCTTCCTTAGCCCACCTTCTAACCTATCATTTTCTTTCGATCATGTTCCAAACGAAAAGACCCTGATCGCAACGACCAACCGACCGCAATCTCACATCATGGACAGCGACAGCGGCTTGAGCGACCTGTCCTCAGAGCTCAGCTCCGTCAGATCTGTGTCGCCTCCACCTCTCGATTACCCATCTCCACAGTCAACTCAAGAGAATGGCGGAAATATCTCCAGTGGTCAGGATGAATTGCGAAAGCGCCCTCGAGAATCAGACAATCTACCTCCGGCGAAGAAGAGAAAGTCAGTGGAGGCGAAGCCAAGGACCACCGTTCATCTAGATCTGAAATCGCCATCACCTGCGGCTGACCAGAGCTCTCAATTGGGTCTATTACTGAAGGTTTTGCGGAAGAGGAGAAAAATCGTCGTGATTGCTGGGGCTGGAATTTCTACTGCTGCTGGAGGTGAGTGTTTCGCTCCACTCCTAGCTGCATGTCGGGTTGCTAACGAAACTACAGTCCCCGACTTTCGATCGTCAAATGGCCTCTTCAACACTCTCAGGAGCGATAATAAGCTAAAAGCTTCCGGCAAGCATCTATTCGACGCTTCAGTCTATCAAACGGACGACTCAACGTCCTCTTTCCACGACATGGTTCGCACACTGTCGCAACTCGTCAGCGACGCAAAGCCTACCATATTTCATGAGATGCTCGCAACCCTCGCAAGCGAAGGCCGGCTCATGCGCCTGTACACGCAGAACGTCGATGGCATAGACACTTCGCTCCCACCCCTGATCACAAAGGTTCCATTGGAAAACAAAGGACCATGGCCCCAGACGATTCAGTTGCACGGAAGCTTGGAGAAGATGGTGTGCACCAAATGCAACAAGCTCTCCCCTTTCGAAGCCGCCTTATTCAGCGGTCCAGTACCACCACTGTGCACTCAGTGTGTAGAAAACGATCAGATCCGCACCGATGTTGCCGGGAAACGAAGTCATGGCATTGGCAGACTTCGTCCGAGGATGGTCTTATACAACGAGTCAAACCCGGACGACGAGGCGATTGGAGCTGTAGTGAAGGCGGATCTTCTGAAGCGGCCTGATGCAGTCATTGTAGTGGGCACAAGTATGGAGATTCCAGGTGTCAAGAGAATGGTTCGGGAGATGTGTGGGATAGTAAGGGATAGAAGAGACGGAGTTGCAATATGGATCAATCGCGGTCCACCACCGATAGGCAAGGAGTTTGAGGATTGTTGGGATCTCGTGGTCGCGGGAGATTGCGACAAGGTTGCCCAACGGGTGAACATGCGGCGGTGGAACGATGAAGGCAACGACTACAAGGACTGTACCGAATCCGAGGCAGAAAGGGCAAAGGAGAAGGATCCTGGTATTAAAGTGCTCGTCAAACCAGCAAAGAGGAGGAGTGTTACTCCAAAGAGGGATGTGTCGCCCAAAGATGGGGCCACACCTGCCATGATGACCCCAGGAGAAAGTCCTATGTCGAAAGCGACAAAGCTTCCAAAAGCCTTCACCATTCCCCCGTTAAAGCTTTCGGATACGAAAGAGAATTCAAAGTCAGAGAGTCGTCCGAAAGGAGCAGGAAAGAAGAACGGTGTCAAGAACACGTCGATAGGCAAGACCTCGAGCTCAAAGATCTCAAAGACATCGGATAATTTGAAAATCAACTTCAAAGTCACCAAGCCCCACAAACCTCTTACCGATTCAGCAAAGCCAGCCCCGCCTTCAAATGCCCCTCGTTCGCCTAGTAAGGAGAAAACGACGAAGTTAATGAAACCTCGCCCATCACCTACGAACCAAGAAAAAGCGAGAAGATTGCTTGCTAGCATCAACGAGCCCTTCGATGATTCGGCGATTCCAATGATGCCCATATCACCGCAATCAGCGCGCAATAACGGTCCTGTGAGCCCTTCTGATTCACCGCTTGAGAGCGTCAAGCTTGAGAAAGTCGAAATACCGATAAAGCTCGAAATACCTCCCAAGGTCGACGAGATCCAGGACCCTCGTAAACTCAAGCGAATGAGCGAAGAGAGAATTTCACCCACGGGAAGCGTACCGTCCGGAATGGCTCAGCTACTACATTTTTGATGGGACTCGGACTTGCTTAGCTTTGTTGGTGGATGCCTAGTGTGGTTTACGTATGAACTAGGTGGACTTATTTTGAACGAAGGATACCCAAATGTCGATTTATTGGGGTCGCTGGAGTTTGTCCTGGATGTGGCCATTACCGTACGATTGAGAGCAGGGTCAAGGTCTCTCGCCTTCCGAGCTGGAGGCATTGCGTTGTTAGGCGTTGCAGTTTCATGTTTTCGAGCTAATGGATTGACTCGAATAGGAGGTCGCTGCGACTTGAGAAAAGAGCCTCGGAGTCTCGGACAAGACATCTTACAAGAATATGATTGCATCTGTATGTAACTACATGGCTTGTCTTTGTATATACGTACTCCTCAAAATATTTCCAGCCCAATATATCTAGATGACCGGGCCGTAATTGATCCAACTTTCAGGTGCTTCTTGCTGCTGACAAATAATATTGCAAGTCATAGTCCTCATTCGATCACTCCATGTCCGTCTCATTAAGTGTCTAGAGATAGGAGTCATGATATCAGGAGAGAGACATCGCTGATCCAATCGAAAGTGAGCACCGCCAACCACAGATGACAAATCTCATAGACGTCGCCAACACCATCACCCTCTCCTATCTCGTCCAAACACAAAGACACGGCAGTTGTAGCTCTTCTGCTTCTTGCGGGGCGAATGGTACGGCAGCTTTTTGGAAGGACGATTTGGAACAGATTGCGCAAGAACAGGAATGAGGAGTGGAACGACCGACAATATCTCAGACAGTGTTCTCTTCGCTTCGGGAGATCGGAATGTCTCTGTAGAATACCGGTCTGGATTGCGACCCCAAATGACAGACCACAATCCAATGCTATGCTCCTTTCCCTTGTTCGCTAGACTAGAGCAATGGAACGTACTCTCCGATTTCCTTCTCTACTCATGTGAACTGCGATCTTTTATACAATGCTGATGCTTTACATAAGTAGATGGTAGGGAATATTCTGAGACTCACCCCTCATTACCCCCCCCTGACGTTCCCTTCTCCTCCTCCTCCAACATGCTTCTCCTCGCCTCGACAGTCACCCACAAACTCCTGCCCATCCCCTCCAACGCACCTGTCACCCCAGCCCCTACCTCCCCCAAGATCCTCACCAACTGCCCCCTCAACCCCTCCATCCCCCCTTGAATGCCCCCCACCCACCTCGCCCCCTCATTATCAAACACCTTCCCCTCCACCCTCGCCCCCAGCAGCATCAACTTCTGCAGACCTTGCTGCACGGTAGCGTCATGATAGCCCGGATTCGCCCGCCGTGTGGGTGCTGGGAAGGTTGGCGCTTTTGGAGCAAGGATGCTGAGGGCCGCGCGCATGTGTTGCGGCGTTACGGTAGGGAAGGACATGGCCGCGAGAGGACCGGAGAGGAGAGGGCGGAGGGGGTGGGATTCTTTGTAGGGGGAGGCGGCGGCGTGGGCGGTGCGGGAGAGGTAGTGCCTAAAAGTCGGGTCTGCTGGAGTCCGTGTATGATTCGCCAAGCTGGCGGACGATTGGGTCGAGGGGTCCGTTGGGTGCGGTTTCGAGGCGGTACGGTGCTGTTTTGGGTCGAAATACTCGGCAACCAGCAACGCTGATTCGAAAATACCCACTTGAATCGTTTGGATTTTTATAGCGGGCGCGAGATTCGTGGAGAGGTCATTGTCAACTTTTTCGAGGGCAAATTGCAGCTCTCGGCGTATGGACATCCATTCTGTAGCCTTGAGGTTGTTGTGTTGGAACAAAAGGAGCAAGGGCGTGGAGCGTAGCAGGGAGGTGTATTGCCGGTGGAGTTGCGATTTGCGGAATTCGGGCGGCTTGTGGGACGGTGGTTGGGTCCGGGGGAAGCGGGCGATTGGTGGAGGGGAGGAGATTGTTTGGAAAGGTGGTGCTGCGGGGGTTATGGCGGAGGCGGTGGCGAGATATCTGTATGATGTGGGTTGGTGTTTGAGGAGGTGGTGACACTGGGGGCAGATGCGGAGTCGGGGGGGCATTGTGGACGGGTTGAGTCGTGGTCTAAGATGGGCGTAAGCTTCAAGTCATCGGATTTCCAAGGAGACTCACCTCGCGGTGAAAATGTCAAGTTCCTGTGCCTTCAATGGCAGTCGCATGAAGAACTTTTGATGTAGGTACTC